CTCATCGAGTTCACATTCAGGATGACAAGGTCAGGCTTGTCATCTTGGTTCTTGCAGTGAGGATGAACCTCACTGGGGGCTGCAGTCCTCAGTGTCGCGTGTCCAAGGTCGACACGCGGAACTGCATTACCAGTAGGGCGCCCCGCGCCTACTGGGTTCCAGCGTTTTTTGTTTGTCCGCGACGATGCCCGGCATCGCCGCGTCGACCACCATCTCGGTGCACGGGTGCCGTGCACTCTCGGGCATAGTGACCGATCCTTCCGCAACGGAAGCATCGTACATTACTTCCTTGTTGCTGTTGATAACCAACAGCCGTTGCATTCGAGAGGTCCATTGGTTCCGGACCTCCCGCTATCGCGACCGGAGGCGGTTGCAGCCTCGGCGCATTCGCCTGTAGTTTAGCCTGCCTCAGTCTAAACTCCTCCTGCATCGCAAGAGTAATTGCAGCTTCGAGAGTACTCGGGTACTCACTGAAGAGATAGGTCTTTACAGGCCCATCTCTCAGACCCTTTATGAACGTGACGACCTTGGTCGCCTCGTCTATCGGGTTGGTCACAATGTTCGAGACCAAATACCGTGCTCTCTGCGCGTAAGCATGGACATCATGCTTACCCTGCTGTAGGTCGAGGAACTCTGCCCTCGACGAAACTCATTTTGCGGGGGCTCAAACGCTTGTCTGAGTTCCTCCTTGAAACCCTCAAACGTACTGAAGCACGTAGGATCAGAGAGTCGGCGTCCATACGCCCAACTTCTTGCACGTCCGCCAAGACATGACATGGCGAACGCGACCTTCGACAACGGGTCGACGATGCGTCGAGCCGCAATGGCAGTGTCGAGTTCGACAAGCCAACTGAGGAGAGGCTCGCCCTCTCTTCCAACGTAATTGCTCACGCTGAGCTTCAGCGATTGCGCGCGCGGTGTCGTCCCCGACGACACCGTGGTAGACGAAGCAGCATCTCGCTGCTCCCTCATGATGAATCCCAGAGCAACACCATGTTGCTCCGTCGGCGTTAGCGTACGCAGCATCGTAGCTACAGCCGCCTCACCAATGACTGTTGACAGTCGTTGGAGAGCTTACCACTCTGGGTCCGACAGATGGGGACAGTCAGCGCGTGCAACGTGAGTTGCAGGCGTAGTGGAGCTTTCCATGGACACCTCCGTATCCATGGGAAGGTTCTCAGCTCCGCGTTCGTGCGGTGACGTACGAACTCAGGTAGTCGGTCGTTGGATGGACTACGAAGTGCTACTAGGTGTAATGGGCCTACTTTGGCTCACTACTTTAGCTTACACGTGTGCGCGTGTATGTGAGGAAGCGTAGCTTAGTTTAAATTAGGGTTAATTATACTCGGGCCTCCGAGTATAGATTAATCTAAATAAACGATCCAAATAATGTTTTTGGGTTAAAATGAGAACTGCTAGTTTTGTTTTATGTTTCTGACTTCCTCTAAATGTAATATTCTAAGATAGGAATCTGCCAACGGCTGGTTGGCAGAATTCCAATGCTATGCATGTCGCTCATTGGCTAAGAGATGCTGCTCTCAGCCAATAGGAATCCTAAGTCTCTATGGACCACCCGTCGTGGTGGTCGTAAATGTATGTAGCCTTTGGTGTGTCTACACCAAGGTCGAGAAAGTCTTTCGAACCTCTAACCGACGTCGTGTCTGTTAGAGTTACAAGTGACTGTAGCCACTTGTGCGTGTAACCCTGTTACACCATCCCCCCCTCAAGGTTAGACGCGCCGAGTCACGGCACGTCAATCAGGAAATTGACCATTCGTCAATTCTTTACGTTAGGAGAAAGAAAACTCGAGCTCATTCCGCAATGAGCTTGCCGCAGAAGAAGACCGCCGCCGCAACAGAGGGTAACCTCTCTGTTGCTCAGTACCATGAGCGCCAGCAGGCAAAGCGCGATGCTCTCGCTACAAAGGCCGCGTCGGGGACAACCCAGTCGGAGATTGTCCTCGAAGGTTCCTCTGTAGTCAACGACGCCGTTGACTACGAAGACGACGACGTGGAGATGGAAGAGGGCGAGGCCTCTTCTAGCAAGCGCAAGCAGTCTATCGACAGTGATAGTCTCGACCCGCATGCCGGGTCGAGACGCCCTCGTGAAGGAGACGACTCGGACGCTTCGAGCTCGAAGCGTTCGCGCGGCGAGAGCGACACTCCGCTCTCTGCTGCTGGGGCTTTAAGCTCCCCGCGTGAGGTGTCTTCAAGTTCTCCGCGCGCTGCCTGAGCAGCGCGCGATCCGTGGATGCCGTCTGCGTCAGAGATCGCAGACCGTGTGGGCAACACTGTGCCTCCAAACGAAATCCCGCTGTACGTATACAGCGGGATCCACGATGACGCTGTGGCGGAGGAGCAGCACTTTGATCCGTTAACGAATCAAAGGCGCGATTACTATATCGGACTCTTTCACGAGCTCCGATACTTCTCCAGCAAGAAGACCTCTTCTCGCAGCAAAGTGCCTGAGTGGCAGGCACTTTGTCAAAGTTGGAATGCTTTTGTTGAGAACTTCAACAAGAAGCCGGCTGCTTACCGTGAGCGGGTTAAGCACGCCCGTGAATGCTTCGAGACATTCTCGACGCGCGGGAGGTTGGAGCAGCTCCACAGATCTTCTGTGGACGCTGGTATTCCATGCGCTGTGCCCGAAGGCCAATAGTGCACGTTGTGGCTTCCGGGTGCGGTGCGCTTGAGTGACCGCGACCTAAACGGGTACACGACGATTCGTGTACCTGAGAGTCTCAAGGATCTCCGTGCCAAGTTCTTGGCACGTGAGGAACGCGACGATCGTGGGGCCTCGGGCGCTGTAAGTGACCACAGCGCTCGCACTACCTTCGCGTCGGCAGTGCGTTGTGAGCTTCGTACTCCCTCACCATTTCCGGAACGTCCTGCAGCAGGACGTCCCGTGGCTCCCATGTATCTTGGTGGGGCGGAAACCCTCTCCAACGAATACGATAACGAACCGGCTGCCGGTTCGTTTTCGGGATACTATGGTTCACAATACGCTCAACAATCCAGCGTGTTGAGCCGCGGGCGTCGCGGATCGGAGGCGGCGGTGGTGGGAACACGCCCCGGGTATGGTCAACCTGGGGTTGACCTTGGCCCGACGCTCGAGGAGCGGGTCGCTGCTGTGGAGCAGCTTCAGAGCCGTGAGTTCGCCGCTCTGAAGCAGGAGATGGCGACCCTGAGAGCTCAAGTTGCTCAGGCCTCGCAGACCGCGTCGGACATCTCTGTCGACGTGGGAGGTCGCGTCGCACGCTTGGCCCAGCGCGTTCACGCGCTGGAGCAGAGGTTCGCTCCCGCTGGGGCTTCCGCTTCGGGCCAGCCGAGCTAGGTGGCTCGTGCTGCTGGTATGGCTTCAGCCGCCCGACGTAAAAGGTCGGATGGAGGCGCATGCTAGATGGAATATCTAGCGTGTAGGCGTTGCCATGCCGTGTCAACACCGTGAACGGCCCGATGAAGCGCGGAGCGAGCTTGCTCGCCCCGAAGTCGGAAACTGCATGTTTAGGCAGGTTTTGAGTTGCTAACAAAACCAATGAGCCCTTCTTGAATTCATTAGTGTTGCCCCTACCAACATTGTCTGCGTTCAGCTTCTGTCGGTCGACAGAAGCTGCGATAGCGTCTTGGACAAACCGAATGACGGCTTGTCTGCGCTGCACGAAGTTGATTGTGTCCGAGCTGAACTCGTTCAGCTCGTTTCTAGCAGTAGGCCCGGCCTCTGCGTTCGTCTTCGCGGTGCCTGTGCCCCAACTAGGATATGGAATAGATGGATCACTCCAGGAAGCTCAAGGCCGTCGCTGGTCCCCACCTAGCTGGACTTTAGTTGATGGAGTCCACACAGACGGCTGTCCTTCGCCGTTGATGTGCCCTTAGCGTCCCGCGGTCGTAGTCTCGGGTCCTCCGGATTTCCGTCGGCAGGCTTGGCCGAAGTCACTTGCGCAGTACAGGGTAACAGGAACTCTGTTTGGTTTTTATCAGCTACTTCTCTCTCTCTCTCACTCTCTCTCTCTCTCTCTCTCTCTCTCTCTCTCTCTCTTCTTCGGGCAAATATCTTCTGTTCACTATGTTTTGGGTCAAAATGTCTTGTCTTGAGTATACCTTGGGATCAGCGGTCCAAACTTGCGATCGGCTTGCGAATCCATTGTCGCACGGCGCCGAAAGTGCTAATAGTGGGTCCTTAGACTTGGTTTAGTATGGTGCAGGACTCCCTCTCGACTCCTCGAAAGTATCCAGTCTTTGCATCCACAACGGTTCCTCAAGGTCACGCATCATTTTGATTGCAGACTGGCTTCGAACTGACTCGAATCCCTGAAAACCAGGTGACACTCAGGGTCATCTTCTGAAATCCTGGGAATTCTGAGGAATCTTGGGGAACTGTGGGGATTCTTGGGTGTTGGCTCGGGAAACACTTAAGTTCAGTATAGAGAGTCTGGATTTATGGTCCAAACCCAGAGAATCATCTTTGGAACTCTGGGTCACCTGTACTCAGGGAGGTGAACTCTGGGTCATCGTGCGGCACTCTGGGTTTCCGTGCAGCACTCTGGGTAACAAGTCTGCTACATTGCAGGCCCGCGTGTATCTCCACAAAGCCACACTTTTAGCGGGTTTAGCGGCCTCCTGCGCATGATCATGGTGGTAGTGGGTTGATTCTCAGGGTAATTTGATTCTCTGGGGCACTCTGAGCCACAGCAAGATGAGGTGTACTTTCCGCCAGACTTTAGGCACTCATCGTAAGGGAAAGTCCGCGGCTGGACTGAGTGTTCTCTGAAATCCTGGGCGTGCACTCCCAGGATTCACACTTCCAGCCAGTTGGGCCCATATGCGGTCAGGCGCTGGATTCATCCCGAGAAATCACTTCTCTCCCACTGTCGCCATCCATGTCACACGGGTACAGCCGCGCCGTATCCAAGTCATCCACCAATCAGCATCCGATACAAACTCCAAGTCACAGAGGTGACGGCACAACGTCGGCAATTTTCTGGGACCGCCTCGTGTCAATAGCCCGATCAAGTCGACATGCACAACATCGAATGGCCTGTCGTTGTTGGTGGCAGGGGTTGGCGGGAGTCGACCGTATTTTTGCTTGCCGCCGTGGAGCTTAGCCCGTTTGCAGGCAATGCACTTCTTGACGAGTGCGTTCACATCTTTCTCCATGTTGGGCCACCAAAACGTTGACATGGTGCGGAATGGTTTTTCACCGCCCGTGTGCAGCAAATTGTCGTGGTAGAGCTCAATCAACTCCTGTCGCAGGGACTCAGGAACCATTATGCGCTTTTAATATTGAAGTAAGACCGTTCCGAGCGCAGGGCGAAGCCCGTAATTTCGATCTGCACTGTTCCGCTCCAGACGCTCGATAATCGACTTGCACGTGGGGTCCTCGAGCTGGTGTTTCTTCATTACAGCGCCGTCGATGGGTAGTTCTTCATCTTCGATGGCGTACATCTCGGCTTCGGTCACCTGCTTGACGTGATCATACTGGAGACGGGAAAAAGCGTCATCTCATCGCGAACGTTTTGAGCTCCTGGCACGTACTCCACAGTCAGACGATATTCTTCGAGGAGCAACTTCCCGCGCTTGACGCGAAGGGAGTATTCGCGCGGGTACAGCAGATTTTTGTGATCCGTATGAAGCACAATAGGAAACCCCAGTAGCATAGTACGGTACTCTTTGAGGATTTCAACGACGGAAAGAAGCTCCCACTCGATTGTGGTGTACTTCCGCTGGGTCTCCGTCATGGCCCCCGAGAAGCACGCCAAAGTGCGCTTGCCCAGTATAATGACGCCTCCTATTTGGCGCCCGCTCGCATCTGCAAATACGTGAAACCTGCGATGATAGTCAGGAAACGCGAGCCACACATTGTGCTCCAGAGCAGCTTTCACAGCTTGAAAATCGGCAGAATCTTCGGGTGTCCAAGCCAAAGGGACGTTCTTCGAGGTTGAGGTGGCTTGTCAAAGGGGACCATTTCGCGATAATAAGCGATCATCCTAAGGAAGCGATGCAGCTCCTTTATGTTTCGCGGCTCAGCGATCCGCAGTATCGCCTCAACTTTCTTGGCCTGGGGTTGGATGCCTTCTGGTGTCAGCTGAATCCGAGATAGTCAACCTGCTCTCGGAGAATGTGGCATTCCTTGGCGTTCAGGGTGACGTCGTATTGGCGCAGGCGCTCGAAAACAATGCGCAGGTGTTCCAAATGATCCACGGGGTTATCCGAAAAGATGAGAGTACCGTCCAGATACACAACAACGAAGATCGAATATTCGCGTCCAGTGTGTTCATGCACTTGGCCTTGCCCAATCGTATCAATATTTCACGGATCTTCGGGATGTAGTATGGTGAGCGACGAAAATACTGGTTCAGCGCACGGAAGTCCACTAGCAGACGGAGAGCTCCGCTCGGCTTCGTCAGGAAGAAGGCTGGTGCAGCGGCCTCTGAAACATAGATTTGCTCAATCACGCCGAGTTCGAGCAAGCGCTGGATCTCATCATACGCGGCACCCTCTTGGCCCCGTGGCGCGTAAGGCTTGGTGTGCATTGGCTTGTAATCAGCACGCAGAGGCAGAATGTAGTCATCGAGGCGGATTCTTCCGAGACGTCCGTTGTACAAATGCACTTACTCCTCGAGAAGCTTCAAGTAGCAGTGCAGAAAGGGTTAACATTCTAAAGAGTAAGTTGTTGTGAGCTAGCTCAATGTAAATAGAGACGCTCTTAACATTCTAAAGAGTAAGTTGTTGCGAGAATATGGTTGTTCGACTTTGGCCCTTCCATTATGCATTCGGTGATGCTCCATCCTACATTTACTGCTTTAATCAGACCCGGTATGAAGTTGTGTCAGAATGTATATAATAAAACCTAGCCGTAGTACATCCCCGGTGTTACTGTTCAGCTAAACTCTCATTGCTTCTGTTTTACTGTTCAGTTAAACTCTTATTACCTCTGTTTTCTTACACCCGTCAGTTTTCTCAACGACTGTTTTGTGCAGGTAGCGCGTCGTTCGCCTACAATAGATAATTAACCGTTAAAGTGAAAGTCACTTTTGGGTACCATAATATTGGTACACGCCAAGACACTTTGCCTCCTCTTGGCGCCATTTTCCTGAACCAGAGCACTCTTCGCGCGGCCAAATCCGTCCGAATGAGAGAGCAGTGGGAAGCTGTGCAGGCGGGTCTCCGCGTGTTCTTGGAGGAGGAAAGCGCATATGTTCAGTTTCTAGCGAATATCGAGCAGGAGCTGGCGCGGAAGCTTCGGTTTGAGGCTCGGTCGCGGGACGGATCACTCGTGGATAGCGACTTCGACCGGTTCGTTGAGACTGCAGCGCAGCTCCAGTACCTCCACGTGCTATTCCACTCCAAGTTGAAGCCATTCGCGGAGCCTCGAGCTCGTGGAGATGTCAGTCCGGCCGACGACAAATGCAGCCGCTTCGTAGAGACTCTGGCAGACATGCTCAGCGTCCTCCGCATCCTCTACGGGAGGCTATTTTGTAGAGGCGACTCTACCCAAGCAGTGATAGAGAAAGCATTGACAAGACAAGACAAAGATTCAGACGGAACTGTGGTGGAGAATTTCCTGGCGAAGCAGCAACTGACCGCCGAGAAACTGGTAGCTCGTCCGTTGAAGCGATTCGACGAACTCGTGGAATTTGTCGAAGCGCTGAGCAAGGCCTTGTCCGAAGATGACAGCGATGAGATCATGAGCAACAACAGCGAGTCAGGCTGCGAAGAGAAGCTGAACTACGCTCCTCAGCTGATGCACATTGCCCAGGAGAACAAGCACTACATTCACATTGCCAAGGCCGACGCACGAGAAGAGAGCGAGTTAATTGCGTTGCAGACCTGTTTCCACGGTGACGGAGCTGATGAACTGAGAGATTTGTCCAGCAAGAAGCTGCTTCTGCATGGAGGAGTATTTTTGTCGGTCTGGAGTGCGCAAAATGGTAGCGGAGTGGATGGAGAGGCAGCCAGTCAACCCGAAAGGATATACGCGCATTGCTTCGAGGATGGAACACTTGTCTGCAGCAAACTGCAAGAGACTGAGTCCGGGGCATCTTTCACGATCAAGCATTGCCTTCACCTGAAGCAGGATTCCGCGTTTCTTGAGTTTGTTCCAGCCAGTGTTCCAGTGCTTGAATCAACTGGGGAAGCGCGCGCGTTGGCATTGATTAGGCAAGATACAACACTGCTGCTTGCTTGGAATGACGCTGCAACGAGTCAACGATGGGCCGATGCCATAGGAGGATTTCTGGAGATGAACGGATCACGGAGCGATGCACTTCGCCTAGGACGAACGATTGACGACATCCCAGTTCCTGAGGAGATCACTGCACAGCTTGGAGAAGATAGCACGCCACCAAGGGAGTTTGTATCCTTTTACGATGACCAGCTTCCTGGCGTTTTCTGGCTAGCACCTGAGAACGACTCGAAGACTAGTGAGGAGTGGTGGCAAGTGGTTGAGATTGTATCCTATGCAAAATGGCTGTTGGTTTTCAAGCTCGATGGCTGGAAGGGGCATTCGCTGCTGTGTCAATTAGATACGAGAATGCCTGGAGTGGAGATTTGCGAGCAGCCACGAGGAGACAAGGAGTGGAGTTTGGTCATTTCCCCTGGATCTGCGGCTAGCATCACGCTAGTATCGAAGAAGCGAACCAGAATTGATTTTTGGTTCGACCAAGTGTGGAAAGCTGTTGAGAGCGCTCAAATCGCGGCGAGGCGAGCTGAAAGAGAGAGAAAGGAGAGGGAAGAGATGGAGGAGGAAGAGGCTCACGTCCGTGTGGACGGCAGCAAACAAGCAGGAACGAAGCGGAAGCTCGCCACATGTTCCAGCGACCAAAGCCCATCTGAGCATATGAAGAAAGCACAGGAGCCTCGCTCTAATTCTAGCTCGGCTGCCTCAAGTGGCTCAAAGCCGGATGATAAGACGGATGATGAGTGTGGAGACTTGGAGAAGAGCGCTACAGCAAATTGCGTCGAGGAGGAGCAAGCTGCTGCACTTTCGGCTAAAAAGAGACCCAGGCGCTCATCCGACAGATCGTCGAAGAAGACGCCAAGCGCAGCCCCAACTGGGAAGGATGACAAATCCACGCATGTTGCTACACCGCCTGTGAAAACTCCGAAGAGACGGTGGCTCATGAGGAAGTCGGACGATCCCAATGACACTGACCTGATACCAACTCAACCAAGCCAGAGCATTCCGACAGATGAATCAATGAGCGAGACTGACGCGACCCAGTTACCCGGCAATGAAGTTCAGGTCGGTGTCGAGGCGACGACCCAAGAAGTGCGGATCATCCTTACGGGCGTCGAGCCCACCGCTTCCATCCGGAAGAAGATCGATTCTATCTCGGGGGCCGTTTATGAAGAAGACATCGAGAAAGCGACCCATGTCCTCGCCCCCAAGAATCAGTTGAAACGAACCGTGAAGCTGCTGTGTGGGATCTCGCGCTGCGCCCACGTTCTAGACGTGCGATGGCTGGACGAGTCGGCGCGTGTGGGTGCCCCTATATATGAGCGAGCACATTGCCTGAAGGACGCGAAGGCTGAAGCCAAGTGGCAGTTTGACCTGCGCAAGACCATGTACGACTTCACGCCGGAGCAGCGACGGCAACTCTTTGCAGGTCACAAGGTGTTTATCACCAACCACAAGTCGGTTCTGCCACCGGTGAAGGACCTGGTGAAGATCGTGGAGTGTGCTGGCGGCACAGCAGTGACCAAAGGCAGCGCCGGCCCCGACGATGTGGTGATCACGAGTGAAGCTGCGCTGGGTATGGCCTCGGTTCGGAAGGCGCTGGCACAGGCGAACCCGCAGCGGATCTACTCGGCCGAGCTCATTTTGAGCGGCATTCTGCAGCAGCACATCGACTTTGACAAGAACCGCCTCGAGCAGCCCGGTGGCGGCAATCGGCGACGCAGGTAGATGCCCGAGGCTCGACAGGAGCTGTAGCTAAATGACTAATAATTCAGAAGCGGAATCGACAAACCAATTGATGAATACTACGTTGTAGTAGTACCCGATCGTAGCCTGCTAGCGCGCCAGCCAAGCGCTTCCGCAGGCCGCAGGGAAAACGACACCCCGTGTGGTGCGCATGCTGCAGATAATTTTTACGTGCTGCGGTGTTCTGAAAACCGCGCGGGCTGCGGGACCCGCGCACTCAAGCTAAACTAGTCTTGTCCGCATGCGAGCGCAAGCCGAGCAGTGCTTCCTTGCCGGAGCTTCCTTCCGGTCTAGCGTCGCCACCTGCAACTCCGTTATCCAACAACGCCTCCCTGGAATCAAGCGCTCGCTCTGCATCCCCCAGGCGCAGACTGCGCCGCAGCGCGGACGCCTCCCAACCAAGCAAAGTATGAGCTGATACGCCCGGGCACATTGCTCGGGCCGCGAGACAAGCGGTCTCGACGCGGCGAAAGCTGCTTGGCGACGGGCAGCCGCGAAGAGGCGATCGACGAAACCCACTGCGAATGCATCACCACGGGCAGCGGCGAGGGGCTCGTGCCTGCTTCTCAACACCGTCCTGCGCGGAAGGCGAGCTGGCACCTCCGCAGCGCCGCCATTGCCGCTCGGCTGGGCATCACGGTCCCTGCTCGGGTGACGTCAAGAGGCACTGGATTAAAGTATGGCGGAAGAGCTTCAAGTCGGGCAAAGATACGGCATGTTTCGTCTACCGCCGGCACTAAGGTGCACCACACAAGTGGGTAATCTCATGAGCCCATTTGAAGTTGCGAACACGTAAATCCGCCGGCTCAGTCGAGCTCGAGTAGCTCAACCGTACTCGCGGCACTACACAGTAGTGCTCGTTGAACGTCATCTGAGCCAGTACTATCATGGGGATATCAAGCCAAGAATCAAGCACACGTGAGTAGGTCGCTCGTGGTCGTACGCTTACGAGCGCGCAACTAACGTTAGAATTTACATTTCGCTTCTTCAGTTGCTTTTAGCAATGTTAGTCGTTCTAAACGTCACGACACCCCGGCAGAGGGAAGATACATCGATGTTAGGGAACGTGTGCAGTCATATTATCAGCACGCTGGGAATACTGCGAAGAATAATGCGTGGTTAGTGCCCATGGGCCGTGTGCAACAGCAGTGCCCTCCATTACGTGGCTTTACGGCGTGCCTGCAATTAGCGGAGTAGGTTGCAAGTTGATCAACGAGACGGAGATGCTCCACTACTAGTTTATCAACAAAACTTCGGCGCCTGTGGACTTACTCTGTCGCTTATCAAGCAGTACCGCGAGCTGTGCCACTTCAATAAGTGCTACCAATTTCCGCCTATGCACCCATTCTGTGTCCTAATTTGGCGGCATCCTGGAACTTGGATCCTAGAACTCTGGAACTGGAATCTCGAGCGAGATGCCCCAAAAAAAAGGTTGTAAAATAATGTGACCCAAAATAAATGACGGGTAATTTACGGGTAATTTATTCTGGGTCCCTGTGACCTATTATTTTCGGCCAATCAGAGGGGACCAGCGCCGACTTTCAGCCAACACAATAATGGTGTCGTGGAAATTGACGTGAGCCGAACAGTTGTTAGTCTCCATTATGGTTGGCTGAAAGGCTCCGTATTTTCAGCCAATCGACGTAGTCGCGCATTCTATCTCATTAGTCATATGACTAATGAGAGAGAACCCGGGAAGGGTCGCTGTAAAGAAAAAGCGCTGCTGGAAGTTGGCCATGACGAACGGCAGGGGCAAGGGCACGCGCGCCGGCGAGCGGGCCGGCAGATCGTGGCTGCCGTCTACAAGGAGGCTATGGAGAACAGCAGGTTCCTCCCGAAGGCGGCCGATATTGAAGCGGTCGCCGAGAAGCTCGGGATCACGGTTGCGACGGCGCAGCGGGCATGGAGCCTGCGCCACGAGGCCGCCCCCCATCCTGGGACGCTGCGGAAGGACATAGCCGAGCTGGTGGACACGTTCGTGTACCGCTGGAAGGGCAACACGTCCACCGCCGGCTTGCAAGACGATGCGATAGCACAGTTGCTGGGGCTCGAAGTGACAAACTACCGCAAAACCTACAAACCTGACTTTCTTATGGTAGAATATCATCAAATCTCCGACCGCACTTAAGATGATAGGTATACAAATCCCCAGTCAAGCGCGGTCGGAGCATAACAGTATTACCCTACCCCTTCCCAAAGTGTTATGCATACACAGTCCAAGATAGATTAGTCGTCCCGTTTGCTCATTGGTCGGAGCCTTGGGATGGATGGCACGGAGCGAGCGTAGCGAGCCCCCGCCTGCGGTTTGACAGTCCGTGTGCGTAGCACGCGGCTGCAAACCCAGGACCCAGCAGTGCTCTACCTAGCAAGCGGAGGCGACGCGTGCGAGCCGCAGCGGGCTTAGGGTTCTGGCCCAGCGAGCGCAGCGAGCCTTTAGGGGTTTTAGGTTCGCGCGTAGCGCGTAGCTGGGTGATAGTTAAAGGTGACCCCCCTCCTATCCGCATGTTTTGTGTACGAGTCGGAGAAAGTCGGAGGGTCGGAGGTTTTTGGGTATGGAGCTCGACATACAGGGGACCATCAAGTAGGAGACTGTGATGGGGAGAGATAAGATCCTGCCGAGGCTACTGCTGTACATCTCGGTCTCGCGGCGATGGATTGTGATTTTTTGCTTTAATTTCACTCTGTACCTCGTGGCGAAGGCTCTGATTGTGGCTATGGAGCGTGGAGTGAGTGTTACGATAATTGCCGACTACGGGAACGCGCACACTACGTGGTGCAGGTGCGCTCTGAACTACCTGATTCGGAATGGAGCTCATGTTCTTTTCGTGGAGAAATTTTCGATCTGCATCCACTCCAAAATGTGTGAGTATGATTGCCAGAAGCTGTCTCGATTTCACTCTCACGACGAGCTATTTTTTTAATCTCAGGGGTTATCGATTGCTACTTGGTGATCGATGGCTCATTAAATTTGTCAGCTCGAGCTCTAGGGAAGAAGCTGGGGTATCAAAGTGTGAACATCGAGAGTATGACTACTAGCATGCCAGGTTTTTACGCTTGCATGGAGTTGGTCACGAAAATGAAGGGCTATGGCAAGGTTGGCCCTGGCCAGGGAACGCTCGTCTCGGCTTTCGATCGTCTTAGACGATGTGGCGACATTTTTTCTTATTTTTGATTGGCCAGTTATTAGCTCGATCGGCTAGGTTCATCGTCTCCAGACTGACCAATCTGAGACGACTAAATCACCAGTCTCACTTTGGAGACGAGCGTCTTCACTGCGTTTCGATGGTGCAGAGCGAAAGCATCGTTGCTGCAGTTGCTGCGGCCACGGGGGCTCTCGCGACGGCGGTCCACACCGCTGTGTGGGCAATTTCGAACCCGAAGCAGAACATCCTTACCCTGACACCGCTAGAGTTTGAGGCTATGCTTTACGACGCGGTCTACGACGAGTGGTTTCGACAGAATCTCAGGTTGACACTGCTGGTCAGTGAACACTTTGCTCTGGTTAACAGAGAGTGTTGATGCTAAGACGGCCCACGCATATTTGATGCGCTTGGTGTCCTTCGTGTTCTTGAAGTTGTCAGCTAACTCTGCGTAACGGAGGCGAAAGAACTCGCTCACATCATCATCGCTCCATGATGCAGCTGGCCTGGTCGAAGCTCCTCGTCCTCCACGACCACCGCGACCTGCCCCGCAACCACCACAGCCTCCACCCTGCGGGGGTGCCCTCTCGACGCCGCTCCCGTTGGTGTCCGTGCCGCTTACGCTTCTCTCAGCAGCGTCTTCAGCTTCAGCGCCGCCCACAGGTGGAGCAGTAAGGGTGCCTTCCATGGCTGCGAGTTCTCGAGTGTGATGGTGCTGAGTCGAGCAGCTTGACACACCAAAACTAAGACGGTCTCCACCCAACCGACCACATCGGCTCGGTTCACCTTAGGGGTAGGCTTACCGGAGACGAGCGAGACTGAGACGATCATTCCCCGACCAAGCCCTATTGACCAGATCACTGATGCAGCTCACAACTATGTTTCAAGTGTGGATGCGGGCGATGATGATGAACCTGACCCTGAGGTTGTACCTGCAGACCCGAGTCTCCTCGACCACCTTCCTCCGGATGAACTGGTGGCACAGGGGAAGACCAATGCTGCAGTGAGGATCATACCAGGGGGCGGGGCTTCGCCCGAGTTTGAACTGCGGCGAGAGCGTGCTCTGGATCGGCACTCAGTTCTTTCTGTTGGGGTTGACCTAGCTCTGGCTGGGGAAACTGGGGCCCCAGAACTTGACTTCCTCCGCCCACTCATCGATCAATTGCCTGGAACCACACACCGAGCGATTAACCCTCATGCGCTACGACAGCGAGCCAAACGAATTGACGAGTTGATTGAAGCTTGGCAGAACGCCAAGCGCGAGAAAGTGGAAGATGAGATAGAAGCGGCGAATGCCAAAATCTGTCACGTGCAGTAATCGCATGGAGCGCAAGGTTTGCCTTTTTTTTGCAAGTTGAGCTCATTTGCGGAATAGCTAGCTAGGTCACAGATGATCTCGTCGTGCTTGAGCAGCGCGAGCACGTGCTCGTTGCAGATGCAGCAGCCCATGACCATAGGCCAAAAGTACCCGTACGGCAGCGGCCATCGCCGCCACCACCACCACTACCCTCCACCGAAGCCGCGCACGCAGCGCAAGCGCTCCTGCCTGCGCAAGGAGAGCGCCTTCTCCTGCGGCGGCGCCGCACGCGGCTCGCGGCTGGACGAGCTGTCGGCGACCAAGATGATCACGGTCAGCTACTCGGCTCAGCCCAAGAAGACGCTCTCGTTCGCGGACCAGCGCGGCCAGCACCTGGTGCTGGAGCGCGAGTTCTGCCCCAAGGACGCGCCCGTGTGCTACTGTGACGTCCCCATCGAGGTCACGCTGGGCCGCCTGACTCGCCGGCGCAGCAGCAGCTTGGACAAGTGGATCGAAGAAACCCTGGCGCGCCAGCACCTGCTGTCCATGTGCGTCGTCTCGCTGCTGGGCTGCGCCCTCATTGGGCTCCGCCAGACCGCCAAGTAGGCGCGCGCCAGCACACCCCAGCCTCCCACCTGTACCAGTAGCTTTAATTATTTTTTCATGCATCACTTCGTGAAAGTGCAGTTGCATGAGGAACTCCAATTTATTAGTAATAACAAACAAGCAGTCCGCCAACAAGCACACTTGCACACTTGCAGTTTCATTCTGATCGCCTGCCGTTATTTGCGGCGCTTGGTAGCCCAGGTCTTGCCGATCGCAGGGCGTTCCAGGTGGTGTTGGTCCAGTTGAACGCACTGCTGTAAGATCCCACTCAGGATCAGTTCGGGGGAGTAGATCCTCTCCGGATTCGCGCTCGCAAGCTGCTTGCGCACCGCTGCCACCGCCATCGCCGCCTCGCTCGTGATCACCAGGTCGTTTGGCCCGGGCTTCCCTTTCGACGAAGCTTTGCCCCCGGCGCACTCGACAATTTTCACGAGATCCTTCACCGGTGGCAGCACGGACTTGTGGTTGGTGATAAACACGCTGTGTCCAGCAAAAAGGCGCTGGCGCTGCTCTGCGGGCACGTCGTACATGGTGCTTCTCAGGTCAAACTGCCACTTGTCTTCCGCCTCCTTGTCGCGCAGGCAGTTCGCTTGCTCATCGGCTGCCGCACCCACGCGCGCAGACTCGTCCAGCCAGCGTTCGCCAAGAATGTGTTTGCAGCAGGAAATGCCGCACAGCAGTTTCACCGTGCGCTTGAGCTGGTTCTGAGGGGCAATGACGTGGGTGGCCCTCTCGATATTGCTCTCGTAGACTGCGCCGGCGATCGACTTGATCTTCTTGCGGATTGCAGCAGACGGATCCAGCCCCGTCAAAATGACACGGATAGTCCCGGATTCCGTTTGCGACCCCGCCGACTCGCTGTCTGTGGTGGAGCGACTGCTAGTTGTGCGCTTACGGCCACGACTCGATGGGGATGCCTTGTGTCGCGACGTCGCGTGAGATTGATCTGCAACGGCAACTTCAACTCCTTTTTCTTCTTCCTCCGCGGCATCTTCGACAGGTTCCGAGCTACGGCTGGGCAATATGTTTTGTTGTTGGACTTGGTCATTAATCTCCTGTGCAACTGCGTGTTTTTCTTGAGAAGCTTGTTGATCCGAGCCATGCGCGGGCACACAGGACTCAGATTGTCGAGGTCGCTTCGACTTTGCCTCGCCACTATCCAGACTTGTCGCGCTGTGATCTCGTTTAACGCTTCGAGACGAAAAGCTTGAGCTTGACGCTTTTTCCGGGGTCGACAGCGAACGTCGTATACTCTTCGCTTCTAGTTTAGATGGACACTCTGTTGCAGTCGCCTTCGTGTAGCTTGCACTCTTGGATAGTCGTAACGGCAATTCGTCGTTAGATACTGCTCCGTTCTTGCTCGCCTTGGATTTCGTGGGGGATTCCTCCTTAGGCTCGCCTTCAATCTCAGTTTCATCGCCACTGCTGTCCGAGTCATCCCGAGTTGAAATAGCTGGTGATGCTCGGAAGGGCGTGTGGGGCTTGTAAACCCTCTTCTTCGCAACCGGTTTGTCTTCCTCTCTGTGTTGAAATGAAGCGGCGATAGAAGACAACCCGCCAATAGATCCATCTTGCTCCAGCATGTCATCCGACATGTCCGAGTCTGCATCGTCGTCACTGTTCCCCATTGCCCCAAAAGATCGATTCGTCTCGCTTGCGATGGACGCTATTGGCAGCGGCACGGCCTCCTCGAAAATCTTCCGTTCTGGTCTTGGAGCTGGCAATGCAAAAACACCCACATATCACGTCGTTAGTCGTTTTCTGCCACTCAATTCCAACAAACACGTTTGCTACTCACCGTCCTGCTCTTCAGAGTTGGTCATGCGGATCTGGGTCTCGTCCTCGTCCACCTCGTCTCCATCTTCGTCATCCTCTTGAGAGGGCGTAGCAGCGACAAACAAAGGTGCGTGATCCTCCTCTCCGGGCTGCGTCGCCACCTCCGTCGCTTCCTGCGTTGCCTGACTATCGCGTTGCGTCGGTTCTCCCTCCAGCTGCGACAACGCAGCGCGCTTGCGGTGGTTGGCCGTGTACCATTGGCCTGGTGTGTCTCGGAACCCCACGGGGGTGTCCTGGCCGGACGAGTCTCCCTCGAACACGCACGCGGACTCGCCAGCCATGGCGTCTCGGCCGCTTCCACTCACGTTGGAACGAACTGATCAAGCGGCGCTATGCAACAAAAGGCTGCTAATCGCAGGTGAAATATGTATTCGCATCGGGATTTACGAACGTCCGGTCAGTGTATCGAGGCTATAGAAATTCGAAATGGCTTTCGACCATCAGTGCAAGAGCATCGCTTCAAGCTCGTCGCGCTCTGCTCTGGAGAGCATGTCGAACTCCCAGACTTTGGTCTTCTTCTTGCCACTGCCACTGCCGGCTTCTTCGGCCGAGATGGTCACGGGGTAGCGCTCCGCCAAGTCCTTCTTTGATGAAAGCGAGCGGAACAGACCCCTCTTGGACGGCGACGGGGGAGGGCTGGCCTTCCCAGTATCCAAGGCCGAGATATCGGCAAAAGCAATGACCTCCGTCTTGGCTGAGCGCGGAGAGGAGGGATTAAGTGGCATGATATGTAGACACTTCTCGGATTTGTCGACCACCAAGCGGCTCGATTCACGGGAGCCTGACCACGAGGTCTGACAAGATGGCGTTAGAGCGTGGGGGTCGGAATCCGATGGGGCAATGGACTAAGTCGACGTACCATACTGATCAGGAATTGCGTCTTTGGCGAGTTCAAGGAGGGTTGTTGCTTCCCGTTGGGTGACCTCTCTTCGGACGCAGCTTTGGTCGCTTCGACGGTTCGAATGGAGAGCGCGGAGAGCGGCGCAGAAGGAGGGTCGATTTTCAACGGCGGCGGACGCGAGTGCGATGCCTAGGATGCCAAACAAAGATTAGGTTTTGACCTCGATGATGTTTGTCGGCGTAGACATGCAGATACTTACTTCAGTTGGGAGCACTGGGGTTTCTTGTGAAGTCTCCACTTCGGCAAACCGAACTGTTGATTTCGTGTGCGATGCATTGGCTGTAGTCAAGAAAGAAGGTTTCTGTGACGAGTCTGCGGGATTTGCATCGACGGACGAGGTGCCCTTCAATATCTTCTTCAAAATTGTAGGTGAACTGGGAGCGGACGTCGTGGGGGATGCTGGTGTGCTCTGGCGATGCTCAGTGTCAAACGTGAGCGTCTTCTGGAGCCCAGCAAGGCATTTTAGAACGTCGACGATCTCGTTCAGTGACAGCGCTCTGATGTCGACGTTGTCAATGGCGATGAGGCGACTGCCAACCGGGATCTCTTCGTTAAAATCACTCGTGGCCACGTTTTTGATGCAGGCAGCATTTTCGAGAGAGCTATAAAACTCTATTCCCATGGGGGATTTCGAGACGACAAAGCTCTTCAATGCTGGCTTGTGTGCAGCGTTCAACATGCTAGCATACGCGTCTGCCGTCGTGCCAAAGGTAATAATCTTCTCGTGAGGTGCAAACAACCGCAGCAGTTGGCTAAGTTCTGAGATCTCCAGTGAACTGACGTCGAAGCTGTCGATGGCAAGTATTTCGGATCCACTGACAACACCACCGTGGTTGAAAATGTGAGTGGGGCCACGCGCAGGATCCTCATTGACACGGTCAACAACTGCCGTGTTGGACGCGGTTGTACGCAAATCGATGCCTAATGGGCCAGGTGGGACTCGAATACTTATTGTGCGAGGATTGCACTTGCTGGTTTCACTTCGCGTGAGGAACACAAGTTCTTTTGGCGCGGAGGACAGTTTCTGCAGCAAACTGACAGTCTGGTTCAGCGTCAAGCACGTCACGTTCATCTTGTTGATCATTTGTAGTCGCGATCCAACTGGAATATGGCCGCTTCGCTCGACAACCCCTGGATTTCCATCTTCCATCGGCTTGAATCCCGCCACACGGGCCACATCTGCATGGTCGCCATCGAATATAATCCCCAACGGTCCAGGGGGTACGTTGATAGCTGCTACCGCCCGGGTTTGTTCTAGACGCCTCACCAACGTCGCATTCCCCACCACGATCTGCTTGGGTGTGTCCCTTAACTTTGAAAACAACTTGGAGATGTCTGCGAGCGTATGCTGGCACACGTCGAGCCCGTTGATTCCGATGATGTAGCTGCCTGGGATAAAATCACTCAAGTTCTTGTATGTTGGGCGATCAGCATATTCTGGTGAAGTAAACCCCGTAATCCTGGCGTGAGCAGCATCGCTGCTATCTAGGTTCAGCCCGGATGGCCCCGCCTCGATCAGCAATGCGTGGCATTCCGGCAGAGGTGCTGCTTCGGGGTGGTAGAAAGTAAGCGTTTGGGGGCGTGGCGTTTGATTCAGCAAGTCCATGGCGGCAGCTCGACTCATACCCGTGATGTCGGTGGTGTTGATACCAATAAGGATGTCACCTTCCACGACGTCGGGCCCAGCAGCTGCAGCCACCACACAGCGATAGTTCTCGGTATCGACGAACTTGATGCCCACATCTTCCGTTATGACCGTGAGTTGTGAGAATCGAGCGCAGGTATTTGGAGTCATGCGGTACATACTGATCTCTTTGTCTTGTTCTCTCATTTCTGCCAACACCTTTGTGGTTTCTTCGCGCGGTAGCCCAGATACGTCTACACCGTTGATATCGACGATCTGGCACCCACGGTGAACATTGTGGCACTTCTTGAAATGACTTTCCGATCCATCTGGAAGCTGCTGGAAACCTTCAATGACGGCACCGTACTGCAAGGCGTCGCTGAGAATCAAGCCGAGTGGACCGCTAGGAGCACGAACCAAAACCAATTTTTCTGGGTCATAGGTTTTGATGGAGCTTTGTGGTTGGTGATACCGTGCGAATTTCAGCTCCCGCTTCTTTGCCGAAAGTTTCCCCAGGCGTGTGATGACTTCTGATAGACTAGAATAAACAACTTCGTCGCCATCAATTGCAACTAGCCGATCTCCCGAACGAACTACCTGGCGCATCATCGATAGCCGGTGTTTGTCGCCCTCGGCTGAGGGGGCTTGATCCGCCGGAATGTCTCCAAACCCTTGAACAATCACAAAGCCTCGTTCATTTTCAACGAGTAAGACGCCTAGCCGACCAGCTGGAGCTTCCACGACGTAGTGCTCGCGACCAAACTCGTCCACGGCCATAGCAGCACCAGTTCAGGAATGCGGTTGTTTGTGCACAGTAAGAAACTATTTGGAGCTTATGCTAGCAGCTCCTGCAAGTAGCCGCACGGTTATGAGCTGGCCAATGACTAAAAATGGCGAGTTTCTCCGAATCATGGGATCAGGACTGTAGTTTCCAGCGTTACGATGAATTCGCGGCTCGGCGCACGGACGACGTTGCAACCTGATGCTAGCAAAGATATTGGTATGACAAGTCACACGAGTATCGAACGTGTAGCACTTCCTGTGCTGCACTGGAGCAATACCGGCGAGAACGATAACCAAACCGCCCATTTATCGCAAAAGGTTCGTGCCGTGGGAGAAAGCCGAAATCAACACACTGTGAAACGATGGGCTTGTGCGGTCGACGCATATGACGAGATGATACTTCCCCACTTGGTGATGAAACCCATGATACCCTCGCCGCAAAAGCTAAGTTCACCACTGCGGACGCGTATGACGTGGAATGGGACTCTAAGACCACAAAGAGATACGTTGGAGTTTGGGCCTCACTTACAGCGACGGGCGTCGAGCATCAATGCTAGCCTCGCTACATTTGAAGCAACCGAAACGATACTTCTAGCAGAAATCGATTCTGACGAGCGCTGTGCATCCTTTCTTCGTCAGCGAGCACCGCGAGAAACTCTCGCATCCTTCCCTGGTGGCAGTGACTCCCCTCAAAGCCAGATTCATTACAAGCTTCGAGCGTTGGACCGTAAAATCAAAATGAACACAGAGAAGCCTTGCGCAGGTACGAGAGCGAATCGCAGAGCTAGGGGGTAAGCCTAGTTCGAGTCAGCTTTCCATTCAAGGCGGTCCCGAGCAAAACGAGTGCACCGCGAAGCAACTTGATTACCATGAAGACGAGCTGTTATTGTCAACGCTTGATGCAAGTCGACAGACGAAAGAAATCGCGGCCACTGCACCACCCAAGATGAACATTGCGTCAGCAGTACTTGTGATCCAGTGTTTGTTCCGAGCATTTCAGGCACGGTGTCGTCTCGCCGATCTACTGTCTCGGACGTATCAACGCGTATTGGATCCTGGCACCAACCAATGTTTCTACTACAACCGCACCACCCGGTTGAGTCAGTGGGAAGCCCCAAGGTTACTGCACCGTTGTCACTGCCTGCTTGGCGCCCAGCAGAAGCGAGCACCTGATCCATCGATCCGCGCTACAATCAATGATACCGTGTTAGATGCCGCCGCGAAGACCATCCAGACAATGTACCGCCAACGAGCTCAGCGACTTTTCTTGAAAGACCTCCAGCTTGGCAATCTTGAAAAAGTTTTCGACACAGGATTTGGGGCTTGGTACTACTTCAACTCGCGCACGAATCGCAGCTTTTGGGAAAATGTTCACCACGTCAGGCTCACTGCATCAAACTCAGCCATTTACCATCGACACCAGCCTTGGCAAACGACCTGACCCGAAATGGCAGGGCAACATGGGATGACATGAACACACCGCGTTATGTAGTCGATTCATTTTTTGCTTTCCATTCGTTCGTGTTTTTCCCCTGTGGCAAAGTGGCGTCCGGCCCGTCCGCTTTCCCTACAGAAAACTCAACTCTGCTTATGTCTTTTCAGCCTCTATGCCTCAGCCTCCCTCCTTGACAACGTTGGGATGTAGGGGCGACACGACCCGCTTAGTATCGCAGCCAGTACGAGCGACGACGGATGAAGTTGTAGTCCGGCAGCTCGTGGATAGGGCCAGTGGCAGCCAGAGCGTGCTCCTTGTCGTTGATGACCTCGTCAGCCGTCTTGCGAACAGCGGCGGCGTCCACGGCGTCGATGCGCGCGAAGATCTCGGCGGGGGTCATGCGGCGGCCGTACGTCAGCATCTGGCGACCGATGTCCTCGCAGATCGGCGACGAGCCGTCCAGCTGCATCAGCATGTTGGCCTTCAGCTGCGTCTTGGCGCGCTCAACCTCCTCGTCAGTGGTCTTGTGCACAAGGCGCACCAGCGCCTCCATAGTGTACCACGTCAGGTCGTTGAGCTTGTACTTGTCCGCCACAGCGTACACGCCGAACAGACCCGTGTCCTGGTAGCACGTGTTGAACGACATGTACGAGTGCGCGAGCTCCTTCTCAGCAATCACCTGGCCCAGCTTCGAAGACATGTTCATGCCGGCGCCCGAGGTGCGGTCCCAGCTGCCGAGCAGCGTCTGCATGATGAGCAGAGGGAACGAGTGCTCGCTGGTCCAGCTGAAGCCCTCGAAGGCAATAGCAAGGTGGGCCAGAGGCATGCTGTCGTCCTTGACACGCACGTCCGAGCCGACGAAGCGCACGGGCTCGAGCGTGGGGGCCACAGCGGGGGTCGTGGGCAGGTCGCCGAACGATTTCTGGGCCAGCTCCACCAGCTGCGAGTGGTCCACGGCACCGGCACCGGCAATCACCATGCGCGGGGCAGTGTAGTGCGTGGCGATGTAGTCCTGCAGGTCCGACTTCTTGAGGTTGCGGATCTGAAGTAGCAACAACAGCAACAGTCAGTCAGTGGATCGGTCAATCAGGACTCGCTCTCAAGCACCTCTGCCCGCTAATCTTTCTGCACCACGTACGTTCTCAATGGGGCCGAGGATGGTGCGGCCGAGGCCGTTGCCCATGAAGGCGGTCTCGTGCAGGCGGTCGAAGACGACCTCCTCCTGCTGCTTGTTGACCTCCTCCATCTCGCGGAGAATTACGTCGCGCTCGCGCTCGATGGCGGCTTCGTCCAGCTTGGAGTTCTGCAGGATGTCGCTGAGGATGTCCATGGCGCGGGGCACGTCCTTCTTGAAAACCTTGGCGTAGTACACCGTCTGCTCGCGGCTCGTGTAGGCGTTGAGGTGGCCGCCCATGTTCTCGATCTCGAGCTCCAGCTGCTGCTGCGTGCGCTTGCTCGTGCCCTTGAAGGCCATGTGCTCCAGGAAGTGGGCAGCGCCGTTGTTCTGCGTGGTCTCGTATCGCGAGCCGGCGCCGATCCACACGCCGACGGTGGCCGTCTCGCCGTGCGAGCCCTCCGAGGCCACGCGCAGGCCGCTGGGCAGCGTCGTCACCTCCGTGGCGGGCGCGTTCAGCACGTACGATGGGTAGTTGGACACGGCCGCCGCCACCGACGACTGCGCGCGGGTGAGCGGCTGGCGCACGAGGCTCAGCTTGGACATCATCTTGCCGACTTCTGGGGGGCGGGCGGGCTACGGTTTGTTTGCTTCGCTTCCAGGCTACGAATGGGGAGACCACCAGTATGCGCTGGAGACCTCACGTTTGGAAGACCGAATTTCCGAATTTTGAGATAGAATTCATAAAAACGCGAAGTCCCCCCCCTTGTGCTCTCAACCCTCCAACGCGCAGCATACTAAAACCAGGCTGCGGAGTTGGGGTTGGCGATGTGTGATGGGTAGCGTTTGGCTGGTTTTCTAATCTGCGCTCAGCAGGCCGAGGCAAAGACAGAAAATGCTGGCGAAAGCTGCTGCTTCTGGTGGTGTTGCTACTCAAGTCTTGCTTGAGTCAAGATGTCATTCTCGGTGGAGGCATGACCTTACCCAATGTTGAAAAGCGACGTTATGTACGCTAGCAACTTCCATTTTAACTTAACCAAGCTAACCTTGCGAAAATCATCGCAAAATATGGCAATACGGCAATTAACCGTGCAGGGAACAAGTGACATGTTCTCCACTTGCTGCTACCGACCACGAGGAAACTTCCGGTTGAACGAAATTGGAATGCATTAGAGTACATGCGGCTCGCCTACATGTAACTAGCTCAGTGCAAGAACATCTCATTTAGTTGGATAGAACCGCACTGCCGGGCGCCGAGTGTACAATGTAGAAGGTGTTGTGCGAAGTAAAACGAAGTACCCGGGGGTTCGTGCTCGAGTTCAGCATTGTAACGCTGCGAGAAATAGCAGAAGGCATTTCTTTGACTACGACGCAGATACTTATAGGCAGATAAGTTATGGGAACTTCGAGCGACGGCGACTCGACCCTAGGGTCCCAGGAGCCGGCCCACTGGTAAGCAGACTGGAATCTCTAGGCTGTCTCCACCGCGAGAGCTATAGAAAAATGATGACCAGGTGGTCCTGGTCGAGTGCCAGGCACCACTAATAATGTAGTCACCGCCTAACAGACTCTTGCCGCAAGCATGACGGTAAAAGCTGCAACCTGTATGCCAATCAGCAGTCGCGACTAGCGAGTATCAGGTCGGAATCAGGCGACATCAACTTTGGATTCATTTCAATTCAATTCGTAATTTCCCGACCATGGGGTCGACCGCAGACTCCCGCGCGGGCATCCGCGTGTGCGCGCGCTTCCGGCCGCAAAACAAGCTGGAGCAGACGCACCAGGCCGTGGAGTGCGTGCGCCTGCAGGACGGCACCGCCGCGCACGTGCACAGCGAGGCCCGCGGCGTGTCGGACGACCACACTTTCACGTTTGACCAGGTCTTCGGCACTTCGTCCTCACAACTGGAAGTGTACGAGGCGACCGCCAAACCGCTGGTGGAGTCCGCTCTACGCGGCTACAACTGCACATGCTTCGTATACGGCCAGACGGGCTCGGGCAAGACCTTCTCGATGGAGGGCGTGCCCGGGGACGCCGACTTTGAGGGTATCATCCCGCGCGTCATGGCCGACATCTTCGACGGCATCCAGAACATGCAGGCAGACCTCGAGTTCATTGTGCGGGTTTCGTACATTGAGATCTACATGGAGAAAATCCGCGACCTGCTGAAGCCAACGTCGACAAACTTAAACGTCCGCGAGAGTCGCGAGCGAGGTGTGTGGATCGCGGGCGCGACGGAGGTTTGCTGTGCCTCAGTGGAGGAAATGCAGGAGGTCATGCGTTTGGGGGGAGCCAACCGAGTTATTTCGTCTACGAGGATGAACAATGAATCCAGTCGTAGTCACTCTGTATTCATCATCACTATTGAGCAACGGAACATGGCGACTGGGTCGATGAAGAGTGGAAAGCTGTTCCTGGTGGATTTAGCTGGATCGGAGAAGGTTGGAAAGACCCACGCCAAAGGTCAAACGCTGAAGGAGGCACAGCACATCAACAAATCGCTGAGCGCGCTGGGGAGTGTAATGAATGCCTTGACTAGTGGTCATTCTGGCATGCACATCCCGTACCGCGACTCCAAACTCACTCGGCTGCTGCAAGACTCACTAGGAGGAAACTCCGAGACGACTCTCCTCGTCTGTGCTAGCTCGAGTAGCTATAACAGCGAGGAGACAATATCCACTTTGCGGTTTGGCACTCGCGCGAAGAACATCAAGAATAAGCCGAAGGTGAACGAAGAACGAACCGTGGCAGAGTACAAGATCCTTGTCGCTGAAAAGGACAGGCGCATAGCTTCGTTGGAGGCTTTACTTCGCGAGGCTAAGCGCGACGCCATTGAACCAGCAGAGTCTACAGTGGAAGAGCAACTGAAAGTTTTCGCGGCCAAAGTGGAGGAGCTTGAAGACGACCAGGCTTCCAAGGCAGCTGAATTATCCAGTCTGGAGGACAGGTGTGCTGAACTCGAAACCCAGAACAAACAGCTCCTGGAAAAAGAGCAAGAAGTTGCTTCGATCGTGAGCCGAAATGAAGACTTCTCGAAAAAGGTGACGTTTTTGGAAAGCGAATTGGAGGCCAAGGCAAAAGAATGTGAAGACCTCAGCCTGATGTTAGCAAGACGCCGAACTACGGTCGAGGCGCCGCCATTATCGAGTGATAGCATGTCCTCGGAGTTGGCTTCAATCGAGGGAGGCGAAGCATCATCTGTGCCCATATCGCCGGAACGATCACGCGCATGTAGCTCAGCAATGGAAAATGAACTTCTTCGGCAGCAGCTGGCGGCGAAGACAAACGAGCTCAAAATTTGCACGCAGCGTGTTGATGAACTCACAAAAGAGTTGACACGTTCTCGCAGTGAATACGACTCCCAGGTTGAGCTGTTGCAACACAAGCTCCGTGAATTCGATGCCCATCTGCAAGGTCTTGGAAATCCAGCCGCACCGATGGATGCGGTGGGTGCGAAAACCAAGATGCTACGCTCCGTTCGTGGTGGAAGCCGAACCTCTCTCCTGGGTAGACGGTCAATTTCGCAAGACACAACAAGACTTTCCAGCGTTAGTTCCATCCATCGCCAAGACAGCACGGGGTCAGCGAGTTCGCAAAGTGAGTGGAAGTTGGATGATGAAGTGTTCCCAGTTGCACCGATCGATATGGATTCGGAGGTTGTGCAGCGACTAATTCGCAGCATGCCTGAGAAGGGCCGAGAGAAGATTTCGAAATGGTTGGGTTTCGTGCTCGAAGGACGTGACATCCGATCCAATTTCCACCCTGAGGTTTCAATTGAAAGTCTCAACGAAGAAGTGAACCGCGATATACGGCGGTTGATTGTTCCGCTGCTGAAGAACCGCCGTGATCTTAACGTCCAGCTGTATGTCCGCACACGATACGTTCCCGTGTCGGACCTGAAGATCACGCTTGATCATAAACACAAGGATGAAATGCGTCTTGAAGCCTCGAGTGACAACGGAACTAGTGAAGGCACTTCTGCATCTCCCAGTTCATCGCTGTTGTGGGCGAAAGATCATCTCTTCTACGGGCCAAAGAGCGACGCTTCCAGTCCGTCGGTGCTTCATGCAAGCCGAAAACTCGCTCCGTCGAAAGACCGGTTCATATCGGAACCGATCGACCTCGGTGCCAGTATGACCGGGTCCAGATCGATGTTGCCGTCATCCCGTACCGCCCAGAAGTTGAGTCGAAAGGCCTCACTTCCGTTTGATTCATTTCATGCTTCGGGATCCGGTCCTGGTAGCGGGGGAGTATTTAGCCGAAGACTGAAGACTGGAATGGGTGCAGTGCTTGGCGACGTGAAGACCAAGCTTAATGCTCGATACCACAAGAACCATGTTCACGAAGATGCTCTCTGCAATGGCTGTGGAATAAGCCCCATCGTTGGAGCAAAGTGGAGCTGTAGCACCTGCGTGAACTATGAGCTGTGCACCAGTTGCTACTCTGCTGGCACTCATGGGTTTGAGGTCAACAACGAGATGTGTCGACGAGTTGAACAACTCGCGGTTCAGAAGCACCGCTTGCTCGGAGAGTATCCCGAGCTGTTTGAACTATTTCGCCGTCACGTTTGCAACGATAACGTGATCCAATTTCGGCGAATTGTGGAGTGGCTGAGCGCTATTGTATCTGGACGAGCACGCTCGGGCGAGATTTACCATAAGATGATCGTGAAAAGCGGTTTGCACCCGGACATTCGAGCCCGACTAGTAGCTCAGCTCGGGGCGCTAGCTAGCCAACGCACCGACATCTCGTTGAAGACAGAATGGTTTACGGAGAGCACAGCAGATGAAGACTCCGATGGCAGTCAAGAGTCCGAACCAACGGAGCCCGCGCCCGCCGAGCTAGCTGGGGACATGCTGTCGACCTTTAGCCCGCCGGACGTTAAATTGGAGACGCTGCGAATGTATGTAATGGACGCGTCCAACTCGAAGCAAGGCAGCGAGCCGGTAGCAACAGCAGCGCTATCGGACCTGCTGGACCCGACGGCAACCGACCCGCCATCATTGAGGCGAACTGTGAGCGAAGCGTCCGCGAACAGCGATCATGACGAAGTGCGACAGCTACCAGACATGCAGCGCAAGCGGTCTCTGGATCTGCCCACGTACGGCCGCCAGCAGGTCAAGTCGATCACCCGCCTGAACCTGTGAGCGCCTTAACTGTAATACATGTTGTGGCGTTCGTCTACCTACCTAGGTACTTACTTGGCCACTCCCTGCAGCGGAGACAATTGGCGCTTTGGACCTCAGCGGCAGTGGAGATGCTCAAATGCGCGAAGAAATGCGTACAAATGTGACGTGGCAACGCCTCCTCTCATGTTTGGCTGTACCACCAAGATACAGCTCATGGGCGGCCGCGCCGGAGTCCCGAGGAGCGCCAAGCGCGCCGGCAAGGCTGGAGGAAGCTGTCACTATGTGACTCATTCGAGCAAGGCAAAGTCTGCTTGGTGGCGTGCTTCAAATCGTGCTCTCGAATCCTCACGTCTGGATCAGGTCCGAGTTCTTTCGCTTCGACTCACGAATGCGAAAACAAAGCATGGTGCTGCCCAGGTACATGCCCGGCAAGGTCTGGCCGCCCTCGCCAAAATGGGGCTCGCGCAAACGCGCGTCTGCGCCCTGCAAGTCTACAGCTACAGCTTTGGCAACAAGCTACGGTATCCTCCATGAAACGAGAAAGAAACTGATACATTAACCGGCACGCTGCCTTCCTAGCTCGCATCCCGTTTTATTCCTCCGAGATGCTGAGCGAATGGCGACGATAGAGAGGTCAAGAGGACGACGCTTGCTGCCAAGCAGCGATTAAACCTTCTCGATGGCAGACGGTCGGCGGGTTGGATACGCAATGCGCCTAGGGGCAGGCCTTGCTGCACTCGGCCACGAACTCGCGCTGCTGCGTGGACAGGCCCCACACGGGCGCGCCCCGGATGAGCAACCGCTGGATGAGCGTCTCCTCCTCGCTGGCGATCCGCGCGAGCGCCTGCTTCTGCTCCTCGGCGGCGAGCGAGGCCTTCTGCGCCTCCCACTGCTGCATGAGCTGCTGCAGCTTGGTCAGGTCCTGGGGCTCGGCGCGCGCGCCCGGGCTGAACTTGGAGGTGGCCTCGGAGCGCGTCTTGGCCGAGCCGTAGAAGCCGCCCTGGCCCTCCGAGGGCTGGCCGCCCGAGTACGTGGTCAGCGCGCGCGCGGAGCGAACGCGGCCCGAGGCGGCGGCGGCGCGGCGGCAGGTCTTGAGCACGGCGGACTGCATGGTGGCTTGGGACGGAGTGGGGGCTTGATACGCAGCTTCTGCACGGACGCGGTCGAAAGCGGAAATGCGCTGGCGCGGGTGGTGTTGCCGCTGCAACAAGATTCACGGAGCCGGATGGGAGCCGGATGGGGTTTCCATGTACGCTCGCTCGCACCAGAATTTGGCTGGAAAACACCACCAGACTCGGAACCTGACCTGGAATATCATGTACCTTAAGAACAGATATCTGCACAAGACGGTAACTGTTTTTACGACCTCTGTATTTGAATAATGTGGTAGTATTTTGCGAAAGACATGTTGTGCACACTAGGAGCATTTCCGATACTATGTGCTATTTTGGCCGGGACGTGGACCAATCACAGGCGAGTGACGCGTCCCTTTGGCGATGCGCAGGCTTGTCTCACGCACACTGGGCCCAAATGGGCAGGAAAAGGGCCGCCAAAAAGGGTGCAAAAGCCGGCTAATTTTGCTGGGCCAAGGCATCTACCGTGGAATCTTTACTAGACGGATGAAGCTTTAACGCTCCGTAAGAATGCATGACAGAACATCACCTATTTTAGAAGAAAGCGCATATTTCCCAGCAATTTTGTTTTCTTAGATACTGTCTGACAAGGCTACGTGACAAGCATCTTTTTTTATATTGCTTGGGTAATTGTCACGTGGCCTTGTCGAACAGTATCTAATTTATCTTGCGCCAGCGAGTTCGGTAGTACCTGGCGCTGGTTTGTGAGTCTTACTCCTTTTTCATAGCAAGTTTTCAAGATAGTTTTAAAAGTAAGCGCCGGCGAATGGTCCGAACTGCTTTTCTCTTGGCGAGTAGCCGCGGGTTGGACCGACAGCGTACAGAGCCACTTCTGGCACGGTCAGCCGCTTTTTGTATCGTGGCGTTGCACGACTTCAACATAAGATTTTCTGCTTGGAAAATGGGTCCCTTTTACCCATTTCGCCTCAACGCGCCCAAAACGAAAACGCGGGCCGCTTGAAGTTGTCAGATGCCTCCGCCGACGCAGGCCGCGCCGAGCTGCGAGGCGCCGCGTTGGTCGCTGTCGAGCCACGTGGTGGCGCTCGTCGCCGCCGTGGGCGTGGCGCTGCTCGCGACCGCCTGGACGTCGCCCGACTGGCTGCCGCCCGACCGCGGCGTCTCGACGTCGACGGAATCCGCCCAGCCGCTGACTGCGCTATCCAAGGACGACCCGCTCGTGGACAAGTACGAGAGCGATGTGGTGAAGATCGCCACGCACCCACCGCTCGCCGCTGCTGCTGCAGGTTGGACTTGCGCCGATTTCCTGCCTGCGGACGAGGGGTTGACGCACATGGAGCAGGTGCTGGGCCAGGAGCAGCAGCTTCGAGCTCAGGGCCGAGTCTTCCTCATGCTGAACGGGGAGAACGACGGGGTCTACGTGCCATGGACACACCTCCAGGATGGGGAGGCGTGCCTCTTTGAGCTCGCTCAGACGGCGGTGCTGCATCTAGGAGCCGACGCTGACCGCGTGGCCAACGGGCTGAGCCTCTTCTCCGTCGACGGCCTGCCGATCTTAACGGCAAACGAGCTGGATAGACAGCGCGTTGCGCATGTGCTCCTGGATGGACAGCTATGGGTCTGGCCTGGAATCAAGGTGGGCTACGTGCGCGAGATCGAGGGGTGCACTGTCACGACCCAGTCGCTGCGCCCGAAGGTGTTCACGGTCGAAGGCTTCTTCACACAGGAGGAAGCGGACGCCATCATCGCCGAGGGCATCGATCATCTTTCGCGCTCTCCAGTCGACAGTGTCGACGCAGAAGATGGCTACCACTCAGACCGAACAAGCTTCACGGCGTTCCTGGACGACAGCCACTTCACGCGAGACTTCCGCGAGCGATCAGCGCGGATCGCCCGCCTCCCGTCTCCTGGCTATACAGAGAGGCTGCAGCTTGTGAGGTACGAAACAGGTCAGTTCTTCCGCAAGCACGAGGACTATTTTGACTCGAAAGAGTTTGTACCAAGCAAGCACTTGGCTGCTGGCGAGTTCGTGGAATGGACTCATTGGGCCTCGTCCAAAATCGAGGAGCTCCGCCAGGAGCATGGCGACGATGTCGTCCCAGTTGAGTTCCTACCTGGTGGTGCAATGTTCCCGCATGCCAAGAGTACAGCGGTATTTCAGCAAGCGCTGCTGAGAGGTTTCATGGAAGACGCTCAAGCGACCGACTTCTTCTGGGAGCACGCAGACATGGCGTGGGGGGATTGGATTGACGAGAATCTTGAACGTGGAGCAGACGACATCATGGGCCCAATTTTGGAGAGCAAGGGCTACATGCTGCCGTTCATCGTTGCGTCGTGGGAGAAGCGTGTGGGGCTTGCTGCTTTGGTGTACTCTTTCCCAAAGTTGCTTGTTAGTGGCGTCACGCATTACTTTCGATGGATACGCTGGGCGAAGGAACGTGTGCAGACGCTGATGGACACAGATATCGAAGCTGTTCCGAAGAGTGTGAGACCTGAAGGGCAAGACTATCCGACGTTTTACATGAGTTTCCAGAACCGCATGGCCAACTACCTGCTCGAAGACTACAGTCAAGAGCAACTTGTCGAGGCGCTTTCCAACGAGTTGTATACGTGGCTTGTGGAAAACAAAGACAATAAAGACGTTTTGCTTGAGGTTCTGCGCCAAAGCTCCCGTGGATTCGACCTAGTTCTGGAGGCTTGGACCAAGCGAGCTGGCGGCCAATTTGCCTACGAGAAGCCCAAGCACTTGCACCACTTCGAGCCGAATCGGTTCGCAACACTTTTCTTGTACTTGAACGACTGCCCCGAAGGTGGCGAGACAGTATTCCCGTATTCGAAAGAGCGTCTGGTGACTGGGATCGAGCGTGAAGGGATGGACGAGTGCTCCGAGGGGCTCGCAGTGCCGCCCGTGAAGCTCACGGCGTCGTTGTTCTACTCGCAGACGCCGATGAACGACCTGGATCCGAGTAGTCTTCACGGCGGCTGTCCTCCGGCGAAGGGCATCAAATGTACGTTGCCACGCCCTGTGCTTAATTTCGTGCACTCACCTTTTACTAACGTTAAATACCAATTGTCGTACCTCTGTAGATGGAGCCAATTCGTTCATGTGGAATGCCGACGCCGATGAGGGCGCCAATGCGTGGGGGATGTCTGAGGACTTCAAAGCGCAGCCGTAATTTAGATGTAAGCTTAGTTCTGTCTGTCATCAGGACCAAGCCTATAGAAATTCGCAAATAATGCACAAAGTCCTGCATTCTGACCCATATAAAAAGCTTCAACCGCCAAAGACGCTGGTGCACTGCACAACACACATTCGACACCATGGGGCACACGGCTAGCGTCAATCGGCAGCGCCGCAGCTCGACAGGGACGCTGTATGGAGAGCCGGCGGGTGCGACTGCGGCCCCGCGCGGGAGCTACACGCCGGCGCAGATGCAGGCGCTGTATCTGAGCCGAGGGCGGCCGGACATGGCCTTCATGTCCAATCAGGGGCGTCTCCCCGTTGAGGTGCCAGAGCTGCAGCAGACGTGCACTGTCAAGAACCACGTGAACCTCAAGAAGGCCAGCCTCAAGCTGCAGCAGTCGCCCACCGACCCAAATCACTACGCGCTGGAGTTCCAGTTCGATGCCACCAAGCCCTGTCGCATCAGTGTCTTCTTGGTGGCAACGGAGACCATCAACGCGGACACTGGCAGCTCCAGCTTTGCCTTGGTTCACGCCGACAAGAACCCCGTGCTGGCCCAGCACTTCCCTTCAGGCTTGGGCCAGATCTTCGTGCTGAAGGAAGGAGAGACAGAAGACGATGCGTCCAAGGAAGAGGAACACGAGAAGCACGAGCAGCCTTTGCCTCTCTTGAACTTCTCGATGTACGACCCTGACGAGCTGGTGTACAAACCCGGCGCAGTGCAGTTCCCATTGATCGTTGTGCTGGAAGTGTCATCGGACAGTGAGTGCGCGTGGAATTGATGCACTCGTTGTTGCTGGATCTCAATTCTAACCCGTGCATTGCTTGATATCTAGGGAAACGCCCTCAGTCCCAGTCAACATTCTGCACGTTTGTCAAGAAAGGGGAGAACACTTGGGACGTCAAGATGCTCAAGCAAAAGATTCTGGTACGAGCATAGACAACTTTTTATGGGTTTTGTTATGTTTGAAGCGCTGACCGCGGTTTGTTGCGTGTAGGTGGATGGATTGACATACGAGTTGCAGGAGATTTACGGCATCGATGGTATGGTGGCTGCAGCACCAAAGACTGAACGCACTGGCGCAGCAGGCGAAGGCACCATCGACGCAGCTCAGGCACCCAAGGATGAAATTGAGATTCCCGAAGGCGCAGAGTGTATCATTTGCTTGTGTGAGCCGCGGAACACGACCATTTTGCCGTGCCGGCACATGTGTCTCTGCAGTGAGTGTGCTGAGGCGCTGCGTAAGAGTTCAAGCACGTGCCCAATCTGCCGGACGCGTGTCGAAGCACTGCTGCAGATTCGCGTGGAGGCGAAGGAGACTACGACCACGGAATCTGAGGAAGATACTAAGGCCGAAGTAGACGAAAACAAGTGAGCGTGCGTACTAAAGCAAAGCAGGTCATTTATGAATACAATAGTTTCGAGAACAATTGGAACTGAACCACGCTAAGCTTTGACCACGTGTGATGAAATTCATTCTGGTAGACGGAACAGGCAGTCGCTCGAAGATAACGAAAGAATTTATCAAGTCTTACTGTTTTCCTTCCTACCTCATCCTTGTCGTTTCGAAGCGTGCTGAACCACCGGAACCAGAAGTTACCCACGGCTTCTGTCCGGTTGGATCTTCACACTCAGGTCGGACTCTCTATCTTTTGCAAATCTCGTCGTCGTGGATGGCATCACGGCAGTGCAGCTGGATTTCACGCCTTGATTTTTGTTTGTTTTGGCTGAATATCTTGTACAAATAGTGGTGGCGCGTGGCGGTGCGTGCTTGGCGGTGAAAAGACTCGACAAAGGCGTTTGATTAGCTTGTCGCTAACTGTGTGCCTTCATTGTCGATTAGTTACACCAAAACACATGCAGATAATACGTTACTGTCGCACCGCATCCCCTCCGCTGCTCACACTTGTGCTCGTGCTCCATCTTGCAGACTAGATTAACTGATGCCGCTTCGAACCCCCGTGGCGAAGGGGCTGCCCGTAGTCAGCTAGTTGTTCTTTCTCCACATTCCCTTCATCTACGATTCAGAAATGAAAGTCAGTAAAATGGACTCAACCGCGGCGAGGACTTACCACGATGCACACCTTTTGACTTACCAGGTTGGCGACTTGCTCGGGGGCGTCACGCAGACGGTTTCCCGATGTCGACGGAGTCGAGCTGACATCACCCGTTGGGCCGTAGTAAGGGCTGCTCTGGCCTTTGGCAGGGTAGCCACCGCGCGTAGATCTTGGTGCCTCCTCCACCTTGGCGTTGAGGTCTCCTGACGATTGGGACTGGAAATCTGCTAGCGTTGGCTGACGACCGTTACGACTCGAAGGAGGGGGGCTGCCACCGCTTCCAGCGCTGTTATTGTCTCCTCGCCGTTTGGGACTCTGAGATCCGCCATGGCTAAAGTTGTTGTCTGCGCTGGAGTTGGAATCATCTGAAGTTGTAGGAGATCCGACCTTGGCAGGATTGTAGGAAAGCTTGCGAGTCATCATCTCCACCATTTGTTCCCGCTTCTTCAGCTCGCTTTCGCGGCGCATGTAGTCCACCTCCAGCTCTGTACGCAAAAAATCATTAGCAGTTGGTCATGATTAAAAATATGCACGAGTTCGTACCTTTCAGCTTCTTCTCACGAGCCATCAGAGCAGCTTCCTGGCGACGGAGATCTTCCTCGATGCCTAACAGCTCCTTCATCTTCTGGTTGTAAGACGTCTGCAAGTTCTGATCAGCAGCGGGCTGCGGGGCGTTCGCCGCAGCGTACGCACGTAATCTCTGCTGCAGCTGTGGGACGCGCTCCAGGTCCTCGATTCTCGGTCGTCGCGAGCGTTGCCTGTGCAGCATCCACCGGATAACCTGGAAGAGACCCTCGGAGTACTGCGACGGAATGCGCGTGAACTTGCCAGCGTTAATCTTCTTCGCCAGTGCCAACTGATTTGTCGCATCGAACGGGGGGCCTAGCGTGGCCATCTCGTACAGCAGACATCCCAGAGCCCAAATGTCTGAACGGTCGTCGTAGGTCATCTCATTCACCATTTCGGGACTCATGTAGTAGGGCGTGCCGACGTTTGTCTGCGCGAAGCGAGACTCGCTGCTGAGCTCCTTGGCGAGACCAAAGTCACCGAGCTTGGCGTTGTTCTGTGCATTAGTAAAAAGGGAGTGAGACACAGTGTAGACAACAAAAAATCCTGCATTGCAGTCGTACGTTGGAGTCTAGGAAAATGTTGCCGGGCTTGATGTCACGGTGAAGAATGGGCCGGATGGCGTTGCCTTCGCGGTGACGGTGGCACTCCTTCAGCGCCAAGAAAATGTGCGTGAAAATGTGCCAGATGAAGCCCTCCTCGATGTAGGAGCTACAGTGACAAAGGCATCAAGTCAGATTTCACACACTGAACCATGATGCAAGATGCTGCTCTTGAGATAGACATCCGGACGTGACGTGCCAACGTACCCTTCACGCTTTTTCCTCTTAATGAACTGACCCAGATCACCGCCCTCGCAGTACTCCATGACGATGTAAATCTTGGTGGCCTGCTTGTCGATCACTCGGTCCAGGTAGCGCACAATGTGCGGGTGACGCAGCTCACGAAGAATGTTCACCTGCAGCACCCAACCCACAGAATTATCAGTTTACGTCCCAAAAAGAGTCTGCTCCACCTGTAGACGAAGCACGACGCACCTCGCTGACGATGAGCTGCTTCTCCTTCTCGCTCATGGCGCCGTAGTTGACTTCCTTCCACACCAGCATCTGCGACGCACACACACATATCAGTACGCCGCCCCCACCGAACGGTTGGAAGTCGTATTTGCCTGTCGCAGCTCACCTTGCGGTCGGACTTGCGCACGATCTGCGTGACGACGCCGAAGGAGCCCTTGCCGATGATGCGGACCTGCTCGTAGGCGTCCATGGCGGCTGGCTAGCTGCGGCTGTGGCTGTGGAGGGGAGTTAGGTCTTCTCCGCGCAGGGAGGAGGGGGCAATGGCCGTGCCTTCGGGTAACGCGAGGGACCGGAGAGAGCGCGACGGAAGGAGCGACACTGACGACGCCCGCCAACTCGTCTTCTCCTCTCGCTGTTCTTCGGTTTGTGGGCTTTTATCTGCGCGGCAAACGCCAGCCAACTCTCCCCCCCTTTGTTACTCCCCGGTAGCCAACTATTAATTCCCCTTTTCCACGTAGCATACTGAAACCCAGTCACGATTCTAAGCGAGGAAGGACGAGATGTGGTAAATCACCGAGAGGTCGCATGCCTAGAAAAAAATGTCAGCGGGTAGACGTCTTCCATGCATTCGAAACAGGGCGCCCAGTACCTCAATGTAGTGCATGTTGGCTCCCCAAATGCCGAGTTGCTGGGGGGGATTGCACGCCGAGATGGCGCGTTACCAATGATCCGGCGTTTCCTGTCGTTTCAGACGGTCTGTTTACAACGCCACACCGCCACGGTACTGCCGCCGTGACCGTTCGCGTGACTTCCCGGATTCATTGGCTCACCGGTATAGGCAAGTCAGTTCAAAAAGCCAGCCGCGCCACGGCCATCGTTGCCGTGCAAAGCCAACACAAGAGGCGGAAGAGAAAGTCGGGATCGCTGCTCGTTCGTCTGCCCGACAGATAACCCGAAATGCGCGGCGCGGATCGCGTCTCGCCTCGAGCTCTGAGCGCGGACACATATGCTGCGGCTGCAACGCGTCGACCCTGGTTTCCAGTACATCATCATCGGGCTCCCGAGCAGCCAGCGGGCCTCACACGCCTGAAGATGCAGCCGCAAAATGAAATGGCTACGCGCTTTGCGATCCGCGATAGCTTGCATTTGAAACGCACAAACGCTGTACTTTGGCCGTCGCACCGCAATTGTGACCGCAACGTTGCCGACAGCAGAGGAACTTTGGGTTAAACGTTGCCGCAGCGAACGGGGTAAGTATGCACCAACGTACTTTTACTTCCAATCGCTTATGCATAAAAACCTCGTAAGGAATGGAGGTGTGTCTACGTGCCGAGGATCGGCGTGTAGCTATTTACGCCTCGCTCCATGTTTCGTAAGACCGGTGGCGTTGTTGCGGAACGCCTCAGATGACTGTTGAGGCGGATGGGGTTGTAGTGCATGTGCAACCTGGTCAAACCTAGATCATTTGGCACCACAATCGTTATATACGTAGCGGGTGAGAGGCACTGTACAACTCATACTGGTAGTAGGGCTTCAAAGTTGTTGATGGTCTCGAAAGCCTCATCGAAAAAGTTACTGCGATGCAACATTCGTGTCCCGTACTACTATCCCTTCATGTGCATACTCCTTCAGTCACTACCGATTACTCAAACGGCAATTTTCGTACGGCTCCGTTATCGATAACGGACTCTCTGGAGTGTTTCTCTTGATGCATCGCACTTCCATAAGTAGTGGTCTAGCGAAGTCACGGCAATATTAGGGCGGCTTTGCTTCGTAAGTTGTTTTGCTATCTTCATCACAACGCGAAGCTCACCAGCTTCAGTTCGCACAAAACGGTTAAAGAACGAACTCAGTCGAGACTACTCGTCGAATGTCAATATAATACCGCTCTTGTATTTCAGTTTCAGAGAAGCTTTACACAATGTAGATGCAAACACAGATTAGTGCTCCGCAGCCAGCAGTGCCTCGTTGTCGAGGGCGTCCTCGTCCAACATGAGCGAGACCCTTCTCTTCGTGGCGTTTGTGTGGTTAAGAATGGACCCGTTTTGGTAGTCCACCACATTGAGCGCAATGCCCACGAGGCTGCCCAAGACGCCAAACGACACGAAGAGCAACTCCACGCCAGGAATGTACCGATCATCGTGGTTGAACTCAGCAGCCACTGCCAGCGGAAATAGTGCGAGCCCAATATTCTGTGGCAAACAGATACCGAAAAACGCAAGCATTTGCTTAGTATCGAGTAGATTTTTCAAATGCCGCATGGCCCAGCCATTGTACAAACCTGGATCGCAGTGATCGCTCCATATGCAGTACCGACGTGCTTCGCCTCCACCACGTCTGCACAAACGCAAATAACGCAAATGAAGTAAGTAACCAAACAAGGTGAAGATTCATAGAGCCCAACCACTTCAACCCATCGGGTACTTACACGGAACGGACGGCCACAGTGCTGCGGCGAACACGCTGTAGGCGACGCCTTGAAGCACCAGCGGCACGTAGAGACTTACCTGAGTCAGTCCGAGCATGACGTGGACCGCGGTCAGCGCGACCGGAGCCACTAGCGCCAAAAACGCGCGAAGACCGATTCGGTCGACCACAAACCCGAGGAACGGAGAGATGACCGCACTAATAATGTACGGGATGGACATCGGAGTTGCAGCTTTCTGGGCCGCATCCATTTTCGTGGCACAGTATGTCTGCGTAAAAGGTCCAAGCCTCCAAGCTTCGTCGTCGCAATTGATCTTGTCTCCTTCAATTAGCGGAGGGGAAGTCGAGCAGTTCCATTGATCGAGCGGCTCTTTGATTGTGCAATTCGCTGACAACAACGGTAACGGCCACCCGTATGGAGGAACACTGGGGCACCCCGGTACAATCTCGGCGCAATCGATCTCGAAATCGTAAAGCCCTTCTCCGCATCGTCGGCACAGCTCAGGGGGCTCCTTGAAAAAGTCCCGCTCCATAAGAAGACTGCTCGCGACGTTGTTGAACGGGATCACGCAGCCATAAACCACCAGGCAGCTCAGCGCCAAGAGCCAAAAAGCTGGGCGGAAATGCTTGATATCACTGAAGTGGATGCTTTCAGCAGCCACTCCTGCCTCTTTCTGGTTCTCTTTCGTCAACTTTTCCGCTCGTTTGTCGATTGGTATCAGCAATAGCACCATGAAGGTAGACGCCAGACACATGATCACGCCCACCCACAGTGCCGTGGAAACGCTTGATGCTTGGGAGACAACAGGACTCAGTTCGTTATTGATGACGCTCCCCAGCCGCGCAACACTGAGGTTGATGCCCAATGCCAGCGCAAGTTCGCTGTTCTTGAACCACGAAGCGACGAGCGTTCCCTGAGCCACACCGAGACTTTCTCCGCCAAATCCAAACACCACGCGACCAAACTGAAGAAATGCAACAAGAAAACTGTCAGTTCCGTTGAACTAACATCCAACACAAAACGACAACGTTTGGCTTACCAGCATCAAGTTGAAGCTCGACAAGGAACAGCCCGTCGCGAAGATCAACTGCCCCGTCAAGATTGCCGTCGAGAAGGTGAACAGCATCACCCGCGCACCGAACCGATCCACCAAGACGCCCCCGAAGAACGGCAGCAGGATGTTGGGGATCGAGTACAACGTGTACAGCAAGTTCTGCAGGTAATATCAATGTGCAATTGGTTAATACTCTCTGTACCGCCCAGCAAATGCCGACATTTGTCGCTAGCATGCAGCAAGATCTCAGGTTTAAGACGTACGAAGAGGAACTCGTAGCGGTCCTTGGGGATGGTGTTGAAGTGCTGCTGCAGCTGGCTCTTGAGCGCCGCCGGGTTGTCGAAGCAGTAATAGTTGCCGATCATCAGCAGACACGACAGCAGCAGCACCAGCCACCGCACGCGCAGCTCGCTCTTCTCCATGGCTTCTCGAGGGGGGGGGGGGGAGGATGCGGCTCTGAGTCAGATCACCTTTTGGATTTGGCGTTTCGCCTAAGTACGATTGAAGTGACCATCACTCTTGACGTCTACTTCAACTTCAAGCTGCTTTGCAGCAGCTTGCTCCGCTTCCGCCACCACTTCTGGATGGTCGTGGCGTATGCGTTGTTCCACATCTGCGCTAAGATTTCCTGGCGTCGCTGGTCCTCCAGTCGGACCTTCAGCTCGTAGAATCTGGCTCGTGCCTGCTTAGCCCGATACGCGTTCTGCAGCAGCACCGCCGCAGCGGTTCTCCGCTTTGATACAGTCTCCACGCGCGTCCCAAAGCGCCGCATGAACTGAGTGTACCGAAAGAAATTGAACAGCACGTGGCTCGCTCGTGACAGTTTGTCGCGCTTCGCTTTGGCGCGGGCGATTCTTCTCCTCGTTCGCCGCATCCAGATCTGAATGGAGATCGCGGCATGATATCGAGCCAAATGATGACACCAAGCGATGAAGTCGCGTTTCTTCTCGAGATAATGTTTGAAAGCACGCGTTATCACACGTGCTGCACGTTGTTGCCTCCTCCAAACCGTACAGCGGACGCGGAAAAGGTACGAGTGGTAGTAGCGCTGGACCTGATGAGCAGCCCGGTTGTATGCCAAGAAGCGTCTTCTCCGCTTGAACATTTTTCGTGAAAGAAACCCTCTCCAACGAGCTTGAATCAATGTTGCAGCTCGATGTAGGTGATGAACAGCTGCAGCTTGCTTGCCTTTCACTCCGCGAAACCAACTTTGAATGTATACAGCAGCAGCGATGGCTTCGTACTCCCGTTGCTGTGCTATGGTAGCCATCCACTTGGCCCACAGACGAAAGACTAAAGATTGCAGTCTTGTGCGAGATCTTTGAAGAATCCATAGCGCGCATTTCCTTACCAGTCCAAGCCGTGTACACAACGAATTAGTCACTACAATTCCCTGTAGGAAGTAGAAGATGTAGACGTACAGGCGGCAAAATCTGCGGGCCTGTTGGTGACATTGTATCCACATCGTTTGCTGGCGCCAATACATAAAGCGCCGGTGAATGACTTGGTGGAGGTGTCTGCGGACAAATATCTGGGTAAATAAAGCGTGAGTTTGGCGAACCAATAAAGACACAGGTATGGAGTCCATACCAATAACTTTTCGGCAGCAAAATGCTTCCTCATGGCAGTGGATCGAACAACTTCCTCCATACAGTGATCTCGAACCCAATCTCGAATATCAAGTGGGCAACCATTTATCGACGGAGCTGTAGCAGCTATTGCATACACGGCAAAAATGACACTGTTAGCAGTGATCGATTAACTATTGTTGCCTGAATTCATACTGGTAGGCTTCGATGCTGTGTAGAGATTACCTGCTTTGCTGAGCATGCTACATTGATTTTCCAATTGAGGCCGGGGTTGCACTGTTGGTCTCTCGTAACGTTTGCGTACGGGCTTCACTCGTACTGCGGGTAAACGCTTTGTTCTTATCACCTCGGGGAGCATGCTGCTGCAAGTCCGCGAAATTGGCAACGTTCGACCGTGAACCCATAAATTCTGTGCAAGTCTATCACACAGCGAGACAGCAGACGCTTGAGAGTGATCAGGATGAGGATGGCACCACCCCCCTTGTTCACGAAGCATCGCTAGCGCCATTTCTAGCTCGATAACTTGATCATAGGACATCTGCGTTGCTCGCAGAAAGCTCGCGCTTTCTAACGTACAAGCAACATTCGGGCGTGCAAGAAGGAAGAGCACATCTTCCACTGCCAAGCATTTTCGGCGGAACTTGTCCTCCCAAAGAGTAAGGATATGCCCACGATAATTGTTGCCGATGGTGCCCAAGCTTGGTTGATTATCAGTATCGGCGGTGAGGACAGGTTGCTTGGAGAAAGGGTTGGCCAACGCGAAGGTATTGGAGGCAGCTACTGGTATTGGTGCCACAGAACCACTGCGCTTAAATCTGGTGTCGTGAATACTCGCTACAATGCGCTTCTTGCTGTCGGGAGTGTTCCGCTCGTATGATACGGGCTTCAGCAAGCATCTCGCCTCCCACAAATTCCTTTGCTCGGGTAGAACCTCGTTTAAGATGCCTGCTACACTCCATTCTGAGCCATTCAGCGCAGCAAGCTGCTCGATCAGATTGTAACCTATCACAACCATCATCCGTCAGTATGAGGCCTGAAGCTCGGCGATATATTCTCACGTTAAGTACCCGCTCGGTCAAACCTCCTACGACACCCACTCGCTTCAGTGTCTCCTTGTCGTTCTTGCATCTGGACCTTCACTGCAGTACTGACTTTGCTAATTTTGGTCACTCGAAATCTACTCGCACATTTAGCTCCTTGGCCTCCAACAACTCGAGAAGTTCGTGGCATTCATCTTCGCTCAAATACGGACGCAGGACGCGCAAGCCATCCATGTACAGCGCTTTGCTCCAGGCGCAGGCTGCGATCCCACGGTATAACACCTTTTTCGCTGCCTCCACCTTTCCGAGCGCAATCTCAAAGCGCATATACAGTCTCCAGCATAGCGCATTACCCTTTGTACGGATGTGGTTCACCATACTTTCAAACATTTGACGGATACGAGTGACTGTAGTGCTATTCATGCTCCACCGATGGAAGAGGCAGCACGTTGGCCGAGAGCAATTGTCATCGTCTGACTGCACAGGAAGGTACTTGACCGTCGCAGCTCGCTCAATGCGGCAAACTTCACAAAGCAGCGCAAACAACCACTCCACCAGTTCCGGGGAATCATAATGTCGCCGCCAGCGCTTTTCTACCCGAAGGAAGTAGTTGCGAAGCACTTGGGAGATCGTGTTACCCGTCTCAGCATCGACAAACAGCCGAAGAAATAACGCGTTGTTCGGAAACTTCTCAACTGCCTCACCAATGGAAGATCGCCACACTCGCGGAGCAACAACTGGAAAGAAACCTGAAGCTTGATGCTGCTGCATGAACTCCAGGAAACAAGTCCAAACCCATCTTACGTGTGAGCAGTCTTGGTCTTTAGAGTTGGCCAAAACTTGACGATACTCGTGGCAAGCCGCCTCAAAACCTTGATACGCATAAACCACCAGAGCCAAGTTATGTAAACAGTAGCCCACCGAGCAATCAGGTCGACAGTGTGACCCGCCGAAAGACTGTCGACAAGAATCGGTGCAACGTAGAATCGAGTATCTAAGCTCGACACGATATCGAGCGATGAGATCCGTTTCGGTCGATGGATCGGACGTCATAAGCTCCTGCAAGTAGCTGTGGAGCCGCTTTCGGTGTGTTTTCGCAATAGCATCAAGCGTTTCCCGCTCTTCCCCATTGTGCTGGTCTGGCTGCCACACATTCCACAGTATATACAGGGATCTTAAAACTCGAAGTTGGCCTTGATCACGAGTTGGCTTTCCACTTAGTTTCTTTTTGTCCTCCGCCAGAGGCCACAGTTCCGTTCGCGCGCGAAGAAACACAAAACGGTGAACATGATTTGTGTTGCTTGAGGATGGTGCACTTAGCGATGCAAGCGTGTTATCGCAAATTCGCCGCACCTGACGCTCATTCCCTAATTTATGTTCGAGCTTGGCGTAAGCGAACAGAACGTCAAAGCCTGCGTCATGATCAACGCTCTCCTGCGCCAATTTCTGGCTCAAACGACGAGCAAACGCCAACGAAGCTTCATCGACACCGGCTGCACGTGTAACCTCGGCTTCACAGCCAATCCACAAACACTTCAAGGTCCTTACGAACTTCTCGTCAACGCTTTGGAAGGAACTCAATGCTTGGGCGAACACTCCGCGAATAAAATCCACCTTGCTTGGGTCGCGTAGCATACTCTCCTTCACTTTAATGTCGTCAAGAAGCGCAGTCTGGAGGAGTGTTTTCCGGTCACATGGATCAAGAAACAACGCGTTCTTCGTGGAGTGATCTGGTTGTGGGCTGAGAGCCGACAAAATGGGATTCACGAGCAGCTCACAATCCGCAGCATCGTCTGCGTACATCCACTGACAATCTTGAAGACCGTTCAATTGATATTCACCACACCATTGGACACCGCATACATGAAGAAGCTGAACAACAAGTCGCCATCGGCACGACTCCGGTACAGTAAACAAAAACGGCTGGATTTCATCCGTCAATACGGCGCGATCAGGCTGCTGCTCAATAAGCTCCTGGTGAAGAGGATTGTTCGATTGCAAAGGAGCCCATTGCAACTGGGACTGGGCCTCTTCACGCATAAGCCATTTCATGAAATGGTCGTCTTCGCTAATAGCAGCGAAATCTGCGCGTTGGTCCTCCAGTTGTGTTTTCGTAGCTGCAAGCACTTGACGCCTCGCTTTTTCCTTTTCAATTAACTGGTCTTGTCGGGCACGCGCGCTTTCCGTGCCTCTCAACTCGCGTAAAATGCGCTCGTATTCTTTCGCGTCATCGGCATCATCAACGCTGATTCGATATCCATGCAGGTTGCTGTAAATAAGTCTACCACTTTGCCTTGAACCAGTCTCGGAGTCATCGCTTGGTACGGAATCAGCCAAGTGTGTGATCGAATCATGTCCATTCTCACTTTCCACTGATTTTGAGTTTGTCTTTGACTTGCGCTGATAGTCAGCAGAAGCAGACAAAAGGTTCTGCTTGTGTCCTTGACTTCGTATCGCTTCAGGGGGATTCACTTTGTCGAGTGAAGTAACGCAGCATGTTTGAATGTACTCCTCAAACCGAGCTCCAGATAGTTCTGGAGGTTCTAGCTCAAATACCCGTCTCACTCCATTACTCGTATCCCATTGCTCGTTGCCGAATCCCACCGAAGTACCCTCGTTCCAACGTGACCCAAAGTCTCGCAGCATTTCCAAGTGGTTCATATTATCGCCAGTCTTCTTCCTGGTGGCGTTCAGATTAAAATCAATTAACGCTTGAGTCTGAGCGATTGAGCGTTCGACGTAGTCTGCCTTTTTCTCAAATATGCACATGAGCATGTGAAAGTCGAGAAGTAATGCCGCCAGATCCAGTGACTTTGCGACAGGTGAGCCTTCGCCAGGCATTCCACCCCTTCCTGGAGCTCGGTTTGAAGGTTCCGTTGCTGTTTTCGCCTTTTTTTCAATCCCGGCTCTCAAAACAGTCAATATCCGCGCATACAGATCGCGCAAAGACTGCATCGAGAAGCTACCAAAGTGCTGCTGGCGACATTGAAGTAACTTGATCCATAGATCACTGTTGGTGAGATCTTCCGAAAGCAGGCTTTCCAACTGCTGCTGAAACGAGTCCGACGCAGCACCTTCACCGGGCAATTGAGTTTGCAACGTCATGTTCAGCTTCACCCGATGCAACCTTCGTGACTGAGGATTGCTGGCGAGGGCCTTTGACAAAATTGCAGCTTGTTTTTCCGCGACGCTCGCCTTCATAGCAGGATTAACCTTTTTTCCTCTGTTGTGAAGGCGAAGTGTCTCCTCTTGAAAGGCTATCAAGTCGAGCCACTTGTCGATGTCACGTGGATCTGCTGCTACCCCAGCATTAAGCAGCTTACTTCGTTCAACGAGATGCTGCTCCACACTTTGGCCGTCAGTTAGCATAACCTCGCTAGTAGCATCACTGGTGCTTGTGGTACGGCCAGGATCCTCATCGACTTCATGAGCCACGAGTTTATTGACGTCAACCACGGGGTCCAAAGGAATGAATGGCATCTCAGATAGACAGCTCGCAGCGACTTTTGCAGTATGGCCTGTTTGATCACCGCCATCACCTTGGTGCGAAGCCGCCGCGCGAGATAGTCTTTTTTCGGAGTAGGCAAGATACAGCCGCTTCCGTCGGCCATCCCTCTCCATTTTGCGTGCCTGGATGGAGAAATACCGGTCGGATTCTTGTTTGCCTTCTTGCTTGTCGGGCGTTTTGTTGAAATTAGGGCGTGTTGATGCTATCCAAGCACCCATGCGTAGATTCCGTCGCGTTGCCAGGTCATAGAGTGGCTGGTCGAGCACGTACGTTGATCCGAAGAAGCGATTCTCGCGGTCACCCACACAATCGAACTCGAAGAGTTTTTCCTTGTCTTGCGCCTCGTGCAGCGCCAGGGTTTTATCCGATTGGGTGACGATGCGGTTCTCATCCCTGTAGCTGCGTGATGGAGACCGAGACCGAGTACGAGACCGTGAGCGCGAGTTGCTGCGGCTGCGATGTCGACGCCGCCGTGAGTGATGCTTGGACTTGTGTGTATCGTCTTCATCGCAGCTATCCGACCGACTCCAGGACCTGCGGCGCTTCCTGTCCTTGCTTTTCTTCTTGTGTTTAGAGAGGTGGCGACCCTCGCGCTTCGTTACAGCACTAGACTCCTCGTTATGCCGCTTCTCCGTCTTGTGCTTCTTCTTCTCTTTGTGACGATGTTTATCACGCTTGTAAACTTGTAATGCTGACTCAGATGCCTCCGTCTTCTTGTGCTTCGCCTTGGATTTATCGTCGCCAGTGGCACTAGAGAAGCTCTTGCCAATGCTGAGCCAGTCTAGTAGAACGAAAATTAGGATCACAGTGTCGATTCGCCCCTGTAGGAGGGATTGCCTAACAAGCACCTTGACAACGCACCATCGTCCGCTTGAGCAGCGTCGCTGCCTCCAGCTCCGACCTCGGAGGAGCCGGCCGCTTGAGCAGCGTCGCTGCCTCCAGCTCCGACCTCGGAGGAGCCGGCCGCCGCCTTCCGACCTGCTGCGAACATGTTTGTGAATTGGTCCAATTGGATTGGCCAAATTATAGTCTCGACACATATTTTAGTCTCTCCTTGCACGCATTCAAGGGAAACATCAGCAAGTATGAGCGGTGAGAAGCTCGCAATGCAGCCGCCCGCGGACCTGTCGAACGAGGAGGAGGTGTCTGCGTACATTAAGCACAAGATCCGCGTGTTCAGCAACTTCCCCAAGCCCGGCGCAAACTTCAGCGATGTCACGTCGCTGCTCCTGGACCCCGTCGCCTTCCAGACGGCGATCGATGCGCTCAAGCTCCGGTACGCGGACCAGCAGATCACGCACGTGGTGAGCTGCGAGTCCAGAGGATTTATCTTCGGAGCGCCGCTGGCGCTGGCTCTGCAGGCCGCGTTCGTGCCCGTGCGTCGCGCGCGCAGGCTGCCGGGCGACGTTGTGGGCGTGGACTACGTGTCGGGCTTCTACACGGGCCGCATGGAGATCCACCAGGACGCCATCTCGGAGGGAGGGCGCGTGGTGATCATTGACGACCTCGTTGCGTCGGTGCGTCAGCTCGCGGAGAAAACACAAACTTGGTGCATTTTTCGCTAGTCGATGGCTTATGTTACTGTATTACTGTCTGCGGTGTTGCTTTTGCTGCCTGCAGGGCAACACTCTCAAGGTGACGGTCGAGCTCGTCGAAAAGCTCGGAGGCAAGGTGGTGGAGTGCGGCTGCGTGATCAACTCGTTGCGCTCGACGGTAGGTGCTGGACCACGAGGCATGTAATGTCATTCCGCCCCTAACTGACCACCGGATTTGCTGGTAATGTCATCCAGGAATCGCTGCAGAACATTCCTCTTTATGGCCTCACAGCAATGTGAGAACATGGACCTGAACGGCGCCAACAACGCCATTCAAAGGCGTCGAGGCTAGGCCGGCGAGAAATGAGTCGTAAATCACCTAGAGGTCCTTCGGCCACAGTGTGAGTACCGTACAGAGAGAGTGTGACCGGCTCCACCTTGAGCGCGTTTTGCCTGTTTCAAAAAATCCCAGTTCGTTTTGAATCCTCCAAACCTGTACGGTATTTATGCTGCTCAACTTCCACTACCAATAGTAAATGAATCACAAAGCGAACAGGTATAGTTGATATCCTGCCCTTTTCACGTAGCATTCGATATGAGAGGGGCGTCTGGCGCTTCCAAGATGCCAGAATCAAAAACCGAAAAAACCGCGAAGAGAGAAGCAGCCGTGAACCATGCCGCCCACCAAGCAGCGAATGCGCCAGCGCTTCGGGCCCAGCCAGGACTACCTGCTCGTCGTGCAGGTGAACACGGACCAGCCGTTCCGCGCGCCCTACGGCGGGCTCATGGCCGGCTGGGAGAAGGTCGCCACGACCCTCAACGGCTGCAGCGCCTTCAAGATGCACCACCTCAAGGGACCCATCGCCAAGAACCGCTTCGAGCGCCTCGTGGGGCGCCACCGCGAGTGGGTCAAGAACGGCAGCCACCCGGGGGACGCACCCTCGCAGGACGCCTCCTTCCAGAGCGTCATGGCCGAGCTTATTCCCAAGCTGGACGCCGCCGAGGCCGAACCGCCGTCGCAAAATCTGGGCAAGCGCGGCCGCCCCAGGAAGATCCGGCCGGAGGACGGACCCGCGGAGAAGAAGCCGGCACTGCAGGCCTCGCAGGTGGCTATTGCGCCGTCCCCGCTGGGTCCGCAGCCGTCGTCGTCGTCCACTTCCCTCCTCGTGGATTCCGAGGACCAGGCGCTGCCTATTGTGACCAAGGCCACCCGCCAACGGTTCACGCCCGGAGACGACCTCTTGCTCGTCAAGTACGTGAAGGAATCGCTGCCTTTCCGCGCCAAGTTTGGCGCGATCTCTTCGGCCTGGGAAGACGTGGCGAACAAGCTTGACAACAGCCCCGACTTCTCCAAGGACAATATTAAGGGCCCGATCGTTCGCTATCGCTTCGAGAACCTGGTGTCCAAGTACCGTGAGCGCGTCAAGCGCAACAGTGGGCGCGTTGTCGGCCCCAAGGGCGCCCCTGCGGGTGAACTTGAAGTACTCATGACGGAGCTGGTCACGCTCCTGGATGGTGGAGACCCCGTGAGCGCCGCCCTGCTTGCCCAAAACGTGGCGATCGCGACCGGAGCGGTCAACGCGGTGGCAGAACGTGAGAATCAGCGCACGGCTACAAGCCAAGACGAGGACTCTTCGAGTAGCACGAGCGAACCGTCCTCGCCAGTTCCCGCCCCGGCTTCGGCTGCGACCCAGAGCTTCATCACCCCCACAAGCGAGCCCGAGCCGGCATCAAGTGCTTCGTCAAGTGCCCCGCCCAAGACGTTGAAGACGGCGGCGATTTCTGCGGTCTTGAATGACATTGACCCCTCAAACATTGCTGAGCTGAAGGCGCTTCTGCAAGAGATGGTGGAGCAGCAGGCGCGGGCTACGGAGCAGATGCTGCTGCAGCAGCGCGAAGAGCGCCGTCTCGAGGCGGAGCGGCGAGAGCGGGAGCTTGAGGTCGAGCGTGAGGAGCGCGAGAAGGACCGCCAGGCGCTGACGGCCACGGTGATGTCGGCGATGAAGACATTCCTCGAGCAGAACGGCCGCAAGGACTGAGCGAGGGTTTGGAGGGGGAGAGTTTGTAGTTGGTAAATCGGCGCTATCTTCTTAGGAATTCTTTTAGCACACACCGGGTTCATAAGCCCGTGTCCATTAAGTCCACCGTGCGAGCGGCTTGGACACTTGAATACCGGCGTCAACTTCAAAGTGTATCAAATCCAGCTGGCATCAGCTTTTTTCCCTCTGACCCACTCCCAATAACGTCTCTAAACACATCGAGAAACACCCCGAGAACGACCATGCCCGACAGCGCCAGCTCATGCTTCGCCCGCTCCTGTTGCGCAACGTGCTTCGCTGGCAACGCGGCCTCCGCGAACGATAGCAACCGCCGACGCCTCGCCGAGGACGATCCTCGCCGCCGGGACCTGGCCAGCTCGCGTGACGTTACCGTCCAGCCCGTCGTGATGTCCCAGATCCGCCCGCCGCAGCCCCAAGTGCGCGCCATCGATTGATGCAGGCCTTGGACGTGCACGTAGGAGAGGAACGAAGAGAGCTGGAGGTATGTGACGAGGTGGACTTTCACCTAAGGAGCACGTTGCTTGAAGTGATGCACTCCTTCATCGCGTGAAGTGGGAACGTGCGAATATCAGGAAGGACCAGCACAGCGAGGATAATGAAAACAGTGCATTGAATACATATTGCATCGCTAGCGCAGAATCTGCGCCGCAGTCTGCGGCCCGCAGATAGCCTAGCGGACGGCCCCGGCGCCTATAGTGCGATTACGATACGCGCAGGACGTGGGTAAATTTCAAGCATCAACAACTTGGCGCGTTTTTGCTGTGGCTCGTGAGACACAACCGACATACACTTTTCAAGTGTGCACACGTCGCAGAATGATGCAAATGAAAAACTCATTCGAATGGCGAGCTTCTGGCAGGCGCGACTTGAGGAGAGGAAGTTTGATCATTGCGAGAATTTCCAATAAGCCCTCAAGCCAAGAGATCGAAGAGAAGAACGGAAGCGGGAGCCAACTGACCTGAAGACCTACCAAGCTCAGGCCCAAGCGACCAAAAGAAGATAAAGACTGACCATGTGCGGACCTGACGATGGCGGATGTGATCTCTGCTGCGCCGACGAGTGCTGCGGGTGCTTGGCCGGTCTGTGCTGTGCCTCGTGCTGTCTAGCAGGCGCCTCGGCTGCAGACAACGACGATCGACGTCGATATGATTCGCCCAGAGAAAGAGAAGTGTACGTCCAACCTGTAGTCGTGCAAGAGTACCCGGCTCCTCCGCCTCCCGGTTATGGTCCGCCACCTCCGGGATACGGATATGGACCGCCCCCACCTCCGCCTCACCGTGAATACTACTGAGTGTGTAGCCTAGTTGGGCTCTACCCACAGTAGGGAAGTACGGCACGCATGTTTCCTCATGAACACTAACGAGTTGTCAAGCAGTGACGCCGTCATAAATAAATAAACAGTGTTTATACTCCTCCACGTAGTAATATGCATCGCCAAGAGTATCGTTGCTAGATGCACATAGTTGTCTGTTGAAGTGTACTGCAAATGCGTATATCTTGCCTTGGACGCCTTAGTTGAAGTGCCTCCTCAGATGGGGGAATCAGAATCCCATTAGCAATTAATTGCTGGGAAGAATGGGAGGCAAGACCGTTGTGGGCACGCGACTGCACTGGCACAGCCACTCGCAGCGCGAGCGGATCGACGTCGACAAGGTGCTGGGGCAGGTGCGGGCGTTTTGCGCGCGCGCAGCGACGTACTCGGACGGCGGCATCCTGATCGCCGTGGGGCTGCCAGCAGCGCTCGCCGACTCCATCACAGCCGCTCGTTCGTCGGATGATGCGACCCCTTCGTCCAGCGCCTTCATCGACTCTGTGCGCGACTTCATGGCGCGACTGAAGAGCGACGTAGACTCAGGGAGCATGGCTGGCAACGTGGAGGTCATCTCGATGCTGCACTGGGGCAAGTTCGTGCCTGCCCTGAACGCGTTGATTGGTACGGCGGCTGACCACTTCCCCGACGCCGACACTCTGCTACTGCAGTCTCTGGAGATCAATGTGGACGCAGCGAGTGTGGCGTCATTGCTCTCTCACTTTGATCTCAAGCGCGATCTCGTGGTGGGCGCGGCTCTGCCTGGACACGAGTTTCAGCCGGATTCGGCAGCCCAACCGGTTGAGCTGAGCGGCTTGACGTCGCCGTGGAATACGCTGGCGCTGTGGAACTTGGAGCAACTGACGAAGGTGGGCTTTGCGCTCATGGGAGACGCGTTGCGCCTCGAGGTCGATGGGATCGGATCCGCCGCGGGCATCGAGGAGGTCGCCACCATCGCCATGTACCAGCAGCTCTACGCGAACAGCACTTCACCCACGACGGCGAAGCTGGTTAGAGTGCCCAGCATCGCGTGGCAAGTGGATGGACTTGACGACCCCGAGCGTCTCGCGTGGCACAAGAAGAAGATGGCGAGCAAGCAGCAACGCGCTGCGGCTCAACTTGCCCATTTCGGCGGCGTTGCTCCAGGTCGCGTGTACCACTTGGAGGCTTGAAGTCGCCAGCATTGAGAAGTAGAGTGAACCCAGTAATAGCGAGCACCTCGAGCTCCCTAATGACACTTGCCAATCTCGGCCCAAACTCGAAGTGATCACCACGATGTCGTTGCAGTTGCTGCAGTTTGCGGTCCGTTTCTGAATCTGTCTGATCCCTCGCGATGTGACGTGGAAACGCTTCCAGTTCCAAGCAGCAGTACTCGAGCGCAAGACGGCAGCGGGCGGCATGAGGGGCACGACGGTGGTTGGCACGAGGCTGCATTGGCAGAGCCACACGCAGCACGAGCGGATCGACGTGGAGAAGCTGCTGCGTCAGCTGCGCGAGTTTTGCGCGCGTGCCGCGACCTACGCGGATGGCGGGATCCTCATCGCCGTGGGACTTCCGGCCGCGACCTCCGCTACGATCACGGGAGCGCCGCCAGCGCCTTCTTCTCGCAGCGTCGACTCGATCTCGCCCACTTCCTCCAAAGCTACCAGCGTCTTTGTTGATTCGGTGCGGGAGTTCATGACGGAGCTGCAGAGCGAGGTGGCCTCGGGTGCTATTGCCGGCAAGGTGGAAATCATTCCAATGCTCTACTGGGGGAAGTTCGTGCCGGCGTTGAATGCTCTCGTTGGTACTGCGGCTGATCACTTCCCGGAGGCCGACACACTGCTGTTGCAGTCTTTAGAGATCGAGGTTGACGCGGCTGGGGTGGCGTTGCTACGCTCGAACTTCGACCCGGAGCACGATCTCGTCGTGGGCACGGTACTGCCCGGCCACACCTTCCAGCCGGATCCAGCGATGCAGCCGCTGGAACTGAGCGGGCTGACGTCGCCCTGGAACACGCTGGCGCTGTGGAACCTGCAGCAACTGACCAAGATTGGCTTCGCGCTCATGGGCGACGCATATCGTCTGCATGTTGAAGGCGTCGGGCCCGCCGGCGGAGATGAAGAAGTGTCGACCATCTCCATGTACCAGCAGCTCTTCGCCAACACGCCAGCCGCACCCACAAGGGCCAAGCTCATCCGAGTGCCCGGAGTCGTCTGGCAGGTGGCCGACTTCAAGGACCCGGAGCGCGTGGCCTGGCACACGATGAAAATGCGCAGCAAGAAGCAGCGCACGGCGGCGCAGATGACCAACTTCGGCGGCGTGGCTCCAGGCCGCGTGTACCACATAGAGCCCCGCAAGTAGAAAGATAAGCTTATCAACAAGATACAGCAACATGACAAGCCCAAGCTTCAGCTTGTTGTCGTTGCTGTTCACGGCAATCTGCGACACTGCGGGACGACAGACAAGATTACATACTTTACGGTACTGTCTGGCGCCCTCTTGAAGCCAAAGGCTGAGCGACAGACGACGTTACGAGGCGAATGGACTCGGGCGATGGCATCCAAGCGCGCGCAGCCTCTCTGCGCAAGGAAGCGGCTCAGCGGTGGCTCGTGAAGGACGAGCTGGTGTTCCTGCTGCTGCACCACAAACTCGTGGGCGTGCCGGTGCTGCGCTCGCTGCAGCTGCGACCGCCAAGTACGTCTCACGTCGCGTCGCGCTGCTTCATCTACTGCAGCCAAAGACTCACGCTCTGCTGCTGTGGGCAATGTGGTCACTGACTGACTGTCGATAGGCGGCACGCTGCTGTTCTACAATACGCTAGAGGTCTCGGACTACAAGAAGGACGGGTGGCACTGGCAGAAGCGAAAGGATAAGAGCGGACGGGTGCGGGGACGACGCTGTGGTATTGGGAGTCGCTGGAGCTGAGAATTAACTAGGTTGTGTGTGGTGTGTACCAGGTTCGCGAGGACCGCGCGAAGCTCGTGATCAACCGTGAAGTGATCATTCTGGGCACGTATGTGCACTCAGCTGAGACGTCAGTAAGTCCAAGTGCAGAGGATTAGTGGGAGGAGATATAGAGAGAGGCCTTGCAGGTGCTGACGAACTCTGGTTGTAGACATTCCATCGGAGAATCTACTCGGTGCGCGATTCGAAGGAGAACATCATTCTCGTCCATTACTTTGACGAGGTAAACAAGGAAACCGTGGGACGTCAGATGTCGGCAGATGTGTCCAAGAGCAGCGTGAATAAGGGGGTGAAGCGGTCGTTGCCTGTTGCTAGTACCAACTCGACAAGCGCGATACTGCCACTCAGGCAACCGAGCCCACCCAAGCCGTTGTCCTCTGAAGAGACGGTTGAATCCATCATGAAAAGTATGCAGGTGGCCAGTGTATCGTTCGTTAGATCATTTTGTCCTAACCTTTGGCTTTACTTTCTGTTCTCCAGACTGTTTTGAGATGGACTTCGAGCCTCAGACGACATCGTATCAGCCTTCAGCAACCCACCTCTCTGATACTGATCTGCTGCTGCTGAAGGACAACGTCATGGAAGGAATTACCTCTGAGTTCGGGGCCGACGATTTATTTAACGACCTAGCTCCTGCTACGTCCCCGGAGACGGGTGTTTGTGGGCTTGGAGGTCAGCAGACATTCGAGTTGGCTGAAATTTCAGATTTTTCACCGGACTGGGACTTTGGAGATGGCGGAGCCAAGATCTTGCTCTGTCTTGCAGCAAGGCTTCCGGAGAAATCGGCTCAAGATCCCACGAGACTCTTTGTGCAGTTTGGAGGCAAGCGAGTGCGCGCAGAAAAAGTCTCGGATACCGTACTTCGGTGCACTGGTGCGTTCTCATTGTAATTTGTGAGGAATACTTCTGCTGGGTTCTAACTGCGTCTGGTGTTTTTACGCAGCTCCTAGCTCACGTGACCTCGGCAGCGTCGACATCTTCGTGTGCCATTTGGGTGGGCCATCACAACAGACATGCATCCAGTTGTCCCACAAGAAGCAGTTTACGTATCGAAGTCACTACCAGGTGTCTCCTTCACTTGTTGGTGAAATTGCCAAAGAAAAACGTCGCTCAGGAGCAGCAGCTATTGACCCTCTGGAACTGACAGCGCCGTATTCATCGCCCGGGATTTCTGGTAAGCGAGGTCGATCACCAACCGTAATATCCCGAGCTACTGGAGGTCCAAAGCGATCAGAGGAAAGGCTGTCTGGTTCTAATAGGAACCTGTCTTCCTACGTCGAGTCGGATTGTAAGTCAATTCCCATGCTTCGCCTGCCTATTTATTTTGTTCTCCACTCTAACGTTTGTTGATAACCTTTGTTGTTTAGTGGACGAGCGGCAATGCAAAATTCGAGTGGTGGAGCGGTTGTCCGAATTTCACCAAGCAATACGAACAAAAGCAGCGGAACCTGCAGCTAAGGATGCGGGAGCTCTGCCCATTGCTTCCGGCCGTAGTAGCGTGGAGAAGAACAGATCTGGAGCCGAGCACAACTCCTCCGCACGAGCTATGCAGTCGTCTCCGGGGCTATCAACTAGCCAAATACAGCACACCAATCAGGAAAATCTGTCAGGCGAGGCTGCAGAAACTCCAAGTACGTTGGTATCATCCAGCGGAACGTCAATTGCGTTGGACGACTGTACAATTGAAGCATTGAGCGACAACGACCTGGAACAACTCTCCGAGAAACTACTGGAGCGGGTAGTGCGCCAACTTGTTACAGTCGCGCACACGAGCGAAGAACTGCTGGAGGAGCTCAACTCGCTGGATGAAACTGGTCTGAGCTTGCTGCACTACGTGAGCTTCTACAACTATTCACAGTTGGTGCCGGTACTGGTTGCTCACGGAGCACACATTAACCAGCAAAGCACTCAAGGCCAAACAGCACTTCACCTAGCAGCAGGATGCGGTCACGATGCAGTGGTTGATGTGCTACTGCAATCGGGAGCAGACTTACAAGTTCGCGATTTTGATGGGCTTACTGCTGCCGATCGTGCTGAAAAATCAGGTCACGCTGACGTTGCTGCTAAATTGCACCGGCACATGGGAGATGATACTTCTACGGATATGGGTGTTGTCGACGAGATTTACGGGTTTGGAGGATCACCGATGGAGATTGACGACGCCCCGACACCCTACATGGATGCTGGAGACATGGGCCTTTTGGAAGGCAGTAGTCATGTTGTCCCCACCGTACGCCCACCCCGTTCCCACTCAAACAGTTGCGAGAGTCCCTGCGAGGCAAGTTTAGCGTCTAAGGCAACATCATACGTACGTCCTCGGCATATTGTGTGTTTAGCGGCGAATATACGGGTACTAACCAGTGTGGCTTTGCTGTGAATTTGAATCGCAGGTGGGAGAAAACCAGGAGCACAATCGGAAGCTCTTGCTGGGGGCTTTCTCGACCATGAGTTTGCACGATAAGTGTGCGCTTTCGTTGAGTATCTCGCGAGACTCGGCTGGCCACCCTACCCGTCGTCGTGAAAGCAGCGTTGGAGACGAGATTCTGGTTTCTCCCAGCAGCAGCACGGGGACGTCGGCAGGCTTCGGTTCGTCCCCAGCGAGCATGGTCGGCATGGACAGCAATCTTGTCGGTGGCCGATTGATGCTATCTGGAACAGAGAACGACTCCGATGTTCAGAGTGTAATTGCTGAGGATGAGGAAGGCCTCAACAAGCTCCAAGCGGCTATGGAGCTCATGGGCCCAGAAGAAAGACAGTCGCTAGAAGACGAGGTGAAGGTTCTCCAGCACGGTATCCGGGCGTGGTTGCTCAAGAGGAACTGTAAGAACATGCGCGAAACGACCAAGCAACTGCGTGAAGCAACACAAACCATCGAGGATCAGCAAAAGCAGCAAGAGGCCGCAGACCACCGCTCCATGGTGGCTAGCGAGTTGTCAGAGCGAGAGCGTGCCGCCGTAACTGTCCAGGCGGCCACGCGTAGTATGCTCGCTCGCCGCAGCTTCTTGCAGACAAAACACGTTGCTATCAAGTTCCAGGCTGCCACGCGCGGTGTGCTGTGCCGCAAAAACTTTGCGCGTATGAAGGCCCATGCACTAGCGTCGCTGGTCATTCAGCGCAACGTCCGGGAGTGGTGGAACAAGCAACCCGCAGCTACACGACCAGGAAGTCTCGATAAAGTCGCTGACGTCGAAGAAGAAGATAGCACAGAAGAGAAAGCAGCGATACCGCCAAACACTTACGAGCAAGCATTGCATAACGGAGGGCTGCGCAATCCCCAGTAAACGTCAGTATAGCATAGCATAGCATAGTCCCTCGCCAAAACACGAACTTCTAGCAGCACTTCACTCTCCAACTCGTTCTATTTGCCGCTTCCCTGCATATCGACGGCTGTAACCTGCTCAATGAAGCTCTGACCTACTCCATCGCGTTGGCGCCTTCGTCCGTGTATCGCCGGAAGCCCGGGATGGGCGGCGTCCAGGTGGCCATGCCGCGCTCCTCGGGGACGGGAGCCATGTCATCCTCCAGGGCCTCGGCCTGCAGCTCAGCGGGCAGCGCGTTGATGGCCTCCCACTTGAGGTCGATCTTGGTCTGCACGTCGCGCATGAAGTGGTTGTGCTCGATGCTGCTCATGATGTTGTAGCGGCGGCCGATCTCCTGGTGGCGCTGCTTCTCCTCCTCTGTCCACTCCTCCCTACAGTCATCAATGCAATAATTAATTCATTAGTCCTACCGTTACAATAAGTATGAAGTGAATAAACAACTGCAGGCACCAGCAACGTACGCCTCGGGGTACTGGCCCTTGATGGCACGCAGCATCTGCTCGAAGTTGGCGTCGTCGCCGCCCTTCTTCTTGCCCTTCTTCTTGTCCTTCTTGGTCGCAAAGCCGCGCACGCCCGTGGAGGAGGAGGCGGCCTCGGCCAGTGCGCAGGCGGTCGCCCGCTTGGCGGTCACGGAAGTCACGCTACGCAGCAGCAGAGCCATGTCACTTTGGTCCTCGGTACTGTAGCTCTTGGAGTCTCTCGACCACAAGTGCGCCGGCAGTCAAAGCTGTCTATCACTAAGTACGAAATAGAGTCTACCACACGCAATAAATTGGATGTCATAAAATTAACGGAAAAGATAGAGCCCATGTTTTTAGTCAGAGGGGGTGAAATGAACCCAAATCTGTCGGGAGCGTCCAAGCGAAATCGACACCAGCGGCATTTGAGAGGCATGAAGAGCCTGCAAACTTCACCCCAGTGTCATGGCTAGTCATGGTATCCCCTTCTCAGCGCTGGGTCGGTCTTCAGAGGGCTTAAAGCGCCGGCAAAGCGACGTTTGGCAGCCGAAGATCACCTTAGCCCATAGGAATTGCATAGTGTTTGCAGGCCATGACACCCGTCCCACGAGCCGAACATGTTTGGCCATGTTTCAACATGTTTGAGATTTCTTACTTGTTTTTAGTATGGCGCTTGCCCTAACCCATTTAGAAAACATGGGCTGTATCAACGGCCTAAAATTAAATAGATTTGAACAATAATTGTGCCTTGACACACGTCGCAGACTTTTGGAGGACCACTTTTTCTTTCAGACGTCCACCTGGTCCTCGTGGTTGCTGGGGTGGTACTGCGCATTGGAGAAGTCTGGTGATGAGACGACCGTGGGGAATTCTGGTGGCTGGAAGCTGAACGCGCCTTGCAGATGCGGTGGCATCGGCTCCATGCTCGGAGGAGGCAGCAACGGCGGCCCAAATGGCATCGGCGGCCCTGGGTTGAAGTAGTACCGCGACGGCGGGGGCCCTGAAGGTGCTGGCAAGAAGTGCGGAGCTTGGAACCTTGAGTACGCGTCGCCATTGCCCGGTGAAAAGTACCGCACCACTTCTTTCGGTGCTGTTCTCCATAACGTGGACTCGCTCCAGGGAAGATTGACCGCGGGGTCTGGTAGCTCGCGTTGCCTCGTGAAGTCCCAGCCAAAGAGCGACGACGTGGACGCATAGACCTGTTGTAGCTGCCATTCGAGCTTGGCGTCTTCTTCACGGCGGCGCTGTTTTCTCCACCGACGACGTTCACGATCGTGCACACTCTCGACTACTTCTTCGTCGTCGGAATCCCCACCGACGCTTCTGCTGTCAAAGGCGATGCTGGTGTCACTGATGACATCTTCCAACGGGACGCTGATAACGTACTCGTCAAACTTCCTCTTGCCAGCAAAAGCCGTTCGCGTGGTGAAGTCTTCGGCTGATGCGAATGATTCTTGAGGTTGAAACACCAGCGCGTTGGGGTTTAATCCAGACAACTTCTTCGAGGGGGGCTCTGCTTCTGAAGCGGGTACTTCTTCGTCTGCGTCCAGTGCAGGCTCGTCGAGCGGTGCAGTCGACGAATTTGACTGACAATCACTGTCTAGAGAGGCTGACGTGGACTCAGGCATCGGCTCTGAGACGGGTTCTTCCTCCGGAACCTCAACACCCAAGCAATCTGCCTCGGGCCTATCCATTACGTCGTTCTTGGGAGGCTCGGGAGCTGAAGCAGCATGCATCGCTGATTTCTTCTTCTTTTTCTTCTTGTTTTTCTTTTTGCTGCTAGAAGTCGAGCTGCCTGCAGTCGTTTTGTCTTCTAGGGAAACCTCCAGCAGTAGCTGCTCCATTTGTTGAGCTGCCTCTTTCTCCAAGTAGCTGACATAGCTTCGTAGGATTAGCTTTTCAAAACAAAAAGCAGTCACCAAACAAAAGGTTAGTAACGTTCGAGTAACAACACGATACAATCGAGCGTACCTGCTCCACTAGCATCCCAATCAGGCGTTGATAGTTTGTCCACGTATTGATGGTTTCGCTTTCGGTCACGAACAGTTTGTTGAAGTTACTCTCTGTGAGTACATGGATCGACGTTAAGAAGCCTGCCAGCACTTCCCCCACCAGCGTGAAGAGTCGATCTGTGTCTTCGGCCAGCTCCGTCTTCACCGTCAGAATGCCTGTGACAGCATGCAACACCAGTAAATAAAAACGCTTTAGTGACCTACAGGAGGTACTAACGCTACGCACCTGTTCCTATATCCATAAACTCCATCGCTTCCAGCAGCTCGTATGTCCTCTCTGACGACGTATCTGTGACTGCACGCGTTTGCGACGGCGTGGCTGTTCGCTCTTGTACCGCCGGAATAGCATCAGCACCCACAGGTTTTGGCGCTGTTGCCCCTGTTGCTGTTGCCACCGTTGCAGCCGCTTTCTTGTTGGCGGCCGACGTATCTGTAGCTGTTCGGTTCGTTGTCTTGAGGTGGCGCTGCATCAGCCCGACACACAACAAGCTCAAGTTGAGCTTGTACAGCTGCTTCACGAGCTCCGGCTCGTCCAAAAACAATATCTGCTGACGCTCATTTACACTGAGCTGCTCCCAATACTGCCGGACGCTCTTCAGCACATTGGCCCCGTCGTCTTCATCTCCATGGCCGCTGCGTCGCGTGGTTGTCAATGGCGTGGCCAGTGACATCCAAATAGCTGGTCCAGGTCCATTCGCTCCTGCTCGAGCAACTGAAGGCTTCGCTCGCTTCCGACCGCGAGAAATGCCATTGCCAGCGCTCTTCTTCGCGTGATCCAGAGCGTCGGCAGCTTCACTGGCGCTGGGCGAGCGGATGGCCAAGTACGATTTCCAGATTGGCGCTGCGTCAGCGAAGCAGGCAACAACCACAATGCGCGGCACTGCAATTAGCACGTCATGTGATATCTACTCAACCGGCTGAGGTGGTCACGCACCATCCGCGGTCGACGCGGCCTTCTTGACGGCGGAAACGTTGCCTCGGGTCATCGACGTCATGACGATGATTCGCACTTGCTGATCCTTCAGCCAACGTTTCACAGTTACTTCCCGGACTACAACAACCCGACATGGATACATACTATTGTACGCCTGGTAGTCAATACACCTTTTTATTTTCGGACAACAATTTCAATTATTTTCGAGCACTAATTTCGGATCGATTCCAGCAGTCATTATTGTTCTGAGCACGACAATGGCGGACATCCAGCACAAGCGCGTGGCGATGAAGCTCAAGCAGGCGTGCGAGGAGACCGCGGCGCAGGCCATCGCGGCCACCACCGCCAGTGGCCAGGCGAGTCGCATCCACGGCAAGAACCGCAAGTTCGGCAGCCGCAAAGAGGCCATGGCAGCCAAGGCAAGACCCAGTCGAACAGTCTGACAATGGTACATCTACTACTGTACTACTACTCACTTCGGTTTCCTACTGTCAACAACGCATGCAGATTGCAGCAGCGAAGGCCAAGCGGGAAGCCAAAGAAGCTGCGGAGAAGTAAGAGGACTCACTCTCAGTATTTGATAACGGCGCGGACAATGTTGTTCGAGCCGCAATAGACTACCATATAGGAATATACAAGAGCGTCCGTTTTCCATTCCGTTTCAATGGCTTTCTCGTGCTGCTTTGCATCTCATTTCAGCTTTAATCGAGCTTCTCGCGCTGAACTGCGCTCGGCGGAATGAAGATGGAGAGTGAGCGACGCTCGTGGCCCGTGCTGCGAGCGCTGGTGGTGAAGAACTGGACGGTCAAGAGGCGCCATCCGTTCGCGACGTGGAGTGAAGTGCTCAACCCGCTGCTCTGCATCCTGCTGTTCGTGGCTCTGAAGAAGTTCGAGACCGACTTGGATGTCCCGGCGGGATGGGCTACCAGCGATGTCAACGCGTCAGCTCCGGGGTACGGCTCGACGTGGAATCTGTACGCGGCGACGGACTTCAACTCGGCATTGAATGAAGGTTTGAGTAGTGTGGGCATTGTTGTACCAGAAGACTCTTCAGGGGGCAGTTGGGGCAACAGCTCTTCGAACGGGACACTGTCCGCGAGCGCACTATTGGGAGTCTTGAGCAATAGCCTGAAGATCCCCAGGTTCTACTTCTCGGAAACGACTATGGCGGGATTGCTGCTGAGTTTATCCCTTCAGGCATTGATGGAAGGGCACAAACTCGATGAACTGGGCGAAGATGCACTTATGGATTGTGCTCTAAAGTTTCTGCTATTTGGTTATACTGGAGCTGAGCGGACCGCTTATCACGTTCCCAACGCTTGTCAGGGCAGAGTCGTGCCGTACAAGATTGCAATCACGCCTGACACGCCGTATACACGAGAGTACTTCGCCGCGGCGCTGGAAACTTGGTATCCGCGTGTTGCACTTGCTCCGGTCGTTAAAGGGATATCACTCTTGACTATCCCGAGCTTCAAAGACTCCCACGTGTTTTTCGATAATGAGACGGCGTTGGAGGAGTACGTTTCCAGTCGGGAATACGGTCTCGATCTGCAGCACCCGAAGATCTATGCTGCCATTACCTTTGAAGAGTTTCCTGAGAATACTGCAGCATTTGGAGCGTTGGAGGCTCACTCAATTGCGTATTCCTTACGGTTTAATTCGACTGGGAGTCTTGCGGCTGTGCCGAAGACCAAGAAGCCAAGACCCAACACCATTACGAAATTTGCACCAGCGGATGACAACATGGCTTATGCGACTCGAGGCTTCATGACCTTGCAGACTGTAGTGGCACGCTTTCTCAACTGCATGCCAACCTGGGACGCTCAGTCTGAAACAACGAATGGAACTTGCCAAGTCCCTCAGGCTGTTATGCCAGCGGATGCAGATAATGATCGTCGATTGCTGAAACAAGTGGAGAACGACATCATTATTGGTACTGCCTTTGCTTTGCTCAACTCGTTGAAGGACCTGATTACCAGTCTGGTCTCCGTGAGCCTGCCGAATGCGTCCGTGGATACAATTCCACCACTAGGCAGAGAAGCGCTGCTAGTGCCACTGCGTATGGCACCTCAACCTTTCCACGGTGCGGCCGTATACGGAAGTCCGACACAAGCGTTTCGCTATGCTCCGTTCTTCGAGAAGGTCGCCTTGGTGTTCCCTATAGGCTTCGTGCTGTCCTACTTGTACCTGGTATCGCGTGTCATCGTGTCTTTCCTAATGGAGAAAGAAACAAGATCCCGAGAGCTCATGCGAATCCTTGGTGCACGGGATAGCGAGCTCTTTGGCGGCTGGGTACTTGCTTACTTACCCATTTTACTATTGGGCGCGGTTCTGCAGACTTTCGGTGCTCATGGACTGTTGTTTCCCAACTCGGATACGAAATTGCTGTTCGTGTTTTTCTTCACTTTCGCTACGAGTAGCTTCAGCTACGGCTTTATGATCAGCAGTTTGTTCTCAAGAGCCCGCGCAGGGTCACTAGCAGGCATGGGGCTCTTCTTCATGATGTTTTTTATTTCCTACAGTTTCAATGACGACACCAGCGAGGTCGGTCGAACGTGCGCGGCACTCCTCCCACCAATTTCGTTGTCCCAAGGCATCGGAGTGATCGCAAAGCTGGAGTCCTACGGAATTGGCGTGACGGGAGATAATGCTGACGACGAAGTAAGCAACTTCCGGTTTGGAAATGCCGTTTGGATGCAGATTCTCGATACCGTGCTATACGTTCTACTCGGCAAGTATTTCGAGAAGGTTGTCCCGCAAGAATTTGGTGTAGCGGAGAAGTGGTATTTCTTTCTGACAAAAGCGTATTGGTGTCCTCAAGCCTCTCAACTTGTCTCCGCAGAGGCACAAACGAACGAGGAGCTTGACGTGGAGAACGATACGGTAGAGCCTATTCGACAAGACTTGAAGCAACAAGAGAATAGTGGTCGTGCCGTGGTCATTGCAGGCTTGCGGAAGGAATTCTCAGTGCCCGGCGGGAAAAAAATTGCGGTTCATGGACTCGATTTGAAGCTTTATGAGGGTCAAATCACGTGCTTGTTAGGACACAATGGAGCAGGGAAAACCACCGTAATGTCCATGCTTACAGGGATGACTCGACCAAGTAGCGGGAATGCTTGGGTCAGAGGCTATTCTGTCGTGAAAGATATGAGGAAAATCCGCCAGTCGCTTGGTTATTGCCCTCAGCACAGTGTTCTCTATCCGGATTTGACGGTGAAAGAGCATCTAATATTTTACGGCCGTCTGAAAGGATTCACACATGCAAGTGAGCTTACAGCTGAAGTTATCAAGAAAATCAACGAGGTCGGTTTGGTCGACAAGATCAATGTGCAATCCCACGCTCTTTCAGGTGGAATGCAACGTAAATTATCATTGGCAATTGCATTCCTGGGCAACAGCACGGTGGTCTTTCTGGATGAACCAACAGCGGGTATGGATCCGTATAGCCGACGCAGTACGTGGGAGCTCATCCAGCGCAACCGCGCAAGCCGCGTAGTCATTTTAACGACTCATTTCATGGACGAAGCAGACATTTTGGGCGACCGGATCGCTATCATGGCGGAGGGGAGGCTGCAATGCGTTGGGTCATCGCTGTTCTTGAAAAATCGCTTTGGTGTGGGCTATCGTCTCAGTTTCGTCCGACAGAGTGATGCTAAAGATTCTCGGTCTGCAACTTTGCTGGTTCATCAGCACGCGCCTCAAGCAAATGTCGCGTCGGATGTCGGAACGGAGCTCACTTTTCAGCTACCGTTTGAGGCCTCACCTGGATTCCCGGCATTATTTCGCGAGCTGGAGTCTCGTCAAGCCGAGCTGGGCATTCTCTCCTTCGCCATCTCTGTCACGACACTCGAGGAGATTTTTCTCAAGGTTGCCGAACGCGGTAGTACTGAAATACCAGGATTCCACGACGAGAAGGTCACGACGAGTTTGGTATCTGATAAACCGCCTATTTCTGAGACCTGGGAAACAGCGGTTGAAGTGCAGCCCCCAAACAGCAAAATTAAAGTCGCAGCGGAGCCAGACAGGTCTGAATCTGCCCCCACGCAGGCGTCATCCTTGCGTGCCATTAACACTTTTACCAACCAGATGAATGCACTGCTTCGCAAGCGACTGCAGTACGGAAAACGCGACTTCAACATGTTGTTTTTCAGCACCGTCCTTCCCGTTGCCGCCATCTTTGTCGGACTCTCGGCTCTAAAATTTAGCTCGGTTCTTGTGAACGACCCGAAACTAGAACTGTCTTCGACTGTGCAGTACCCGCTTGGACAGCAAACCCCAGTCCCATTCAGCTGCCCTGGCAATTTCGATGTCGGTAGTGGTGCAGGCACCGGCTGGTGCTCCGAGTTGGTTGATCCATCTTACTTTCCGGACGGTACTGCGTACGAACTCGCAATTGATACAACAGTGTATGATGGAGTCGCGACACCTACAGTTTTTGGAGTTTCTTACGATTCACCCTCAATCGAGCCGAACGACACGAGTGGTTATAACCTTCGGTTTGCAGAGTTGGTCTTTGAAAGAGGATACGGCTATACGTCTGGTGCGGACTATTCAGCTCCACCTACTCAATCTCCGGTGAAGGGGCAATTCGGAGGGTTTCTTTTGTATGCGTCAGAAACTACCAACACGTTGAGCTACAATGTTATGGCTAACGGATCATCAGCGCACGCTGCGCCGACGTACAAACAGATGATTGATACTGCTATCAACCGCTTCCTGCTCACCAAAACTGGACAAGCGAATCCAAACGTGACAGTTCGCGTATCTTCGCACCCACTGCCGCTTTCCTTCAAGACACGGTCGATCTTCAGCTCGTATCTGAGCTTTCCAGCTGTGGTGTTCATTGTGATTGCCTTCACCTTCATCCCAGCCTCGATGATGCCCTACATCGTCAAAGAGAAGCACCTGGAGCAGAACGCCAAATACCAACAACTTCTGTCCGGAATGTCGTTCTTCGCGTACTGGTTGGCAAACTTTGTTTTCGATGTGGCCGTGTATCTCGTGCCCATGACAGCAGCCATTCTGCTTCTAGGATCCTACGGTGTTACTGCGTCTTTGGGGGGCGCCGAGTCTTGCGATTCATGCACACAAGACGTTCCAGCTGCCACGGTCATGCTTTTTGTATTATTTGGCGCTGCTATCGCTCCAGCGACATACCTGCTATCTCATGTGATGGAGAAGCCCACCGAGTGTCTGCTCTACACGGTCATGATCAACTTCTTCTTGGGTCTTCTCTTGTTGCTGTTGAGTTTCACCATGAATTCTTTAGAGTCAACACGAGCAGCCAATGCAGTGCTCGTCTACATCTGGCGCTGCTCACCGTTATTCGCGTTTGGAAATGGCCTGCTCAACATTTTGCTGGCTGATCTACTAGCGACTTATGGGCTCACGAGTCAGACACGAAGTGCGTTTGACGCAGACATCGCTGGCACGGATATTTGGTACCTGCTCGTCGAGTGTCCAGTGTTTATACTTCTAACGATTGGGATCGACGTAGTCCAAGCTGGAACAGTGCGTTGGCGGATTGCTCGGTTCCTGGATAAACTCAACTCAGCGCGGCGCGTGTACACGCGCGTGCCTTGCAACAGCGCTAGACTGCACATTCAAAAGCCATTGGGCGGTAAAGTTGTCGATGCTGACCAAGCAGACGAAGATGTAGTCTCTGAAGCTCAGCGGGTTCATGAAAGCTATCACTCGTTGAATGCCAGCTCGGAAGTGGTGCAAGTCTTCGAGCTTGAAAAAGTCTATCCGAACGGCAAACGTGCTGTGAAAATGCTCTCGTTCGGGCTTCAGCAAGGCGAGTGCTTTGGATTTCTGGGTGTGAATGGAGCCGGGAAGACGACAACGATGAAGGTCCTCACGGGCGACTTACTGCCAACGTCCGGTACTGCCACGCTGAACGGCTTTGATATCCGCAAGGAGCGAAGACAAGCGCGCGAGTCGATCGGCTATTGTCCGCAGTTTGACGCATTAATCGACTTGCTAACTGTTCGCGAGCATTTGGAGCTCTTCGGCCGGTTTAAAGGCTACCATCGTGAAAGACTCGAGAAGGAGGTGGATCGCTTGATGAACAAACTCAAGATCCAAGCATTCGCCAACAAACTAGCAGGGAGCTTGAGCGGCGGGAACAAACGCAAGCTATCCCTTGCCATTGCAATGATAGGCGAGCCGAGTGTGCTGGTACTGGACGAACCGTCCACTGGCGTTGATCCGTTCTCGCGGCGTCTGTTGTGGGACGTGATCTTGGAGGCGTCCGTGCAATCGCGACGGTCGACGGTCATGCTAACAACCCATTCAATGGAGGAGTGCGAGGCTCTATGCAGCAAGGCCGGTATCATGGTGGACGGCCGTCTGCGCTGCTTTGGCAGCATCCCGCACTTGAAGACGCGCTTCGGCGACGGGTTCATGCTCGAATGCAAACTGGAGGGGCCCCCTTCGTACGCGATCTCAGATTTAACGCACCTTGTGTGTGACCATCTTCAAAATGCTGGTGCGGAGGAAACTGGAGCTCAGATCACTGCTGCTCAACTTGCAGGGGCCTGCGCGGTTCTCGGCAATGCAAAGCGTGCTGACGTTGCTGCTCCAGCGTTGTTCACCCAGCTTGGTCAAGGCAACGCCTCCATTGATGTAGCTTCATTTGCTAGTTGGTGGTTGCTGGAGGACTGCGTGCAGCACCTTGATGAGTTTCTTCGAGCACGATTCAGTGGTGTCACGCTGCTGGAGCGACAAGCCGACTTCTGCCGCTACAAGGTCTCCGGCATGAAAGCGGAGGAGGAGGAGGACGATGCAGCGCCACAAGTAGCCACTGCATTGTCACGCATGTTTGAGCTGGTGGAAGACGCCAAGAACAGGCTGGGCATCAAGGAGTACAGCCTGTCCCAGACAAGTCTGGAGCAGATCTTCAACTCGTTCGCTAGGCGGCGCGGTGCAGACTCGCGAAACTCCGGCAACGACGGCGCCGACTCGACGCAGGTCTCCGAGTAAGGGTCGACCTCTCCAGTCGAGTCGCCAGTCGCACCCGAACGCATCTCGAGTGATCGTGATGCAAGGCGTGAGGTGATCCTCCCCAACCAGCATGTCATGCACGCCGCGCTGGGCGCGACCACTCATTTCCCCCGCGCCTCGACGGCATGACCAAGGCGCTCTCTGCTACTGTACCAGAGGCGCCGTGGATTCTCGTCGAGTCGCGCGCGTTCAAACAGTAAAAGCTTTGCGCTGTCCGCGACGTGCACGCCCGATCGCCATTACCGCGGGAGATCGATCATAGCGAAAGTTCCGACCTGCAAACAGCGCTAACGCATTTTAATCCACGCTCCACATTGCATCGACTGCATCCGAGCAGCTTTAAAGCACGCACGAGCACATGCACAAGCCGCTCCAGCGTCGCCATCGCGTCCTTCGAGCAGGACATCCGACGCACTTCAACCCATCGCCCAGTTTCAAGAGGACGACGCCCCAGTAACTCAGGTGGCGCTCATTGGCGGAAATCTTCCCGCAAACCGTCTGCAATAGTATGTACGAAACATAAGAATCAGGCTGACTCTCTACTGCCGTTCGATGCTGCCTCATTCACCGATTGTGCGTCTAGCAAGAGGTACCCCCCCTCTACAAGTCCAAGATGGTCCGTGTGCTCTCGCTCTCCGCCGCCGCCGCCGTGGCCGTGCTGGCATCCTCGACCGCCGCGCTGGACCAGAAGCTCTACGGCATCAACTACGACCTGCGCCAGGGCCCCGACTGGGACCCGAGCAAGTGCAAGTCCGCGGACACCATCGCGTCCGACCTCAAGGTCCTGAGCACCATCACGTCCAACGTGCGCACGTACAGTCTGTCGGACTGCGACGTCTCGGGCGTGCTCACGGCCGCCAAGAAGCTGTCGCTCACCGTGTGGCTCGGCGTCTGGGTGTCCGAGGACTCCAAGGTCTACGACAACGAGGTGAAGGCCTTCAAGGAGCTCATCAGCGCCGGCCTCATCGACAGCAACGTCGTGGGAATCAACGTCGGCAGCGAGGCCGTCTACCGTGAGGACATCACGGCCGAGCAGGCCATCGAGTACGTGACCGACTTCAGGAAGGTCATGGCGGACAACGACATCAGCGTCCCGGTCAGCATCACGGACATCGTCGACACGTTCGTGCAGTACCCGGACATGCTCAAGGCTGGCGACATCGTGACCATCAACCAGTTCCCCTTCTGGGAGAAGACCCCGGCCAACAAGGGCGCCGCCCAGTTCAACAAGCGCATCCAGCCGCTGCTCAAGCTGGCCGGCGACATGGAGGTTATTATCAGTGAGACGGGCTGGCCCACGGGCGGCACGGCCACCAACGGCTCCGTGGCTTCGGAGGAGAACGCTGCCATCTACCTGAACGACTTTTACGAGCTGGCGGAGGCCAAGAAGTGGAAGTACTACTACTTCGCGGGCTTCGACACGCCCTACAAGGAGAAGCAGGCGGACGACGCCACCACGGTCGAGTCGCACTTCGGCATCTTCGACGAGACGGGAACCATGAAGTCGGCCTACGCCGACCTCAAGTTCACCAAGACGGGCGACTACTCGACCTCCTCGGGCAGCTCCACCACCACCAGCTCCGGTTCGTCCAGCGAGGCTGTGGGCACCGTCTCCCCCGGCGGCAGCGGCACGTCCACCACGACCAGCTCTGGTACCACTGGTACCACTGGAACCACGGGCACCTCGGACGCCACCACGTCGTCGTCGAACACCGACACGACGTCTAGCGCCACGACCGCTGACAGCGGATCGTCGCAGCTCATGGCCGCCAGCCTCGCCGCCTGCCTGGGTGTCGTCTCCACCATGCTCTGGAGCCTGTAAGCATGTTCGTATAGCTTCCGCGGTAACTAATGCACAAAGTGAGCTGTTATAGTTTTTCCATGGTCTTATTGGGAGGGGTGACAAAACAACTTCCGGAGCAAACCTGCGCAAGTTATGGCTTGAGATTTCATGACATCCGTCCTCTCTTGCTTTCCCGTTAAAGTACGACAGCAATTTAGGTCAATCCACATTCGCGATCGACCATGGCCAGCACCAACGCGCAGGCCGACGGGGCTGCCAGCAGCGACACCGCAAACGAAGGGCTGCTGGTGCTGGTGATCGACACCAATCCGGTGCACTGGTTCGCGCAGGGCGGCAGCGCGGCGGACCGCGCGGGGCTGCAGCAGCTCATCTCCAGCACGCTCGTGTTCGTGAACTCGTACCTGCTGCTGCACCGCAGCAACCGCATCGTGATCATCGCAGCCCATGCTGGCAAGAGCGCGATGCTGTACCCAGACCCAGAGCAGGACGACACGACTGGGAGCGCCGAACAGGCTGCCAGGGTGAACGCTGGCGTCATGCAGCGGCTGCAGCAGCTGAGCGACGCTCCGCTCGACCCGGCCAAGCCCAACCGAACGGCCATTGCCGCGTCACTGTCGCGTGCTCTTTGCTGTAAGTTGTAGCGCTCCTTATCGTTTTTGCTGTTGAATGTGTATTGACATCATTGTGTGACTTGGATGCACAGTCATCAACCGCGCCATCAACGAGGAGCCGGATCTGCGACCGCGGATCTTGGTCGTCCAGAAGTCTCCGGACGTGTCGGAGCACTACATCGCCATCATGAACGGCATCTTCTCGGCCCAGAAGAAGAGCGTTGCGGTCGACGCCTGCATCCTTGCAAACGAGCACTCGTCGTTCATGCAGCAAGCAGCGTATCTTACGGGCGGCATCTACTACAAGCCCAACGACCACAGCGGCCTGCTGCAGTATCTCATCTCGATCTACCTGCCAGACCCGTCCATGCGCAAGCTGCTGAAGCTTCCGTCACAGGACTCGGTGGACTTCCGCGCAATGTGCTTCTGCCACCGAGAGGTCATCTCCACGGCGTACGTGTGCCCCGTGTGCCTGTCGCTGTTTTGCGAGTTCCGACCCATCTGCTCCACGTGCGGCATCCGCAGCCACATCCAGCCCAAGAAGAACGGCTTGCTGAAGAAGCGCCCGCGCGTTGCCTAAAATAAAATGCAGTCGCTCAGACACAATTATCAACTCAATGCAATTTGTTGCCTTGAAGCGATGTTGTAGTTGCCGTTGACGTTGCCCAAGCAGCACAGCATCTTTACTCTCGAATTGGATTGGGTGAAAGTCGTCTCGTTGGCAAAATCAAGATTATGCGCACATTCTCGCGCGGTGTTTGGCTGAAATTGAGATCAACCAATAGGCGCCGCTCAACGGGTAAAACCAACTTGAGCTCTCGGCACCGACATACGCAGACTCTCCACGCAGCCAGCACACCACACCGCAGCACCATGAGCAGGTCCGAGCTCTTCTTCTACCGCTTTATCATTACGATGAAGCATTAACCCGTTTGGCATTGCACGCCATTATTTTGCTGCAGACCCACGATCGCAGAGGTTATCGCCGAGCGCAAGGCCAACAACACGGCGGCCTTCATCACCTTCGTGCCCTGCGGCTTCAAGACCAAGGCCGACACGGTGGAAATCCTGCTGGGCCTGCAGCGCGGCGGCGCCAACATCATCGAAGTGGGCATCCCGTACTCCGACCCTCAGGCTGATGGACCGACCATCCAGCGCGCCCACCAGGTGGGTGTGGACCAGGGCATCACGTTGACTGACGTGCTCGCCACCGTGAGCGAGGCGCGCGCCAAGGGCCTGACCACGCCCGTAGTGCTCATGGGCTACTACAACAACATTCTGCAGTACGGAGAGGACAAGATCTGCCCCGACGCTCAGAAAGGTGAGTGCGCTGTGCGCTGCTGCTGCTGGTGGATGAAATGGAGACGCGGACTAACTAGGTTATTGCTGTCTGCAGCCGGAGTGGATGGATTCATCATCGTGGACTTGCCGCCTGAGGAGGCCAAGCCGCTCAGCGACGACGCCGCCAAGCACGGCCTCGCTTACATTCCGCTGGTGTCGCCTACCACAACGGAGGACCGCATGAAGCTCATTGACTCGGTGGCGCACGGCTTCGTCTACTGCGTGAGTCTCACGGGCGTCACGGGAGCTCGCACCGACCTGCCGCCCAACCTTGACGCGTTCATGGCTACGAGTAAGTTGCTAGCTTCTGTTCTTGAAGCTTGTCCTTCGCAGCGCTGCTGACGTTTTATGCTTCTGTTGTCACCTATTTGTTGCAGTCCGCGCGAATGTGAAGCACCCGCTTGCGCTGGGTTTCGGTCTGTCTACCCGCCAGCACTTCGTGCTGGCGAGCGCGCTCGCGGACGGCGTCGTGATCGGCTCCAAGATTGTCAAGATCATTGAGGACGCGCCCGACACGGCGAGCCGCGCCGCCAACGTGGAGGCGTTCTGCAAGAGCATCGTGAACCCGTAGGCTGGCCTCGTACCTAGAACTGTCGTCTTTCAACTCTCCGTCGTGAGCGCACAACCCCCACACAATATACTACTAAATAGCGCTTTGTATTTGGCTTCGCTGGTGTGTCTTCCTTCTCCGGTCTTGATGATGCTGCTGCAGCTTGATCCTCTATGCCCTGAAATCTGTGAGTAAACTCGTTGCCTGTGGCTCGACCGGGTCAAGCGGGTCGCCTCTCAGGTCTCTCGCCAGCGTGGGTTCGAGTCCCGCCGACAGCAAAATCGGGGCCAAGCAATCCGTTCGTATTTAGGATAGTAGTATACAAATCGTAGCATACTTCGAAGCCCGGTGTGTCTGTGCCATTAGACTAAGGATCGGGTCAAAATGTGTGCGATAGTGACCAAGCGTGTCAGGGTGTCAGTACTGGGTGATTCGCCAAAATGGCGCATTAGTCTCAGAATCTGCCAATCGACATGCGCACATTCTCCCTTTTTCAGCGAATGAAAGCAAGCGACGCGAAACGGCGCGGCTCGCTTCAACTTGACCCTTGGCGGTTACTTTGGATACGTGCGGGAAGACGGCGATGGACGCGCTGGAGGCCAAGAAGAGCGAGGGCAATGCGCTGTTCCAGCAGCAACGCTTTGCCGAAGCGGTTCAAGTCTACACCTCGGTGCTTGATGGCTTGGCAAGCTTAGGGGCTGCCGAGGAGGCAGCTGTGCGACTCAACACGGCGGTGAGACTCAACCGCGCATGGGCGTGGATCCAGATGCCCGAAGGCGACGGCAGCGCCTTCACGCTAGCGGCAGCTGAGCAGGACTGCAGCGCTGTGATCGGTAGGGATCCATGCTGTGTGAAGGCGTTTTATCGCCGAGCGCTGGTGCGAGAGCGCATGAGCCACTGGAAGGTAAGATAATGATGCACGTGCTGCTACTCATGACCGGTAGTACCCTGACGGCTAACGATACTCTAGTCTGCAATGGAGGACGCGACCGCTATGAAGCGCTTAGAGCCCAGTAACCCTTCAGTAGGCCCGTTGCTGGAGAGGCTGCGACGACGTATACAAGAAGAGAAGGAGGCAAAGAGCTTGGCTCCGAATTTCCAGCAGTGCACGATCGATGAAGGTGACAACAGCACGAGCTCTGCCAGTATAGACCTGGGTGATGAGGCAGACAGCGCTTGGCGTGCCCTTCAAGCAGACGAAATGAACCTCCAAAAGGTTTATCATGCCACTACGAAGCCAAGGCGCAAGCCAAGGAAAACACGGAAGGACACAAAAGCAGCACAAAACGAGCAACCAGCGAAAGGCAAAATATCGGAGAAGACGGATGATCTCTGGGCATCGCTACGGCGAGAGGAGGCCACGACGGTCGCAAAAGCGTTTCCTCGGTCGAGGAAGAGCCCCCCAGCAAGTTGAGCATTAGCGAGATGTTAACGGTAAATCGCAGTCACTACGACTTCTTCCATTCGATAGGGCACCTGCAAAAAGTTAGCCTCAAGAAAGAAGACAAAACGAACGCAATCTATTACCTTATTCCTACCAGTCCTCATCTTCATCGTCGCCCAAGTCGATGATTTGTGGGCGCGTTTTACGATAACGAAGCCCACAGCTGGAGCAGCTTGCATTGGATCTTGGATTGATCAATGTGCAACGTGAACAGCTCCACACCGAAGGTACCTCGCTTTCTTTGTGTTCATCGTCCGAATCCACGACTTTTTCTTTACGAGATGAGCGTTGATCGCTAAGGACATCATCCACGAAGGCGTCCTCTTCATCCGAGTCTGAAAAGTCTGAACTGAATCTCCGCTTCTTCAGTGGGAAGCTTTCGACTTGCGAGGCAAACGAAACTCTCCTCTTCAACTTAGAAGGGTCTGCGGCAGACTCTTGAGGTGCTTCCTCCTGAGCAGGATGCGACGACACTTCCAACGAATTCTTTGCTGGTGGGGGGCGTCGAAGTGGCGGTTTTGGAGTGCACGATATGTCGACTTCATCGGATAAAGATCTTTGTCGGGGAGCGGAAAGTCGTGCACCTTCACCCCCACTCTCCGACTCACTTTCGCCAAGAACTTCGTCGTGCTCTTCTTCGCTGCTGCTTGAATATACGACCTCTGACTCATCAGACCCATCCGTGGCTTTCGACGCCTTCGACTTTGAACGCTTCGAGTTGTTCTCCTTTTCAGCGCGCTGCTTGTTTGCGGCAATGATCTCCAAACGCTTGCGCTTGCGCTCTTCATCACGCTGATTCTCTTTTTCTTCGTTTTCAGCCTGGTGCTCCTGGAGTAGTTCCCAATCGATACGACAGCTAAACGCGAAACTCACTAGATCATTCTGAACTTGCTGAAGTGCGGCTTGCATGACTTCATCGTCGACAGAGGCGTAGGCACGGTGGTGACCCCAGCTGTTCAAATCCTCTTCTGGGGGCATGCCAATCTGCGGGTGATAACACTTGTCAGCGTCCTTGTCATTATCTTCGTCACTTGTGCTACGATCAGGCGAAGTTTCATTTCCAGATTCCTTCCCATTTTCGTCATCGTCATCAATTGTAATTACTGAGGCGGCATCACCACCAGCATCGCCGTCGCCTCTCCATTGGCAGCGATCACATTTCAGCTGGTCGTGTGTGTCAGACAACGTATCCTTGCGGAATACAAACAGCCGCTTCAAGTCCTTTGACGACAGCGAATTCACTTCCTCTTTATCGTCGACGATGTTTTGTAGGCCCTCCTTTGAAAGCTGCCGTTGAAATATCTTCTCTTCGAGTGTACCAGTCGCCAGAAAACGATACACGTAGCACATCTTCTTCTGCCCTTCTCGCCACACACGAGCTGCAGCTTGCTTGTCCGTCGCAGGATTCCAATCCGGATCAAACAGTACCAATCGGTTCGCACCAATTAGGTTTAAGCCACACCCGCCAGCTTTACTCGACAGTAAAAACGCAAATGAATTCGTGGTGGGATCATTGAAGGTATCAACAAGCTTCTTCCGTTTCTTTGCCGAGGTGGTTCCATCCAGACGAACGAAAGGCAAATGGCGTTCCTGGCATAGCGTTGATACCACATCCAGCGTCTGTGTGTAGTTCGAAACAATCACGATCCGGTCTGTTGTTGTCTTCCTCATCGCAAACATTAAGCGGTCGAGCAGAAGCATCTTACCCGACCATTCTGGATAGCAAGTGCGACCACCGAAGCCTCCTCGTCGATGCAGACCGTTATCACCCCCAGTATCTCGGGATTCCTTTGCTGCTGAGAAATATTGTGCACAATTGCTGAATCCTGGAAGCTTGGTATTGGTTTTACCCATTTCGTCGAAAATCAGCAGCGGATGATTGCAAAGTTTCTTTAGCGCTGTGATAGACGACAGAACATTTGCGCTCTGACGTTTCATCATATCACGGCACGCACTCGATGAAAGGAAGTGCATGTAGAGTTGCTCCTGCAGAGGAGACAGCGGACAGCAAATCACTTGCATCAGCTTTGGCGGGAGGTGCTTGGCGTTCAGTATGTTACCACGGCGAAGAATGAACTGGTTCACAATTTCACAGAGCATAGCCGAGCACGACTGTGCCACACCTCGTTCACGATCTGTAGAATCCGGTTCTCGGCCAACCAAGATTGGCCCCAGGTAATTCTTTCGAAACTCACTTGGTGTGCCCAAAATATTGGGATTGGTAAAGTCCACCATTGCGAAAAACTCTTCCAAATCGTTCTGCATCGGTGTACCAGAGAGCAGCACTCGTTTTCGGCACGCCAGCGACGATAACGCCTTGTTAATCTGGGAGTTGGCATTCTTGAGTCGATGCGCTTCGTCACAAATCAGCAGCTCACAACATTCTGGAGTATCCGCGAATTTCTGCGCATGCATTCTGAACGTCTCGTACGAGATGATCAGTACCTGTGCCGAGAATCCTGGTCTCGGTCTCTTGCTTCCTTCGATAAACTGGTTAATGCCTTTGATCACAGTCTCACGCTTCGCCTCATACAACGCCACAGTCTTGACACGTCCGTGCAACCACTTGATAATCTCATCGTCCCAATTCTTCACCAGTGACGTCGGGCACACCACAATAGCTCGCTTCACAGTTGGCTGCATGTCCATGCCCGTCATCAACAACGTGTACATGAGCGTGATACTCTGCAAGGTCTTGCCCAGACCCATGTCATCAGCAAGGATGCATCCTTGACCGTCGAAGCCCCTGACTTGGCACACACAGTCGAACATGAACTGCACGCCCTCACGTTGGTGAGGACGCAGGAACTTGCCGACGATTTCTGGCACCACCACCTTGATCTCTGGGTCAGTTTCGCTCTGCCACAGCACGAGAGGCGGCGGCGCTTCGGCCGCTGGCGCAGCAGCAACAGGAGCCTCTTCTACTGCTGGAGGCTCCGGTTCCACGAGCGTCTCGACCTCCTCGACGTCCACTTCAACAGGCGGCAGGTCGTGGCGCACCATGGGCTTCAGCGCTGAGCCCCAGCGCCGCCGCATGCCCAGCGTCTTGGTCTGCAGCAGGCGGTTGCTCTCCTGGGTGCGGCCTCCCTCTCCACACGGAGACTTGAACTGGCGCCGCACGTGCTGAGCGCGACGCTCGGGCTCCATCACCAGGAAGGACAGGAAGGGCAGGCGCTTGACGGACAGCGACCCGCCGCTGCGCAGCGCCTGGCGGTTGCTGGCGGCGTCCGCGTCTTCGTACGCGTCGTTGTCTTCATCCTGCGGCTGAGTGCGCGTGGGCTTTGCCTTGACGGGCAGCACGAACGGCTTGAACTTGGCGCCGCCGCCGCCTCCAGCAGGCCGTCGCCGCAGCATCTCTCTGCTGGAAGAGCTCGATTCAAATTGTACGGAAAGGCGGTAAATGCTAGTCAAGCTATGAGATTGGTAGAAATCAATGGAAAAGACCATCATTCAGGGTGGATAAATGCCACTTCGTATGTGATTGGAAGAAAGTGAGGAAGTGATGTTAAACGGACTTTGCACCAATAGCGGCGCAGACAACCTCATCCGCTCTCAACGGTGCAAAATGGTCGCTGGGGCGCAGGTGGCGGCGTTCCAGCGCGCGCTTCTCCGTCGGATACAGACCGCTCCGCTCGGCCGAGCAGCTTCGGCTGCTACACAAGACACCGTGCTACCTATTGCAGGTCTCCGTGCGCGCCAATTCGCTGTATTGGCTTCGAACGACCGGTCAGCAGGTCCTCAGACGGCGTTGGAGCGACTATCGGAGGCGTCCAAGCCGTCGTGGCGACTACGCGCGGCTGTGAAGGATGTGGAGGCGTCCTTACCGTCAGACAGGGGCAGGAGGTTCTACAACCGTCGAGTGCTGGAGGCACTGGAAACCAGCGACCTCAACCGCGCTTGGGCCATCGTGGAGACGCTGCTCCGCCGGCACCCGGACAAGGCGGTGCTGTGGCCGTACACGTACAACCTGATGCTGCGGCACTACTGCAAGCAACAAAAGACGCTGATGAACGCCAACTTGACTCGGATTCTGGCCCTGCTTGACGCTATGGTTGCCCAGGGCTGTGCGGACCAAACGAGCTTTCAGGTGGCGATGGCTGCGTGCAGTCGCGCACGCCATCTACGCAGTGCGAGACATGTAATGGAGAAGATGCGAAAGTGTGGAAGGAAGCCTGATGCAAGGATCTACGGGTTCTTAATCAATTGTTGTGCGAGGAAGCAAGGATTAGTGAAGCTCGCGAACCAGTATTTTGAGGAGATGATGCGTGATGGAGTGGCACCGACGATTCTGGCGGTCAATGCAATGCTGCGTGTGTACTCTCGTGATTGTGGACGGTCGACGGTGATGCTGGATCTGGTTAAGCGTGCGCAGGATGAATTCGGTCTTGTCCCGAATACTGTAACGACAAGGACAATGGTGTACTACCTACTGTGTGAAGGTGACGTGGACGGAGCTGTGCAATTTCTACGTGATGTTGAGAGAGCATTTCCCCTTGAAGACTCCATAGAATTGCCTGTGCGGCGGCAAGTTGTGAATGCGGTGGTTGATAGTTGCCGCCAGCGTGGCGAATGGAACTTGGTGGAGTACGCCTTGGCCTTCGCGAAAAGGAGCCAACAAAGTGCTACTGGGGACAGCGATATGCAAGACACTGCATCGCTGGAGCAGCTGGTTGCAAAGCGTGACGCGATATCGAATGCAGTCGTGTGGACACTGGACGAACAGGATTGGTCTCGGATGGCGCGATCAGACCAGGAAGCATTCCTTCTGAACCGAAGCCAGAAAGAGAGTGTAGAGCGCTCGTTGGAGCGCATGCAGTTGCCCACCAGCTCGGATCGAGCGATTGAAAGGCTTTCTCTAAAATTGGATGGCAAACTACGTGTACTGGACGAGATCATTCACGCCAAGAACGCAAGTGCAGCAGATTTCAATGCCGTTTTAGGTGCTTGTGGGAGACAGGGGAACCTGAGTGAAGCGGTGTCTGTGCTTACAAAAATGAAGAAGTACGCCGTGTCTTCTCCGGAGTGCACACCGACGACGTGGAGCTACAATGCGCTTTTGAATGCCTGTGCGGTCCGTGGTGATGCTCGTCAAATAGATTCAATTTTGAACGAGATGATCGAAAGTGATTTACTACCCGATCAAGTGACTATGAACACGGTACTCAAGGCACACACCGCAAATTTAAAGAGTAGTGGGAGGGATGCACGCGCTCGGGTCAAAATTGTTATGGAAGGTCTCTCGTTCTTTGAATGGTGCACTGAAGACCAGAAAGTCGATTCAGGGGCCGCGACATACTATTCGCTCTTCCGGTTATTTTCTACGTTCTTGGAGAGTCCAGAAAACAGCAATACCGATGTCGATGACGGCCTGCTAGGCGGCGAGGACCGGGATGAAGAAGTGATCGACGGACAAGAGTTGGAAATGTTGGCGTGGATGGCGGAGTTTATCACCAATACCTGCCGTGACGCACCGCTCAGCTCACTTGATGTCGGCGTGTTTAACAATGCGTTCGCTTATTATCACCACCTCGGGGAGGTGGATGCAGCTTTCGCTTTATTTGACTTGATGAAGAAACGTGGGATTCAACCGGATGATACGACATTGGGGCTGATGTTCGCGACCTGCGCAAGCCAACAGCAATTTGAGGTGGGCTTAAACTTTTTGGATCACATCATGGCTGCCGATGGTTATAAGCCTACTCTGAAGGTACTCAGTGGAGCCATGCAATTGTGTGCAAATTCAAAGAACCCTGATGGCGCGCTGGAGCTCTTCCGTGCAATTGAGACATCAGGCGCATTTACTCCGACGATCGAAACGTACGAGCCATTGGTGTTCGCATATGCTCGCGTTGGAAATGTATCTAGTGCCTGGGATATCGCAAATGAGATGGAAGAAAAGCTTGGTAGGGCCTCTGTAAGTATCTATAACCGCATCCTGTTGGCATGTTCCGAGGCGGCACTTCCTGGACGTGCGCTTGAAGTACTGGATGTGATCCGCCGTAAGCGTGCCGTGACCGCCGACATCATTTCTTACAACACAGCATTAGAAGCTTTCGTTAGAGCTGGGGAGCGGGCTGCGTGGTGGAGGAAGAACAGAAACAACTGGGAGGAAGACGATGATGTCGTAGATTATGACGAGGATGGTGATGAACAACTGAGCGACGAGCTTCACAGTAGCGATGAAGCTTTCGCCCAGACTAGTGAAGATTTCGCAGTGGAGTCACCGCACTACTACGATTATGAACAGCGTGAAAACGCTGCTTGGGCTCGTGCAAGCATTATTGAGCTTCTGGAGGAAATGAAGCAGAACCGATTGAAGCCTGACATGACGACGTATGAGCATGCGATAGCTGCGTGTAGTGTGAATGAGGACTTCGAGGGTGTCATTACCATTTTTGACACCCTTATCAACCGCAAGCGGGACAAGAAATCTGTTGAGCTGAAAAGTGATCTCGTGAGCGACTCAAGCTTTTCAGCGTATCTTGTGGCATGCACATCTTTGGAGGACAAGGATCGCGTGGTCGAGGTCCCGACACTGCTTCACAAGTGGCACACCGCGACGGGCCAACTTCCGCCAGTTTTTGTCGTCACTCAGTTATTGGACTCGTTGGAGAAAGTCGGCGAATGGCGTCGCGCTGTTCGGATGCTTCCCGATATGCAGGCAATGTTTGGTATTCCGCCCAGCATTGCCGTGTTTAATCGAGTCATGCAGATGTGCAACCATGCAGGAGAACATCAGCTTGTCGCTCCAATATTCGCCACTATGCAGGATGCCAGCGCCTATCGCGTCTTTCCTGATGCTGAGAGCTACATCCAACGAATCTACGCAGAGGAACAGCGTGAGAACTGGGTAGCGGCCACCGATCTGTTTGTCGAAATGCAAAATAATTGCCCAAGTGAAGAGATTTCTCATCACCAGCTTCAGAAGATAGCGTTAGGTAGGTACAGGATGCGCCAAAATGATCATTAAATGCCAAAGTCTCCTGTTTCACACCTGTATGCATCCGCCCAGCATCATTGCTACAAGTGAACATGTACATACTCACATTTGGTTTTCAAGCAGGCTCTCCTCTTCATCGCGCAGCTCAGGAATCGAAGACGACAGAGACAAACCGTAGTTGGGGCTTCCAGGAAAGCTGCTCGACGTAGTGCTGGCACTGCTGTAACCTTCTCCATTGCTGTTGCTGCTGGGTCGAGCGTAGATGGACTTGTCCGAGGCGGAGCAGTGGAAGAAAGCCGCACCAAAGACGAGGACCAGTGCAGCGATGGCAAACACGAGGTCACTCCAAATTGATTTGTACCGGTATCTGACAAAAACTTGCATGTAACGACAGTTCTAAACGAACTGCGAATTCGGGAATTTTCATCTTCGAATCGGACGCACTTTGGGGGGATCGTTTTATCAAGTCGAGAACAAAGAGTTCGGTTAGCACATCGACGCCGTACGTTGTGTTGTATGTGTGCTCGGGAGGGACTGGTTTCACCGAAAAGTTGTTCTTCGGGCCATCTGCCGCAGATGAGCTGATACTCCTCAAAGTAGCCCACAAACACTTGACACGTCAATAATAAAGTTTCAGTGCGCGAGGTGAGAACAAACTCTTGGCATGACTTTCGGTCGGGACAAATCGGTATGTAGATTGGTGGCTTGGCCGAATTCGCGAGACCGAATATCGCATGCATCTCTTTCAGTTGAGTACTGCAGGTGGCATGCTGTTCTGCGACAGTCACTTGAAGGTACGCCACGCCGCCTGACTCAAGCTTCACAATGCTGTCAATATTGGGGAAATTATCGCACGCAGGAAACCAATACGCGAGCTCGTCATTGTCCCGCCATTCTTCCAAATAAGGCTTATACTCACTTTAGGTTCCCCGTTGAACAGCAGTACCGTTTTTGAGGAGCACGGGCTTGAATTCATAACCACGAGGTTCATCTGGTTTCCTATACGTCAGTGGATCGTATTCAAGTGATTCATGTCCGGTGCTTCGAGCCCATGCATAGATTCGAAACAGCGCGTCCGATCGCAGCCGGATAGAGAGTGTAAGAACGGCATATTCCAATTTCGCCTGGCGATAAAATGATTTGTGTCATCAGCATCTTTCACGAATGTATGGCGCAATCGATCAACTTGCGATCCCGTCAATACACCGGAGTTGTTCGAGAGTACGTTTGAGATATCATCCACACCACTGATCGCATCATCAATTGCACTGCGTACGTCCTCCGATGTAGCAAGTGTAAATTCACGCACGCTTCCGCCAGAGTAGTAGAACCGTTCTTCCATATCCTTAGTGGCAAAGTTGACCACAAATCCTTCTTTGACCAACAAGGCAACAGGCAGCAGTACGCATCAACTCGTTCTTGAGACTTCAAATTCACTTGCTGCGACGTTGTCAGCATCTTGAACGTCCGCACACCTTCCGGAATATCTTGGTAACGAAATCCATCCAACAACAGCCATACGTTCGATACGCCCTGTTGGCGGATGAGCTCTTCATATATGTTGATCGCATTCGGCGCTTTGCATCTCTGCACAGCAAACTGCACGACCTTGCCATCTTCGTAGCCCAGGTAGAAAAGACAGTTTTCCTGTTCAAGCTTGGCCAATCGTCGATACACTAGCACATTCTTCTTGTACTTGAACACGAGATAAAAGGCCATCACACACAGCAGCGTCAACTTGCCGATACCCGGTGATCCCATGAGGATGCTCTTCTTGTTCGTGCGAACATTGATGTTGCCATCCGTAGACTTTCGAAACCATCCATCAACAAGTATCGACGCGACCTGCTTGTCTTCCAATCGCCAAAACATCTTTCCGTTGTTGGTACACCCACCCAAGCAGCTCATAAACTGCCAGATCAATGGAATCTCGTGCACAGCGCTAATGGTCCATTCTGTCAGTGAGGCCAATGGTGCTTGGAATTTCCATCAGTTCGGCCGCTGGTGCTACAGTGCGAGGAACAAGATGCTGCGTCGGCACTACCACGATTTGCGTGTCTTGCGCATCGAGACTACTCAACGATGGCCTCGGATCCAAAGGCTGCGCTTTCTCATCGTCGAATGCTTTCCTGTTGGCATAGACATCCAATTGGTTGACCACAATGTGAGCCAGAATATCCGGTTCTTCGCGCCGATAGTTACTGCGAATCTTCTTGCGGAGGTCGTCGATATCGCAGACACCACCAGATGACCCAGATGACACCTTGTGATGCAAGAACGCGCCGCCAGTAGCTTCATCTACCAGGTGAAACCACACTTTCCGCGCCACGTCTTCTTTCTAATTACAAAACATCTTTTCTGTTAGTCTTGGTTGTTGACGATACCTCTGTGGGTTGCTATCCCGCGCAATCGTCGCTTACCTGCTGCGCTTCCTGCATGCTTTTGCTTGCTTCTGCGTAGGTTGCTTCCCAAGCAACCTGTCATGCGAACATGGTTCGAAATTGGGTACAAATAGATGGATTGAAGTAAAGCGAACCCAGCATGGAGAACTACAGCTTGTCCCTCCAATATTCGCCACTATGCTGGATGCCAGCGCTTACCGCGTCTTTCCTGATGCTGAGAGCTACATCCAACGAATCTACGCAGAGCAACAGCGCAAATACTGGGTAGCTGCCACCGATCTGTTTGTCGAAATGCAAAATAATTGCCCAAGTGAAGAGATTTCTCATCACCAGCTTCAGAAGATAGCGTTAGGTAGGTACAGGATGCGCCAAAATGATCATTAAATGCCAAAGTCTCCTGTTTCACACCTGTATGCATCCGCCCAGCATCATTGCTACAAGTGAACATGTACATACTCACATTTGGTTTTCAAGCAGGCTCTCCTCTTCATCGCGCAGCTCAGGAATCGAAGACGACAGAGACAAACCGTAGTTGGGGCTTCCAGGAAAGCTGCTCGACGTAGTGCTGGCACTGCTGTAACCTTCTCCATTGCTGTTGCTGCTGGGTCGAGCGTAGATGGACTTGTCCGAGGCGGAGCAGTGGAAGAAAGCCGCACCAAAGACGAGGACCAGTGCAGCGATGGCAAACACGAGGTCCCACGACCCCGTAGCTTGAAGGATAGCTCCAGTGACCACATTACCGATAATGCCCGGAATGGTTCCGAAGGTGTTGGAGACTCCCATGACATGTGCAGCGTGGTTCGGTGCCACATCGATCATGTTGACCCAGTAGCCAGCCATGGCAGCGCGACTGGTAAACAGTGTCATGCACAGCAAGGCCACCGCCATCGGCGCCGACTTCGCCAGACGCAGCGAAAAAAGGAAGAATGCGCATCCGAGGAATGAAAACGCGTTCATGGCCTGACGGACGTGCAACTCACGGTACCCGCGAGTGACCAACAGATCTCCCAGCCGCCCAAACAACAGCGTGCCGGTGTAGCCACACATATAGGGCAGCGCAGCAGCGAACCCACCCTTCTTGGCCAAATCAAGGTCCAGTACTTGGTTGAAGTACTGCGGGATCCAGCCCAACAGAATGTACCAACTGTAGTTGTAGCACATGTGTGCCACGTAGATGGCCCACGCAGGACGCGAAGTCAGCAGAACACGCCAGTTCATAGCGTGTGTGTCTAACTCAGCGCGCGAGCTCTGGCGCCTGTGCGTGTCGGGGTCCACAGTGCGGCTGCGAATTATGAAACTGCGTTCTTCTGTAGTGATCTTCGGGTCCTCCTCGGGTCGACTCACTCCCATGATCGAGTATACCACGACCCAAATGAAGCTCAGCGCACCAAACACAAGGAATATACGCTGCCACCCGCTCGCCGCCATGATGGCAGGCGAAATGAGCAGCGCAGAGATCGTGCCCAAGTCCGAACCACTTGCCACCAGCGACACGAGACGACTCCGCTCCTGCACCGGGTACCACGCGCCGGCAATTTGGTGCATACAGGGAAATAGGATACCCTCTCCGAGCCCCATACCCGCTCTCGTAAAGAATAGGCACGTGAGGCATTTGGCCACGACCACCGTAGATACGTCCTGCAATATTGACGCAAAAGAAACGATGTCATCAGAACTGTATCCCCTCCCATAGACCACCGATCTGTGTCGCCACGTACAAACAGCGTCCAGACAACAACTCCGGTCAGCAGCACGACCTTGGCACCAAACCTGGTCGCAAAGTACCCTCCCGGAATCTACAGCAACAGCAGAATCTCTTTAGAAGCTGGGTTTTGTTGTTTCAACCTTTCGTGCTGCCGTACTTGGGTGCACATGTAGCCGTAGAAGAAGGCGGAGAGCACTTCTCCCTGCTCCTTTTTGTTGGTGACGAATGCAGGCAGTGCAATTCCCATGTTGGTTCCTGCGCATCAAATCAGAGTCAAACTTTGCAAGTGCAGCACGACTCACACACATAAGACGCACGTACGGTCGGCGTAGCAGATCGTGGAGACGCACAGGCACAGGAAGGCCGTCACATAGCGCCGCTTGCCCTTTGGCAGCTTCGCGGAGACGTCGCCCGCTGCAGTGGCGATGTCCGCCTTCTTCCACGCCTCCTTGCTCGGCATCGCTCCAGATGTCAAATGAGCGGATCGCGACCGTTATGGGAGCACACTCATCAAGGGTTTCAGCCAATCACGGGCGGGTAGACCACTTCAACTGCGTCAGTGGCACTGACTCAGTGCAGCCCTTCATGGCCTGGGTGGCATTTCAACGCATGGGATTGCTTGGACACATCAAGATAAATTGACACACTCGCTTGGAGCGGATAAGCTTACAGGACTAACGTGAGGCCGTGGTCTACCCTAGCGGCGACTTGGCGCGGTACCGCTTCGGTGCCGCAAGTGCTGACGTCTTGGCGGTCTTGCGTGGTGCTGTGCCTGTGCTGGGCACCTTCATGGTCCTATGCGGATGGGCCACTGCGGGCTTCTTGTGCAGTGCAGACGACCCTGTCCTCTTGATCTTGGACGGGGTGGTGCTGACTGCAGCGCTGGGCTTGATCTTGGACGGCGTGGTGTTAGCTGCAGCGCTGGGCTTGATTTTGGATGGCGTGGTATTGACAGCAGCGGAAGGTTTGGTCTCGACTGGAGGTCCTGGGGTCTTCGCCGTTCTACAAGCATCAGCTGCTGACACCGGGTCAGGATTCTTTGATTCTTGACTGCTAGATAATGAGCTGCTAGCGGTAGCGGTAGCAGTCTCGGTAGTCTCGGCGCTCACGGGGGCATCACTTTCCGTTTGCTCGGGGGTGTCTTCCGTCATATCGTCAACGGCAATGGGACTGGCATCGCTTAACCTCCTTCGCTTGTGTCCAGATAAACTCTCGGTTTCCATGAAGTTGGAGAAGCTGGATGTATTCTCCACGGACTTCTCCGTATCGACGGGAACCTTGGTAGCCGGGAAAGTTGGAAAAGGCCGATTGTCCTTCTTCATCGGTGTCGCTCCCGTCCGAGTATTGATCTGCAGACAATAAGCAACATGCAAACGCCAGTCAGTCGACAATTTATAATTTACAGGGCCGAAGAAATAAATGCAGCCATCTTACCCGCCGTTTCTTCATGTACTCCTCCATCGCTTGCAATTGTTGGTTGGACGCCTCGGTGGCTGCACCGACAATCTCGTTACCAAGAGCAGATGCTGAATCAACCCTGCTTCTAGTGTGAGAAAGTTGGGTTTGAAGCCCCTTTTCCAACGTCTTGCATCCACCATTCAATAGCTGGCGGAGGTCCTCGTGATCGCTCAAGAACTGAGTCAACTGCTCCTGTTTCTTCGTAGATATCGCGATCTCTGCTTGTGAGTGATTCTCCATAAGCGTCGTCATACCCTGCGTGTGCGATTTAGCCAGCGCAGTAACTTCGTTGCCCCAGGTCCTTTGCAGCTGCTCGTGTGATTGGATTAGATCTCTTTGCCGCACGTTCGCGTCACCAAGTTGGTCTCGCATTGCGGACAAGTCCTCGCGGAGCCCTGCCATATCGCTTTCGTGCTTCGAGTTCTGGTTGCCCATAGCCTGAACGTAGGCCTTCATTTCTTGTTCAGTGATGCTCTGGACGTGCGAGAGCTGCTTCTGCTGATTCATCGTGCTCCTTTCGATAAGCTTTGTTTGCTCTTCAAGCTTTCGTGACTGGTTGTGAATGCACTTCTCGACGTACTGAGCCAGATGTGCCTTCATACCATTCAGCTCCTCTTGTTGTTGAGCATTGTTGTCCTTCAGCGCTGCCGTCAGTGCCGCCTTGCTTTCGTCAAGCTCCTTGATTTGTTTTTCGATCGACATATCGATTGCAACCTGCAATTCTAACAGCTTATCACTCTGCTCGATCAGAAAGCTGTTCAGCTCTTCGCGTGAACTCTCCATCGCCGACTGCATGCTCTCCAGAAATGCCACGCTTTGAGATTTAGACGTAGCCAGATCTTCCATAATAGCTGCTGCGTGGTTCTTGGACATTTCAACCAGTTCCTCGAGCTGTTTTCCCATACGTTCCTGCTGTTTTTTCACTGTTGTGGTCACTTCGTCACGCTGGGCTCGCTTTTGGACATCATCTTCAGCGAATGATTCGCTAACCTGAGCTTTCCGCGCTTCAACAAGGCCTTGCAGTGCATTTAGGCTTGTTAATAGGCCATCCAAGTCCGCCGCATGAGCCGTCTGCAACTCATGCAAAGCATTTGATACATCTTGAAACACTCCTTCTTGATTTTCCTTGTGCTTCGCCAACCCCTGCAGGAACGACTGAATCTGCGACTGTGACTCACTTCGATACGAATTCGCTAGCGATGTGTTTGCATCATCTGCTCGCTGGGTGTTTTCTGAAATGACAGCAAACGCGTTAGCCGACAGCGAAGCCAGAAAGAGAAAAAACAGTTACGTACCAATCTTTGCCACTAGCTGTGCCGCCCGCTTTTCGCTGTCAGTGTAGAGCTTCGCTGCAGCACTACCCTTATCGAGTAGCATCTGCTCGTTTTCCTGATAGGCCTTCAGTGTTGCCTGTACTTGCTGCAACTTCTGCGTCGTCCTCTCCAGCGTCTCCTTTGTAGTAGCAAGTTCGCCTTCCGTAGCAGTCAATTTGTTGCTCACCTCTTGCTTTGCATGTGTCAGGGCAGCGACCTCACTCGCATGCTTTTCAGCAGCTTCTTCAAGCTCTTTACAAGAAGCGTTTCTTGCCTTGAGCATCTCTTCTAGCTCCGTCAGTTGGACACCCTGACCGCCCAATCTTTCTTGCATATCCGTAAACTGCTCCAGCGGAAGATAAACGCCGTCTTTCAGTCTGGCAGCACGCAAAGCTGCCCGGAGGGTTTCAATTTCGCTTCCAAAGTCATTCAACAGCCCCGCCTTGGTCATCTTCTGGTTCAGTTCGGGCTTATTCTTGATATGCTTGGCTCGGAACGCATATTCCAATGTACTCAGCGTCTCGTCAAGACTATCAGCGCATGGGGCCAACGTTGCAATAATCGTCGTCTTTGCTCGACCACCAAGCGATTCCTGCAGCAAGCGCGTCAGCTTACTATCACGGTACGGTACGTGCGGAAGGTTGTCAACCAAAGCCGTGATCACGCGTCCCAACGTAAGCAAACTCTGGTTAATAGTGCCAGCTTCTCTCGCTCTGGCATTGCGCGCTCCCGATCGGCCAACACACTCGGATCCAGCAAGATCCACCAGATTAAGCTGTCCGACACGCAGCAAATCTTCTCCCGGCGCGTTGTGCTCCTTGCTGTGGATTCGAATGGTGAAAATACTATGCGAACGACTCGAGTTCTCGTTCATCAGCGTCTCGGACGTGATGCGGTTCTTCACGCCAGTATTCACGAGTTCGTACACGTGCTTGGCCGTGGTAGCCGTGACCTCGAGCAAGTTCATACAGTAGATCCCTCCTCGCTTGGCGTCCTCCATGAGCCGCAGCTTCTTGTCTGTGTCAGGGTCCAGCAGATCTTTGAGCTCTTCGTTGTAGAGCTGCAGGAAGGACACGCGCACGCTGAACTCCTCTCCGCTGGCCTCCAGCGCGTCGAAGATGCAGCGGACGCTGCGTGGGATGACGCCCGCCGTCTCGCTGCTAGGAGACAGGTCGCCCTGCATCGTGTACGTCTTGCCCGTGCCCGTCTGGCCGTAGGCGAACACGGTGCAGTTGTAGCCCGCCAGCGCCTCGTCCACCGCCGGACGCACCACGGACGTGAACACATCCTTCTGCGTCGAGTACTGGCCGAAGACGCGGTCGAACGTGTACGTCTTGCGCTTGACCACGGCCACCTCGCTCGAGTGGGGCTTGCACTGCACGACGGCGCCGCGGCCCGCGGCCTTTTCGCGGCTGTTGAGCGGCCGGCAGCGCACCGCCACCTGCACGTTCGTGGGCGTGGGGGGAGGCGGCGGCGCGTCGTGGTTGCTGGACACGGAGCACGACGACATGCGTCGGAGCTCGCTGCTGGCGTCCGTCGTCGTCATCCCTGGCCGTCGACTGCCGCTGGGAGAGTGCGGGTTCCGTTTGAATTCGATTCAAAATCGCGCGCGAGAAGTCAGAGTGATGGTCGTGTACTCAATGACGCAAAATGGGTACAGGCGCTGCCTCATTTGTGTGGTGTTACACCAATGAATAATTTTGGTGTGTCGACACACCATCTGACCTGCCGACCAACCAACGCTTTGAAGCGGCATTGCTCGACCCCAGCGCATTGAGCAGTTGAGTGAGTGGCAACAAGATGGCGCAGCAGCCCAAGGTGAGCGAGACGCTGCTGGACGGACAGAAGCCCTTCGCCGAGTGCGAGTTCGGCCTGGACCGCCGCCTCACCAAGGCGGTGGCCAAGATGCGCTTCGTGCACGCCACGCTGGTGCAGGTGCACTGCATCCCGCTGGCGCTGCAGGGCAAGGACCTGCTGGTGCGCGCGCGCACGGGCTCCGGCAAGACGGCGGCCTTCGCGCTGCCGCTGCTGCACAAGATCCTGCAGCACAAGCAGGACGCGCCCGCCAGCGAGCCGGTCGTGCGCGCGCTGGTGCTGGTGCCCACCAAGGAGCTGGTGGAGCAGACGCGCCGCCACATGATGGAGCTCATGTACTACTGCCAGGACACCGTGAGTCTGCTGGCCCTGGGCGGCCAGAGCATGAACGCCCAGCAGGCGCTGCTTCGTGACGCGCCCGACGTGCTGGTGTCCACGCCCGGCCGCCTCGTGGCGCACCTGGAGGCTGGCAATTTGACGCTCAAGGACTCGGTGCAGACGGTCGTCATTGATGAAGCCGATCTGGTGCTGTCTTTCGGATACGGAGAGGACATCCGTACTATCTTCAATGCGCTACCGAAGGCCTGCCAGACGTTCTGCATGTCGGCGACGCTCAGCCCGGAGCTGGAGAAGCTCAAGCGCTCCGTGCTGCACAACCCTGCCGTGGTGAAACTCGAGGAGGGAGCTACGGACGGAAAATTGCAGCAGTTCTACCTGCCCGTGAAGCCCGCCGACAAGGATCTGCTGCTGTACGCGCTGCTGCGACTTGGTGTGGTGAGCGGCAAGGTCATCTTCTTCGTGAACTCGACGGACGCGGCGTACCGACTCAAGCTTTTCTTCGAACAGTTCGTGATTAAGAGCGCCGTGCTTAACGCAAAGCTGCCGCACAACTCTCGTCAGCACATTATTGAGGAGTTCAACCGCGGCCTGTTTGACTACCTCATCGCTACGGACGACAGTGTGGACCGTGACGAAGTCGGCGACGAGGACGAAGATGAAGACGATGAGGACGGTGACGAGGAGGGAGACGAGGAGGAGGAGGAAGAGGAGGAGGAGGAAGACGGTGAGAAGTCTGACGTCGAGTCCGAAGCTGTGGAGGAAGACGAGGAGAAGGACGACGGTAGCGACGACGACGAGGGCAGCGAGAAGGAAGACGACGAAGCCATGGACAGTGATGAAGAGGCTCCTGAAAACGACGGTGACGATGATGACGAGGAGGATGACGAGGAGCAGAAGCAGGAAAAGAAGACAGTGGGCTCCAAGCGTGGTCGTGCTGACGAAGGCTACGGCGTGTCGCGCGGTGTTGATTTCCGCGGTGTGCAGTTTGTTATTAACGTGGACTTCCCGAAGAGCGTGCGTGCCTACACCCACCGCATCGGACGTACTGCGCGTGGTGGCGCCTCTGGTACTGCGCTGTCGCTGGTGTCCAAGGATGACCCGAAGGAAGAGCGTGCGCTGAAGCGCGTCCAGGCTAGGCAGCAGGCTGTCCGTTCCGAGTCGAATGATGTTATCGCGCAGCCCGCTGAGCTTGCGTTTGACCTCAAGGATATTGATTGCTTCCGATACCGCGTGGAAGACGTTCGTCGTGCTGTCACGCGTGTGGCAGTGCGCGAAGCACAACTGGCTGATGTCAAGAAGGAGATGCTCAACTCGGAGCGCCTGGCGGCACACTTCCAGGCTAACCCGCGCGATCTGAACATGCTTGAGCACGACAAGGTGGTGGGTTCGGCACCGGTCCAGCCCCATTTGGCTACCATCCCGGACTACCTGGTTCCTATCGAGCTGCAGCCGCCGGCACCATCGCGTACCAAGAAGAAACACAACAAGCACAACAAGCGTCAGCGCCTCGCCGACGGCAAGCGCCGTACGGACAACGACCCGCTGCACACGTTCGTGGCTCCTGATGCCAATGACGACAAGAAGCAGACTGTGGAGGATCGTATCAGCTACGGCAACTCGGGCGTGGGCAAGAGTACTGCTGGGCGTCAGAAATGGAAGAAGCAGCACCGCAAGGGCCACTTCAATCCCAAAACGATTGCCAAGAAGAAGTACAAGATGAGCAAGGGCGCAACTCATTAAATAGCTGGAGCTTGGAGCCATGCCTGTGGTGCTCGTCAAGGCTAGAGCATGGGCGCCAGGTATCACGGAGCTTTGTTTTGCCAAATAGATTCACGTTTTTGCTTCATGTACGATGTTTCTTGCCAGTTTGGTTATTGAAGATTGCGGTCGACAGTTGAAGCGAAGGCTGGTAGCGATATTGGTCGACTGGTGGCGAAGTAACGCAGAGCTGCCGGTGGCGAGTTGGTAGGAGGAACCAGCAAAGCAAGACTGTCGGAGTCTCCTTGTTCATGTAGCCGGACGATCTGCTGCCAGAGCTCGTCACCTGCTAGTTGTACCACACGGTCTGCCGGGAGCTCTTCATCTGGGACGTCCACTTCAACTAGAGCGGAGTCAGCACGAGGCTGCAGCGCATCGGCCATCATCCTCTTCCGGTCGTACACATAGTCGAGGAGCTGTAGACTACGCATATGCTCAGCATGCTCCCGTTCGACACGAGCAAGGCGTCGGTGGTCTGCCTGGGTGCTGGCCGTGGCGCGCGCTGCCAGAATTTCGGGAGGAGCCGGGAATATCGTGCTCGTGGAGGATGACATTGCGAAAAGTGGCTTGTTGCGGCGCACCACCTCCTCTCGAAGCGCTCGGAAGTCGCGGGTTAAGAGAAGTTCTTCTTCTGCTAGAGCCTTCATGGCACATACTTCGCGAGCCCTCTGTGCTCGTGCGTCTTGATCAACAGCCCGACAATGTGCTTTGTGGAGTTGGTTCCAGTGGCGAATCTGATCGGTGCGAGCTATTTGCATGTCAAGCTCATTGTCGCGGTGACCACGAACTTCTTCGTTGTGCACGTGTCGTGAGATCATTGCAACACTCGCAGTGAACGCACGCGCTATCTCAGTGCTTTGCTGTCGGGCTTGTCGAACTCGCGCCTCGGCTTCCTTTTTCTTACGGTGTTGCTGGAGCTTGGCATTTTTGAGCTTAGTTACAGCGGCGAGAGTAGCGGGGTCAGGTTTGCTGTGTGAACAATACTTCGCATGCAAGAGTGCTGGGGCAGAAGCAGAAGAGTTCAGGGAAGCAGCTCTTGGGGGTGGCTGGCGAGCGTAAGATTCATACGAAAATGAGCTTGTAGCAGCGCTTTCGTGGGCAAGTCGATCAAATGGTGGCTGGGTGGCTTGTGCGGGTGACTGTTGCTCGTCGTAATATAGTGGCGATAACTTTCGGCCCTTCCTTTTGCCTGCTTTCATTGCTTTCTGCTGTTTCTGCCAGGTTTTGAGATCTCGTACGTGCTCAATGAGGAATGTCTCGGTGAACCAGAGCTGGCACCCGTGAATGAAGTCACTCACGGAGACCGTAGGTCCTGCTATCGTCGACGGTTCAGAAGTACTTGAAGGCGGCAGACGTTGCTCCCATCGACGAAAAGCTGCATCGCTAACCTCCAAGCCATGAAAATGTAGCAAAGGTTTAATCTGCACAAGCTTCAGTCGTCGGGTTTGACGCACTTGCGGGTCAAACGTCACCATGAGTTTTTCGCACGCTGCCATAAAAATAACGCGGCGATGGCTGCTGCTTTGGTTTGTGCCGAATATTAGCTCAGTTGGAGACAATGGTAACGTGGATGGTGGCAGTGCTGATAGCGAAGTGGATCCTGGGGCAGGGCTTTCGAACGTAACTGGACGTCGATCAAGCTGCTTGGCGTATGATTGTGGGCGTTGCAGCATGCGCTTCACTAGCTCGCGGTCGCGCACAATTTTCCCTATCGTTTTGATCGCTGCTGTCGAGTGCGGCTGGACGAGCGGTACGGCCTGACGATACAGCTCCAGCATGCTGTCGCCTTCTTCGCGGGACCTGGTCGAGGGATTTTCGAGGCTGATGTCGTTGTATCTGTCAGATGGATCGTCCTCATTACTATCGGGCCGGGGTAGCTGGAAAGGCAGAAGACACTCCACTGCTGAGGGCGTCGACCCCGACAGGCTATGCATGACTGCGTTGTGCGGGCCACTAATGCACTGTTGCTCATTTAGATATGTAGCCATCTTCTGAAAATAGATGTTGCGCTGCGATTGGCTGGGAAGGTTGAAGTGGTGCTAGATGGATACATTTAGTGTGCTCACCGTCCGGTGGTTTTACATGCAGTCCATCTACGTGCGTTCGTGCTCAAAGTAGAGGGTGTAGCAGGTCCGCATCGTTCAGCATACTGTGGCGAATACCGTAGCACAAGTACAAGACGACCCCTGCACCCAGCCAGATAAGCACACCGATCCTGCAACCATTAAGGTTAGCACAGTTTAGCTTCGCTGGCCACGGCCAAACCTATAAAGAGTTCAGGATACGTACCAGCCCTCTCCAGGGATGCTTGCCACCATGTATACATTGGCTAGGATACCCGCACATGGCACCAGCGGCACCAACGGGCACTGGAATGAGGTTGTCAGATCACTGTTCCAGTAACAAATACACAGCAAGTGATATCCTCGTGAGTTGAATTATCTTCATCAATTCGCACAAACGATAGCAGTATCACGCACCTGAGTTTTCCGAGTCGGTAGATGTACACGAACGAAGCAATCACCATCACGACGAACACGCCTTGAATCGTCCACGGGAGATCAAAGACGAAGGACAGCGACAGAGCAAAACACGACGCCACGTACAGAAGGACGCGGTGGACAACACCAGCGCCACCGAGACTTGGACGCATGCGCAGGAGAAGAACACCAGCGTTCACAAAGGTGAAAACTTGCAACGTCCCACACGATATTACATTGGCCAGGAAATCAAGTTCAAACACCAACGCAATGGACGCAACCAGGATGCCCGTGAAAATAGTGCTGGCCACGGGTACGTGGGTCCGGTGGTGCAGCTTGGCGAATATTGACGGCAGTAAACCATCCTTAGCCATTTGGTAGAAAATGCGCGGCTGACCCATCAAGCAGGTGAAGGCGGCAGTGGTGAGCCCGAAGATGGAGCCGAACGACACGATGCGTCCAGCCCACGGTACGCCATGGAACGTGAACGCATTCACAAGCGGAACCTCGTTACCGAGAACATCGACGGGTGCCATGCCAGTCACGACGAGCGAGACGCTCACGTAGATGGTCATCGAGATCAACAGCGAGCCGATGATACCCTTTGGCAGCGTGCGCTGGGGCTCGTGCACCTCCTCGGCAAGGCACGCCACCATGTCAAAGCCCAGGTACGAGAAAAAGACCACACCAGCGCCTGTCATGATACCGTGAACTCCGGCAGGCATAAACGGCTCCCAGTACGTCGTATCCACCTCAGTGCTTCCAAATACAACCACGAACAGTAGCACCGAAATGTTCAGCAGCGTCACGAAAGCATTAAATCTGGCAGATTCCTATACATTGCACGACAAAACAATGGCAAACATTAGCATCTCCACACAATAACAACGATTTTTTTGTCAGCAACATCATGGTCATACGTGAACGCCAGCGAGGAGGATGAAGGTGCAGCAAATGATGAGAAACGCTGCCAGGATGCTACACGACATGCCAAGAAACTCTGCTTGCACGAGCCAACGCGGAAGATGAAGACCCACGTGTTGCAAGAACAAGTGCGCATACGACGCCCAACTACGCGCGATTCCAGCTGCAACCAATACAACGCACGATTAGCTCTCTTCAATACTGCAGCATCGCCATCGTCAACTCTCCGCTGTCGGTACCTGCCGAGATTCCGTAGCCCAGCGTCAGATTCCAGCCGATGAGCCACGCCGCCAATTCACCGAAAGTGATGTACACGAACGTGTAGGCCGAGCCCGTGACCTTCATCCAAACACACATTCAGTCTCACTGCTACCCCTCCCAAAGGCCACGACGCTACGTACAGGCACGCGAGCTGCGAACTCCGAGTACGTGAGCGACGTGAAGATGCAGGCGACGCCGCTCACGAGGAACGACAGCGAGATGCTGGGCCCCGCGATCTGGGCACCCACGCCCACGAGCGAGTAGACGCCAGCGCCCACGGAGCAGCCCACGCCATAGGCGACCAGATCCGTGAGCGTCAGACACTGCTTCAAGGAGGTCGGACCAAGCTCGCAGCGCGACAAAGGCTTCACGCGGCCTGCCGCCTGGAGGAAGCGATCCATGGCGAGGCTGGCGAAGCTGGAGAGAGAGAGAGAATGTGAGGAGATGGCAACCTGGCAGACGCTCACGCTGGACTCTGCGCTCTCGGCTCAGCTGCGTGCCCCTTTAACGTAGGTATCAGGAGTTGTACAACCTTTTTTTCTTTTTAGCCAATTAGATATGTAATCGTGTGGGATTGGTTGAAAATCCCCGTATCCAAAAAGGGGGCAGGCTAGAGCAGAAGAAGTCGAGCAAGGGGAGCGAGCGACGATGGCGTCCGTCCCGACCGAAGATGAGCGCACGCAGGTGCTCAACGCGTACAAGGCCAAGGTCATGGAGCACCGCGAGATGGAGAGCAGGTGCGTATTGTGCTCTGCGCGTCGGAATTAGCGCATGTATCGTCTTGGATCGCGCGTCAACGCGTCGCGATCTTTTGCTTCATCTTCACCGATTCCAGCGGCTTTACTGACGATAGCGTGCCTGTTTCCTGTGGATTCCAGGGTGAAGAACATGCGCGAGAATGTCAAGACGCTCGTGAAGGAGTTCAACAAGACGGAAGACGACCTCAAGGCGCTGCAGGTGCGGAATTACGCCTCGAATTGCGTCTCTCGACCTTTCTGGCTTGACTGACGATGCTGTTGTTGCGCAGAGCGTGGGCCAAATTATCGGCGAAGTGCTGCGTCAGCTGGACGAGGACCGCTTCATCGTCAAGGCGTCGAGCGGCCCGCGCTACGTCGTGGGGTGCCGCGCCAAGGTGGACAAGAGCAAGCTCAAGTCTGGCACGCGAGTGGCGCTGGACATGACCACGCTCACCATCATGCGCTACCTGCCGCGTGAGGTGGACCCCACAGTGTACCACATGCTGAACGAGGACGCCGGCAACGTGTCGTTCTCCAGCATCGGTGGTCTGAACGAGCAGATCCGAGAGCTGCGCGAGGTCATCGAGCTGCCGCTGACCAACCCGGAGTTGTTCCTGCGCGTTGGCATCAAACCCCCTAAGGGCGTGCTACTGTACGGCCCGCCTGGTACCGGTAAGACGCTGCTGGCTCGTGCGCTGGCGTGCAACATTAACGCCACCTTCCTGAAGGTCGTGGCCAGTGCGATCGTGGACAAGTACATTGGTGAGAGTGCCCGTGTGATCCGTGAGATGTTCGGGTATGCTCGCGACCACCAGCCGTGCGTCATCTTCATGGATGAAATCGATGCCATCGGTGGAAGTCGTTACTCGGAGGGCACGTCCGCTGATCGTGAAATTCAGCGTACGCTGATGGAGCTGCTGAACCAACTCGACGGTTTCGACGCACTGGGACAGGTGAAGATGGTCATGGCGACGAACCGACCGGATATCCTGGATCCGGCACTGCTGCGTCCTGGTCGTCTGGACCGTAAGATTGAGATTCCGCTGCCGAACGAGGCCTCGCGCATGGATATTCTCAAGATTCACTCGGGCCCTATCACGAAGAAGGGCGAGATCGACTACGAGTCCATTGTCAAGCTCACAGACGGCTTCAACGGTGCCGATATGCGTAACGTGTGCACTGAAGCGGGTATGTTCGCTATCCGCGCTGACCGCGAGTACGTTGTGGAGGAGGACTTCATGAAGGCCGCGCGGAAACTTGCCGAGACGAAGAAGCTCGAATCCAAGATGGACTACAGCAAGGTTTAAGTTGGTAAAGCTGTGGTCACTGTCATCTGGCGCTGGTGTACATTTTTGTGCTACCTCGTTCAGAATGCTATCAAGAGTCGATACCAGTACGAATGGTCGACCTAGTCAAGCATATACGAGATCAAAATTGAAAATGAGCACCGCTGGATGGTCTGTATCTTGATTGGGCTGACGTTGCTGTTGTTATTCCCTTGTTTGGCGCCGCAAATAACCCGTTTAAGCTCGGACGTAAATGGATGTCAGTTTGCAACGGTGCGTGTTTGAGGCAGGCGAGTAGTGCATTGACATGGCGTCTTCAGGTGGAGCTGGCATGGAGTGCTGTGAGCTGGTGGGTCTCATGGGAGACGTTGCGTATCAGCGTTGTCGAATGCTGCTCCAAGAACTACGAAAGCTGCACCCGATCTTCGTATCGCCGCTGGAAGGGATGATGGAGATCGAGTATCTCGAGTATTTGCAAAACCAACAGGAGAAGATCCCCAAAGCCAAGCGTGCTGAGTTGCTGCGTACGACCCGTCCGATTATACTGCTGCTGGATTCCTCAAATGACATGCTGGACGGTGAAGACGAGTTGCTCGACTTTGCGATGGAGCGGACTCAACTCTCCAGAAACGAATTGTTGGCCGCAGCCGCGTTCGGGGGCGTTCTTGCGGTTGGGAACGACAGTGAAGGCTCCGACAGCGCTCGGAAAGAGTACAGCGAGAAATTGGCACTCGCAGAGGAAACACTCGAGACAAAGGCAGAGGAAGCGGCACAGCAAGCTTTGGCTCGGCATCGCGAACAGTCCGGGCATCAGTTCGCTTTCTTGGTCTTTGAAGTGGATGGGGTGGCGCTGCCTCGAGTAGAGCTCGAGTTGTTCCACGACGTGTGCCCCAAAACGTGCAAGAATTTCCTAGCGTTCTGTGAGCACAAGGTTCCCGCTATTGGCGATGAAACACAGCAATTAGGCTATAGAGGCAACGCCGTCCATCGCATTGTGCGTGGTGGTTGGATTCAAGCAGGAGATGTCGGCGGCAATGGCCGAGGGGACGGACCTTGTCGGTCCCTCTACGGTCTCGAGTTTGCCGACGAGAGCTTCGCCATATCACACAACGCGGCTGGCATTCTTGTACGTTTTTGCTGTCTATTGTATCTGCAAGTTTTGACGCCTCTCATGACGACTTTGATGGTCTTGGCATTCAGTCCATGGCGAATACAGGACCACACACGAACGGATCCCAATTCTTCATCACCCTGGCACCCCAGCCATGGCTTGACCGCCGCAAAGGTACAACAATAGTAGCAATGTCTTGGTAACATATGTTGCGAACTCACGTGTGTATGCATGGATATGACCTTCAGTTGCATTTGGACGAGTCGTGAGTGGTTGGCGTACTATCATGACCATCGGCGGCTTGGAAACGAGTCACGAGCGACCTTGCGTGCCCTGCACTATTGCCGATAGCGGAAAGCTTCAGTGAGGCAGCGCGGTAGAGCAACATGCTTCGAATCAATAAATAATGCTTGCTATTTCACCGAGAATACGTAGCAAAATGAAGATGGCGTTGGCCGCCTTAGACTACAGCAGTTTGCTCAACGGGGGAGGAGGCAACCGACATTTGCGCTGCAACCACAGCAGGAGAGTCAACCACTGCAGCGGAAGAAGGCGAGCTGTTGCTGTTCACTTGAACAAGCTGCAAGTCGTATCGCAGTCGCTTGAGGTCCACAAGAGAGCGAATCTTGTGGAACTCGAGGCCGAGTGCGAGACTTACCTGTTCCTCCTCAAGCCCATCGCCGATAGCGACAAACTCCACGTCTGGCGCTTCATACTTCGCCATGATAGTCTCAAAACACCGATACTTGTGCACCTTCGCCGAGCTGTAGACTCGATCGATCGGGAAGAACGCGTCCAGCTGATAGATGAGGCACTTGCACAACGCTGGCACGAGCTGCGTGTTGGTGACCAGCACATTCACGTTCTCCACCTCCTCGTCTGTCTCTTTATCCTCCGCCGTACTTCCTGCTTCCACGTCAGGCTGCGGTAAGTCCGCCCTGGACTGTGCCGAGTCTTTAATCAGCTCCAACACCTGTCGCGCTTCATGCAGCCAGCCCGTCGAGAAGTTGTCGATGGCGGCTACGAGAGCACCGCGGATGGCAAACCACTCACTGTTGGCATCATGCAGGAAATCAACGTGGCCACGACGTTCGTAGATTTCCTTGATGCGCTCATATCTCTCTTGCACAGTAAGCTGTTGCTGTTCAGATGCACTGCCTTGCCCCGGCTCAGCAGTTTCATTCTCCAACGACGAGGCAGCTACGTGAGTGATATGGTCCACGTCCGCATCGTGCAAGTCGCTGAAGAAGAAGTGCCTCTCCAGCATTGCGAGCAGAAATGTCATCATCTGCTCCCCAAGTGCTACCGACTTGGCCACCTCCTTGCCGTGGGTCTGGGCGAACGTGCCCGTGTACAGCGACGCGAAGAGCACGAGCGTCTCGTCCAGGTCCCAGATGAAGACGCGCCTTCGAACGCGCGGCTTGACTGGGCTCCCAGCCTTCGGTGCCTCACTGGACGCCTCTTCACTGCCATCTCCTTTGTCCTCTTCATCACACGCTTGCTCCTTCTCGTCCCCCTGCCCCCCGTTCTGCTCGAAAGCTTGAGAGTCGTCTCCCTCGCCAGACGCCGACTTCTGTCGCTTCAGAGGGCGAGAGGCGTAGCTCTCGTCGTCCTGCCCGCTGACGTCTCCGTCGTGGGCGTCTCTCTTGTCGCCGCTGCTGAGCAGCTCGCTCCGGCCCTTCTCCAGTCGGTCCACGGGCGTCACGGCCGCCTCGAGCCGCTTGGACGGCAGAAAGGTTAGCAGCAGCGCCAGCAGCGCGGCCCACAGACGCGCGCGCCACTTGAGCGCCTGGCGTTGGCGCTGCAGCGCCTCCATCCACTGCAGGCCCAGCATGATGGTCACGGCCCCGCAGAGACTCACGCCCACCACGGGCAGCAGCACCAGCTTGGCCGCGGCCGCGCGCAGCATCTCAATCGTCGACATGGGCAGCTCCAGCTTCAGCTTGTTCCTTGTCGCGAGCGAGTGCGACTGCGAGTGAGCGCGCGCGCCGCGTGGTGGCGGCAGCATGGCGCGTCGAGCCTCGATCTCGGGCAGCTCGCGAGTTTCGAACTGGTAAAATGACAATGGCAGCGTCGAAGGTAGTAATTACTAACGCCACCGGACTCTTTGGCAAAAACGGGCAACATTAACAAAAAAAGGATGATTTCGTAGCTTTTGGGGACTGGAAGTGTGCAGTCGGTGGTGCCCGTGATGTCACAGTAGTTGCCCTTTGCGAGTCATCACCGAGTTGAAGCCGCTTTCGCTTCGTAATTGCAGCAGCAAGGGGATCTGCTGGAGGTGCTTGAGCGGCTCTGTGGCTGGTCGATTTCCTCACGCTTGGCCGAGGTTTTCAACTAGTGTAGCTGACACCTACTCGTCGTGAATCTACATGCAAACAACAATCGCAGCGTTACTTAGAGGATCAGCGCTTCGCTACCGCATGGAGGTCGGGGCACGCTTCACTCGCGCGAGTGGGGCCCGCGAACGAATCTGTCGTCTCCACACTGCAGCATCAGCGCAATGCTTCAACTGCCCGACTCGCACACGTTGAAGGTGCCTTCATCCACGAAATCGACTGGCAGCCAGCCAATGCGCTGAGAACGTACCGCTGCGGAGAGGTCGTGCCACTGCTGCAGAACCAGCGGGAGCTGATGCGTCTCGCTGGTCGTGTGGTTCGGCGCGTCCCTAGTAGCACAGCAGCAATGCAGTATTAGTATATACCTCCTTGCCAGTGGCAAGTTGCCACATTACCATTCAGCAGCCACTCACCACCACGTGAGCTCGTCGAAATGGTCCTCGACCTCCCAAATCCGGCCTTCATCGTCTGCGTGCCGCATGCCACTATCCTCCAGCACGAGGCCTGCGAGTCCCACACGACACAAATTCCGTCAGCCGACTAACGCTCGACCAGCAAAATACCACGTAACGCACCGGTGAAGCCCATGGGCGCCAGCGCCAGCTTCTGACCCTGCAGCTGGATGCCGCGGAACTCGGCGCGCAGCATCTTGTCATTGTCGCCGCCGCTTTTCTCGGTGTTGACGTCCGGCTGCTCCTCTCCAGCAGTACCATTGCTGTCGGCGTCGCCGCTCTGCGGTTGGAAGAAGGTTTTCACCGCTGCAGATCCGTCAAAGAGGATGCGACACGGCAGCGAGTGCACGCGCTCCTCCGCGGGCGGCAGCGGGCAGCGCGTCAGACACACGCGCACAGTCGTCGAGGCGTCTTCAGCCATGGTCGATCCTTGAGGCCACTACACTTGAACAAGTTTTAGCGGGAAATGCATTCCCGCCATAACGGCTACTTAGATATAAGCTTACGAAGGATAACTGTCTAAAGTGATAAACGAGACCATTGAGTGAATTGCAATGGACGCGGTAAGCAGAAGAAGCTCGCTACCTTCCTGCGTCCATGCAGCTATCCAGCTAACGTTGCTATCGTTTTATTATCTGTTGCTACATGCAGCAGACCGCACCCGTGAAGCGCTCGCGTGACGAGGCCAGCAAGCTGCTGGGCGAGAAGATGCTGCAGGTAGATGGAGCTTGAACCTCCACCTGCAGTAGAATAAATTGCTAACCAAAGCTTGAACTGCAGGGCTGGACGATGCTGGGTGCCAGTTGCCCGGTCGAGGACTGCTACACGCCGCTGATGCGCAACAAGAACGGCAAGGTGGGGATGCATCACGCTTTGCGCGTGGGCTCTGCATAACGGGTGGCTGACTGTGAATACGAATACCGTATGCTGCATGGTGTAGATGTTCTGTGTGCGTTGTGACCAGTACGTGGTTACGGAGGAAGAGGCCAAGAAGCAGGCGGAGCAGGAGGCCGAAGAGATGGCTGCAGCTGCCGCTGCAGAGGAGGCGGAGGCTGAGGCTCGCTACGAGGAAGAGCGCAGACGCCGTATTGAGCAGCAGTTCCGCTTGGAAGAGCAAGCCAAGCAGGCGCGAGAGATGCAGGAACTTGAGCAGGCAAAGGCACAGCGAGCCACGATGGCACAAGCTCCTGGTATGCTAGCTCCGATTGTTTGGAAGATCTTTTACTTGAGAGCTTGACGATTGCGTTTTGTTGATTGTTGCTAGTACCGAAGCGCAAGATCGACAATGCGGCGAGCCTTAACGGCGCCGAAAGTGACGCTGAAATCAATGCCATCCGCCGCCAGACTCTCGCTGCGCTCTATCAGGTGGAACACCCGCATCTTTTCTAGTCTGAGGGCGATCCCACCTGCGGTTTATTGCCTCTGGAGAATATTCACTACGCAATGCGAGGAAGTTTTGAGGCACGATCACAAGGACGCACCAGTCTGATCTTTGCATTGCAGCAAGCCGGCAAACCTCAAACTCACCATGGCGGATCGCTCTCCTCTTGTGTGTGCTGGTATTAACGTTGGAACGTGTTGTTATATTCGTGCTCTCAGAAAATGGAGGCTCTTACCGATTCGCTGTCACCGAACGACCACAGCGAACGGCTCATCTCGGTCGCCAAAGCTGTTAAGGAGATTGCCGAAGCCGCTCAACTTCTGAAGTAGTCGCATTCGTCGGCTAAAGCAACAAGGCGGCAGGGAATGAATCATAAAAGATCGCAACACATTGGTAATGGAATCGTTGTCGTTTCCGATTTTGACTATTAATTGGAACGGTACCATAACGCACGCACGATACTTTCCTCAATCAAAGATCAGTTGTTTGACGAGGAAGACCGAACTCCTCGTCCAAACCCTCTGGATCCTCCTCAGACAAGAGCGATTTTTGATCAGCAGCTAGCTTGGCGGGGGTCGTTTTGATATGCGATGTCTCCTCGATGAACGTGTATACGTACGCAAGGCACACCACAGCAACACCGCTGACATAATCGACGACGCCAAGACAAAGTTAGTACTTCGAAGTAAGCACTTCGCACTAGGATTTTTCTCTGCTGGTGAAACATACCTCAATATCAGGTAGAGCTTAGCAATACCATTCTTCTCGGGGTTCGAACCGCGTCCTAGAAAACTGATGGCAGACAGCGTGTACACGGCAATCACGATGTTGCAGAGATAGCTGACAGCCATGTAGAACGCAAACGCTCGAGAACGTATGTGCACTGGAGTGATATCTCCCAGCATGACCCTGAGGAGCACAATGACATGCATAAAGTTGTAATGATTGACGAAGGTGATCATGCACAAACTGATGACTTACCAAACGACAGCACCGAGGCCCACAGCAAAGCCTCCCACAAACATCAGCACCGAAATCACAGCAACCGTGCCCTGAACCGCAAGGTTGTCGCTTAGGTAGAGCAGCGACCAACTGAGAACTCCTAAAGCGACGATCATCACGGTCGTGCCCACAATCAGCAGCGGACGTCGCCCGTATGAGTCGACAAAGCGAACCGATATGATGGTAACACCCACGTTCGTAAATCCAACCACAGCTGTGGCAAAGAACGGGTTCGTCACCCCTGCAAAGTGAAAAATCTTGGTCGAGTACAGCATTACCGTGTTGATCCCTGTCATGGCCTGGAAAAATATGAGGACGGTGCCGGTCACCATTACTTTCTTGTGCGCCAAGAGGTGCGGCCAGGTCACGTGAGGCTCGTGCTGGCGGTGCTCCATCACGCGGGCGATTTCCTGCACTTCTGTTTCGATAGCGTCCTTCTGATTAACAGGACGCAGGAACATCAGCGTTGCACGGCACTCCTCTCGTCCCCGGTTTTTCATTAGCCACCACGGACTTTCCGATACAAATGACATGCTCAGACACTGCACCAACGGAGGCAGGATCATGAATCCATTGAGGTATCTCCATCCTGACGGCACGTTGGAGATGATGAAGAACCCCAACACAGCCGACACCAGCATACCAATAGTCAGACTGAGCTGGTGGAGTGACGTGATCTCGCCGCGCGAGACTGCGGGCGAGATCTCGGTCAAGAGGATGGGAACCGTGTTGGTGACGATTCCCGACGCCAGCCCGATGAGCAGCCGGCCAGCGTAGAGCTCACGCTTGGAGGTGGCCAGCGCACAGACTGCGCCGCCAATGATGTACAGCACGTTGTTGCCCAGGATCGTCTTCTTCTGGCCCACGCGCGCGCCCACGCCGCCCGTGGTGAGCGCCGAGAGCACGCAGCCCACCACCACGAGCGCCGTGGCGCGCTCCTGCTCCTCGGTGGTGAGGTTGATGTCCACGAGCAGCGAGCCGATGGCGTCCGGAACGATGCACACGTTGAGCACGGCGGCGCTGAAGCCCCACATGAAGGAGGAGATGGAGATCAGCCACGCCGCCAGCCGCAGCTGCCCCGTGCGTCCGCAGCCCACAGAAGGCGCAGCAGGACGCGCGGCCTCACTGCAGCTTCCACCGGAGCCGCCGGGCTTGGAGGAGCGGGCGCCCGCTCGCTGGCGCTGACGCTGGGGCGAGATCGGCTCAATCTTGGGCAGCAGCTTCTCCTTGACGTCGACGTGGGCGTGCATCTGGTGCTTTCTTCCGACGATGGCTTCAAGATCGGAAGTTGGGTTGCAGACACATGTTTGGTGTGTACTACACATCAGCAATTTCACATTAGCCATTTGCGAATAGTTTAAATTTCCTTTCGTCGGAAACTGTAATTATAGTTTCTGCATACACATGTTGTCAAGCCACACTTTGAGTACACCACATTACGACCCCAAGTGCTGGTGACCATGCCCGACGTGGACGATGCGATGCCCCGCGCCAAGCGGCTCAAGCTGCTGCGCGAGGCCAAGGCGCGCAAGGAGCGCGGCGAGAGCAACAACGGAGAGGCCGTCGAACTAGTCGCCGCAGCCTTGAAAACAGTCGCAGACGAACCCGCGCAGCAGCAGGAGAAGGAGACGAAGCCACAGGAGGAGCAGGAGGACGCCGAGGTGACCGCAGAAAAGGCCGACGAGAGCGCGCAGGACCTTGTGGAGAAGGTGGCAAATGTCGAGGTAGAGGACGCCAAGACTGAAGACGAGAGCGACGACGAGCTGTTGAACCTCGCGCCGAAGCGCGCCAACTGGGACATGGAGCGCGACATCGCGCCGATGCTGCGCAAGCTGGAGCGACGCACGCAGCACGCTATTGTCGAGATTCTGCGTACGTTTAGCTTGCTGGGCTCTATACTTTACTTTGATTTCTGAGAGCATTGCGGCTAACTTACTGGTGGGGATACTGTCTATACAGGCGAGAAGCTGGCAGCGGAGCAACAGGAGGAAGACGATGAAGACGACGACGACGAGGAGGAAGAAGGCGATGAAGAAGCGGAAGACGAGGAGGTAGACGAATAAACATTTGCCACGTGCAATCCTATGTACTATGATATAGCGCCGCAGTGCCTGTCCCAATGGTATCAAAGGCGACAGATTTTAATCTAACATCTGAGCGTCCATTAGAGCCTGCGCGTTTAACCCTTAAGCCTTGTCCTTCTTATGCTTCTTCACCTTCTTCTTGTCATCCTTGGATCCATCCTTGCGCTTCTTGTCTTTCTTCTTGCCGTCGCCCTTCTTGTCATTCTTCTTGTCCTTCTTGTCGTCGTCCTTGTGGAACTGCTTCAGCTTCTTGTAAATCTGTTTGACCTGCTTGGCACGACGCTGCACTGCCTCCTCGCCGCCGTTCACCTTCTCTGCCTTGAGCGTTTGGAACGCCTCTGTAATCTGCTCCAACCGGCCAGAGACCTCGTCGACTGGCTGGTCCTTCGAAAACTTGCTCCTCTTGATGTACTCCAACACGTCGGCGCTCACGAGCCCGCAAGCCTTTTCGCCACTGCTAGCAGCGACCTCATCTGTCACGTGCCAGAGCGCAGCGAGTGCCAAATACGACGGATAATGCAGCAGCGGCAGATCTGTGAGCAGCAAGTCGTTGAGCAACGCGGTCGAGTTGGCGTGCAGCTTTTGCAGAACAGTCGCAGCCAGATCCTTCTTCAGCACTTGCTTGGCGAAGGCGCGGAAGTCGTCCAAGAAGCCCAACAGCGCGCGGAACGGGTGATACATGATCAGCTGGAAGCGCACGCCTTCGAGCAAGATCATCTCGTGGCCAATGATGAACTTGTGGTCCACATGGAGCTGGTCAGCGACAGTGTCCACGGACATGTACTGCTCCTCGACCTTGCCAGCCACGTAGATGGCCGTGGGCACGAGGTACTTGGGGTGGAACTCCATCACACTGTTGCTCAGGTAGAAGCGCTTGAAGAGCAGCATGGCGCAGCACTTGACCTTGTCGGACGTGCGCAGGAATTGGGCGCTGCAGCTCTCCTGGATCTTCTCCTCGTAGAAGGCTCGCAGCAGCGCCTCCTGGTCCGGGCTCAGGAACTCCAGCAGCGGCGTCAGCTGCAGATTGGCCTTCTCCTCCGCCTCCTCCTGCGTCGCCAGGTCCACGTCCACCTCGTCGTTCCAGTCGAAGGCGTCGCGCACAGCAGTGGACGAGCGCGGCACGAGCGCGGCAAAGGACCGCGCCTTGCGGCTACTGGCGGCGGACGCCTCGGGCTTCTGCGCCTCCTCGCGCTCCAGACGCAGCGCGCGCTTGGTCTTCACATGCTGCAGCCGACGCACGCGCGCCAGCTCCTCCGTCGTGAAGACCCAGTTGTTGAAATGCGTCGACGCCGCGAGGTACGACATGCTGCCTGCCGCTGGATCTGCCTTATTGCTCGGGTGTGCCTGTTATGATGCTCGATAGGATGTACAGATGACGATACACAGTGTATTTATGTACGGCACACCATGTTGAAGTGGATGCAGTGATGACCGTCAGTTTGGCATTCGCCATGTGGACCGCACGCCTCCGGTCTGCGTCTCGCCTGGCGCTGGGCGCCCGCAACTTCTCGTCGCCGCGCGTGATGACGGCGTCCAAGGTGGCGCTGCAGCAGCTCCCGCTCGTGGACGTCTCGCCCCTCGTGGCTGCAGCCAACAGCGGGCGCGAGGCGGCGCAAGAGACCAAGAGGCAGATCCTAGACGACATGCGCGCTGCGTGCATCGAGACGGGATTCTTCACGGTCCCGACCGAGGGGGTGCTGCCCAGCGAGCTCATCCAGGCGGCGTACCGTCGGGCGGACGAGTTCATCGCGCTGCCGGACGCTGTCAAGCAGAAGTATCATTGCAAGCGCTCGCCCAATGCGCGAGGCTGGACGCCCATGTTTGAAGAGCCATCGGTACGATGGATTAATGCTGTGAATCTGTTGGGGTTGGTACGCTGATGTGTGTTCGATTGCTGTTGCAGTACCAACCGGACGTGGTGTCGCACTTGGAAGGCTTCGACCTCGCGCGGGAGCTGCCCGAGTCGTACGTGAAGGAAGGATCGAGTCTGGGGCCGAATGTCTGGCCGGCCGAGGTGCCGGGTTTTCAGGAGGACGTGTACGCGCTGTACGAGGAGACCACGAAGCTGTCGACCGTGATGTTCCGAAGCTTTGCGGAGATGCTGGGGCTACCACCTGACACGTTCCTGGTACGTGTACACAAAGTATCTTTTTGACTGTCGCAGACGTTATCGTTGCACTCACGTCGTTGCTGTTTGGGGATTTGCAGCAACATGTGGATGAAGAGGCGGAGGCCTTCATGCGACTGCTGACGTACCCGGAGATTGACGCCCTTGTGAAGAATTCAACGGTGGGGATTGCCTCACATACGGACTTTGAATGCTTCACTATCATCCACCAGAATGGAGAGGGTCTGCACCTGCTCAACCGCCAGGGCGATTGGGTCGAAGCTCCTGTATGCGATGACAGGTACGAAGGTTTCAAACTACAACGACCGATCGTGGAGCCTGAGACTGACTCACTTTCCTTCGCTTTATTCCATCAGGCTCTTCGTCATGGTTGGCGACATGCTCGAGCACTGGACGAACGGTGTCCTAGTTGCGACCGAGGTATGCATTGCATCTGCTGTAGACTACCGCTGAAAAAGGCAAGCTCCCGTTCTAACTTAGTTGCTTGGATTTGTGCGCCACAGCATCGAGTCTGCAACTCAGAGAAGAAGCGCCAGTCGATCGTGCGCTTCAATGGTGCCAACGGAGACACCATCGTGGAGTCACTTGCTGCGTTTGTGTCTCCTGAGAACCCACCGCGCTACGCCAGGATGACTCAGCGTGAACACATTACTCACCAGATCGAGCTCGCGGAGCAGCTCCTGCAAAAAACCAAGGCAGCTCATGCGTGACACAACAGCACGCTCCTCGAAAGTGAACAGCCTAACTCAGTGAAATCGACACGAGAAGTTCACCCACTCATCTATTTACTTCCTCAACGCCGCGAACTCTTGGAAGAGCTTCTTCGACTCAGAATTGCCCATGAGATCATCTCGCGTAGGCTTCCGTCCGTTCTTGTACTCAAACTCTTCACGCCACTGCGTCAGAGCCTTTTCCACCCGCGCCAGCTTCTCAGCGCGAGTGTCACGCACAACTTCTACAGGGATACTGTCCAGCATTGGCTGGCACAAAACGCTCATGACGTCTCGCTTGTCCACCGTTCCATCGGCAAGCTTAGTCATCTATACACGCACAACAGAACTGTCAGCCGCAAAACATAACACTTCTATCACGTTCCCAGCATTACACGGCTCACCTTGACAAGCTTCTGCTCTGCTCCCGCACCGCCAAGCGGGATCAAGAGCCCACCTCCAGGCTTCAGGTACTCCAAGAAGCTTTCTGCTTCAGCCTTAGTCTCCACTGCAACACCCACGTGAATGCAGTCGTATCGTCCATCCTCCGGCAGGCCTAGGTCCTTTTTCCCGGCACTAACGATGACCTTCGTCTGCTTGTCGGCTGCCTCGTTACCCAAGCTGCGCTGCAAATTCTCCTTCGAGAACTCCACGAGTTCGGGGACAATGTCCACGCCCATCACGAAGCCCGTGGGTCCCACCAAGTGAGCCATGGCAGCCACAAGGATCCCGGATCCGCAGCCCACGTCCACCGCCGTCATCCCCAGCTGCAGGTGCGGCTCCAGGAGCCCCAACACCTGCGCGTGCTGCTGAGGAGTGGAGATCGTAGCCACCGTGCCGATCTTGAGCGGGCGATTGGCGTAGCGCTCGGTGGTGTCCCGGAAAGCCGGCGCCACGAAGTCCCCACGGTCCACGCGCCTCAGCGCCGCCTCCAGCCGCGAGCCAGCAGCCACCACATTCGTGCGCACCAAGCTGTCGACCAGCTCCGAGTGCGAGTTGCCTCCGATTTGGTGGCCGATGCTGGTGGACACTAGGAGGTCTTCGGAGATGCCGCCCAACACGCTCAAAGAGCGGCAGCTGACGCCTGCACGCGACGAGCTCCACGACCGGAGCAGCAACGATGACATGTTGATCTGCACTCAAAATCTGAGGTGGTGAAGGAAATAGTCCGAGTATAGTCCATAATTGTAAAATAGTCTTCAATTTACGTTTTAGAGATGGCTTCAACATTACAGCAACTTCAATGTTGCTCTTTTGGTACATGTAGCTCTCTGGCCAACGGGGGATTTAGCTTGTCGTCGGGTGGCTCTCTATACAATAGGGACGGCCCAGGCGCCGTGACCTTCCATGTTGTAGATGTTGACCCCTCGCTCGGCCAGGAAGAAGCCTCGGTCGCCCCAGTTGGTGCCGTCCGAGTTGCGGACGACCCAGTACTTAACCCCCGTCTCGGCGTCGGTGCCCCACCCAACCAGACTCACGACGTGAGTAGTACCAGGGTATTTGGTCGAGTCCCGCAGAATGTAGCCACCCTTGAATTGGCGGTACTCCGGCGACAGTGAGTACATGCTCACGACAATGGGACCGCGATGGTAGATTTCGTTCATGGCCTGCAGTTGGAACTCTTCCGACGTCGTGAAGTTCAGAGTGCCGTACTCCGAGATGCGGTACTTGACGGGGTCTTCCAGCACGAAGCACTCGCCCTTCAGGTTGCACGTGTGGCATTGAGTGGCAGCACAGTCGCCACCTCCCATCCAGGACGGGTGCGACGCGATGTACGGGTTGCAAGTCAAGTCTACAATGCCGTTCTCATGGATCCACTTGTGCGCGTAGCGGGGGTCGCCACCGTGACACGAACCGAAGGAACGCATGCCACAGTCGAGCAGCACTTGGGGCGACAGCAACACCTCCGTGTCCAGCCGCCCGGTCTTTTTGAACCTCGCGATCCGAATCCGATCCGAGAGTGCACTAATGGTGGCAAAGGCCCAGCAAGACCCGCACGCCCGGGGCACCATTTGGTTCAACACACTCGTCGTCAGACTGATGCCGGTACCGTTGTAGTCGCGCCAGTCCCAGTTCTCCGGGAGGTCGTCAAACGACGCGACTTCCGGCAAGGACGTCACCACGTGCTCGGGGTCGTTGCCACCGAGGAACCAGCCGGCACCCTTGTTTGTCTGAATCTCCGCCACATCGCCCTCGCCATTGGCACTGCCGGTTGAGGTGCACGCCGCCATCAAGTCGAGTTGCCCTTGAACCGCGTGCATCGAGACGCCGCCATTCGTGAAGTCGGTCAGTTGCTTGGGTGCGAACGCCACCGAGCTGACGAAGCTGCCCACCGCAATCCACCCGATCACGGAGCCAATGGAGCGCAGCTTGAAGCGGTCGGCTCGGATATTCGTCCAAGTCGATTGCAACAGAGTTGAAGATGTCGTTGAGGTGGACGAAACGTTGTCGGAATTCAGGAGCGTGCTGGTGCGCGGCTGCAGCAGCGGAAGATCGGACTTGTCGGTTATTCCCATTGGCGCCGGATCGTGGAGGTCGAAACTCTGCTCGCTGGAGAAAATTGCGGAGTGCGGTGCGATGTGAGCGGGCGAGAGAGAGAGAGAGTCTCATGTTCTTCTCTCTTGCAGCTCGACACGTTTCGGATCGGGGCAGAGGGGATGGATACATTTTGGCGACGTGAACCCCTGCGATTGGCGGAAATTTGGTGACGTAGCCAATCAGCGAGAAAAGAACGTACGTGTCCATCTTGAAGTGTAACCGACCGATGAGAGAGCTCTGGCCCAAGTTGGGCCGCCCAACAGCGATGCACCATCGGCAGTCGGCTAAGCGAGCTTCGAGGGCCAACGCTGAACGGGTGTGTGGAGCGCCCTCGTCCCAAAATGCTGCGATGGCCGTCCAATGGTCTGGAGCCGCAGACGCGAGTCACGCCGAAGTCGATCGCGCTGCGTCCCATGTCAACGTAATCTACGTGTTGATGTGGGCCAGGGTCTGCACGGAGTTCGCTCGAAGTGTGTACATGCAATGCACTGCGGTGGAAGTGCATTTGTCGCCGCAAAGGTTGCATTGCATCACGTGAGCAGTCACCACTCGTAGCTGTTTGTTCACCGTCGACGCGCTAGGTGAGACGATCGATTTGCTGTAGGATGGATGGGGCTCTGCTGCAAAGTGTGCAGCTGGCTTCTGCGCCTGACCAAGCTGGACGGACAAGACGAAGTTGTGAATGTGAACGCGTCGTACATTTGTGAAGCGAAGTTTAACCATGGGAGAGTTATGCGCTTCTAAACGATGGGGACCGCCCAAGCTCCTTTGTTTTCGATGTTGTAGGTGTTGGTGCCCCGCTCGACGAGGAAATATCCGTGGTCGCCCCAGTGCGTGCCGATCGAATTGCGTACGATCCAGTACTTGGTTCCAGTGCCGGTATCCGTGCCCCAGCCCACGAGGCTCACGACGTGTGTAGTTCCCGGATACTTCGTGGAGTCACGCAGAATGTAGCCGCCCTTGTACTGCTTGAACTCTGGAGTCAACGAGTACATGCTCACGACGATCGGGCCGCGATGGTAGATCTCGTTCATGGCCTGCAGCTGGAACTCCTCCGACGTGGTGAAATTCAGCGTTCCGTACTCCGATATGTAGTACTTGACCGGGTCTTCCACCACAAAGCAATCTCCGTTCATGGTGCACGTATGGCACTGCGCTGCAGCGCAGTCATTGCCTCCTATCCAGGAAGGATGCGACGCGACATACGAGCTGCAGGTTGAGTCCACAATACCGTTTTCATGGATCCACTTGTGCGCGTATCGAGGGTCTCCACCGCGACACGAGCCAAACGTGCGCATACCACAGTCAAGCAGCACTTGAGGCGACAGCAAAACTTCCGCGTCGAGTCTGCCGGTCTTTTTGAACTTGGAGATCCGAATCCGGTCGGACAGCGCACTCACCGTGGCGAAGGCCCAGCAAGACCCACAAGCTCGAGGCACCATTTGGTTCAACACGCTGGTTGTGAGACTGAAACCAGTGCCGTTGTAGTCGCGCCAGTCCCAATGTCCAGGCAGGTCGTCCAGTGAGTGAATTTCCGGAAGTGAAGTCAAGACGTACTCAGGGTCGATTCCACCGAGGAACCATCCAGAGCCTTTGTTCGTAGGAACCGTCACGGTCGAAGAGTGCGGGTCGTCGTTTGTGTGTCTAGATGCTAGCAGAGCTGAGGTGATGGCGATCCCCGCTGCAAACCAAACGACCAGCTTCTGGACGAGTTGGGAGGTGGCAGCTTTTCGTCTCAAATTGTCGGTGGTGGCCATAGTTTGGGAATTCCGAAATAACGACTTCGGATATCGATACCGAACTCTGCTTATCGTGAGGATAGGAATGGACCGGCGCTCCATCAGCTCGATTGCTCTGCTCCAATGAGCGCAAGCATTATCGGCTACGCATTTTACTCACATAACGCTTCTCGCGATGACATTCAAGAGTCGGGACCGGCACATGCCACGTGAATTGAACACGTTGCCCGGAATGGTTTTGCTACTCAGGCTGACTACAATCCTTGAGGCTAATCCGAATAAATGATGTTGCGTAGCAAGAACTTCGCATATTGGTGGAGCAGGTGCTATTTGGGATAATATACAATGGCAACTTAAGCTGTGGGTTTCTAGTGGGGAAGCTGCAGCTGGCTCACGTATCGAGTTGAGTGAGCAGCGCCACACCGCGTCGGATCCAGTGCTTCTGTCGGTGCTGTGCACTCATGGGCAGGCGAACGGACATGACAAAGTTTGTCGAGTGACCAGTAGTCGAAAGCGTTCCCTGTCGCTTGGATGTCTTGTATACTGGGCAGAGATACACGTGCGCTGTGCCCTTGGGGTCGGTATCCTCGATCGGCTCGATTTGATCACGTGCCTTGGGCAGTAAGTGCAGCACCGGCAACGGCACGTAGAGCTCGCGCGGCTTGGATTCGGCCAGGGTGTGAGTGGTGGCGTCCCACCGCGCACCTTCCAAGAAGAGACCATCGACATACGCACCATCTTCCGCTGGTGTTGTGAGCTCTGAAGCAGGTTGGGCCAGCACCACCATGTCGTAGCCCACCTGATCGATCGGTAGCTTGTGCTTACGTGCGTAGTTCTGCTGCGTTCCCGTGATGAAAGCTTGCGTGAAGAAGAAGCCCGAAATCCAATACACCGGCGGCGCTGCGCCGCGCGTCAGCCAGTTCTGCAAGAACGCTAGACGCGCCAGGAAGTCCGTGACCCAGCTACCGAGTGGCTTGAGAGAAGGGTACGCCACAGCCGACCACCGTGCTGGCACGTGGCCATTCACCATGCTGTTGCCCATGGCTTCCAGCTCTGCAGACATGACCACGAGTCCCTTGATGGCCTTCTGGATCTCCACAAGTGAGATCTGCAGTAGCGCGAGCAGCCGATTGAATCGCCCCAGCTCCTGCGTCAGGACGGTGTTCATCGACTCAGAGTACGAGACAGGAAACGCCAGCTCGGCCTTCTCGAGGTCATACAGTGGCGGCAGCTTGGCCGCAATATCCCGAGCTGTTTCGTCCAGCACCTCATCCCAAGACTTGACTGCGCCCCCGCCGCCTCCAGATGCGCCTCGCGGCTGCAGCGATAAAGCCGATTCCAGCAGCAAGTTCGTCTCGGCGATGGCAGTCGAGATGTTGGCGTTGTCGTGCAGCCCGAAGACCTCTGGACCTTCGTTCATGGGTAGCTGATCGATATAGTTCAGGAACACCGACAGGGAGCCGTCGGCGGACGGCGCGTAGTATAACCCCGAGGGCGAGAAAGTGTAGCTGTCCGACAGAATATCGCGGGTGTAAAAGTCCGAGAGGATCGTGATAAGGCATCGCCGATCCTTGTCGTCCGTCACTCGACCGCCGTAGTTGCACTCGCCGGCGAGATACGCCAAGGCAGCGTACGGGATCGGGTCATCCGGCTGCAAGTCGTCCAGAGAGATCTTGAGTTGGTCTTTCGAGATGGCTAAATCCGAGGATGAAAACACGTAGCTGATGTTCCAGCCTAATGGCCCAAACTTGGTCCGTTCACGCACCACAGCGTGGAAAAAGCAGAGCCCGAAGAGCAGCTTCTTGAATTCACGGGGTCTTCGACAACTGGCAACCCACCCTTCATCGATCGTCAAGTACGATCCCTTCAGGTTCGCGCGCATTCCCTTGGGCGGTTCGTTGGTCATTTTCACGCCATGCTGAAGAATGTAAGACGGAAAGGCTCGAGTAGGCTCGCTCGTCAACCACAGCCGAAAGCTCGCGTGCACCCGGTCAGGTGTAATCTCCTCGCAGATCTTCTCTAGTGTCGGCAGCCAACTCACAGACAAGTGGCAGTTCTGTAGACACACCCAGGTCCCGTTGTCGATTGCCTCCGCGATAGCGTTCTCTGCTAGTGGACCCTGTCCTTGACCTAACGAGATCGCCACGAACTTCTTGTTGAATCCCAGCTCTGCCGCCAACTTGAGAAGCTCGGACATTGGATCGGCACCCGGAGTTAACACAAAGATCAGCGGTGTCGAGCAATTCGAGTCGTCGAATCCAGCTTTGAGATCGAACGGCTGCGGGTCGATGAAGCGCTGGCCCATCTGCGTCGCCACGAAGGACATGACAGCGGGGATCACCTTGTCTGGTCTCAAGCAACGCAATACGATGATGCGCTGAAACGCGTCCAGCGTGGCAAGAGCCGAGATGTTCGTCAGAGTCTCGGCTGGGTCAGTCGAGTTGTATGACACCTCCCACAGACTTAGCTCCGTCGCAAACGCATCACTGAATTCTATGAAGGACGGCAGAGCGTCCAAGCCGACGATGTTGGCCCACGTCTTGTCATTCAGCCATCCTTCGGATCCTGCGGGCTTCGGTTTCTGTACGTCCATCTGTGTATTTCCTGTGAAGAAGTAGCGGAGTTCCCCACCGTCGATTGTTCCGTTCCCCACCAGGATTTTGATCGCCAGCAAGAAGGCAAACAGTAGTTTGTCCTTCTCGAAGAGAGACCGACACACATTTTGGTACAAAATGAACGTGAAGGCGTCGTTCAGATTGTCAAGCCTCGTCGCCAGCACCGAGGAGCTCTCTGCCCGACTGATTGAGAACACGAAGAGGTTAATGAACCACTCGAGCGCGTACTGGTACATGGGGTCGATGACTGTAAGGTCCGCGATACAGAAGAAGAGCTGAGAGGCCCGGAAGGCGACAGGCAAGTAGCCTTGGCGCTTCTCGGCGATCATCTGCTGCGTCACTGCAGCCTCCCGCACCTTCTCCTCAATTTTGTTGGCCGTGATCTTCGACGCACCGAGGGTTTCGATCAACCGTTCATCGTCCAGAATATTGCCCTTGGCAGTCTGCAGTAGATACAGAATCTGGTCTTCGATCTCCTTCAGAGTCTTCTTGTTCGCCGCATCTTCGAGCACCAGCTTCTCTCGTTGCTGCTCTAATACGGGTTCCTCCTTGGCAACCACAATACCCAGCATCTGATCCTGTAAGCCCTCTTCAGTGGCCATGAAGTTCAACAAGTTGACCTTCACACAGGTCTCCGGTGGGTAGTGAGGATTGCGCAGCTTTGTCGTCATGTAGAGGCGGAAGTTGGGGTCGTACTCAACCGTGTTGTCGCCCAGACGAATCGTGGCCACGCCGCCAGTCTTCACTACCTGTTTCAGAAGAATGGGCTCCAGCATCGGATCAATCTCTTCCGGCATGTTTTCGATGAGCACAGCAGCGCCGATCATAATCGAGTTCTCCAGCATGCGCACAAAGCCAGCTTGCGATTGTTTCACCACCTTGAGGTTGTTACTCTCCTCCATATTCTTCACCCACCGGTTCGCCTGGCCCTGAGGGTCGATCATCAACGGCCAGCGATTGCTGCGCTGCAACATGATGGCGTTGTCGATCGAAAACGAGTCGTTAGGCAGCTTTGCGATCGTCCACGCACGAATCTGCACAGCTTCGCCCAGTGTCTCTGTGAGTGTGAATGTCTTTGAACACGTGATGGCTTGCTTCGTGAGCTCGGTACACCACAGATCAACAGCGCGCTCGCGGTAGATACTGGTGAACGCACCGAGGTACGCGATCACACCGGATGCCAGCATAATATCGCCTACAACGTTGTCGTACACAACCTGCAGTTGCGCCGACATATCACTCCATCGAGCTTTCTCACCTCCGAGGCCACCGATAAGCTGAGTAGCTCGGGTCAGTTTCTTGGAGCAGTCATCCACCTGGAACTCCAGGTCGCTCTTCTTCTTATACGCAGCAGCGAGGTCCTCTTCAAGCCGCGCCACCTTGTCGAGCACCACCTGAAGTGCGTCTTGCTTGACCTTGAGCTCACTCTGCGCCTTGTCCAGAGCCAACGTAGCAGCCTTCAGTGCTTCACGTTTGGGCGCGACCACCTTCGCCACTCTATCGTACACCACCATAGCGTGCACCCAACTGCACAGACCTGAAGCTGCTACAGAAGCCTTGCGAATCTTGTCGGCCTGGAAGTCCGGGTTCGCAGCATACGGACGCACCTTGTCCATGGCCTCCACTGGGATGTTATCCTTGTCGTACTCCAGCAAATTCTGCAGGAATCGCGTGTCTCCAAGCAGTGTCTTCTGTGCGGGTCCCCAGTAGTCGTCTACCTTCTTGGTGCCTCCCGCGGGGTCCTTGACCTTCACGGGCGGTACGCGCATCATAATACACACAGCTTCCATCACGAGCTTGACTCCGTCAGGTGGCTTCTTCATGGCCTTGATCTCCGTGATGTCACCCTTCGTGAGTGTCTGCAGAGCTTTGACTGCATTCTCCAGGGCTGGGATGGCCTCTGCCAATTCCGCCTCACAACTCTCCTTGATCGCATTGGCGTCGGCTGCTTGCTCATTACACAGCTTCTCCTCAGCACCAACAATATCTTTCGTCGCGTTTGCCTCCTTCTGCTCACGCGAGATCGTCTCCAGCAGCGCATCTGTCTCGATAGTAGCCACCTTCAGCAGTGGCTGTAGAGCCTCCAGCTCAACCTGCATCTTCTCCACCTGCTCGGCCGTCTCCATGAGCTTCGTGAGTCCGTTGTCATACCGCTGCTTCATGGTCATGACCTCCACACGTTTGTTGTTCAGCAATTTCTTGAAAGTGTTGAGCAACTCGAGGTAGGACGTCGGGGTGACGTAGTAATATCGCCGCAGCGATTGCAAGAAGTCACGCGTAAGCGCGCTCACACTTTCTTGCATTCCAACACACACGTCCACGATACCAACCTTGACTTGAGCTGGCAGCTCGATATCCACCAAGAAATAGTCAGCCACGGAGCGAAGAGCTTCGTCCGGCCACTCGGCAAACCAATCGATAGTGCAGCAGTTTACCAGCGACGGGAACATTCGCAGTCGCCGACGGAACGCTTCACCGATAGGCGACAGCGCCAGCACAATGTGTAGATTGGTTCGGCAGCGTCCCACGAAAAAGTTGTACAGCTCTGCACTGTTGCCGGCGTTGACGCCCGAAGCTGTGGCTGCGGGCTCCAGCGCCTCATTCATCTGCACTAGCTCATCGTTGGCCCAGAGGTTGGCCACCTCTCCGGTGTTCAATAGCCCATTGATGTCCTCGAGATACGCCTCCTCCACGATCTGCGTGTCCGAAAACAGGAAGACTGTGGGCTGGTTGTTGAGCCCACTCAGTTGCAGCACCTTCTTGATGTCGTTACGCCACTCCGTCCGCGAGTATGACTTGGAGATCTCGATCTGGAAGAGTTTATACTCGGCCATGAACACAGCCAACGTCGTAAGACTCTTGCGTCCACTGCCACCGACGCCCACAAGAAGAGCATTCCCCAAGGGTTGGTGAATCACACGCGAGATGCGCGCCACGTGCTCGATAGCATTCTGAAATAGTACCAGACGCATGGGAGCTGCACTCATGTTGTTGTAGTCTTCGAGGAACACCTGCATGGCGTTCTGTAGCTTCTCGCGGTCACGAAGCTCTGCGTAATTCTTGCTGCCATTCTTGCTATCGCCTGCACCACCAAAGTTGCCATAGATGAGCGTGGCGTTCGGCCCTCTCACGTCTGTCGAAGCGTATTGCAGGTCGAAGTGCAGCTTCACAGTCTTGGACAGAATGTCGGCGAACCACGCGCGATCTTTATCATCAATGAGTCGGTCAGAGAAGACACGCAGGCATTCGTGACTCCACAGACGCACAAAGTCCTTCCCGTCTTTGATGGTGTCACTTGACGCCTGCGCAACGCCCTGGAACACCTTGGACAGATCGCGCAAATTGAAAGTGTAGTGCGACTTGGCCGGCGTGGGCAGTAGAGCCTGGGAAATGGTGTTGTAGATATCAATGGTAGCACTAACAACGGCCCCGCCGAGCTGTTTCACAGCCTGTGGGAAGTTAAGCAAGAACCAGTCTGTAATCCTCGTGAAAATTGCTCGGAGCGAGTCGTTGTCGAACGGCACGAAGTTAATGAGGTTGAAGTACCGAACGTAGCGCTGCGTGATACGAGTTCGGCCACCGCCAGGAGGCCCCATCGCCGCAATGAATTGGATATCCACCAACTGCGTGAATGAATTGTCCTTGCGATTGTACCAGCCGCCGTGGCCCATCCATTGGCGAAGCAGCTCGATCGGCGGCTGGGCACCATAGGTTTCTTTTGCTGGCATGTTGAGATCGTCCACGAAAATCACACAACTCTGTCCGAGTGGAGGACCTAGTACGCCCTTACGACGCTTGTCTAGCTTGGCTTCAATTAGATCTTGTGTCTGGTTGGCACTCGTCTGCGCTGAGAAGTTGAGGAATATTGACGGAGCGAACTTGGGTGGCGAATCGCTTGCCCCCGGTGGATCATTCAGTCCACTGAGCAACTTCTTTTTGATCGAGACAGACTTGCCCGTACCAGTATCACCCGTGCACAGCACGTGGAAGTGATGGCGGATGAGTGTGTCCAACAACCACGCGTTCCGTTCCGAGTCGATTGTGGGCACTAGCACTTGAGTGAATTGGGCGTCGCGCGGGATCACGAATGCACCGCCTCCTGACGCCTCCATCCAATTGACCCAGACACTGCGACGAGTATCAAAGCGATAATCGTAGACGAGCCCCTCTTCTGGAATAGCAAGTAAAGCCGCGCGGTCAGGTAGGAGCACGTACGACGGAGATTTCGCCACGAAGTCCTTGAAGTAAAGCAGTGATGGTGAAGGAGGTACTCCTAGTTCATCATCGACTCCTTCCTCACCGTCCTGCAGGTGCATATCAGCCGTGACCACAGCCACTGCGAGCTCAGTCGAGAGGAAGTCGCGTAGATATCTGTCGAAAATGCGGCGCGACTTGGTGTCAATGCAAGCACCAATAGACCAGATGACCGCCTTGACGAGCACACATTCCAGAATGCGTTGTGAGTCTACACCAGTCGGTACGGAAGATGAAGCTGCCGCTGGCGTCGTACCATCAGCTGGAGGGTCAGGAAAGCCATCACGTAGAGCACACTCGAAGAGTCTCAGCAATGACGCAGCATGCTCCAGGAACGTCACGGGGGTGGGCACTGTGCAGTGCTTATCGACAAAGTAAAGCATTGGCGGCACAATCCAGCGGAATGATTCTTCGAGATACTCCACGTGAGAGGCAAACGCAACAGGCAGCCGCGTATTCAGCCACGTTCGCACGAGCACCTCCCAGCCCAGCACCTTTGCCTCCAAGAAGACCATTCCGACGCGCGAGACTGTCGCAGGAGAAGCCTCTTCCAAATCCTCCGTTTCGAAGACCATTCTCATCCGATCCGTCATTTTGACAATCTCACCGCTCATGAGGCAGAGCTTCTTGTTGTCATCGAGCACGGTGTTCATATTCTCAATCCACACAGCATCCACAGGGCCGTCAAACATTACCCACTGCAACTCTGGACTTGTGTCACGCGCGCAATTACGATACGTGCATGCCAGTACACCATCAGACCACTCGTGCGTGTTCTCGTCGAAGTTTCCGTACAGCTGGCCGCTTGTGATAGCCTTCGGGTTCATCGTGTGGATGTTCACGCGCTGTTGTAACGTGGGGGCTCCCTTGGTGCCGTTCTCTTCCTGCAGCTCGATTTCTTCGATGTAGCATGAGGTCATGGCCGTTGCGAGGGAGTGGACGACGCACGTCTTGCCTGAGCCAGTTGTACCGACGATCATCAGGCCGTGACGCACTTGCACAGTCTCGTAAAACTGCACCACTTTCATCTTGAATTCGGGCTTGCACTCAAGTGGAATGTTAACGTCGGGAACGATAGATATTCCACGCACACAAGTCTCGTCGATATGGCGAAGAAGTGCACCGTGGTCCGGAAGCGGAAGCAGCACGTCGGGGAATAAATCCGAGGTGATACCACGAAATAGGGGCAAGTCATCAGATGTGAACTTCGGCAGGTTGACATCTTGCACAGACCGCAGCACAATCTTGTCCTCCGTCCAGAACGGGTCGTTGCCCAGTTGTTGACGCAAGGCTCCGGTGGCCACGAGGATCGAGTTGACAGCACGCATACCGTAGTCGTAGTGCTTCTGTGACGATAGCTGCTCTGAGGCCAACTGCAGCACCTGCGTGAGTTTTCGAGCGTTGCTACGAGCTTGTGCAAACCCAAAGGAGTACAGTCGAATTTCAGAGATCAGCGCGTAGTCGGGCACCATCATAGCACACGGGCGGAACAATGCTTTGAGGTTGTCCGGCAGCTCCGCACGACCAGCGTAACCGGGATTCATGGTGATAAAGACGTTAGCACTCGCATTCAGTTTGATGAACGTTCCTTCAAACAGGAACTTGTCCACGCCAGCCTTCTTGCCTTCGTTGATTGTCAGGATCTGCTGAGCAATGACGGACAGCACTTCAATGTTGATACGATTGAACTCATCGAAGCAGCACCAGGAGCCGCAACCAGCCAAACCCTTGAAAAACTTCGCCATAGCCAGGTAGTCGAGGCCATCGGAGCAGTTGAACACGACACATTGAATGGCGATGGCCTTACTCAGATCTTTCACCGTCTCGGTCTTGCCAGTACCAGCGGGGCCTTCCGGAGCTCCACCGTACATCAAGTCGACAGCTCCCATCATCGTACGGTAGCATCTATCCGTCAGTGGAGTGATCACTAGCCGCATGGTGTTGCCGAGGTACTCGTATCCGTATCGAACGCGAGCATTCACGATACGAGCTTGTAGATCAAAGACCCCGGCAGACTTTACACCTTCAGCCCAGTAGTAGCGAAGCTGCGAGATCCACTCGAAGTCCTGATCGCTCTCCACGTCCTTCTCAATCATGTGGGAAATCGTGTCGCGCGCGTGGACATCGATAACCACCAAGGCACCGATTGTAGTGCGCTCGAGCTTGGTCAAATTACCACGCACAAGCATCACAATCTTGTCCAACTGCGAGTTCAGCACCTCAACGTACGCTTTGATTCCGTTCGCGCCGTCGCCAAGATTCAGTGCGCGGGTCACATCCTGTGTCCAGTACACCTGCGAGACAGCCAAGACAACTTGCGCAGGCCACTTGAGCATCCACGTCTCTCGATCCTCGAGCGGGTAAGCGGCCATGGAGCGCTCCGTTTGGTCACGTACGCTATCCCATTGACTCTGCTCCACCTCGAGCAACCACATCTCAACGTTGCCTTTGTTTTTGTTGCTCTCAGGGCTCACAGGTAGTCGCAGGGGCACGACTTCGCCTTCTGCCGAGCGCATTTCAGTGATCATCAGAGGAGGCCCGTCCTGGAATGTCACGTTGAAGACACCTTCGAAGCATTTGCCCAAATGGGGCTGCACAGCACGCGGCTCCTTCGTTTGCGAGAGAATTTCGAGCAGTTCGTCGTTTGAGAGGAAGAAGAATCGAGGGAAATGCAGACGCTTCATCTCCAGGTAGTCGTTCAATCCCTTCTGGATCTCGTCCAGCTTCTCGTTTGCACGCTGGAACTTGGCCAGCAGCTTGTCCATCGCAATGACTGTGAGGAATGTCGGGTCGGCTACGGTGTCTTCCATCGTCTTACGCCACAGCGCGTCAACACTCGCAAAGCGACGAGCCTCCGTAGGCATCTGGCGCATAATGTCCTCCGAGCTGAAGATGGCTTCGAGGTACAGCCATGTGCGTTGGCAGGCCATCCATTCATCGAGCAATTGCTGCGAATACTGCAGCTTCTTCTCCCAAGCCTTGCAGTCCTTCTCGATACTTTTGATATACGGCGAGCCGCGCATAGTCTGCGTCTTCACTAGGTGATCATCAAGCAGAGCCACGATATCGTCCGTACTTCGCAGTAGATACGTTCCAGTCTCACGGTATGGCGCAGTCTGGAACTCCACTTTCTCCCACTCGCCTATCATTGCGCTGAGATTCTTTTGCAGCGAGTACTCCTTCTCAGCGAAGGTACCAATCTCCTGAATGGTCTCCAGGTGTTGCGTGATACCACGATCGAGCAGAAGCTGGAGCGTCAGTTCCTCCTCCGATTCCTCAAAGCCAATGGTGTGTCGAAGCTTCTCCCAATGTCGCTCTTGTAGTGCGGGACTTGCTAACGACTGGATCACTGGCAGATAGGCTTTGAACTCCTCCGTACGTTCTCGAAGTATGAGCGCGACTTCAGCTGATCCGGGGGCATCGTCTACCAGGGACTTGCTCAACTTGTACGAAGCTTTCCACCATTCGGTCACAAGCCCTTCGATTGTGCCTCCTTTTAACTCTAGGAACGGTCCGTTGAGCCAAGCCTGGCGACTCGCATGGAATTCAGAGCTCATGGTCCAGAGTTTATAGTACGGGGCGAAATCGCTCTCTAACTTGCCCAACAGTGGCGTGTACTCTGTAGGCGGGAAGCCAAACACGGCTTCACGGGCGTTAAAGTCTAGCGCCTTCGCACGCGCGTCTTGGAGTGCGTCGTAAAGCGTGATAGCTAGCTCCACATATTTATCCGTGTGCTCCACTTCACCGTATCGTGTGAACGCCTGCACATCGCCCTCAAAGTGCTCCAAATCCAGCTCGAACGCTTCCTTCTCGAGCGCAAGCCTGTCCATCATGCGCACCTTGTCCTCTTCTAGAGCTGAGTCACATGAATCCGCCGCGTGCGCCACCTTCAACGGCCACTCCTTCGTCGAGTGTGCTAATGTAAAGTCCTCAGCGGAGAGCTTGTGGGAGAATTCGTTCAATGCGTCGAGTCGTATGTGAATGGCAGCCACCTCACGCTGGATGCCTGCAATCACCGCCTTGCTTTCGCCTACGAACTGCTTCAACTTCGCAAGTTGCGCTTCGTTGGTTGGTTTCTCGTTGATACGCGCTAGGATAGCGGCGTACCGTGCAGTGATGGCGAGGTTTTGGGCCCGCGCATCGCGCACTAAGCTCGAGATTAATGTGTCACGCAACTCTAGCGATCGAGTGCGAAGCTGCTTCTTGAGCGCACTGGTATGGACGCACACGAGCGGGAGCGCGACAAAGTCGAAGGCGATGACGTCCACGCAGAACGCCAGCTCGTGAAATCTCCGAATCTGTGCGCATAATTGCGGCAGGTATGCCTGCTCATCTGCCGTCGGTGGTGTTTTGCCTTCCTTCAGTAGCTGCTGTTCCTGCAGTTGAAGAGGCTGAAGCTCAGCGATGAATGCTGTGGCATCAAAGTGTACGAAGTCTGTGTACGCAGCGAACCGTGCTGCTAGCGCGTGTGCTGCCTGCATAGCGTGATCAACACTGTCACGGACTTCCACTTTAGCAGCCTGGAGCGCATCCAAACACTCGGCTACTACCGCCCGACGACTGGCCTTTTGCCTCTCGGATTCATGTTCATGTCCAACAGCAAAATCGAGCAGAGGCCGGCGGTCGAGAGACAACAAGCCCATGATGTCACAGTCCAGTCTGTCGATCTCCTGCACTGCGGACACTATTGCGTCCAATGGTTCCAACAGAACTGCCGTCACTTCCTGCGTTGACGGCTCCACAACCACTTCGTCGTTCACGAAACCAAGCTGGACACTGAACAGTGAGCTGTGTGGAGCTCGAATCGCCTTTTGGTCTAGCATTTGTGTAAAGCGCTTGCGAGATGGACGAACGGGGGCGTCTTCCTCTTCTTCATCATTGCCATCTCCTCCATTAGTACGAGAACTAGCAGCGACGTCGCCTTGAGCGTCATCTGGTTTCATCGAAGTCCCAGGCCTCGTCGTCACGAGACTGCCGCGCTCTGCGTGGTGCCGCACAAAGCGCACCCACTCGTCTACCGAGCGATGAACAACTTCACGCAGCTGAGCGGCCAAGCGTAACTCCAACCCCGTCAACACTCTCTTGAGTCGACTGGCATCGTACGCCACGCGGTCCGAAAGGAACAAGTCGAAATGGTCCTGCAAGTTGTCGATCACGTTCTCCACAAGTGCGCGCCGCCAATCCACAAGCAAAATCTCTGCTACTTTATTCGCGTGCGACGCCTGCAGCGCCTGAAAGTCCAGTACACGGAACGGCATCTGCGACGCCAAAGTCGTCGTCGTTGGGGATGCACCTGCTCCATTCGCAGCAACACTGACGCCTTCTCGATGATTTTCCGTGCTGGCCGTAGTAGCGAGGCTCTTGTCGACCTGAACCAGCAGCAGCTTCTGGAACGTTTTCTCCCAGCCCGCATACATTCGCCTCAGGACGGCAAGCAGCTGGGGTGAGCTCGTGTACGATACGGTGCTGACACGCCGCCGATTTCTCTCAAAGTCGTGCTCGGGGATCTCCACTTTGCCATACGTGATCGCTCCGGGCTTCGTTGGTCCAGGAATAAGGTCAAGGCCTTGGAAACGCACTTGCAATTCGGGGTCATTGCGTAGCTGCTTCAACAGCGCGGCCTTCTTCATGCTGCGCATGTACTCTTGAATCGCAGTGTCCGTGAGCTGGCGCAGCAGGAACGCAGCAGGCTGCGAGTCCAGCAGCGCCACGCGCTCGGGTAAACCCGCAACCACTCGCGCGTGAACTCGCTCCAGTGTTAGTCTACCCATCGCTCGGAGCTGCGACGCATCCTGCCGCGCCAAGAAGTCGTCGAACCTCAGCATGGCCTTGACCTGTTCGCGTCGCTCTCTCGCAGCCGCCACACGGCGCTCGAACGTGACTGGGGACTCGCTCTCGAAGCGGAGGTTGATCCTCCTGACCCACTTCTGTCTGTCCGAGCCCTGGAACTGCACCAAGTACTGGGCTTTAGCCGTGTCGTAGCTCAGCACCGCACAGCTCCGCCATCTCCACTCGCCTTGGAAGAAGTAGGGCGACGCGCCGACTCGCTCCTTCTCGAGCCACTCTTGGGGCGTATGGGCTTCGAACTCGTCGCTGTCGAACAGATGCAGCGGGAACTGCGACTGGTCCAGCTGCAGAATGCCTTCGTCTTCTCTTGCAGTGTCAGCGCTCTCTCCTTTCGCAGCTGGAGCTGCGGTCTGTCTCGGAACCTCCTCTAGAGCTTGGCCTCGTAACCTGCCGGGATACGGCCGCACGGGGGCTGCAGCTGTAAGCTGGTGCTGTTGCGCCCTCCTCTCCTGCTCCTGGAGCAGCTCCTCCGCCGACTTCCAGCGGTGCGGGTGGTTGTTATGGTCCACGCGCGTGAGGTCCACGGCGCCTGGCTTGGGCGGCTTCTGCTTTCTGCTAGAAGGCGATCTGGGGGCTCCTGCCGCCGCTGCTGCAGCTGCTGCGCTGCGACTGGCGCGAGACGCCGCAGCGAGTCGCGTCTGCAGCAGTCGCCGCTCCTTCTCCTTCCGGTGCTGCTTGTGCAGCCTGAAGCGAGCCAGAAGCTGCTGCTCCGGAGTCAGCGAGCCGGGTCCATTCGACTGCGGCGTTGATGGGATTTGCCCCTCGTCTTCAGTGAGCTCCAGATCATTGAGCGACGCGCCGGGACGCGACTGCGCCATGCTGGAGATGATGGCAAGTGGTTGCTCGGGCACTAAAGCGTCGCAGTCGGCGCCCCTCCGTGTCTAACAGCGCCGTTTCATCTGCAAGTTGAAGTGGCCCAGTGTATAGCATTGATATAAAGGAAAAAGACATTGCGGTGAGTGTCGGTGTGTATCAATGTGTATTGATCGTAGCGAAGAACCGCAACGAGAGCCTTCAGCAACAACGCGAGCACTAAAGAATATTTGGTGTGGAGCACACTACATATTTAAAATGCAAAATGTGCGCCACACCACATATTCGTTTGCAATGAGCGGCGCACCAGGCATGATGGCGGGCGGTCCTCGCGGCGGCGTGAACGTCGGCGGCGGAAGCTCCACTGGCCGCGCCATCTTCGCGCTTTGCGGAGGCCTGGCGGGCGCCTACTACGGCTTCTACCTGCAGAGCAAATACATGGAGGAGCGTCGGGTGCGTACTACACTGCAAGTACCTATACCTTGTATCAATCAGTCTCACCTCTTTTTGGCATTTTCAGGTGCACGCGCTGGTGGAGACGGAAGCTCGCAAGCGCCTGGAAGAGGAGAAGGCTACCAACAAGTAACAACAAAACGCGGAATAAAACACACCTGGTTCTGTGATAAATACTGTCCTCGAAGTAGAATAAGCACCAAGCAATCTTTCAGCCGGCCATGGTCGGCAGCGCCACCTCCCGCACCGCCGAGACCAGCAGCAGCATTTGCTTCTGCTGCTGCACTAGGATCTCGACCAGTTTGCGCTCCATGGCCCTCATCTCCTGCTCCTTCTCCTCCCTCCTAGCGCGAAGAGACGCCAGCGTTTGGTCCACAGTGCGAATCTCAGCCTTCTTCTTCTCGATGCGCTCCAAAAGCGCCTCGAACTCCTCGTTCAGTCGGCGCTTCTTGGCCACCACGGCCATATTCAGCGACCCGCTGTTGTTGCCACTGGACTGCAACATCAGATCTCGCAGTGAAGCTTCGATGGTCTGCGCCTCGGTCTGTAGAGCTTCGACGCCCCGCTCCAACGTGACTTTCATCTCTTCAACTTCTTCGAGTTGTTTCGTGACAATTGAGATTTCGTTGGACAACACGGCGCTCGAGCTGCGGTGGGCGACCAACTCATCGCGCTTGTAGTTGGTCAAGGTTTGCGTCATCTCGCCGTGTTGCGACTGCAGTTGGGCCCAAGTTTCCTGAATTTTGGCCATGAGGTCTTCCCATTGCGATTTTTCGTCGGCGAGCTCTGCTTTGAGTCGATGGAATTTATCTTCCATTGCGGCTCGAGAAGTTTGGCTTGCCGTCGTCTCCTCGGTGATTCTCCGCATTGCACGCATGACGAGGTGGAGGACGTGGAACGCAGCGTGCTTCTGCTGCTTCTTGAAACTCTCTTTAGCGTCGAATTGGGCGTCTTCAGCTTCTTCGAGGGCGGATCGGAGGGAGTTCAGTTCGGTCTCGAGATGCTCCTTCTGCTTCTTGAGCTCAGTCATGGCTCGTTCGACGTGCTCGATGAGCTTTTCGGAGTCTTCTTGAACCTGGGCGATCGCGTCTTCCTGCTCTCGAAGGAGCCTCGCCTCTTGCTCACCAAGTTGCTCCTCTAACTGCTTGGAGAAATTCTCCTGTAGCTGCTTCGTCAACTCTTCTCGTTCTTTGTCGAGTTCTTCTCGTAGTGATTCGAGTTGTCGCTCAGTGGCGCTAGCAGTAGTTGATGCAAGCTCTTCGAGTTTGGCAGTCCACGCGTTCTCCATCTCCACACGTTGGTTCTCGTGATCTTCCTGCAGTCGCAGAAGTGCTGCTTCTTTATCCTCGACTAAAGAAGTCATCAACCGAGCTTTATCTTCAGCCAGCTTACTCTCAAGTTGAGTTCGCTGGTCCTCAAGCTCTTGCGTCCATTTGGCGGTCAGCTCCTGTTCGATCACCTCAGCACTGGCATCAAAATGCTCTTGAGCTCGTTCTCGTTCTCGAGTTGTTATCTCATCCGTTAGAGCTTGGAGAGCTTGTGCGTGCTGCTCTTCCAGTTGGCTCTTGAGTTCTGCGAGTTGAGCCTGGAACCGCATCTCGTGACGTTCTTCGGCTGCTCGGATCGCAGCCACCGCTTCTTGCTGCACCTTATCAAGCTCTTCGCGCTGCCGCTCCTTGATTTGCACTGCCGCCTGCTGCCACTCCTTCTCTCGGTCCTGTTGTCCTTCATTATACGCCATCTTCTTCTCCACTTCCTGGCGTTCCTGCAGTTCCTCCATTGCCCGTTGCCACTTGGAAGTACACTGAACCACTGCAGAGCCTTTGCGCTCGTTCATCTCTTTCTGCAATGATGCCAACTCGGCATTCGCCCTTAACTCAGCTTCTGCAATCGCGTCTTGAAGAGCCTTCTCCTGAGCTTCACGCAGATTAGTCATCTCTTTTTGCCAGTGTTGAGTTTCAGCTTGAATCGCCTCCTCCATCTCTATCCGATGCTTCTGTGTGACGGCCGCAAGCTCAGCTGAGTAAACCTCTGCACTTCGCTGTTTTACCTCTTCCGACAGCATTTCCATTTGGGCCTTCAATTCTGCAGTATGCTCGGACATTTCCTCGTCATGGCGTACCTGCATTGAAGCCAATTCCCGAGCGTGATCAAGTACTAGTTTACTCGCTTCTGAGCTGAGTTGCTCCTCGAACAGATCTCGTTGAGCTCGAATCTCGGCTTGAAGAGCTGCTTGTTCCGTGTTCCAACTCTCTCGTTTGTGCTCCCAGTCTGCCCGTAACGCACCCAGTTCATCCTCGAAAGTGCACGCCATCACCTCGCACTTTTGCGTCAGTTCTGTCAGCTCCTCTGTCAGTCGCGTGTTATCCTGTTGAAGCTTGTCCCTTTCGTCTTGAAGTGCTTGAATGGTGCCCTGTGCATCGTCCTCGGCGGACTTGGAGATTGACTCGAACTTGTCCTTCAACTGCTGGAGCTGTGCGGCATGCATGGCTGCGAGGTCTTCCTGTAGCTGGGACTTCTCCTGCTGGTAGAACTCGTTGAGCTCTTCTCGATCTTTGTCGTGCTCTTCCTTCATCCTGCGAATCGCGCCCAAACGCTCGTCGTGCAGCGTCTGCGTCATCTCGTCACATTTCGCCATGTAGTCCTCGCGCAGCCGCTCTTCAAGCCGCCCCAGCTCCTCTCCTCGCCTCTGTTCTTGCTGGACTTGCAGACGCACAAGGTTGGCGTGCAGTTTTGCTTGAGCAAAAGCACGATATTGCAATCGTAGCCGCAACAGCGCCACCTTCTCACCAAGAACTAAAGCCAGTAGAGCCGTCGCCTTCTCCTTCTTCGCTCGAGCTTTTTCCTTCTCAAGTTTCTCTTCAAGTACGAGCATCTCTCCTTGAGTGGCGGCTAACTTGGCCATATACTGAGCATTCTCCTCCTCAAGCCGCTTGATTTGCGTGTTCTTCTCTTCCTCCATCGCCTTCAGTGAGTTCTTCACAGCTGCGAGTGACTTGGACATGCGTTCACTCGCATTCTTCGCGTACGTCTGCTCCTTGAGACTATCTTCTTTTGCTGCTAGTAGCTGGGCTCGCATCTCGCTCACCTCAATCCTTGACTTGTCGATCTCGTCACGTTCCAGCAGCGACTGCTCTCGAGCTTCTGCAAACTTGGTCTGCACCTCCTTCAGTTGCCGAGTCAACAGAAGCTTCCCCTCCTCCAAGCACTCGATCGTTCCTTGCAGCTCCTGCTCTTGGTTTTTCTTCTCAGTCATCAGCGCGCTAATCTTCAGCTCACTTGCTCTCAAAGCCTCCTCCATAGCATCCTTCAGCTCCTGAATCTCGTACTGAAGGTCCGTGACTTGTTTCTGACTCTTCTCCTTCATCTCTTGCTGGCCTTGAAGCTGACTCTTGAGATACTGCCGCTCATTGTCAAGTCGACGGAGGAGAGCTTCCATCTGCACACGCTTGGTCTCCTCGCTGGCGTTCATCACACTCATCGACCCGACCTTGGCTGCGTCTTGCTTACGTTCTTCCTGTAGAGCTTCAACCTGTCCTTCTGCATCGACAAGCTGGCGAGTGAGTCGAACGTTCTCCTCGACCATTTTCTCCATCGCAAGCTTGGCATTCGCTTCCCTGCTCTTCCACATCGTCAGCTCCTGGACGAGATCGGTCACGTTCGCCTGCAAAGTGACGAGTTTGCCCTGCAATGCCGCTTGTTGGGTTGTTAGTAGCTCCTTCTCTTGAGAGAACCCAGTCTCAATCCGCTCCATTTGCTTCTTGAACGCTTCTTCCTGCTCTGCGAGAGCCTGCCGCTTGTCGACCTTCATTTGCTCCATAGCATTGGTCACTTGAGCGAGGTGGCTGCCCAGTTCCTCTTTGCACTTCATCTCGGACGCGAGTTGCGCCTTCAGGTACTCAATCTTGTTGTTGAGATGCTTCTCCATCGCCTCAACGTCCTGCTGAGCTACAGCAGCCGACGCGACCATATTGATCGAGTGTCCTTGGTTCCGTTGCTGGACCTTCAACGCTGCAACTTGGCGCTCAAGACGCTGGTTCTTCTCTTCGAGCACGACGACTTTGTTCTTGGTCAAGTCTTCGAGCGCGGCCTTGGCATTTTTCGCTTGAGTGGCAGCGACTTGCGCTTGACTCTGGAGAGTCAGCATTTGCATCTGCAAGCTCTCGCTCTTCTCCTTCGCCGAGTGTTCGCTAAGACGCAGCGTCTCCATGTCCAGCTGATACTTCTCATGCAACTTCTTGAGCTCTGCTTGTTGCGTCTGCACGAGTTGTTTCTTGGCTTGCTCCTTGTCTCGAATTACCTGGTCCAGCTGGAGGTTGAGCGAGTCGATGGTCTCGATGAGCCGGGTGATTTCTTCCGCTGAGCTGCTGCTGCTTTGCTTCACCTTGCTCTGCTTCGAGTGGAAACTGTACTCCAGCTCGAGTAGCTGCTTCCGCGCTTGATCGTCTTTCTCTCGGAGCATGGCTGTGCATTGCGTTCGGGTCTGTAGAATCTCCTGTTCGAGTTTGTTTCTGTGCGCTTCGACTCCTGCCAATTTCTGCTTTGTTTGAGCTAACTCAGCTTCCAAAGTGATCACCTTATCAGCTAATTGTCCACTGTCAATTGGAAGTTGAGGGGGGGAATTGGCTGTCGACTGCTGGTTGCTTCTAGCATCGCTGATGACAGATCCGTGGGTATTGTGGCCAGATTTCTTCTTCTGCTTCAAATCTGGATGGGATACTTGTAGAGAAGGTAGTACAGAGCGCTCCCGTGAAGTGCTCGACCCGCTTGTAGGTCGCTCCGAGGTGTCATCGAGCTCGGGTCCGTTTGAACTTCGCTTGTTACTATCGATCACGGCGGATTGTTTTGCTAGTTCCTCGAGGAACATTCTGTCGTAGGGATCACTAGCATCTTGTGCAGCCTTTTCGAGCTCATCGTTTGGTCTGGAGCCAGCCTCCACGGACTTGTTCTGTCCTTGAAAGCCCATGTCTCGAACTTTGTTGATGGTCGAGTAGACTCGACGGCAGTTTGCACACACCAGAACCTGTTTGTAGAACTGCGTAGGATTAGAGCGACCAAGCTCCATGCGGAAGACGTTGTCAGCTTCTTGCCATTTCAAGCCCAAAGCAGCTTCGTCTAGCTGTGAAGAAGACTCTTGCAGAAGATTGAGCTCTGCGTGAGCAAGCAGTAGGTTGTTGTTGCCCATCTTGAACCGCTGTCCAGTATCTTCTAACACAGCAAAATCCGGGTCATCGACGCCGTCGAGATTGTTGCTATAACTCGCAGTGTCTTGTATCCGCAATGCATTTAGCAACCTCATCAGCCCCGGGAGTGATGCTAAAGAAGTCTTACAAAATTCACCGCGACATTTAGCAGCGCAGCTATCTTCTTTAGCACCAGTGGCCGTCTGTAGGTCTGGAAGTGCGGATTTCTTCTTCAACGTCGATGATCCAATCGCATCTCCGTTGCTAATCGTTTGCAGCTCCACATGCCCAATGTGCGTCAACCAAACCGTCTGGTTTCCATCGCAGACAAACTCCAGCGTAGCCGCAACGACTTGGGCGTCGCCTGTCCTGGATAGAAAGCTTACTACAGTGGCTGCCGCAGTCTCCACATCTTTATTGACGCCTGTCGATAGCGGGAGTGAAACTTGAGCATTCGAACCTTTCAACCTCTCGTCCAGATAACCTGCCCATCGCTCAATTTTAACGTCAGGTAAAGTAGATCCGCCATCGCTCGAAGCTTCAACCTCGGCCTGAAAATGACTATCTGGATCTCCGCTAGGTGGAATGTAAGCTTGGAGTCCCTCAATTTTCTTTATCAACGAAGACGAGCCCCGCCTTCCACCATCAAGAGCTTGTAGAATCTCTTCAAACTCCTCAGTATCCACCAACTTTCGTGAGCCATCGAGAAAATTCACGACTGCGACCCACTTTATCCTCTTTTCGCTTGATCGTCCAGCTAGCTGCAAGAATCTGTCGCGGATTTTACCTACGGGCAGTGATCCATCCTTGGTCATGCGTTTACGTGAAATCGCGCCGCTTTTCCCCGTGAAGAGCCACAAGAACGAGTCGATGTCGCCCCTATCAGCGTCCCGGTGGAATACAATGGTGTCGGTCATTCGCACTTTACATTTCTTGCTTTCATTCCAGAGCGCGGCATGGGCCCACTCCCACCCACGAACCACGACAGGCTCCGATTGATACGCAGACGCTCGTAGCCCCTGCTTCCGCCGCTTTGCCATCGTATCGTATTACGAGCATCCACTTTTGGGGGGGGTTTCGCCTTTCGAAGAGTGATAATACAACTCCAAATCGGTAGTCACATGGATCAGTCCCTTTCGGACGAAGGCACAGATACTTAAAACTTTAAGTATTATATCTCTAAAGGCGTAAGGCTTTAAGAGTGTTGGGAGGCTAACAAGAAAAGCGTTGATTGAAAGAGTTACCAAATGAAAGCGCTTCCAAGACGAGCTAGTCTTCAAAGTCGAGGCCGTGCTTCATCTTCTGCTCCACCACCGCAGCGGGGATTGGCTTCTTGCCGACGATGAAGAAGAACGGAACAGCCTGCTTGCTCTTGCGTGCGAGCACCGGCTTCCAGTGACGACCAAAATGCTCACCCGAAGTTTTCAGGGACACCTGCATCTCCAACTCCCACGGAATCTCGCTAAACACTCCGTGCAGCGGGTCGTCCTCGCCGTACTTCATCGCCCGTTCCCCCCACTCGTCACCGTCGACGAGAATTCGACCGGCGATGTCCGCCCAGAACTCGCTACCAGGGGCCGACAAGTAGTCGATGGCTTTCAACAGTTCGACGACGCCAGCTCGGTCGATGTAGGGGATCAATCCCTCCATAACCCAGAACGTTGGCAAGGTTGGATTGAACCCGTGCCCCATCAGGTTCGTCTCCAGACCCGCCTCGGCTAGATTCGAGACGATGCAGTCGACGCTTTGGGCCATCAGCGGCGCGTGTAGCTCCTTCATCACTTCAGCCTTGTGCTCGAACAATTCACCGCTTTGGTCGACTTCCAGGACGTGGCAGCCTCGGAGAGACTCCAGGCGATACGCGCGAGCATCCAACCCAGCCCCGAGAATCACAACTTGAAGGATCCGTGGATCGCGGTGATAGAGAGCTTCGTCCAGGTAACGCGTACGGAACGCGATGAAGTCGTCGGGGAACGACTGCAGCTTGTTCGACACTTCTTTGAGGAATTTCTCGATCTTCGGCTGATGCTTCCGCGTAAGCGGCTCGGCAAATGGGTCGTTGATGATCGAATCGTTGCGAGCACTTTCCACCGCTCGAAGGTAGGTCGTCACGAAGCCCATGGACTCAGTGAAAGCATCATCTACCGATGCAGCGTCCACTTGGAACAGCGAAGACGGCACAGCTGGATCCATCGGTGGTGTTGCTTGGCCTACGCTCGAGCAAGCAAAATCTGTTGTGAGGCTTGGAGAAACCAAAGATTCCCCCACTGCATTTTCCCACATTTTTTCTGCGAGCAGCCAACGTGATGGCTGTTGATTCGTCGGGCGAAGGTGCCAAAAGACTGCAAGGGAATGCTAGATTAATTGTTATCTGCTAGCAAGCCTATGCATACACGCTGAACAGCGCTTCAGCTCAGCATGTTCAGCAGTCCAAACCAGAGCACACGTCCTTCTTACACGCTTCGGTCGGAATGGGCTTCTTGCCGACGACAAACCAAACTGGAACGCTCTCGCCGGTATCCGAAGAAGACAACGGTGACCACTTGCGACCAAAATGAACCCCTTCCTCCCCAAGCGAAGCTTGCAGCTGCAAACACCAGGGGATCTCGCGCAGCACACCACGTAGTGGGTCGTCTTCGCCGTGCTTCATCGTAACTTCACCAAAGCCCTCGACAGCAAAGGTTGCGTGGCCAGCGATATCCGCCCAAAATGTAGGCAAGCTTGAGTCGAATCCATGAGCGAGCAGCTTGTGGTCCCAGTCATCATCGGCGAGGTTGGCAACGATGCAGTCAAGCTTTCGTGCCATCAGCGGCGCGTCTTGCAATACTTCGGCTTTATGATCAAATGCCCGGGGATTTCGCTCAATTTCCAAAACATGGCATGCACGCAGTGACAACAAGCGATACGCGCGAGTGTCCAAACCAGCCCCGAGGATCACAACTTGCTTGGTGCCGCTGCCGCGGTGCTCCAGTGCGTCATCGACGTATCGAGAGCGAATCGCGATCAGATTCTCCCATCGGACGCCCTGCTCAGCCGTCCCCTTCAGGAAACTTTCCAGCTCGTGGCGGTTCTTCTGCGTGAGGAGACCAGCAAACGGATCGTTGTACATACAGCCATCAAGATAGCACGCATGTACGCCGTTCCAAATTTGGATAGAAAGAGGTAAACCACGTAGCGAGGTGGGATGTCATCTTCAACTTACATATTGTAGCCATCTTCCAAATAAAACAATATGATTGGCTTAAACAATGAAAACGTTTTAGCCAATCCATGTCATTTGCTACACTTTCGCCACGTAAGCGATCAAGATGCGGGTCGACGTGACCTCGCGCTTCCGGGAGCTGGCCCCAGCGACGACCCACGCTGCCCCCAGCCGACCTAGCGTCTTCTACGTGGAAGCTGCGGAGCTGGTGCGTCTGTAGACATCAGAATTCCGCGTTAAATCGCTCGTTTAGATCCTAAAATTCACTTTTTCTATTATGGATATGCTAATTGTTACTGTTATTATCCTTATTATCCTCCTATCATACAGTTAAGCAGCCTAGTGGAGCTGGAGAAGCTGCTGCAGCGCGTGAAGCCCAAGTATCTGCTGCCCAAGCGCTTTGTCCGGACCAAAGGGTCCCGCATGAGCGAGGCGGACAAGGACGAGCTGGACGCAGTGAGTTTTGATAAGGGTGACAATCATATACGGACAGGGTAATGCTGACTCTGTTGCTGGTGACTTGAAGGACCTGGTGGAGCTCATCAAGAACTGCAGCAGCAAAATCGACGATCTCAAGACGGCGGTGGAGGCACAGGGTGAGTCTTTTTAGTTAAAGCAGTCTCTTATTGGGCTGCGGACGATCTTGACGTTATTTTTCGTGTATACAGCTGTAGTTTCCAGTGTGGGGGAGTACCAGAGAGAGGTGGTGGCCTACTTGCTGGAGGTATAGTGCTTGGCGGTGGGTGAGTGAAGTGAAGGAGCTAGCTGACACCATTTTTTTTCGTAGCGTTTGAAAACTATTGCGGATGGAGCGAAGCAGATGCAGAAGAAGAGGTACCAGCAGCCGTTCCTGCTATCGTCACGGTGAGCGTTGTTCTTCTTGTCCAAAGTTTTGCCATGACAAACTTACTTTATATTGGTGGGGTGAAAGGTTGCTGCCAGAGGACGACAGACAGGAGCTGGATGCACTGGAGCAGAAAATTGTGCGGATGAGGGAAGTGGAAGCCAAGAAGAAGCAACTTACTGTCAGCTCTCCGAAAAATCCTGAAGTTCCGGCGCTTTTGTCGCCACGATCACCAAAGTCGCCGTCCACGAATGGACCAGCTTCGCCGCTCGCTGTATCGTCTCCGGTGAAGCAAGCGAAACCGGAAGTCCGTCAGCGCAATAACTCCAAAGCGCGGAAATCAGTGCCAAAACCACAGGTGGGCGCTACTATAATATCATATCGTTGTGGATATTGAACTAACTTCTAAGTTTGATGCGTTCGTCCACTCTCATCAGCAGGCATCGGTGTTTGCTTCACAGAAGGATGCGCTTGAATTCACGGAAGAGGAAGACCGTCGCTTCCGTGTCGAGAACGTCATGCTTCATCGCCACTTCCAAGAAAACCTAGAGGACGCCAAGTACGCTGTTGCTGTGCATATGTGATCTGAGTACGTGTTTTTACTAATCGTGTGTTGTCTGTACTTGTCTACAGGAAAATGGAGTCGAAAATGGCCGAGATTTCGAACCTCATGGGCCAATTTGCGGACAAAATCATGGAGCAGCAAAACGATATTGAGCTTATCCAGCAACACGCTCAAGAGACGAAGTCGAACGTCACTCAGGTGAGATTTTATATGCAAAATCTGGCCACAGTGACGCCTAGGCAACTAATATACTGTACTGTGGCGTCATGTCCAATGCTCAGAGCAACCGCATTCTGGAGCAAACGCAGAAGATCGGCAAAGGCTACGGCTTCATGATCTTCTGCTTCTATGTGGGATTCTCGGTTATCCTGCATATGCTGCATTATTTTAACAGTTAAATACACGAGGCGGGGACAGTGAGTAGACCAGTCCAGTCTTCATGAGTGAGGTGCGAATCGCCGTCTGAAGATATTCGTCGCCACTCAATTCAACGGTGCGTTTACTCGCGAGAAAACGACTACTCTATTAACCTATTTGTTTCTGCTCTAGATGGCATCAACAGCCTCCTGAGTGAGACCCTCGTAGCACGTGAGCCCATCGGCATTCAGCAGATCGTCCCTGGCACCCTTTTCCATCAGGTACTCCATGAGGTCGTGGAATCCGTACTCATGGCAGTAGTGCAACAGCGACTGGCCATTCAGGTTCTGTGTGTTGATGTCGGCACCGCGCCGCAGACAGAGCTTCGCAATGCGCTTGTTGTTGTTCTGGCACGCGACCGAGAGCAGTGTATTGCCAGTGGCGTCTTTCGCGTCGATGCCGGTCGACCAGTCCGGACTATTGAGCAGCAGCTCGACCTCGTCGTATTTGCCGTGGCGACAGAGACTGAAGATGTTATCAAGCTGCTCTGCCTCCTTGACTGCCTGGGATACGTTGTCGCGTTTCTCCACCTGCACGACCGCGGGCTTCGTAGCTGCCGCACCTGCTGGTGTTGCGGTATCTGTGGCAGTCTGGACGAGTTCTGGACGAAGCATGAGGTCTTCGATGAACTGCGTCCCGAATATCGCGCGGCCTGCTGTCCAAGGCGAGTACCCGACTACCAGCCATTCCTCAAGTGCACCACGAGGCCTAACAATTCCGACACTTCTCGGCTGGTTCATGTTCTTGATGACTGGCAAGTAGTTGGCCTGCATTTTGCAAGTCTTGGTGCTGGTTACTGCAGCGATGAAGTCCTTCGGAAGACAAGCAACTCGCTGATGCAACGCTCCACCGAAGCCTTCCACTGCGGTTTGGCTGTCACCAGAGGTGTCCACAGGCTTTCGGACCCAAGACGTGCCCTCTCCTGGCGGAGGATGTGTCTGATACCCCGGAGTCTTTTTCCCTACATGCGGTCCGCCCCCGCTGAGCTCGACATCGTCTGGAGTTGGCGAGATATCCACCGACGGAGCCACGGAGTACCCACTCCTCGAAGAAAGCAGGGACGTACCAACCGAGCTGGTCTGCGATCGAGAAGAAGTCGGGAGTTCGTCACCTTCGTCGTCCTCGTCATCCTCTCCATCCTGCTCGTCGAAGTCATGAGTACTGCTGCTTGATTGGAGTTTTCGAGCCAGCTCCGACTTGGTCGGTGCACCTTGGCGTATCGGAGAGGTGCTTTGCTGTTGAACGCGCATGCCGAGGCCCATGCCAAGACCGATGCCAAGCTGCAACATGTCGACACTAGCACCCTTTGCGGCCGGAAGAGCTGAGCCCAATGCCAGTGTGATGCTGTCGATCATCTGCTTTGTGGTGGAATCAAGAGGCGGTACGACAGCTCCATCAGATTCTACGGTCTCATTTGTCGCCACCCCGGCAATCTGCACTCGCGACTTCGTTGAACTCGCCGATGACGCTCTACTACCGGCGATGCTACTTCGCTGCGGCTGTCGCTTCAAGTAAAGTTGGGGGACTTGAATTCGCGTGAGATCTCCCTTGCTGACTGATGCTGGACCAGAAGGACTACCAGACATGAGGTCCACCACGATGTCGTGCTTCTTGGCGCTGGCCGTCACAAGCTTCACACGGCGCTCCTTATCTTCCGGGGCCTCGAGTTTCTTGGTCATGTACTTCCGAAGATTCTGCTGCGAGTACCTCGCAGCTCCACCGTCTTTCGCAGCATCACTGTCTGCCGCACCAGTACCAAGACCGACGCCAAGAGTGGCGATTTCACCTTCTCCTGTGGTAATAACACCGTCGATTTCGCCGTCTTTGCCGCGAAACTTCTCCGTGGGCAGAATAGGTCGCGTCCAAAATGTGTCGCCGGTGTTACGGTCGTACCAATACGCCACGCCGTCCTCGGTGACAAACTCGTCGTACGGGCTGTTCTGCATGTACGCCCAGCTGCGGTAGACGACACTCGAGCAAAGTCCAAGGGCGCCATCGGGGTTCGAGTTCTTCATAAAGTCACCTGGCTGCTGTCTACCCAGCGTCGTGAAGGCCTGGGGCTGGTTTCGACTTGACTGGCCGATCCAGAGCAGATGAATGAACTCCACTGGCGTGTTCTCCCGCGTGGTAGGCACACAGAACGGGTACGTTCGATCCACCCGCGTGGTCACTGTAGCGTTGAGCGACGCCATGTTTGGTACCAGGATGCCGCTCGACGGAGCGACTTGCACTCCAGGGACGAAGTCAAGTACTGCGAATGGATCAATGAGCCAATAGGTCCGGAATCCATTGGCCTCCTCTTCACCGGTTTGCTCGGGGCGATTCAAAGGGAACCTCCGCGCGTCCAGTAGCATCATCTCGCGTCTGGTGTCTTCGTTGTCTGTGGACGAGACGAGATGAACTCGAGCGGCTACGACAATGCACGGCGGTCTTCGTACGTTGAGAGCGTGCTCGAGCGCACGGAAGACATATTCGGGCGTGGTTGGGTCGACAATCAAGCAGACGAATGAAGCCGTCTCATCGCGTGAAGGTGCTGGAGCTACTGCGCGTCGGTCGAACACTACGAAGTTGCCGAATTGAGCAGGGATGTACGTGGTCACCAGCATGTGGATCAGCAGCACAGCGGACAGTCCACCCACGTCCAAGTTGCCTGGCGTCGGCTTGCGCGAGAAGGTCGCGAAGAGCACGACGAGCGGTCTAACGTGTTTCGTTCGCCTTGCATCGGTTGAGCCATGTGGTGGGCTGCACGCTCCGATCTGCAGCGCTGCCTTCTGCACGGCCGAGATGGCCATACGTGCTGATAGTCTCTCGAGCCAACTCGCGCTGTGGCCAGCATCAATGTGGACGTTTGAAACAGGCAGCGGCAGTCGCTCCAAGAAGCTGGGTACGGGCATGGGCACGCAGCGAGGAGGTGGTAGCTCATAGACTCGAGGCTTGTATAACGCTACCGGTTTGGTGTACTCTGTCACGAGGATCCAGTTACGGAGTTGCGGACGAGCTGGATTAATCATGATGACATCGCGAAGAGGAACTGGGTGTTGACCGGTGCGGTCCTTGGAAGTCACTGGAGCTTTCGGGTGGAACTCGCAGACGCTCTCCGAGTACTTGGAAACCCACCGAGCGTTTTGAAGCGTGTTTTTCAGCTTGAAGAGCGACGGTGGTCGACTGGTTTCCTTGCCTCCTCCAAGAGTTCTCGGCAAGCGATCGGTTCGAATCTGCTCGAGAAACGAGCGGAACCAGGAGCGTGTGTGGAGCTTGCGTCGCATCGTCTTGTTCCAAGCGGAGGAGAGCTGCTCCAAAGCGCGGTAGATGGGATGCCGACACTCGATGACTGTGACGTACTGCTTGAGCTTGCGATCGTAGCGGAGAGAAGCGCGCTGCTTCATGAAGATTTCCTGGATCTCCTCCGCTCGGTACTTCCGACGCAGTTGGTCCAGCTCCCAGTTGGCGCACATGAGTGCGCTCTCCGTAGCGCGAATTTTTCTCGTCGAGTCTCTCGGATCTTGATGCAAGTCGCAGTGACGTCCATTGCTGGCACTCCAACAGTTGAAACACACTGTGACAGCTTCCCGCCGAGCTGCCTCTTTCGCCTCAGGATCATCCGCATCGTCTTCATTCTCTTGCTGCGATGTTTTCCTCCTGGACCTAGACGTTGGACTTTTACGCGATGTGTCTTCGTGGAAACCAGGGTCTGCCAAGTCGCGGATGTGTGGAGGTCTCCCTGCTCGACTCGCTGTTTTAGCTTTGCTGCGGATGCTGGAAGCCCGTGTGGGCGATTCAGGATTCCCCTCATCGGCTCTTGAGCGCTCCGATCGCTTGTCCCGATCACGGGCTAGGACAGCGACAAACACCGGTTCCTCGCGCTTGCCCAACACAATCTCGCGGCGTCGGCTACCTGGGTTCTGGTTGCGTGAGACCTTCCCTGGCACAGATTTCCGACGCAGAACGACGTTGGACGCGATAAGCGACGAGATCGAGTCGAACTTGGACACGTGCAAGGCGCTGCGGATCGTGTCTCGCAGCTTGCTGTTCTTGGTGCCGTCAGCGCGGAAGAGCGTGTCGTTGGTCTGCCAGTCGCTGTTGGCATCTTCTAACGGCGCGATCCGGTCCTGGCCACAGTCTTCGAGCTCAAGCGGAAGTGACTGCCGGCGCTCAAAGAACGAGTCGCCAACCTCGCTGTCCGCGTAGCCACCAGAGTCTTGAGTCCGATCGGTTGAAAGACTGCGCTCCGATGGGAGCACCGAGTCACACTCCCATGGATTCGGCGACGACGTGATGCCCTCAGGTTGCAGTGACGGCAGGCTTCGCGGTGACCGGATGGATTTCCTGTTCATGCTTGCTTCACTTGACCGGTGAGCACCTGATTGCTGGTGTTGCTGCTCCTGCTGATAACTGGACGTTGAGCGAGCTGAGGAAGACGCAGGTGATAGAGGCGGCAGTGATTCTATTGTCGACGAAGACCGCTGCTGGTTTGTCCGTGACGTCGCTGTCTTCACACTGCCGCTCGTGTTTAAGGCTGGGAGTTCTGGAAGTGAGCGACTTCGTGGTGTAGCAGCTGGAGTGAAAGTTGCCGGAGGTTCCCATTGACTCACTCCCGTGGTGGCGTTATAGTACCAGACCTCTCCACGCTCGACGTCGCGCACTTCGTGCCACTGATCAACTGGACGGTCAGTCTCAACCTCATCTGCTGGGACGGTAGCAGCTGTTGTGGCAGTAGCAGCAGCTTGCTTTTCTTCCCACCTTCGTCGACGACACAAGAACCCCCTGGAATGCGCTTGGATCAAGGTGGCGCTGGTCTCGAGTCGATTCTCCAGAGTTTGCTCACGTTTCCGCTGCTTCTTGCGAATCGCTTGCTCGGCCCTCGAACGCTCGCTGTTGTGGATGTCCTCCTGGCGATTCTGCTCTCGTTGGAAGGCGTTCTTCTGCCACTCGACCCCGTGTTTCGACGGCCTTATGTCCGGGTAGAAAGTGTCTTTGCCCTGTCGAATTCGAGTCTCTTCCGCGTCAAACGCCGATGGATCAACGGGTGCAGGTGGCTCTACCCACTCTTGATGGGGCGACTTGGCAGCTTGACTGTCAGCAGCTTTGGTGTCAGTTTGAGACTCTTGTTCATCGTCTTCGCTGTCGTCCAGTACTTCGATGGTTAACCGAGTTTTGTCCCCGGCGCTGGTGTTGAGCTTGGAGCTCTTCTTCGACGACTTTGGTTGCGTCTTGACGAGGCGCAGCAGCTCAGCTGTCTCCGCGTGTAGCTGAACGAGACTTTCGTCACCTTTGAAGACCATTGGGACTCCGTCGGCAGAGACATCGTTCTCGACCTGCTTGCGCTTGCGTGACTGGGTGCCGGCATTGCGCTTGGAGAAGAAGGAGCGCATGCTACTGCCGCATACTCGAACGATCCGACCTCGGCGCAATTAGCATGGAATTCGGGAAGAGGCGACATGGAGGTAACGGCTCCATCAATGGCTGACTAGTCATGATGCAGTTAGCACTGTCAGTCAGCCTTGTGCGCGAACATTCCCACCGCTTTGATCGACTTGCAGAATGTGACAGCCATGGAGCGATTCAAGGCAATACTTGCGAGCTTCTAGTCCAGCGAGATATTTAAGGGATCCGTCGTTCGCTACAGGGCTTCATCCAGGTCATTCAGGGAAGGACTGCTGCTTGTTCGACACTTCATCTATGAATTTCTAGATCATCAACAAGACTGCAGTAAAAATTGTTGGCATTGTGGTGCATCTTGGTGGTTATCGGATTAATAAGTGTAGCAAACCTGCAGATGCATGTTAATCGAAGCAGTCCTAACCAGGCACACGTCCTTATCGCCACAAGCTTCCAACCGAAGCGTGGCCTGCTTGGTCACTACCGTCACTGATATCATCGCGGTTGCCATTCTGCCGTGGAACATGCGTGACCATGCATCGATCCCGAACCATTGATGAGTCGGTGCACGACCAGCTTGGCTGTAGCGTACGGGGCCGCTATCATCATCCCGGACCTCCACGCGAAAACAATCTAAGTCCCAACGCATGCGTCGAGCGTCTATGGTCAGCATCGTCTTCATCACCGCCTTCCGTCTTTGCGATCACGTTGGCTGGATGCCTGCCACGCTTATAGCTGCCAGGCCGATGGGTCCGACTGCAGAGAAAACCAGACGGTGCGCTACGTGCTCGGTCTTCTCAAGAAAAACCACGTATATTCTCCCAACATCCTTTCACAACATAATGTTGATCAAGGTGCTACCGTCGTGAAGTATCGAAGTCGATCATCGGATGATGCCTGGCACTGCTGAGCGACACGCCCAATAGCAGCTAAAAGATCCGTCGCAGCTCGTGCCAAACTGATCTCATACGAATCCACCGGTCCACTTGGACCACGTTCCACCACAATGTCACGGAAAGTCGATGGGGAGAAACGATACTCGCTTAGTTTCACTGACGGCGGGTACTCGATACAGGGGGCGAAGAATGGGCTCATCATAGTCGTTGTTCGTCTGGAGAGTGCAACGTAGACAGATTGCAGATACACTAGTACGAGCTCAACCAAGTCGATCAGCTCCAGCTTCGGTCGGTGTTCGTTGAATGCAATCGCTTCGCACACGATTCCGCATAACTCGGTCAACAAAACGCAGCTGTTTCCACAGCAAAAACAAGAATTAGTCGCTAGTTTGTTTTTGTAAAGCCTTTAAGCGATAGCACGAACCTGATTGTGCTGTTGACCACTTCTTCGCCAGGTACATACTTAATCAGACATTCCACCATCCATTCCAGACACGGATGCAGCTCATTCAGTTGAAACTCTTGGAGGGGCACATTGTTTGTTGCGGTTTGGGTATGCGAGTTTGCGTTCAAGTTTGCGTGGTTGAGCACCGCCCGTACAAACTGAAACAGAGGTACCATCGTCTCCAATAAAGATGTATCTCCATCTCGTTGCACGAAAGTAAATGTGTCCCTCATAAAATCACCCAGTACAAACTGCCGAAGTTGGTGAACGCGTGAACAGGAGGAGGTAGCTCGCGAGTGCTCGAACGAATTTGTGCATCTGCAGTCGAAAAGACCACACGACAGGTAAAATGCTTCGCGACGAACTGTCCTCACGTCGATGTCTTGCTCGTTAGAAGATTCGACACCAGGGTAGTAGCTGTGAATTCCAAGAGGTCCATCCGGGTCCAAGATATTCACCAGCAATGTTTTTAGAGGAGACGCCTCCCACCCGCTGTTAAAAGTCTGGTATATCTCGGACGTCTACAATACGACACAATCAGTTTGCGAACCACAATTGTCATCACTACACCTAGCAAATGTTGCGTACCTGAGCAAACCAGTGGAGCAAACTCGGGTACTTCTGACGCGCAAAGAACAGTTGAACGCTATCGACAAAGCCCATGGAGCCGGTACAGAACCCTTTTCGGAGCTCTTCATTCACGTTTCGCACCCCACTCTGCTGGTCCAATGTACGTACACCGTTCATCCGCTTTTCTGCTTGTGGGTACTCGGCGCTGTTTACTTGCCGAAATAGCAGTTGCATAGCATCAAAAAACAGATTGGATTTCCCAATTGCCATCTCACCACAGTAGAACATAAAAGCATCCATGCACTGGTACATGAACCGGAACATCGTAGTCAACCCCGTAAGTCTTTCGTCAAATGACTTGATCGTGTCATCCATCTCATGATACGAGCGTCCTCCGGTGGCGTTGACTCCAGCCTGGCGAAGAAACAACTCGGAAAAAGCATGCCAATTGTGATTCACTCTGTCAATCTCGGTACAGGCTCGCCGAAAGTTAATCTTGAACGCGCTAAATTAAACACACAACAACACGTTTGCAGGATAAATAGTCAGAATAAATGCAATGCAGAAGCTGTCAGACAAGAGCAGGACTTACTCTAGGAAGGAGATGAAGATTCCGAACTGATTGCTCATCAGTTTGGTACGAAACTGGTTCTTTTCGCGCAAATCTCCCAATGAGCTCCACTGTTTGCCAGCGCTTCTGGAAAACGACTGAAACACATCCAGATGTAGGTCGTACAATGTTTCAACATCATGAAGTCCATTTGTGCTGGCATGAACGGCGGTCGGGAACTTGCATGAGGATGCTACTTCACGCAGAAGACTCAAGATTTGCGGATCCATAGTGCAAATGCCAACAGGATCTTTACGGAGCATGTGATAAATAATTCCATCCGTCAACATCATCCACGAATCTGAATCCCGCACATGAGGCTTCACTTCCAAATCATCTTCTTGTCCCTCTGACCGTTGTTTACTTGCAAGCGAAAAAGGTGTATCCTCAACCTTGCAAGCAATCGGTGTTGAGTTTAATGTAGCCACATCCAAGGTTCCCAGAAGCCATGAAGACGCGAGTTCGTGGTCAGATCCACTTTCTCTCAAGAATGCATTTCCAAGCCATTCCTTTTCGGGGTTGTACTTCAAAGCGGCGCTTAGAACACGCGGTGCAAGATTTCGAGGCTTCGCCGACGCAGACGTAACGTTGCTCCAAAAGAATTGAACTTCACACGTTGAAATAACCATGCCCAGCAAGTCAATCGCGTAGAGTTCATCAAACGCTGGGGCATCACTCTGTGGGTAGTTAAGCACAAGTTGCTGAACTGCCACTCGCAAATTGTTCGTAATAAGCTGAATCACTTTAGGTCTGCAGTCGGAAGCTGTCCACACTGAGGCAGGTGCACGTTGGTGCCCAGTAATCGCTGCCTCCAGGTCAAATGTTGCCAAATCGTCGTCAAAAATATCAAACTCACTTTGGGGCGTTTCAATCAACGCCAGGCATTGCTGTGGCTTGTCTTGTGCTCGTGGCAGTACAAGCTGAAATATCTCCATCGCAATCTTCAAGTCTTTGACTGGGACGACCTTCTGAATAACGCCATTCAAGCATGCTTCCATTCCAGTGCTGAAAATGTACTCCAGACTCTTTTCCACAGCAGGTCCGTAAGCTTGTCCAACTCCAACACCTGATGAGGGCATCGTAATCATTTTTCGGACCAAGTCACGCATCAGATAAACTGAAGACATCGCTATACCTGTACAAAAATTAGCACCATATCATCAGTTATACAGCCACACCGAATTGCAATCCACCTCATAGATCTTACTTTGAATTTGCCGACGACGCCTTTCTAAACTGCGCTTCTTGCTCGCATTGACTCTGGTACCCGCCATCTCTGACGGTGTCGGAATCGCAGAGAGGCTATCGTGTAGATTTTTCACAGACGCATCCAACCTTCCATTGAGGCCTCGGAATATAAGAGGAAACTCGGTGGAATTCCTTTCCAAGAGCAGGGCCCCGAGGATATAGAGTGCCTGGGCTACAATCACTTCGGAATGCAGTCTTCCTGACGTCCCTCGAAGAATTTCCACGCAATAATAATCGATTTCCCGCTCCATGTACCGCAGGTCCTTTTCATTTCGATTGCTAGGAAACCGTTGTTCATCTCCGCACTCCAAACATACGCCAACGACGGCAAAAGTTAGGAGTACGGCGATGCGTGTTCGCTCCTGCAACGAAATCAAAACCACGGTATTCGTTAGCAGACCTTTCCTGAAGTGTAAAACTGAGTTTCCGTGGTGGAAAACGAACCTTTCTCGATTTTGCACTTGGCGAATCTTGCTGTAATTCAGCCCCTGATTGAGCTTCCGCCTGCTGAGTAGCAGTTGGTGCCCTTTTAGGTCCCCAATTCCAGTCTGTTCCGGACGGCTTTGAGATCACCGATGGGGAAATTGCTGAACTATTCGTTTCGGAGGAAGCAGGGATGGAGCGTATAATGGATTGGCGGAAGCGAGCACGATGAACCCGTTTATCAAGCTTGAGCAGTTGAGTCTGCATGAATAACGCATTAGTATATACTCGTCCAAGTAACACATTCAGATCCGCACTTACCCAGATGATTTCGCACAACATTGCGATGAAATCTGGTTCATCATCACCGCAGCAACTTTCAGCGAATGCTGTCAGTTGCGACTTTGAGTTCCCAATCCCCCTGCAATGAATAGCAAACCGTTTCAGGAGGTTGGGGAGCTCCGCGGCTTCTTCTGGGTCGTTCGATACGTCGCTTTCCCACAACTGCTTTACAACAATCTCAACAATATCTGCACAACATTAGAATGGAAGGCTGCAACAACACTTAGACCAACACTTAAATTTGACCAACCTTTGGAAGGGTGCCACAACTTGGAAAATGCTGCAATTCGCTTCAGCACATGATGCATATAAAAATCTATACCAATACATCACAATTAGCACCCCAGCAAACTTTTTCAGCAGCAAACTAAACTTACTTGGCCGCGTAACATAGTCTGGCAGCAAATTTCCAGGCGTGTAAATTGACAGGTCGAACGGAAGAAAGTTGCGCTTGTCTGGGTGAAGGAGGTCCTTAACAACAGCCCATCTAGCATCAGATCTGTCGTACATCACCAAAACCCCCAAAAAATAAAGGATAAGTTTACAGCCTGGCAAATTGCACAGAGCTGACAACTTACATAGCCTCTCCGCCCTCCTTATTTTCTTCGTCCGCATATACTCGCGTGAGTACCGCAAGTAGGTCCCACATCGACTCAGCCGCTAATAGCTGGCTTTCCAGTATCTCTTCACGGTGTTCAATACCGTCGCCATTCGAAACCTTTGGTGTAAAATCGCGCAGGTACCCTCCACACGATTCATTTCGTACGAAGCAACGAGCTAGCTCGTCGAAATAACGCTGCTGGTAGACAGCTTGTAGTAATGCCCAAAAATCCTTCTCCTTGCTAATTCGCGAATCTTCTTGGGCCTGAGCAGAGCTCATGGTGCACTCACGAACTAACAACCACAACGAGAGTGCAGGTAGTGCGCCACTGGAATTTACCGCATCATCCAGATGGTGAGAAGTAGGGAGATAGAGGTACAGGTCGAACAAGAAAAGCACCACAGCGAGTGTGACTCTGTTCACCGGCAACTTCTTGAAAAACAAATCGTCGATCTCCTGTTTGGCTACAGCCTGAGATGCCACTTTTGAAGAGCAAGCAGATCGGACAGCCGAGAGTAGATTGAGACAATACCAATACGCTCGTGAGATCGCTGTCAAGAGCGGAGTAGTCGCTGCATCTCGGGAGGCCACCTCAAAGAAAAAGAAATAGGCTTTGCACCCGCCAAATAATGATTCGCAGTCCGGTAGCTGCCGGATAAGCGCAGAGACTTCCTCCAATATGATCTCGAGATGGCTTGCCAGTGCTGATGGAGAAGCTGCTTCCAAAGCCTGTAAAACTTGCGCCGAAAAACTTGAGATAGCAGTGTTGTACCTTTCTTCAAGCGAAACCAGAGAAATCCACTCGGGGGCGGTTGCATACCCTTCTTCATCAATGGCACCCAAACTTCCCCTAGAGAGTGACTCCATAAACCCATTTTCTTCCACCCGAAGGTCGTTCATTAGCTGACGAAGACGAGTTGAACGTCTCTGCACAACACTGCGAAGCATAGCTGAGTCTTCGAAGTCGAAGTCCTCGTCACAGAGCAAATGACGTGGAACCAGTGGGTCACAAATCGGGTGACCGAACGACAAGAGTGTGTCTTGTTGCTGACGTGTTATAGCAGCAAAGTTGCCTCCAGTAGCGATTGAGCCAGTGCTATCTGACACCACCTTAAAAATTGCCTTCCAATTCACTGATGGCTCCTTTACGGCACCTGAGGATATCATTGGGCTGAAGAAGTTCACTGACTTTTTGCTTTTCGCTGGGGCAACGTCGTCAAACGGTATACCATCGGGAATCAGCATCGTAGCCCGCGCAACGTGTGGGGGAGGTCGAGCAAATACTGGTTCACGTGATCCTTGCTGGGTCGACTTCGAACGACGGAATCTGCTATCACGAAGGTGCAGTCGCTCTATTTGCACGGACGCGCTATCATCGCGTCGGCTTGGGCGTGGTTCATGGATTTCGCGTCTGCTGCTCACACCGATGAAAAGCTGCGACGACGACATACCACCCCAGCGTTCTCTAGTACCTCCTCCAGCACGTTGCTGCTTCTTGCGCGCAATTTTGGCCCAGTTCCAACGAGGATCAGACGGGAGAATATTCTTTTGCTTACCGATGAGTCGGAGATTCGACCTGAATCCGCCTCCAGATCCTTGAGAGTAGTAGTCGTCTAATGTTGTGCTTGTCACCACTTTCTTCTTCAGCTGCTTCTTCACAGTCTTCGTAGTACTACTTGGCAGTCGTTTAGTTGCATTGGACTGACGCTTCGAGTTGCCATCTGGACGAGTCACTAAGTCGTTTCTTGCAGGTTCGTACTCGTACGATAAATCAAGCTCATCGAAAACAGGGTCAACAGTTCTTGTTGCCTTGTTCCCAAGAACCGTTCCATCAAAGTCATCAGCGGAATAGTCGGAATCGCCACTGTCAGACGAGTATACAGCCCGGACTGACTTGTGTGCCGGAATTTCTTCGCTGCGCCTTCCAAACGCATTTTCAACGGCATTTTTGCTATTCCGTACCCACGGAGAACACTCGTTCATCTTGATCAGCCATTCATCAATTTGGGTCACTAACGATTCAAGAGCAGAAGGCTGGCAAACAAACACCTGTTAAATCTACAGAACACGATGACACGCATTCAGTTGCACCACTCACCGGTTTACCACGCTTCTCAAGCTTTTCAATAATCTTGTTCATCACATCTTCGCCAGCATTGACCAACGTCCGTGTCACGAAATCTTCTAGCTCGCACACCTTTCCTCAGCACAACAGCTTTGTCAGTGTTACAATACCCGTCAATGTTCAAAGATCGCGAATCTCACCTTCCTATGGAGCCCTTGTAGATCGACCGACGTCATATCTGCCAGGTTTTTGAATTTCTGGTTTACCATCTTTTGCTCGCCGTGGAAGTTGTCCAGGTGTTTCTGCTGTTGAGCAAATACTTCCTGAAGTTGTTTCATCAGCCCGTCCTTCGATTTCGCCAACTTGATCCCAGTTTTTCGGATGACATCCTCGGGGAGGTCGGTCGGGTTTCCTTCCGGTTGGATAAAAACGGCGTCAGGGTCATCGAGAGCTTGTCTATTGTGTTCATATCCCCCGACATATCGTTGTCGGCGTGTCGTGCGCTTTCGTTTCTGCGGATGATGGCGGCGTGCTGGTTTCTGTTCTTCAGTGTTTCTCACAGCATTATCCCTGGAGGGCGATACACTGGGATGTAGGTTCTCACGATGCGCGCGTTCAGGGCTAACACTCTTCCTGTTGCTTTTGTCGCTTTCCTCGCCGCTTTCATCGTCACTGTCCAGTATGCGGTGCCATCGTCTTTGGGTCCCCCTTGGCTTTCTCAGCGGGGGGCTCTGAATCCCAGGCAAATTTTCACTGTCGCTGGGTGGTCGACTAGAGTCCTCGAGCGATGGCGACGGCTCCTTCGTCTCCGAGAATATGAACGCGTCTTCGTCGATTTTGGCCACTTTGCGCCTCGTGTCTCTTTCATCATCACTATTCGACTCTTCATCCTGTGGGTCACTGGGCACCCGTTCGGCGTGCTCTGCGCGGTGAGAGCGCTTCCGCTTCTTGCGAAGCGGAGCATGAGCCTCCGATCGTTCAGGGTGAGCCAACGCTATTTCGCGCTTTCTCTCTGCATCTCGTTGCTTCTTCTCGTGTGGCTTATTGATGTAATCATCTGCAGAAAGAAAAGAGAACCGCATTCAAAAAAGGCGAATGAGTATCCGACGCAGACCACACCAAAGGGCACACCTCCGTCAACTTACCGTGGTAAAAATCTCTGCGCACACTTTTGCGGGTCGACTGCTGCTCTAAGATCTTGGACGAGTGCACGTACTTGCTCTCGATGTGCTTCTCGAAGCCCCCCAGGACGTAGCGGACGTCGTAGAAAATGTTTTCGGATACTCCGTCCTCTGCAGGTTCTCTGTGGACTCGGACGACGTGACCAGAGCCTCCGAGCTTGTTGATGCCCGGCCACGTGCGCGAGTCCACCGTCACCACCGTCCTGACCTCAAGGATAGCGTTCTCATCCAGCTGCTCTTCTTCTTCCTCGTCATCTTCCTCGTCCTCGTCAGTCACTTCCTCTTCCTCGTCTTGCTCTTCAACTACGTGCTCTTTCTCCTCTTCGTCTTTGGCTCCAGCTTCGTCTTGGGCTTGTTTCGGCTGCTCTTGAACTGTGGGCGGCTTCTCTGGCGTCACAACCGCCGCAGGCGCTCGCTTCGGCTCGAGTTCCCTTTTGCTTTTGGCCGCCGCAGCAGCTGCAGCCGCCGCCTCGAGGCGCTCACGCGTGTGCTGCTCCTCCGCGAGCGCCACCTGCTCCAGCAGCTCCTGCTCGTCCTCGTCCGAGTCGGCTACGAAGTCGGCTTCCTCCATGTTGAACTTGCTCGCTCGCTCGAGTGCGCACTCGCGAGAGCGCCAAAAGTGTTCAAAGGTTTTGGCGGGAACTTATATTACCGGTAAGTTTTCGCGGGGTATATTATATATTTTTGCCTATTTTGCCGGTACCTATTTTTGCTGTACCCATTTCGGTTGTTTTATGTGCACCACACGATGTGTGACGTGTGACAAAGTGTGTGGTCCGGCGAAGTTGTTACAACGCAGCTAAGGCCGTGAATGCACCAAACGAGTGCTCGTGTCCATTGCATCTCCACTGTTTTAATGCGTTACAACTCCTCAGTCCGTACATGCAAACTAAAATCAATATCAGTGTGACCCGGGCAGCTACATCTTGTCACTACTGCAGTTCTCCTTCATCCGAGCCCGTCGTGACCTCGACCTCCTCCATTGTCTTGCACACGACCACAGTGTCGATAAACGTGACGACCTTATCTCCAATACAACCCAGAGCTTTAGCCACACTTCCGGTAGTCACCAATTCCGCAGCATCACGGAGGCGACGAGCTGCACGCATAAACGCCGTTCCTTGACTGGTGTGCCATCTCAAAAGCTGTTTCTCTCCATGCACAGACAACGCGTCCACAATCTCCTGGTTCCCCTCAACTTGAGCTGGTTTGCTGCGCACTTCGAGCACAATCGGCGGCGTGTCTGAAGGCTCTCGAGCCCCATACTCGCTGCCTTCATCAGTTTGACTGACATCCTCATCCTCGTCAGTATCAGCGTTGCCCTGCTCCAAAAGCCGGTCGATCGTTTCACCAACTCGAGCCCCAACTTGCTTGATCGACTCGACCGCGTCCTTACCGCACGTCACCACCACATCGGCGTCGCGGATGGCTCGAGCTGCTCGTAAGTGGGTTATTCCTTTGCCCCGGTGGCCGGAATGAAGGTGACTGTCGCCATAGTCAACCAGAGCGTCAACAATGCGCTGGTTCTCAGGTCGAACTGCCGGGTTCTCTCGAAGGTCCACCACGATCGGAGCTGGTTGAACGCCGCTCGACACTGGACTGTCGTTGACAATGCGCCCGTGCTTGAGAATTTGATCGATCTTGTCAGCAATAGTTCGTCCGACGAGGGGCACCGTGCGGCGAGCTTGGTCTCCAGACGTGACAACCTGGTCGGTTAGCTGGAGCGCTCTGGCAGCGCGAAGGTGAGTCGTCCCCTTACTGCCACTACGAAAATACAGCTCGTGCTCCCCGAACTTGGCCAACTCGTCCACTAGCGCTTGGTTCTCTGGGCACTTCGCCTGCGAATCACGCACCTCCCGCACCAATCTGGGAGGCGAGTGCTGCTCCACGTCTGCGGTGCTAACGTTCAGCCACGGTGTTTCGTCCTTGAGTTCGCCGGACGACAAGATTTCCTCCACTTGCTTGGCCATCTTGACCCCTACCATTGGCACAGCGCGAGCTTCAGCGCCCGAAGTAATGGCATGAGGGTAGTCTCGAATGGCAAGTGCAGCTCGTAGGTGCGTGACCCCCTTGCCCGTGTGGCCTCGATGTAGCTGTTGATCACCATAGGCCGTGAAGGCGTCCACAATAACTTGATTCGACGCGACTGCAGCAGGCTTCTTGCGGACATCTTCGGACAACCGCGACAATTTCTGCGGCGAGCTGTCTCCGTTTTCTCCTTCCTGCTCGAACTCACCGCTTTCGTCGTCTGCTTCATCTTCTTCCATGTCCAGAGGGGTCTCTTCTTCACTGCCAACATCTTGTCCCGGTGCCGTGGTATCCTTGCCTTCGGTTCGTCGTCTCTTTTCCGCTGTGGTATCCGCCGCCGAATTCCCCCGTTTGCTCCCTCGTTTGAATTTGGCGGTCAGCAAGTTCAAAGCGGCCTGGTGAACGCACGTCTCGTTAGCAATCAACACTTCATAATTTGAGTGTGATGGGATTCCTTACCACTTCGTCACCATCTGAGGCGGCTAGCGCCGACGACATCTCGGTGGAAGCAGCGTAGACGTTCTACACACACAGCGTTAGAGGCCGAGTGGGTTATATATGAACTAAATTGAGAAACAACAGCAGTGAAATCTGCCTCTGGTAGAGCAACTCCGTTCCGCTTGCACGCCTCACGCAAATTGCCGAGATGCTGGTAGATTCGGGTGAACTCGTTGTCCTTCATGGTTTCTTTGCTGGGTGTCAAATTGCTTTGTGCCTGGAGGTACTGAGAGAGGGAGCTTTTCCCTTGCGACGAGGTCATTGCCGTTGAATTCCTTTCACACATAATCTCATCGGAATCATCAAAACTCAAGTGCACACTCTCGGAATTCGCAGAAGCAACATGAACGTCAGCTGCACTGCCGCCAACTCATTCACCGAGCTCACCGGGTTTGGAACGGCGTACATGCGCGCTATCGAGAGTGCTCGCGATGATTGTGTGTACAACGATCCGTTTGCTGGCCTTCTCACGCAGCGGAACCGCAACGAGCTGGAGAAATTCCTGAAGGGGACGGCTGAGCAGGGCGTTCGGTGGGAGAATCTGATTGCGATTCGCTCTCGATACGTCGATGACGCACTGGAGCACCGCGGCAGCGGCACCAAGCAAGTTGTGATCCTCGGGGCTGGTTTGGACACTCGCGCGTATCGCTTGTTGTCTCTACGTGAATGCCATGTTCTGGAAATTGAGCAAAACTCCCAGGCGTTTGATCATAAAGCCGAAGTATTGCAAGACGCGCCGCTGATGGCACGAAAGCTTGACTGCATCGTTGCCAACCTCGCCGATGATGACTGGGACCACAAGCTGCTCGCTCATGGATTCGACTCAAGCTTGCCTACGTTTTGGGTCATGGAAGGGTTGCTCCCTCACATGGATCGATCGAGTATTACCACGATGCTGGATACGGTCGATGCTCTATCTGCACCTGGCAGCGAGCTTTGGGCGGATATTGCTGGTCACGCAACCTTTGCTGTCGAGGGCTTCGGTGATGTCACAATGAAGTACGCGGAAGACGACCCACTGCACGGTGTTCTGCGCGAGATCCCCTGGTGCTTGAAGTTGCAAGCCTCGCTTGGGGAGGAAGGGGTCCATTTTGGTCGCAAGTCGACACCGTTGTCTTCTTCAGATACTGGTGAGAGTGTACCAGTCTGGTTTGTCGTCGGCAAGAAGCCCATCCCGACCGAAGCGCGTGAGAAGGACGTGTGTCCTGGTCTCGACTACGGAGGAAGCTTCGTTCAGCGTATATGAAACTCAAAGCCTCCGTGACCAAAGCATCCATAGCGTACTGATACAATAGTACGACGTGATTCTAGCGTAGTCGTAGGCAACGACGATCAACCGAGGGAAGCAAACCTTGTAGTGTCTGCGCTGCTTTCTTGCAAATACGCAGTCCTAATAAACGAATGGAACGCATTTGCCTCATCAAGGACAAGCAGCATATGAGATTACCGCTAATGAATCTTTCTCTGGCGAGCAGCTACTGTAGAATGGTACAAGCGATAGCTTACTAAAAGTCTCTATAGACATCGTGGAGCTCCTCGAGTCCGACGTTCACGTTGTGGTCGTCACTCCCCCCGCACCATGGCGGTACAACTTGATGTCCAACAGACGCTCGTCAATCAGCTCGATCAGAAGGCCATCACGTTCATGCCCGTCACGGCAAATGTCCACCATCGTATCGGCGCCTATAACGCAAAAACCAAAAACGTAAGCTTTTCCAAAGCATTGCCGCAAAGCTCTCACCTTGAAAGCCGATCTCGCCCCACTCCTCCGTGATGCGTCCACTTTCGCAACGCACACCAGACTTGAGGTTCTTCCACAGCTGAGCTTGTACACTTTTGGCTGCATCTGCTGGATGGAAGGACTTCCTTCATTAACCCGCGGCCGGTTAATGCTGAAGTCCACGAGCGTGGATGACGAGATCGACGCGATCTCGACGCGGGGTGTGGCTGGTTCAAGGCAGTTGAACTCGCCCGCGTCTCAATTGTGTTCATTTCGCGTACTGAGAATTTCCCGTGGAGAACAATGGAGGCCAGCTTCAACGCAGTAGTATACTTCGAAACTCAGTTGGCCGAATGGCCTCGTCGCTTACGAGTTGTCGCCCAACTGTGGCATCCTCATCCATTTAGCGCCTACGTCCCATGCTCGGGAGAAGGGAATGCCGCCCAAAGCCTGCCATTCTCCGTTTTTCGTGGAAACAACGGGAAGAGCAGCGAGATCAGCGGATCATGGTCGACGCCCAGACTGGCGACGCTGTATACGCGCAAATCGGCAAGTTGCGCGAGATCGCCAAGAGCAAGCACGTCGACATTCCAGAGGTTGGTTTAGCTTGATCACTTGCAGCGACTCACGAGAACTTATCGATCTAACGAATATTTGTCGTTGTGTAGAACGCCTACGCAGCTACTAGTGATATCGCTACTGCACTCCTTTCGTCTAACGGTGACGAAGACGTGAGTATCCTGCTCAACCTTTTCAATTGATACGCGTTGTTCTCACGTTGTGATGTGTCTTTTGCAGGCTGCCATGAAGAAAATCACAGCCAAGTTTGGGCGGAACAAGCGTTCCCTGCCCTCCGAAATGAGTCAGAGCAACAAGAAGAGCAAGCATGGAGGAGAGAACGGGGGTGACGAGAGCGAGCCGGCCACTGCTGGGTATGCGTACGCAGCAGTGTCAAAGGACGAAATTGAGGGCGGCGGCGAAGAGGAGTCCATGCCCCCCCACAAGACCATTCGTCTCGTGGAAGAAGTGCGCGAGCAGAAGGCCAAGAACCCGGACAACCAGAAGATCGTGGACGCGTTTGCCAAGTACGGCGAGGAGCAACTCGACCGAGGGCACACGGGCAAGGGCGTCTCGCATTTGCGTGCCGCACTCCACATCCGCGATCACCCGAACGCGATTACTTCGGCCAAGGACGCGCGCGCCGTCCCCATGGTGGGGGTCAAGATCGCGTCCCAGATCGAAGAAGTGCTCGTGACCGGCAAGCTGAAGGACCAAACTGGCGACCAGAACGTCAGCACCGACGTGGACGACCACCAGCGGCCGCAGCTTGTGGTGGAAATCCACAACTCGCAAGCCAAGTGCTCGGAGAACGAAAAGCTGGTGGCCGAGCTGACTAAGTTCGGAGAGCACGAGCTCTACTTCGGCAGTCCCGGCAAGGGAACGAGTCACCTGCGCGCTGCGCGTGAGATTCAACTCGCAGAGCAAGAGATCAAGTCGGGCTCGACGGCTCGTACGAGTGTCCCGCTGGTCGGTGATGTGATTGCCGACAAGATTGACCAGATCCTGAAGCACGGACGCATTGTGAAGGACACCGGTGAGACTGCCGGAAGCCGAAGCTGCTCGCGGGACAGTGGCGGTGGTTATACGCTGGCTCCGATCGTGAAGGACTTGCGTGAGAAGCCTGCTGTCTGCCCGGACAATCAGAAAATTGTCGATGCGCTGGTCGACTACGGCGACAGCCACTTGTACTCGGGGCACCGGGGCAAGGGCATCTCGCACTTGCGTGCAGCTCAACACATTCGAGACTCCAAGACGGCTGTCAAGTCCGGGAAGCAAGCGAGCCAGGAGATCGACATGGTGGGGCAGCGCATCGCTACCAAGATCGACCAGATCATTGACCAAGGACATGCTGACAGCGACGAAGATTACGAGTATGACGAAGGCGAAGTGGAGGAGGAGGAAGGGAGCGAGTATGGCGAGCGTGAGCGCGACTCGGTGGTGCCTCCGATTGTGATGGACGTCTGCAGCAAGAGTGCCAAGGTCGAGAAGAACCAACTGCTGGTGGACGCTTTGGTGGAGTACGGCGAGGAGCAACTGTACAAGCGCCACACTGGCCGAGGCACGGCGTTCCTGCGGGCAGCGCGCCGCCTGCGAGATGCCGACGTGGCTGTCAACAACGGCAAGGAGCTCAAGGCGCTGGGCAGAATTGGCGACAGGGTTGCAGACCGTGTCGACAAGATGCTGGCCGCCAAGTGAGTCTGGGGTCCGGGGCGGAGACGTGGTAGCGCGAGTGGGGCCATGATGAAGATTAGCGCGGGTTTTCGTCTGTCACCAGCACAAGGGTTTGATAGGAATCACTGCCAGTAGTGTAGCAGGAGTGCAAGGGTGGCAGCTTTATGTATTACTTCATACAAAGGTTTTTGTTTGGAAGTTTGTCAAATGGCAGTGTATGTGTACAAACCTGTTACAGTCACTAGGTGCAGCCTAGCCACTCCTCGTACTCCGGATCGCATGTGGGTCCGACATGCAGTTGAATTTGTTGGCGGCGCAGTTCGATGATGTTTGGGTCGCCCATGCATGAAATAGGCATGAATCGATCGCTGTAGCACATTCCTGGGAGCGACCCTGGCACCACTTGGCACTCGCGATAAAGAACACCGTCGCATTGCAGCATGTTTTGCTCGAGATCTTGATCGTGCTCGGTTCCTGGTGGTGGCATTTTTGGAGGGGGTGGATTGCTAGAATTCGTGACATTACCCTTGGGGATGCCTGGAGGCTGCAGTGGGGACCCAGGATCGACGCATATAGTCGAGTTGAATGCCTCTAAAACCTCTAGCGTCCCAGAACTAGCTGAAAGCTCCGCGGACAAGCACTGAAGTTGCGGGTTGTCTTCAAATTCGCGATGGCTACAGATATCGCTGGTCAGATTGCAACCTGCGGGCAAGAACCCGTTGCAACACATAGCATTGGGGTCGATGATCAAAGTTTTCAGAGCTTGACGAGAGCGCGTGAGGTCTGGGAAACTCGCAAGGTCTGGCATCATCAATGCAATCATGATCTCGACGTGCTCCAGTTGTGCGAAGTCAGTGGGTAAAGAGCTCAGTGCATTCAGCCGTGCCAACGTAATTGACCGAAGATTCGTAATACCACCAACGTTGGGGAGTTTTGGTAGGACTTCGTGGGCTCCTAGGTGGACGAATGTCAGCTTTTCCATGTTGTCGAAAAGTCCTTGAGGTAAAACTGAAAGGCTTAGACTCCGTGACTTGCCCTGAATATGTAGAAATTCCAGGTGAATGAACTCGGACGTCCATTGAGGCAGATTTCTGGTGTGGGTGAACACCAACGCTCTGAGCCAACAACACGCACAGGTTAGACACGAGCGCATGTAACACATTCTTTAAAACTTACATGTGCTTCAGGTGAGTGCATTGTTGTAGTGTATTTGGTAGATCTGGTAGCTGCCGATTAATTAGTTGTAAGATTTCCAGATCACCCGAAGCTGCGAGGTCAGATACGTCTGGAGGATTCTTCCAGACAGAGAAGTTAGTTGGCGCTAGGTCTACGTCGATAAGAACACGGCGCGGGCAATTCCACCCCGTTGTGCTGACCCCGGAATCTGTTGGGTGCTTCGTAGTACTTGAAAGCCGCCAGCGGTATGCGTACATTGTACACGTCGGGTAGCCTTCGCAAGCTGACCGCGAGCGATGAACGCTTTCTGTAACAAATACGATCGTAGCCAGAGCAATAGCCGCAAGCACCAGTGCTAGTGGATGTCTTCGTGGATAAATGCTGGGTTTAGTCTTCGTTTCCGCATCACGTAGTGGAGATCGAAGAAGTCCGAGAAGTCGTCGAAGACTGATGATTAGTGCGAGGTTGTTGCCCACGCGAGCAATACAGACACCAATGGACTGAAAGCGCAAACCTTCAAGACTTTTGAAGATCCTCGCTGTCTCCTCTGGATTCGCATGCACCCGTGCTGCGTTCTGGAATGACCAGCTAGGAAACAGATCCGCCGCAAGGCGTTGGGTTGCACGGTCGAAGTCGAAGTTGGTCAGGCAGTACGTTAGGACTAGAGCAGGAAAGACAACTGCCACTAGAAAATCCGAACTGCACCGAGTTGAGTGAGACGACTACATATTTTCAGTGAGAAGCAGGGTAATGCACACCGAACGTACATGGTATCCACAAGAGCTTCGCCAATTTGAGACGGTGGTGCGGGTGAGTAGCAGCGACCGCATTCCACACAACCATCAAGGTGCAGGCCACGACGAGCGGTATGGGGAAACCTGCTTCCAGAATCTGGTATAGCATGAACTCTTGGAGCATTAAATCTACGACTTTCACCCAAACATGCTGCCATGAGATAAAGTTAGTTTAAGATTGAAGCAGGATTCAAGTACAGCAGCACTTACCGCAATCTTCCGAGTTTCGCTCTCACTACACCACAAATCGGAGTACAGATGTGTTAACTTGCCCAGCAAACCTGACACTGGCGGGTCTGTTTCGGATGATGAAGGGAAGGGGTGAATGGAAGCCAAAGAACTCGTTGAGCGTCTTGTGCTGCCCCTCAATGCCTTCACAAGAGAGTTAGTCTCCTGCACAGCGCTAAGCGCTGGTCCACTTCTTACTGCTGTTGGAATTCGTTGCCGTCCCCACGCGAAGAGCATCCCTCCAATGTAGAGATATCCCAACGCAACGATGGAAAGACCACCTAGACTGAGTGCTCGGAGTTGGGGTGAAGGCTCGACGAGCAGCCAAAAGGAACCACCGTCGAGATCTTTGGTCCGCATGACATAATTGATGGTATCGTTGGGGGCAATCGTCAACAGCAGCAACCAACACGTCCAGCTCAGACAAACCATCAGCATCACAACCAGTGCTGTAAGAAATATCCACGACTGGTACCAACGCGCTTGCTCCAGCCTCGCCATACTGAGGCGTCTCCATTTTCGGCGTTGAGAAGGTTCACAAGCTTCATCGTCAATGTGAAGAGCGGTATCATATACACTGCGAGCGCTGGTGGTCGTTCTGGATCGAGTGTTCGAGCGTGCGGGACGAACCTGTCGGTCAACATGGTGCCGAACCCAATTCTTGGGAGGACGCGGAGCGGCTACAGGTGCCATGGTTCTTCCTTCAAAGCTCTTACAATTGTGAGTACAATAACACGGTAGCTCGAAGTATTTGCGGCGAGTCTAAAGAAAGGAGAGAACAGTCACAGACAGTCATGGACGGCAATACAGTTCATTATTTGGCGTGCCCCCGTGGTGCTGTTGGAAGGAGGGTGAAATTAGAGCTAACGTCATGCAAATAGGAATGGCGCACGATATATACGAGGGGGGCTTACAGCAGTGCGTTGCGTTGCGTTGTGGGGCTATGCCGTCGGGTCCTCCGTAGCCGTGGGGCTGGACCTCGTTGTCTGCTGGGCGAGCGAGCGCTGGCTCTTGATCTTCTCCTTGAACGCAGAACGGTTCTCCGCCTTGCTCACGACTGATCCGGTGCTGGACTTGATGTGGGTTCGGTGGGTCTTACTGCTGGAAGCGCCGTTAGTAGCTACACCTCCATCCGTGTTCACACCATTGTTTTCCTTACCGGTCGAGCTCTGCGGCTGTGCCTTCTTCACCGACGCAGGCCGCGGTTTCCGAGCAGCAGTCTTGGCAGGAGACGCGGTGCGAGCTCCACGGTCCAGGACGTACGAGTTCTTAGGCGCAAAGCTGGACTCCACGGTCAGCGGCGGCAAGGGGCCAGTGTACGGAGTATAGTTGAAGTGAGGGCGTGAAGCCTTGTCTGCTCCAGTCATCGCCGGGGTCTTGGGTGCTGGCATAGACACACGTTGGACCTTGGCAGGCGTGTGCTTCGCTTGCTGCGGCTTGCGCACCGGCGGGGGCGTAGGCTTCGCCTTGGCGTTAGCATGGTCTGCCGCCACCGCAGCTGTGCGGCGCGCCGAGGACGCAGTGGGTCTCGCGAAGGAAAACTCCCTGGGCTTGGTCACCTTTTTGGCAGATCCATTAGGCTTCGCGGGCACCGACGCGCGAGCCTTCTTAATCTTATCATGGTCTGAGGTGGAAGGCTCCTCCAACTTCCTCTTGGCAACAGACTTGGAGGCAGACGCAGCTTGACTCGGCGTCTTCTTGGCCACTGGCGTCGCGGCCTTCACTGGGGTCTTCAGCTGCTGCTCCTCCTTCTTCTCCGCAGTCTCCTCTTCTTCTCCTTCTTCTTCCTTGGCCTCTTCCCCCTCCTTCTCGTCGTCCTTCTTCTCTTCTTCCTGGATCTCCGTCTCTTCCACCGTGTTCTCTTCGTTGTTCTCTTCATCCTTCTTCTCCTCCTCAGTCGCCTCCTCCGTCTCCTTGGTATCCACCTCCTCCATCTCGGTGTCTTGCGTCTGCTTCTCCTCCGCCTCCGACTGCTCCAGCTCTTGCTCTTGCTGCTCCTCCTGCTGCGGCTGCTGCGGCTGCGCCTCCTGCTGCTGCTGAGTCTCCTGCGGCTGCTGGTCGTTCTCCTCCTTCTGCGGGGTCGACATGGCGTTCGCTGGCTGTGCTCGACTCCACTCTACACGGCGCTGGCGCTTGAAGGTGCGATTCGAAGACTGGACGGCGCGCGCGCCAAGTTCAAAATTCAAGCCAGCAACTTAAGCCTTCAATGTTGCATTTTGTGTTACTCACGCAAAATAGGATATGCTGCACTGGCTATGCCTCGATGGCTACATTTAGTTGAAGTTGCTGTACTTGATGCTGGTCATCGCAGGATGGCGGCTAGTTTATCTTGCTGGGCGGTGCTCAGCTTGGACGCAGCACTGGATACAGCGGCACTTCCCAGTGTTCTGCGCAGCTCTCGTAGTAGCCGTGAGTTCGCTTCTTTCACGCCGCTCTTGGCTTCTTTAAGCAGGTCCAGCGCCAATGGCAGAACGTGGCGAGTGAGCACGTAATTGCTCTTGTCGTCAACGCTCTGCGCCGTCAGCTGGGCCAGTGTATCGAGCAACACTGGCACAACGCGCGAGTTCGAATTGCGCGCTTGAATCGCGACCTGCTGGCACAGCGATCGGTTGTCCGCGTGTGCACAGAGCTGCTGCACCACGGACTGAGCCAACGACGACGTTCGAGCATTCGCGAGGTTCTTGGTGATGGCCGGCACAAAATTGGGCAGCACCTGCTCCATTCCACTTCCTACGGCGGGGACGATCCGGTTCATACACTCGAGGGCGAGCACATTCACCTTGGCGTTGCCGTCGTCCAGCCGCTTGATGAGCAGGTCGAACAGGTTCAGCATCTGACCGCTCTCAACAACAGCAGACGCACGGCTGCAGATGAAGTCGGTGGTCTCATTGAGAGCATCAAAGCGGTCTTTCCAATTGCTGCTGTCGAGCTTGGTCTCGAGTCGAGTCAGTTCCTCGGCGTTGACAGTTGATCGAGTTCCGTTGCTCGATGTAGGCGGCGACGTTCGACTGGACAGTGGCTTCGTCGTCTTCTTGGCTCTAACTGGTGCAGCAGGCGCCTCCCGTTTCTTCAGTGCAGGGGCTGACGGCAGATCGGAGGCGGGGTCAAGTCCACTGGAAGGAGCAGGAAGCACTGGCGGAGCGTACCCGACTTTGCCACTCAAAACACTGTCGACTTTCGTTTGCGCTGCAGCAGGCAGATACCTCTTGATCCGCTCCCCAGACATGCGTTGCTTGTAGTGCAAGTACAGGACCGACTGTTTTGCGATGTCGCGTACCTCGTTGTTCGAGTCTTCAAGGCATCGGCCGACCAGTTGGAGAATTGAGGACAAGTCCTTGCTTGCATGGATGCTGACCGCCAGGCCCAAGATGAGTGCGTGAACACCGCGTGCTACCTCGCGACGGATCGGTGAAGCTTTACTGCTCACGTGAGAGCCGAGCGCAGCAACAACGCGAGGGGTAGAGCACTTGAGCACCACTGCATGCAATGAGGCTGCGGCTGACTCGCACACGAATGCGTTTGAGTCGGCGCAGCGCTTAAGCAACACGGGGACAATATTCTCCACTTCGGAGTCCATTGTTCGACTGAAAGCAGAGCACATCGATTCAAGTGCCAACAACGCATTCTTCGAGACAGAGGAGCGCAGATTCGGCACCTGCTTAAGGATCTCAACCACGATTGCGTGCACTTTACCAGCATCGATCATGCTCGCATGGTGCATTGCTAGTCGCCGAACTGTGCTCAGCGCGTCAAAGTTCGCTTCCCAGTCTTCGCTTCGAAGCTGCGTGAGCACTTTGCTGAGATCCTGCTTCGAGTTGATCAGAGGAGTGATCTCATGCGGCTCCAAGTATCGTGGCTCCTGCTTGCCAGAAGGTCGAGCTTTAGTGTCGAGTTCGTCCCCAAACTTGGTCTTTGCCGGCTTCTTCCACGGCTTCTGAGCGTCATCCTCTCGTGCTTTGGACCTCTCCGGAGAGATTACTGCAGTCAAGCTACCAGCCTGGGCTTCTTGCTTTGCCTTCGCCTCTAGCCGTTTGCGAGTCGCTAAGGTCATGACGCGCTCGCCATTATTTTTCTTTGTCGAGCGAACTTCGTTGTTGTCGATATCCCCTGCGTCTTGGTCGCCGAGGTTTAGATAGATTTGATCGGGATCTCCTGATGTTGCCATCGGGCGAATGGGGCGCTCATCTGGCGAAGGCTGGGAAGGTGACAACTCGCCTGCTTCTAGTTCCTTCTGTCGCTCGATGAACTTGGACTTAAGGGGGCGGTCTTCATAGTTTCGGGCATCACTTTGCAGACTTTGCAGGTGCTGAGGACTGTGCTGGGCAGGCTGTCGAGAGGGAGACGTGAAAGCGTCGGAAGATGGCAATGCAACCGCGATTCTTCCCGGGTGGGCTCGTTTGTCTCTAGGGGACTGGTAAAGTTTCACGTCCTTTTTAGCTTGAGTCTGATCATCCACTTCATCTGCAGGGTTGTACGCAGTTTGCTCCGGTGAGCTCTTGGAGCGCGGAAGCTGCTGCTTGGAGTTTGTTGGGTTTTCAAAGACTTGGGCAGCGCTTGTAGCCATGTTTTCCTGGCTGTTAGGACGCCGAACGCGCTTGGTACGAGGTTGGCGAAGTTGGTCCATCTTCTTTCTCAAAGCGGAAAGCTTATCGCCAATATCAACCGTCGTTGGGCCTTCTTCACTAGTGGTGGATCGGTTCTGTTGGTCGAAGTACGAGCGATCACTGAGACTTCCTCCGGTCGTCACTTTACCCTTCACATATCGACCAGGATCAGTTGGGAGGTTTTCATCACTTGTCGCGATCATTCTCAGCTCCGAGACGCCGTCCAGAGATTGCTCCACACTCGAGAGAAGTCTATTCATCCTGCTTGAGCTGACACTTCCAACGGCAGCAGTGGACTTAAGTCGTAGGGCACTATTTGACCGGAGCTCGGGGATATGCTTCCGTCGCAGCCTAGCGCGCAGTGCCGCCCAGTCCACTCGGTCTGCAACATACTCGTCGTCAACGAAGGCTTCTAGTAAAGCGTAGATATTGCAATGGCATAGTGTCGTTAATACAGCAGCAGTCTCGAAAGCCATGTCACGCACATGCGCGTTCGTGTCTCCAAGTAATCGCCCGAGCGTTTGCACAACATCCTCGCTCGGTGCATACTTAGTTGGTAGAAGATCTTCACGCTCAGCAATTAGAAGGAGCACCATCCAAACTTTGAGTGCCTCCTCCCGCACTTGCGCCCGTCGGTGCCGAAGTGAAGTCCTTGATAATACTTGCTCAATCAGGCTTACACCGACACATCCGCTCTCGAAGACTTGGCCCAGTAAAGCATACACAAACCCTTCCATTTCATCGTCGTCTCCTGCAAAGTTCGCCGATGTCTCCACCATAGGCGCCAGCATCTTTGTCATGTAGAACGCAGCGTCTTTTTGAATCTCTCGGGGGGTATCATCCTCCGTGTCGTTGCCGTCATTGGCATGCTGTCTCGGCGGACTCAACTTGCGGAAAAGTATCTGAGTGATCTGGAGCGCTCGCTTTACAAGGTGAACGTCAACGTCTTGAGTAAGACGGACGAGGATGTCAAACAGTCCGTCTAGCTCGTCCATTCGTTCGGCTCGCTCTTCTGCTGTCGCTCCGCGCAGCGTAGTTACGTCCACCTGCTTGCAGGCTGCATAGAGCTTTTCAACTGCTGCCGCGCGCTTCTTCCAGTCGGCGTTTGAATTGCTGGTGTTGGTCAATAATGTCGTCAAGATGTCGCCTTTCAAGAAGCCGAAGTGCAATTGATCTGGCGCGTTCAGTGGATGGACTTTTGATGGCGAAGAGGAAGACGATGACCCCATACGTCTATCGCTCGAAGCTGAGGCAGCAGAATTCGGTCTCGATGACTGTGGTGGAGAAGGCGGGGGAGACGGAGCAATCGAGCAAGCTCTGAAGAAGTCCGCGATAGGCTCGTGGTGTTCGTTTAGCGTTCGCTTGTCTTCACTACTCAGAAACTTCATCACTTCGCTGGAGAATCGACTCCCCCAGTACGACTGCAGCTTGGCAATGGCTTCTTCCGCAGCTACCACCACTTTATCGTTCGAGTCCTCCAGTGCCGGGATGATAGCTTGCACTAACGCGACAATGAGCGCCTTGTCTCCCCGACCTATTGCACTTCTCGCAGAGTCGCCTCGTGCCATTGTGCGCTTCTGAAAACGGTCGTCCAGCAGGCGCATCAATACAAGAAGCGAAGTTTCACGCACGGATCCATGGCCACTTCCCAGGCCGATGTTGACGAGCAGATCGGCGACAGCTTGCAGATCATTCGTGACGTTCGTGTACTTCCGGAAGACCTGGAACATCTCCTCCTGCAGTATATCCTTCTCGTCGTCACTATCCCCATCTGGATCCTGGCTCTTGCGTTTCCTCGGTAGGTTCGGGATCAAGTGCGGCAAAATGGACGAGAGGATTTGGTCCACGTTGTCGCCGAGCGAGACCATCACGTCCGATAGCAACCTCAACGCCTCGATTGCTACGTTGGGTTCTTCTTCGCCGACAATCCGCCGTCGAACACACTGCAGGAAGCGGCGGGTGTTGCGAACTGGGAAGTGCGAGGTTTCCACCGCGGCGATCCGCCGGAGCTTCTGCAGCGTGTTCCACCGCACATTGGTGTCGTCGTCTTCCAATTGATACACGAGTGTGTCCACGCTGGTCTCCATGGGGGGGGGTTATGAACGCAGCGTCAGGAAGTCGCGGTGAACGACTGCAACGTGTTTAGCATGGGCTTGTCACTGAGCAAGTAGCTGTCGTCAATCCCATCATGGCCTGCGCACTCCATTATCCGTTTTGAAACAACGCTCCGCTGACTAGGAAGGCAAAAATAAAGCTGTAACGAGCATTCAACGCCTTCAACTACGGAAAACGCGATCAATCTGTTTATCTATTGAAAATACACTCGATGTCGCAATGGAAGCGTAAGACAAGCCAACCTACAGACAAGCAACACGCCCTACTTCTGCCCTTGATGGCAGCAATGTGTCTACTACTATTTTCGTGCTGGCGATGGCAAGCATCCACTTACTACTTTCACTCTCTCTTTCTGTCTCGGCTCTCCGGGCTGGCTTTCTTGCTTCTATGCGTCAGGGTGACAAGAACGAACGCGTGCGCTCATACAACCCCTACGGGTTTAGCTTGCACTTGGCTCCTCTTCTCTTCGAGGAGTCAGCTGTCTTAGATAAGACGATTGCCATTTGACTTCGTAGCTTCATTGTAGTCCACACGCCATTTCGTTCTTGCCTCCGTTCCTCACATTGTACATACTCAAACTAACCGACAATCACCAACTGTGAACACCGGCTGTTCCTTCATCATTTCCGTCGGATTCCATCTTCATGTCCGCAAGCCGAAGACGGACCAGGTCGAGGCTGCCCGTCGCGGTCGAACAGAGCGGAAGACTTCTTTCATCTCCGGTTATTGCGATCCGCGAACAGTTTGATTTCCTCGAAGATACGGGCTGTGCATCATTAAAAAATACATGAGGTTAGCTCCGTGAAGTATTGCTAACTCGGCACAATTGCGGTTAAACGAACCTTTCAGAGCTTCTTTGTTCAGAGGAACGTTTTCAAACTCCATCCCGAACGGGTTGGCTTCTACAGACTCCGACTGAGCCCTCCGTACTGACTCCAGGAACGGGTGGGCGAGGGCCTTGTCAACCTGAAAGGTTCGCAGCACAAAATTGTTGGTTAGTTATGATGCATACATATGATACTGTCTTGAATTCAACACTCAGCTTACCGAAATTCGGCACTCGGGATTAAATGACAGCATCTGCTTGAGCAAGTCAAGCGAGTCGGCAGGTGCGCCCGGGTACATCTACGAGATTGACAGACGAGCAGGTTAGCCAGTTATCCGCATGTGGAATCCGCTTCAATCGAGCAGTACACACCTCACGAAGGTCCCTCGGCTCCTTTTTCGGCAGCTTTCGCAGGTACTGCTTGACTTCGCCCAAGCTGCCAATGTCGTCCTCGCCAGGCGTGCCAATCACGTTGAAAATGACGTTTAGTTGATCCAGTTTGTCCGAGTACGTCGTGGGGCGGTCTGCGCTAAGCGGAAAGCACGAGCGGCCGGGGAAAAGGGGCACTCGCTCCTGGTATCGAGGGCAGCTCTCGACCTGCATGCTGAGCAGCTCGGCAAAAATGCATCCAATGCTCCACATATCCACGGAAAAATCGTAATCTTGAAGGAGGATAAGCTCCGGTGCCCGGTACCACCGCGTAACAACGTGCTTCGTCAATTGCCGCCGCATCTTCGGAAATTCGCCAGAAGAGGGCGTCGATGATGCGCTGCCAGGAGACGGGGCCGAGGTGGTTCCTCCGTCCGACGTGGTCGGCGACTTCGAATCCTTCGGGGAGTACAAGTGCTTGCTCAGCTCCTCCATCGACATATCGCTTTCCATAACACGCGAGAGACCAAAGTCGCAAATCTGAATGGGAAGTCACACAAAAAATAATCGTTAGAAAAATAAACTGACGCTTGGGTAACGAACGGCGTCCACCAGGGCTTACCATAAGCGTGCAGTCTTCATTCAGCAAAATGTTGGCAGGCTTCATATCGCGGTGAATAACGTTGGCCGAGTGGATGTACTTGAGGCCGCACAGAAGCTGGTACAGGAAGACTTGGATGTGGCGAATGGTCAGGTACTGCGGGCTCATGATGAGCTTGTGCAGGTCCGTGTCAACGAAGTCGAACACCAGGTACAGGTCCGTGAAGGTGTCATAGTTCTCGGGCGGGATCACGTCTATCAGGTTGATCACTTGCGGATGGCTGCACAACAACACAACGCTTAGTAAGACTCCCCATGTCAAAAATCCAGCGAAAAGAAACTATGGTGCCTCTACATACCTCAGACGGCGCAAGATGTAGATCTCGCGGTACAACCGCTTGCAGTCGATCTCCTGGTCGAAGACGTTAATGATCTTCTTGATGGCCACCTTCTTCTGGCGTTCCGTGTCGAAGGCTTCGGCGACCTGCGTGGGGTCACACCAAAAGGACAAGAAGAATGTTCTAAATCAGCATTCTGCCTACATCACCATAGGGCCACCTGCTCTCCCACGTTAGAGTGATCGATCAGGCCTGCGTCGTACCTGTCCGTAGGATCCCTTGCCGAGGAGCCGCACGAGCGTGTAGCGACTGCCTACCTCCCAGTTAGCAAAGTTGCGGAGGTTGAGGGGCGCCGCGCGGGGCACGGGCGACGGCGTGGGCGCGTGCGACGAGTGTCCGTTAGCAGTAGCAGCGGTGGCGCCCGCCGCCTGGTTGCCGTCGTCCGCGGGGGTGGAAGCCGAGCCGGTCGACTGCTGCGCCATGGCGCTGTTGGACGGGAAGCCGTCGCTGGGCGTGGACGCGAAGCCGTCGGGCGTGTGGCTGAAGCCGTTGCGGTTCACGAACGCGGGCGTGGGCGGCATCTGCTCCACGGGTCCGTGCGGCGTGGGGGCCACGGCGGCGCTGAACATGGCGCGCTGGTGGTCGATGAACTGCTCGGACGTGTGGATCGAGCCCTGCGGCGTCACCACGGGCGGCGTCACGCCGTTGGACACGCTGGCGCTGGCGGAGGCCGCGGGCCGCGACAGCTTGTTGCCGCGCTTGAGGCCGGGCGGTGGCGTGGATGCCGTCATCTTGCGCTTGCGGTTGGCCGCGTCGGCCATTTCCTTGGCGGTGGGCGTGGTCTCCATGGGCGTGGGCGGACGGAGTACAAGGCGTTGTGCGTGCAGGCGGGAGTGTTGGTCCTTTCGGGGAGGGGGTCAGGTCGGGAGCTGCGGTGGGGGGGGGGTTGTGTTCTGTCTCGGTAGGAAGTAGTCACCGGGCGATCGGATATCGTCGGCTTTCCTCGGGCTTTTGCGTTGTGGTGCGGGGTTCGGGGGCCCGACCTCGCTCTCTCACTCATGGCTGGGCGCCCATAGGAGAACTCAGGGAGATATTTTCGACCAATCGTCGGCACGACAGCGCCTTTTCGGCCAACCGCGCGTCGCCCTCTTTTGACCAATCCCGCGCCGTTTCAATTGCGCTGTTTCCCGCACTGACTCCGGCCATCAGGCATGGCATGGCTGGGCGATCCGACACCTCTGGCTCCGACGCGCCGTTCGAAAATGGAAGAGCGCCAGGTTTGCATGCTGCTGAGATCTGAAATGGGCCTTTCCTAAGCGCCGATGTGAGAGGCAAGTCGGCGGGGCAAAGATCCGTGCTCGCCGCTGTACTGGACTCATCATTTCACAGGCGGCGCAGCTCCGAGCAACGCTTTTAATGAGGCGCGCGAACATGGAGCTGTCGCGAGCGCAGCGACAGCTTCCCGATCTCCACAGACGCAGAAGCTGCTGCTGCTGCTGCGCAGCTATTATATACCGCGCGCGCGATCCACGTGTTTCGATGTTGAAGTCGCTGACAGCTTCTCCGCCATCTGGACGCTGCGGGCCAGTGCCCGACCCGCCTCAGACTGGCCTTGATGCGAATAAGACGAGCAGATCCGCTCCTGCGAGCCCCATAGTCTTCATTCATGAATATCGATCCGCCGTGTCACCACTGCTTATTTCAGGTAATCTGGCATCGCCAACAAGGGGGCGATTAATTGAGCTAAGGCAGCAGCAACAGCCGACAACGCGCCAACAACGATACCCACCGCAATAAATATACATGTATTGCACCGCAGCACTCAGAAGTTAGCGGCGTCCTGGGTCAAGAACGCGTCGAGGTCGTCCAGGTCGCCGTCCCGCGTCTCGATGGCATGCTCGCGGCGGCGCTGCGCCTCTTCGGCCCTGACCTTGGCCTCCTTCTCGTCGCACTCGCGCTTGGCCTCCGCCGCGGCGAGTCGCTCTCTTTCTCTCTCCTGGAGCTGCAGCATGCGCGCTGTGGCGGCGCCGGCGTCGCGTCGGTCGCTTTGGCGCTGCAGTCGCCGCTGCTGCTGCTCCAGTTGCTTTTGGTCCTGGAGCAGCTGGGCCACGCGCTGCTGCGTCTGGGACTTGAGCGCCTGCACCTGCTGCAGCTCCGCCTCGAGGTCCAGCAGCAACTGCTCCTCCTCGTACTCCTCGTCCGTCTCGAAGCGTCGGCGCTTGGGCGGCGCCCGCCGTGCGCTGCTGCCCTGCACCGCCGCCATCATCTCTAGTTCTGGTCTGCACAAATGCAGTTTGTGTGCGCCACACGAATGTTATGTTACGAACACAAGCATCATTACCGTATCGCCATGGAGCTCCACACGCCGCCGCCGCCGCCTCCTTCGCCTCCTCCCAGCGACACGGAACTGACTGCGGAGCAGAAGCTGTACTGGCTCAATGCGCTGCAGGTTGTGGGCGACTGGTCCGTGCACGACGACGGCGACGGGCGTCTCTTCTACTACGACCGGAGGACGGACTCGTCCCAATGGGAAGTGCCCGATGGCCTTGCGTCGCTCGAGACCGAGTTCATGATGAAGCTCATGCTGCAGAACGCAGTGGCTCGCTCCGGGGTTTGGACGGCGCACGACGCGGGCAATGGCACGCTCTACTACTTCAACTCGAAGACGCGCGTGTCGGTGTGGGAGCGGCCGAGTGAGTGGGGCGAGGCGGAAGCTGCAGCAGCCGCAGAGGCTCGTGAGAGGGAGGCCATGGCGGAGTTGGCAAGAAAGGAGAAGGAGAAGCAAGCGCAAGAAGCAGAGAAGGCGGCGAAGAAGGAGAAGAAGAAACACAAGAAGCAGAAAAAGCAGAAGGAGAAGCGAGATGACGAGGCTGTGGCGGAGGCGGAGCAGACCAGCGAAGGGAAGGAAGTTAAGGAGCAGGAGCCAACACCACAGCAAGAAGTCGAGGAGGAGGAACCGCTGACCACGGAGGAGATTCAGGAGGAGCAGGAACGTAAGGCGCGTGAACAAAAGCGCATCGAGCAGTTCCGCGCGATGCTGCGCGACAAGAACATCATGCCGTTCTGCAAGTGGTCGGTAGCGTTGCCGCAGATTGCTGGAGACCCCCGATTTATGGGTGTGCCGACCATGGATGAGCGTCGTGCGATTTTTGAACACTTTGTCGAGCACCGTCGAGAAGACCTTAAGGCGGACAAGAAGGGCAAGCTGAAGCAGGCCAAGCAAGCGTTCGCTCAGTTACTGAAAGAGCAGTTCCAGTTCGACTCGTGGGAGCCGAAAACAACGCTGAGTGTATTTATTTCGACACTTGAAGAACAGCTCCAGCCTGATCGCTACAAGCAGGTCCAAGAAAACGCGTTGGCATTGCTGACTCTGTCAGCCCAAGAGAAGATTTATGCAAAAGCGGTGGCAGAATACAAGACCGAGGCTCTGAAGCGAGATGGAGAGCAACTGCGGCTAACCAAGTTCTTCGAAGAAAAGCTCACTACGCTGGACACGTCGGCTATGCGATGGGAGAGTGGCGAGGTGCAGAAACTTGTTCAGGAATTTTACAGCTCCGCAGAGTCTGCGGCGCTACTTTCGGCGCAGAAGCAGAAGCAACTGTTTGAAGAGCTGGTTGCACGAACCACCCGTGGCCGTGAACCGACCCGGGACGAAAGCGAGAATAGGCGTCCAGAGCGCCTTCGCTCCCCGCCGCGGGATCGCGTACCGGCAAATAATGACCCCAAGCGTCGAAACCCGAGCCCACGACGAGAAACACGTCATTCGCACTCTCGAGGACGGCGCAGTCGTAGTCGTAGCAATAGCCAGTCGCGATCTCGAGGGCGTGAGAAGGGTCACCGGAGCCGAAGAAGCAGTCGCCAACACTCGGCTTCTTCGTCGCGGTCCCGATCGCATGACCGATCGTCTCGAAGGTCGTCATCTCGGTACCGTCGTCGCCACTCTTCATCCCGCTCGAGGTCCCGTTCGCGGACTCGCAGATAACCGATCCCTGCTACTACAAAGCAGACAAAATAATGAAAGAAGCTCTGAGCAAACCTCGTTTGGTTGAATAGGTATTGGCATGTCCAAAACTGCTTGCTTCCCGTTTAAAAGATTTTCTTCTTGGGCGCCGAGCCTGGTAGCGGAGAGAAGTCCACGGTGCGAAGCACGTATTTTGGCTCATCAACAATCTTCATGACCGCCTGGACGCCATAATCTAGCGGCACCGAGTAGATGCCATCTATGTTGACTTTCATATCCCACCCCAGGGACCGCATCGATACTCGGCGAGCTTTGCCTCTGCAGTCAACAAGAAGGCATGAACAGCAACCCGTGTAAGTGCGTTTGCCTGCTCCGAAATTATGTTGAGCCGGACTTACCGTCTGAAGCGAATATCACCGAAGGTTGCATTAATAATTGGCTCGCGCACGATGTAGCCCATGTCCCTCGAATCTTCGGGGAAAACGTTCTGCTTGTTAATACTGTCAGGAGGGCAAGCACACGTAAATCGTCAGCACTTATTTCGCAAGAATTATTGACGAGCAGGGACAACTTACGATTCAGTCAGCTCGGTGACGGTCTCGTTCGTATGTGTGTGGTCCATGGCGTTGAGCACAGTAGCAACCTGCTCGCGGTAGATTTGGCACTGTGAAAACGAGCAACATGGGTGAGTTAGTTATTGAAATCCACTCGCCGAGTCAGACTCAACGCTCAATTTGTACGTACCGCGCTAGAGTACCACGCGCTCGAACCTGTTCCAGTACACATAAGAATTCCACTGCTGCGATGGGATTCGCGCTGGTGCTGGTCAATGCCAATGTTGTAGTGCGATGGGCGAGAAGCGTCACTTTCCGCGATGAACACTTCGTTCAGCGCGTAGCGCGGTAGCTCATACCAGTAGCCATCCTGATTCACCATACCGACACGAATTCGCTGGCGGAGCCGCCACTTGAAGTCACCTTCGAGCAAGCGGTCCAACGCCGTGCTGAAGCGGTGGGTAACATTATCCACCTTGTAGCAGCACAAGTTTCCCTCGCTTCGCTTGGGATCAGTGTTTAACCCAGCCACAGGGATCGGAGTGTTTACAAAGCTTGCAGTTTTCAGGAAAGTGCCATCACCGCCCGCAGAAAAGATCATGTCCGTTCCTTCCACTGCTTCATGCGTGAGGTGGTTTGCTGAGACGACCTTCACCTCAATGTCACGCTCTTTGAAGCTAAAGTAACGTTCATGAGTTAGAAGATCACGAAATACAAACAATGCACGCACAAGAACAGCAATTGCACATACCTGTTGGTGATTTCTTCCACAGCTTCGACGTGGTGCTCATGACTTGCCTTCAACCGGTCGTGAACAAAACCTCGCATTGACATTTGCTTTCTCAATGCTTCCCTGTGTGCGAAAAAATCATGAAAAAATCAGTATTGCAATCACGACAGTCAACAACTAGCCCAACCTACCCGGTATTGCCGTACAAGTCAGCTTCATGCTGAAATCGAGAGGTTTTCTTCACCACGACAACCTTCTTCAGATTCAGCATGGGCTTCCCAGGGATCAGAAGCGGTGTCTGGCGTTCCTCTTTCGTTGATTCCTTCAATGCGGTTGCACCTTCTGTGGACGCAGCAGCTTGGCTCAAGCTCGTCGCGTGAGATAGCACCTCCGGCGTGATTTCCCCCTCCGACAGCGTCTTGGCGCCATTGTACGTCTTTTCAAGGTACTCCTCCGAGATAATCATTCGCGGGACACGCTCAGCCGTCGCCAGTAGCAGCTCGTTGTCGTACACCGGTCGGTCGATCTTCATCCACCCCTTGGGGCTGAGCTTCTCATTCCACGGACACACCGAGCGAACGTGCGTGAAGTAGGGGGCCATCTCTCCCGTCTGCGGGTCCTTCCTCGTGAAGTGCAGGATGTGGCCATTGTGGATCTGGTCCACCATGCGTCCGGACTCCTGCAGCTCGATGAACGTATCCTGCGACATTCTCTCAAGCCGGGTCCGCATGGCCCAGATCACCTCTCCGTGGGCCACGACAATGGCTCGCTTGCCGTGGCACTCGTGGTTCAGAATGCCCAGCAACCGGTCAGCGCGCTGAGCCACCGCCGCCAGCGACTCGCCACCGGGCGGTGCGTAGTAGAATCGGTTGAGCTCTCGACGCTTGAGCTCGTCCTGCATCTTGATGAAGCGCTCCTGCTCGCTCATAAGGTCCATGGCGCCCCAGTCGCGCTCGCGGATGAGCATCTCGGCGTACCAGCGCGCGCCGGGCAGCCCCATGCGGCCGGCCGTCTCCATGGCGCGCAGGTACTCGGACACGAGGTAGCGGTCGAAGTGCGCCAGGTTGTTGCGCTTCAGCCAATCGCCGGCGGCCGCCGCCTGGCGCCGGCCTCGGTCCGTGAGCCGCCAGTTGGAGCTGTGGCGGTGCTTGAACTCGCCCGCGAAGAGGCTGTGGTCGCCGGCCAGGGAGCGCTGGCGGGCCACGTTGCCCTCGCTCTCTCCGTGGCGGATCAGCACCAGGTCGGACAGGCGCGGGAGGCGTTCGCCGTTGCTGCTGCCAGTGATGCTGCGGCTGGTGCTGCGGGCGGAAAGCGCGGCCCGCACGGCGGGCAGGCAGCGCGCGCGCGTCGTCCTCAACATGGCGGCGGCGAGGTCCTGGCTGCTGCTGCTGCTTCGCAACTGACAAAACGTCTGTCGGCTCGCCCCCACCAAACCAGCCTGCTTGGGTGATGGGCAGACAGTCCTGGCTATGCGCCACGACCAGTCAAAAACCGGTACTACTGTCTACAGACACGTCCGCCGGGCAAGGCGTCACAATTATACCGGTATATCGGTATACCGATTGATCAGCATCGGTATGGTTGGATGTATCGGTTGTGGACCGGTATGAAGTGCTTGCAAGGAAGGTAGATCCCTGAATTTTACACTCAGCTTGAGCAGGAGTTTATCTGGTTGGAGAAATCGTCTCGGAATGACCTCGCATGCCGCAATCCTGCTATTATTGTACTCTATAAACATGCTTGCTTGCAAAATGAATATGAATTGAAAGTTGAAGCTGCAGGTGCTGTAGACAAGGCTTTCGTCTTAGTCCCGGTCCGATTGTTTCTACACCACTTCAGCAGTCAAACGATACAAACCAAACACGGACTAGCACACTTAAGGGTGACGAGAACAGTGCCACTCTCATTAAGCGCGTTTTGAGTTTGCTAAAAACGCTTGCGTGTCACGTGAAGCAGCTAGCTCCAACAAGATATTGCAGTCCTGAAAGCAACCTACATACTTGGTAGAGCCATGTCAAGTGCGTGGTAGTGATTGACACTTCAATGGATCATGAAGCCTTGAAACCAAAAGCACGACCCGAGAAAACCGAGGTCCAAGAACAGCACGCTTTCCGTGCAGGCATCGATACCGGACAATATCATGCCAGGAGGGCAGAGGTGCCACTGAACGCTGGAAATGCTGTATGGATGGACAGCTTAAACGTCAGGAGGAGCACATGACGCGACAACCTTTTCGCGAGAACAGCGTCGCGTAACGAGGTCAATTGCATCTTCTTACGTACACAGCAAATACTTTGCCACAGATAAAGCAGCGAGCCTGATGCCACCACGAATCTCGGCTTGCTTCAGAACGCAACGGGCGCGTGGAGTGAGCACGATTCAGCTAGCAGGTCCCTGGGCCGTAAGACGCGGCACAGTTCTACATGTATGTGCTTCGGCCATTCATCAACGGTGAGTATGCGCAGTTGGCTTCAGCGAGCTGCATGTGGACTACTCACGTGCAACTATCGCGCGAGGTCAAGTTCATCACACGTTAGGCAAGTTGTCGTGGTTATGGTGCTTAGCGTTCGACTTCTGAGTGCCCGAGTTTGTAGGACATTACGGTAGTCCATCTTGGATGTTGTGGCTTTTAAATAAAGGTGAGTGTGGCGATCGCCCTAGCGTCTTGAGCTAAGCTTAAAGCGCGATGCCAAGGCACGCCCACTTCAACTCCCCTGTTACGAAATAGGCTCGTAACAGTGAGCACAATTCACCCGTTTCTACACATGCCCAACTATTTTGGTCCGATACGGTTTAAACTTTGGTCCTCACGCGTTGGTTGGTCTCCGCGAGTCAATTGCCTTGTGTCGCTTCAAGCGCATGGCATTGGCGTCCACACCGCTTCACGGCAACACGAGCGTGGAGGACGGACCATCACTCTGCGCACCCCGGATGGCCGACGTGGACGGACATGACGCGACGCGCGCCGCCGCCAGCGACCAGCACGACGACGCGGCGGAGCAGCGCCAGGTGAGCGTGGGCCGCCTGCGCACGGGGCTGCGGCAGCTGCTGGCCGCGGCGCGCAGCAGTACCGACAACAACCTACAGCACCACCCTGCTCTCCAGGCACTGGAACCTACAGTTGAAGAGCACGCCGTCGTTACGCAGTTGCAGGCGCTGGCCGCGTGCCTCGTGCACCGCGAGCTGCGCGTGCTGGTCGTCAAGCACCTGCGACCGTTCCTGCTGGACCTGATGGTGCGCCTGACCGACCCGGCGCTCGCGCTGTACGAGCAAGAACAGGAGCAGTACCGCGAGTGCGCGGACAGCATGAAGAGGAGCGAGCTGCTGGCGGCCACGCTCGCCGAGCTGCTCACGTACCTGCCGGCCACCAGCACCTTGGCGCAGCAATACTTCGAGACGGCGCCGTGCTTCTTCACGTTCGCGGACGTGGTGGCTGCGCAGAAGCAGCAGAGCGACGAGACCCTCGCGCGGCTGCGACGTATCGCCAAGACGGCATTTCTGCTGCTGCGGGCGAGGCCCACGGAGCTCACGACGCTCTGGAACTGGACTCCCTTCTTCCCGCTGGGCTTCCACGACGACGCGCGCGTGCGCTGGTACGCGGCACGCGCCACGGCCTTGGTGCTCAGAATGGGCAACGCTCAGCGGAACGACTTCTTGAAGGGACTGGGCGTCGGCGAGGATGCGGCCTTGAGTGGAGACAGCCCGGCAGTGCGGCAGATTGAACTGGATCTGCACAGCGAGGACGCGACGCGACAGGAACAGCTCATTGAACTGAGCGTACACCAGGAACAGGACGACAGCGACGTTGCAGAGTCGCAGCCTGTGCCCTTCCATGACTCGCTGCAGAACATTTTCGGCGTGGTCATCCCGACGAGTAAGCTGCATCAGCAACGACAGGTCTCTTCAGATGCAGCGGTGGCCACAGAGCCGTTGGTACCGACTCCATCGACCAAGCGGAACTTGCAGTCGCTTGCGATTGCTCTTGGTCTCAAGCGGCCGATTTTGGTGGCCGGACCCGGGGGATGCGGCAAGACCGCTACGATTCGTGAACTTGCACGGCTATCGGGCAACGGTGACATGGTTGAGCTGCACTTGGACGACCAAATTGACAGCAAGACGCTCCTAGGATCGTACGTCTGCACTGACGTCCCCGGCGAGTTCACGTGGCAACCTGGTGCACTCACGACAGCCGTACTTGCTGGCCGGTGGGTGGTTATTGAGGATATCGATCGCGCACCGTTCGAGGTCCTGGCGGCGCTCATGCCGTTGCTCGAGACTCGCGAAATGGTGCTTCCTGGTCGTGGCGAACTGCTGGTGGCGCACTCGAACTTCCAGATCTTTGGTACGACTACGCACGGACACCAGATGCCGAAGGGATTCCAGGAGTCCGTCTGGACAAGCGTCGGTGTTGCGCCACTAGCAGACAGCGAAATCGAGCAGATCATGCTGACTCGGTTTGTGAAGATTCCCCGACAGGTTGTGTCCAAGATCATGACAACGTACAACGCAGTCTCCGGCAATGCAAGCGAAGAGGTCGGTGGACCTGTGCAGCTGTGGAAGGAGACACGTCGTAATTATGGGCGAGATTTCTGTCTGCGCGATCTGTTGAAGTGGTGCAAACGCATCTACCGCTTCTGCTACTATGCTGCGGGCACGTCTCAAGAGAACGCATCCTCCAGCCACGATTACATTACTGAGGACGAACGTATGCGTATCGTTGTGGAAGCGCTAGATGTTTTTTGCGCTGGAATTCGCGACCCGAAGACGCGCTTACATTCTGCTTGCGCGCTGGCTGCGATTTGGGAAGTACAGGCGGAAAAGATCGAGTATTACCTCGAGCAGCACAAACCTCACGTTGCATTCAGCACTCACGAAGTGGAGTTTGGTCGGGTGCATCTGCCAACCTTGTCACAGCAGGCCCAGCTTGAGCAAGGCGATAAACCCGCTACCAGCTCCGTTGTGATGACTGGCCACGTTCTTCGGCTGCTGGAGAAGATGGCAGCAATTGTTGCAACCTGTGAGCCAGCTTTGCTCATCGGTGAGACCGGTTGTGGTAAAACTACGATTATCCAGCACATGGCAGCGGCTATGGGACAGCGCTTGGTTGTTCAGAACCTGAATATCCAGAGCGATAGCTCTGATCTTGTGGGCGGATTCAAACCTGTGGAGATTCATCTACTCGCTCGGCCGTTGTACATGGATTTCGTGGATCTGTTCACTGCTACATTTTCGCAGAAGAGTAACGCTGGATTTCTTAACGTTGTTCGAATTGCGCTGGAGCACAAGGACTGGAGGAAGCTCGTTAAGGGCATGCGAAAAGCGATCCAGATGGCTACCTCTAAGCTCCAGAGCAGCAGCGGCGGAACTGGTCGCAATGAAGAAGACTCGGAGGCTGCTGTCAGCAACAAGATGGCTACTCCTGGTGCTTCTACAAGTGTGTTGGTGAGCCGATGGGACACCTTCGAGGCGGAGCTGATTCGGTTTGAGCGCCAAAAAGAACAGGCTGAATCACACTTTGCCTTTTCATTCGTGGAGGGTGTGCTAGTGAAAGCATTGCGTGAGGGACATTGGGTACTGCTTGACGAAATCAACCTTGCTTCATCCGATACGCTGGAGCGAATTAGTACCCTTCTGGAACATGAAACAAGTGCATTCTCGCTCACGGAGCGTGGTGATGTCGAAGTAATCCGGCCACACCCGAACTTCAGACTGTTTGGTGCTATGAATCCCTCGACGGACGTTGGCAAGAAAGATTTGCCTCCGTCTCTCCGCAACCGCTTTACGGAGATTTACGTTGACGAATGCGTCAATCCTTCGGACTTGCAGATGGTCGTTCACCACCAGTTCAAGGAAATTGCGGGCGCTCTGGTGCCAGAAACGGTGGAGTTTTACCTGGAGGCGAGGAAGCAAGCAGAGTTGCGGTTGAGTGATGGTGCGCGCCACAAGCCCCGCTACTCTCTCCGTACACTCAGCCAGGCACTGCACATTACGCGCATCTTGATTCAACGAGGCTACGGTACGTCTCGAGCAATGTTTGAAGGCTTTTGCTCAAGCTTCTGCACACAGCTCGAGATGGAGTCGCGTCAGTATCTTGAAAAGCTCATCAAGAACACGTTTGCGAAAACGATTAGGGCCAAGGAGCTCAAGCGCTCTCCTCCGTGCCCTGGTGGTTCCAAACAGACAAGCGAATTTGTCTTAGTGAGCTCCTACTGGGTTCGAAAGGGTGACTTTCAGCCGCCTCGAGACGACTCGTTGCCGGACCCAGTGACTTCTCGACGGAAGTTTGTGCTTACGAAGTCCGTGGAGGAGAACTTGCGCCATGTTTCTCGAGCAGCTTTGATCGGCAAGTACCCTGTGCTGTTGCAGGGTCCAACGTCGGCTGGTAAAACGTCATTGATTGGTTATCTGGCTGCGCGTATCGGACAGAAATGTGTGCGCATTAACAACCACGAGCACACAGACATTCAGGAGTATATGGGGAGTTACGTGTCCGACTCGAACGGCAAGTTGGCGTTCAAGGAGGGTGTTTTGGTGGAGGCTGTGCGAAAGGGTTGGTGGATCATTCTGGATGAGCTGAACTTGGCTCCTTCAGAGGTTCTCGAGGCTCTGAATCGACTTCTGGATGACAACCGCGAGCTGTTCTTGCCAGAGACACAAGAGACTGTTAAACCGCACCCGAAGTTCATGTTGTTCGCGACTCAGAATCCACCTGGTTTGTATGGTGGTCGTAAGGTTTTGTCCCGCGCGTTCCGTAATCGATTCTTGGAGATTCAAGTGGACGAGGTTGCGTCTAGTGAGCTTCAAACTATTCTGCAGGAGCGAAGCTCGCTGCCTCCCTCTTACTGTGGAATTCTAATTGATATCATGCGCCAACTGCAGCTTGTCCGGCAGCAATCGTCCGTTTTCGCTGGCAAGTCAGGCTTCATCACTACACGTGACTTGCTTCGATGGGCTGAACGTCGGCCGGCAACGAAGCAAGCCTTAGCCGAAGAAGGATACTGTTTGCTTGCCGAGCGGCTGCGGAAGGATGAGGAGAAACAAGTGGTCAAACAAGTTTTGGAGAAAAAATGCAATGTAAAGATTGATCTTGATGCCCTGTATTACAGCGGCAAACCTCGTGAATCGAACCTGTTGAATGAGAACGGTGAGATTGAGCAGGAGACCGTGTGGGGTACGAAGGAGCAGTTCGAGCGTGTCCAAGCCATGGTGGAACAAGCGATTGAGGAAGCTGCAACCGGCAAAACGTCTAGTGGTGAGCCTAAATCGGCAGGTAATGCTGCAGGTCTAGAAAAGATCAGTGTGACGAAGTCACTACGGAGACTGTTTGCGCTTGTCGGTCGCTGTTTGCAGAACGAGGAGCCTGTCTTGCTTGTTGGAGAAACTGGTTGCGGAAAAACCACTGTTTGCCAGTTGTACTCGCTTCTTTTCTCTCAACCGCTTCACATTCTGAACTGTCATCAGCACACCGAGACCTCGGATTTCCTGGGCTGCTTACGGCCTGTGCGTGGAAAGGAGAAAACTGCGCACGAATTGGAAGAGGCACTCATTGACTTTCTGGCTGTGGCTGACGGTTGTATCGATGAGCAAGAAGTTGAGAAGCGCCGGGCTGACGTCAAATCGGAGGGTGTAGCCGCGATGCTGGTCAAATACGAGAGCGCCAGATCTAGCGTCTTGGACAGCGACTTTGCACAACAGAAGGAGCTTGTTGAACGCATCGATGTCTTGAAGCGGCGGTTCCAGTCCATCTTCGAGTGGGCAGATGGTCCTCTAGTGGAGTCCATGAAGAACGGCGACCTGATCTTGATCGATGAAGTCAACCTTGCAGAGGATGCCGTGCTGGAACGCCTGAACAGTGTTTTGGAGCCTTCACGCACGCTGCTACTCGCCGAAAAGGGTGGTGACCAAGTGGAAGAAATTGTAGCCCACTCGAAGTGGCGAGTGATGGCGACAATGAATCCTGGAGGTGATTTCGGTAAGCGCGAATTGTCTCCTGCGCTGCGCAACCGTTTCACAGAAATCTGGGTGCCGGCGATCTCCGATTTGGATGATATCGCTACGATTATTTGTGATCGTCTGGTGGGACCCCGGGGAATTGCGGCGCCACCTCGTGCTCTGCCAGCTGCATCTGCTGGCCTGTCCACGCTGTGCGATCCCATTCTAAGCTTTGTGAAAACCTTCAACGAGGCGAATGGTGGTGTTGGAGGGTGCGGGGCCGTGACGTTACGTGACATTCTCAGCTGGATCAACTTTATCACGTCTGTGGTGAAGAAGCAGAATGATAATTCGTCGGTCACGGTGACTGCTTGGACGGCATTTGTTCAAGGTGCAGCACTCTCGATTCTGGACGGTCTTGGTCTGGGTTCTGATAAGGCACTGCACACTGCTTTGAAGGCTCGAGAGGAGGCCTACCGCTATTTGTTGGCGCTCGTGCCTGATGATGACCAGATTGTCAAGCAAAAGGTGATTGACTCGCTGAATGTTACATCGCTATCTGTGGACAACAACATCGATGAGTTGAATTCGTTTTCCTCGGAAAAGGCCACGGAGGGGAGCTTCGGAATTTCGCCGTTCCTGATCCCGCGCGGCCCTGATCCTGTGCTGAGGAAACCTGCTTTCTCGCTGAAGGCACCCACAACGATGTCAAATCTGTATCGCGTTCTGCGCGCGATGCAGGTTAGTCGCCCCATCATTTTGGAAGGGTCCCCGGGTGTGGGCAAGACCAGTTTGATCAGTGCTTTGGCGGCAGCATCAGGCCATCGTCTTGTGCGAATCAATTTGTCAGAACAAACAGACATCTCCGATCTCTTTGGATCAGACCTGCCTGCCGCATCTTCGCCTACGGACGAGACGGATGACAACAGCAGCAAGCCATCCCAAGGCGGAGGCTCCAGTGGCATGTTCGAGTGGTGTGATGGCGTCTTCTTGCGTGCTCTGAAAGCGGGAGACTGGGTGCTGCTCGATGAACTCAACCTCGCGTCACAGTCTGTTCTGGAAGGTTTGAACTCGTGTCTGGATCACAGAGGAAGTGTCTACATTCCGGAGCTCGACCGAGAGTTTGAGTGTCCGCCAACTTTCCGTGTCTTTGCCGCTCAAAACCCGCTTCGTCAGGGTGGTGGCCGTAAGGGACTGCCGAAGTCGTTTTTGAACCGATTTACCCGAGTCTTTGTGGAGACACTGCACGAACAGGATCTGATCCACATCGCGAGCTCAATGTATCCCACACTACACTGTGCTGTCACGGAAACGAGCATGAGCGATTCGGCTCTGGTGGGTCAGACCCTGCTCGAGCGAATGATCGGTTTCAACAGGGCGGTGCATGAAGACACAATGGTGAACTGCAGATACGCTCGCCTCGGTGCGCCATGGGAGTTTAACTTGCGCGACGTGTTCCGTTTCTGTGACCTGCTCAAGCAACAGGCGCAGCTAGTAAGCAATGCGGAGCACCAGCTGCAAGCGCTGAGCTACTACGTGAATTTTATCTACGTGGAAAGGATGCGCTCTGCTCGGGACCGCGAGCTAATTTCTCGACGATTTGAAGAGTTCTTCGGTGTGAAACCAATGGATCTTAGTGCTGTCTCCCTTCGCATGTCGGCCGGTTTTGTGGAGATCGGCAACGCGCTGCTCAAGAGGCGAGAAGACATGCAAATCGGTCGCGTTGCCCCTCCTGTGTTTAACTTCCTCCTGAAACCAATGGAGGCGCTGGTGCACTGTGTGAACATGTCGTGGCCTGCACTTCTTGTTGGACCGCCGGCTAGCGGAAAGACATCTTCTGTCCGTTTGTTGGCGGCATTGAGTGGTAATACTCTGCATGAACTGGGTATGAGTGCTGGAACGGATGCCACAGAGCTGCTCGGCTGCTTCGAGCAGGTGGATGTTGGGCGTAAGCTCCGTGACATCAAGAAGAAGATTCAAGTTGTGTACGAGAAGGTGTTGCAGCAAATGATGCTCTTTTCGGCTTCGACTGGAGTTTCACAAAAGAAGAAAGCGGCGACTCTGAAAAAGGCAAACCGCCTTAGCAGCACGTGGTGGGCGCTTATCACGCGCGAAAAATGCTACAGCGAGAACGCTTCCCCGCGCTCTCGTGACAGCAGTGGGAAGGCGCGCAAGTCGAAAAAGTTGCCAAAGGGTCACCTGGACGATGTGGTTGTTGATTTGATGAAGGACATCGTGGCCATGCTCCAAAAAACGGAAGCTGACAGTGAGGAGATGCAGACGAAACTTGCTGGCTTGCTGAACGATATTGACAGCGTAGTGCAACTTAGCAAATCGAAGTCGATTGCGAGCTGCTTTGAGTGGGTTGATGGCACTTTGATCCAAGCAATGGGGAAGGGTGAATGGGTGCTATTGGACAATGTCAATTTTTGCAGCTCGTCGGTTTTGGATCGATTGAACTCCCTCATGGAGACTGGTGGTGAAATGCTGATCAACGAGTGCGGTATCATTAACGGCAAACTTCGTGTGATCAAGCCGCACAAGAACTTCCGAATGTTTTTGGCGATGGATGCGCAGTACGGTGAGGTTTCTCGTGCAATGAGAAACCGCTGCGTGGAAATTGCGCTTGCAGAGGAAGACTCGCCGCGTCTAGATCTCATTAAAATTCCGCTGGCCTGTGGAATTCCCGGTTTCGCCCTTTCTCAAGCTTTCCAAGCTGCTCATGAGCGTGTGGTAACGAAACTTGGAGAGTTTATGGTCGGCGCGAAGTACGGTCGTATTAATCGTCGACACTTGGAAAATTGGTCTTTGCTGGCGTCAGCGGAGCTCTCACGTGGAATGTCACCTCTTAATGCCATCGCCGAGTCTTTTCAACGTGTGTATGGGAACGGGCTGTTGGCACAGCTTGGCTTGAGCCAAGAGGTACTAGAACTTTTCCTGCGCGCTTTCCAAACTTCGCACGAGAACTCCCAGAGGCAGCGTGTGCTTCCGATGATTGCTTGTCCTTCAACGGTTGTGCTGTGTCAGCAGAGCGAAAACTTCGAGCTACAGCGAGATGTTGCATATCTTGAGCACCTCATTGTATCCTCACAAAAACCGGGTGACGATAACGCTATGGACTTGCAGTTGAGCTGGCTTTCCCCAGAGATTCATGTTTCTTCGGGCGAAAATGCCGCGGTTACTGACGGTGACTCCAACCCAGACGCGTGGCTAAAGTGTGTTGCTTCACGGTGTAAGCGAGGAGAGACTGTGTATTCTCAAAGAGCTCTTGAAGAAGCACGGAACCACCTGTCGTCAAAGTCGTTCTTCGGGCATGATGGCGACAACAACACTCTGGCTGTGACATTAGCTCCTTTCGCGCTTCGTCACATCGTGGCAGTGGCGAGTACCTGCAACCATGGCGATGGACCATTGGCTGCGGATCGCCTTCACTTCGCATTAGAGAAGATTACCCGTGGAGCTAGTGGAAATGCGGATACGTTGCGTTCAGTTGAGTTGCTGGCGCGCTTCCTTCAGTCGGTGACGAAAACCGAGTTGTACACTGATATTTCTCGGAAAATTGAGGAAGTGGCTGGACATCTGACCGCCTTGCTTGGCGATTCGGCTGCCGTGCCTCCTGTGCCTGTGTACCTTGCTGCCAACCACGCAATTTCGCTGCGATTGCAGTCACTCATTGCGGAGCGTGCCTTGACTGCCCCCTCTGTGAAGACTGAACTGGACAGCGTGTGGGAATCTATGATGGTCGCCCAGCGACAACTCGAGCTTCTTGACGGGGTGGAGTGGCTGAAATTCTGCGAGCAAGAACAGTACCTGCAAGTTGACACCCTGTTTGCAGCTGCATCGTCGAAGACAAACAAACGCAAAACGAATAAGGGCCGTCAAGAGATCAATCTGAACAAGTTATCAGTGCTGCAGCAGTCCTACGCCGTGCACAAGTACCACGCTGACCGTTCTGACGTGGAGAACGAGCTGATTTTCTTGGTTCACCCGCTTTTGTCTGCGTTTAACACCTTCCTTGGAGCGTTTGTCCAAGACTTTCCCAACTTGGTGATGGATTCGGAGTTTGCCGAGACGTTCCAAGCTGTCCTCCGAGACCGCTTCGAGTTTTCGATTCAACTGCGAGTGCAGGTGTTCGAGTGGACCCACTTTCTGATACACTGGCAATGGCTAAAGAAGTCGCTTTTGCGACTTGCGAAACTGATCGAGGAGCAGCCTGCGCTCTCTGCGCCGTGGAAGTCATCTTGGAGCGACCTGCTGGATATGTCCCAGCGAATGCAGGAGACAATTGAGAAGCTTATCGGTTGTGGATCGAGGAAGAATGTGCTTTGGAAGAAGGGCGGTCACTCCTTACTTCCAAGTAATGCTGACCTTTGGAAGGCTGAATACCTACTTAACCGGTTGGCCACGACGTTCATGCAAGTCAACTCGAGCTCCTTCTCGGCAGTGTCTGTTGGTGCATCTGAAGGATCTACCGACGGCAGGGTCGACGTCTTGGCGTTGTTGTTTGGAGGAGTTGCCTCAATGGAAGCCGCGATGAAGAGTGGCAAGCTGGACGTATCTTCGCTATTTTATGTGGATGTTGAAGCCCGCAAGGAAGTTTTGCATGCGCTTTGTGCATTCTCGTACTTGGCTCAGGAGCAAACACGCGGAAAGAGCGGAAGCGAACGTTCGAAACGTCAGCCGCATGCTCTTATGGCTGAAGAATTGTTCAAGCTTCCGGGTGTTCTTTTGATGAAGCTCCGCGAGAAACAAGCGGACATTACGGCACTCATCTCAAAGAAGACGCTCTACTTGAGTGAGATCGAAGACAACGCTGACAGCCATGTGGATCTGCTAAGCGAAGAAGACAGCCGCATTGGCAAGGATGCGCCCATTCTGTTGTTTGATATGAAGGAGAGTGCGCTGCTGATGGATCGCATGGTGACGTTCCAGCTGAGCCCGCTGTTGGAGCATGCTCTCGCACGCCAGGAGCTCCAGGCAATTACGGAGCTGATGCGCGTTCTCAACAAGTATCGCCTTTTCAAGAGTGATTTGTCTCAAGACAGATATGCGGTGGTTGTCAAGGCTATTTCGAAGGTACTGACATTGCTTGAAGGAATTATCGAGGAGCTTTTGCGCCTGGGGCTCCGCGATCCTGCTTGCTTCTACGCTTACCAAGACATTGTGTGGTGCGGACACAAGTTTGTTTCTCTGGACGCTATGAGCGAGGAACAACCAGATCAGGCGGTTGTCGAGCTGGACAAGTTCACTGCTGTGGTTCAGTCCCACCTGAATGGTGTGCTCTTTGGATTCCACCAGTTCTTGCGTTGCAACAGCTTTAACCAGGTTGATCTAATTTCCTTGGAGGTGTTTGACACCCGAAAGAAGCTTCGCAAGGCGAACAAGCGACTTCCTGCTGTGAGCACTGATGTTGCCGACCACGCCCAGGTGATTGCTGGTTACCCACGCCTGTTCCAGGCCGTTCAGAGTGCAGTCGTTCTGAAGAGTATTGCTGAGGTGGACCTGGAAGAATCCATGTGCCCCACAAGTGAGGCTCAGATGCGAGCTGCGCGATTGGAGAAGATTAAGAATCACTTCTCCACGGAACAGACGGAAGCAGGAAAAACGATGCCGAACACAAGCTTCTCGTTCGTTCGGGAGTTGTTTGTAGCAACTGTTCTGGCTTTTGAGTCGACTTTCCAAAACAACTCGGCTGCGCAGTGGAAGGAGATTCAGTCTCTACTTCATCAGTTTGCTGACACTCCGCTCACGTTCGATACGAAGGCTCAAGCGACACTGTTGAAGGCGTTGCGAAGCTCTACGGACAGCACATTCGTGTCGCTTGTGGATCCGCTTGTTGCGCCATTGCTGACGACCGTGGCGAGGGAGGCACAACTTACGCAAGATGACCGGAATATCGTTGCGAGAGCTATTGGAGAGAGTATGGTGACACTTGGGCTGTGGAGATTCGCATTACTTCTTCCGTCTTCACCGGTGGACCCTGTTACGAAGCCGCTGGTAAAGAAGGAGAATCTGCTAAACCGTTTGGCGATGCTCACGATGCATGACGCAGCAAGCTCGTCTATTAACCGTCTCAACCCTTCACCGTCGGCATCAGCCGAAGACGTAGAGAATGCTAGTCGTTCTATGCGCGAGTTGTACAGTCAAGTCATGGAAGTGTCAGCTTTCGCAATTCAGCGATATCAACCGAACAAACTGCACAGAGATGGTGGTGTAATCGAAACGGTTGAGCTGGAGATGAAGCCTGTCCCTACCTCTGTGTTTGGGGAACTTTTCCGCGATCTACTGCGCTTTAATGCTACGGTGATGCCGGCTGAAAAGCTGGCGGCTCTGCTATCGACAGTTCGATCGTCCAAGTTATCGCAGCAGCGAAAACGCGAGCTTTTGCGTGAGCTGGAAATGTTCCAGCAGACGTCGGAAAGCTTCCTCGCTCAACTGTCCAAGAAGTTCGGGGAATGCTTCAAGGATATTTTGGAGCCCGTTGCTGCGGCAATTTACTGCGTGAAGGAGGGAGTTGCACTCGTGACTTGGTCGCTCTACCAACAACTGAAGGAGGCTTCGCTGAAGGAGAAACAAAAGGAGACCTTGGCTCTCTCGCTCGTGCAGTTCCCGTCTGCTTTGAATGTGAACACTGTGGATCAATCGTGGCGCGGAATTCAGTTAATGTTGCAGACTGTGGGTACATTAGGGACTTCAATTATGTTTGGCGGTGGTGTGGCGAACAAACGCAAGGTCGAGGTGGCGTTGCTTGACGTGGCACTTGCGAAGATGGAGTTCCTCTTCCGTGAAACTGTGATGACTTCACGCACAAACCGTAATGTGGACTCTCAGGCAGTTGACACTGCTCTCAGCAGCAGCAAAACGTTGTTTGATTTATTCTTGACCAAGTGGCAAGAGCAGAAGGAGCGGGAAGAGCAGAAGCGAAAGGAGGAGGAAGAACTCTTCAAATACAAGGTCCGTCAGCTGGACCTGGAGACAGAAGAGGAGCTGTTGGAGAAAGAGTACCGTGAACAGTTCCCAGACTACAGCGGCCGTGATTTCCAAGCGTTTTTGAGCCCCGAACAGGCTGCTGCTGCGAACACCAATGCAGATGCGCTTCCAAATGCGGCAGACATGGACGTGCTTATCACGGACAAAATCATGCAGCGGCTGTGTGAAACCCACGTCAAGCTGTACGCTGAGACTTCAAACTCCAAGATTGCAATTACCAAGGATGAGATCGTAAGCACCTTCGCTAGAGCGTTCTCTCTCGCTGTGAAGTTGCGCAAGTCGTTGAATGCTACGGCATCGACTTCGATCGAGAGCGCTGTGGCGTCGTCCGGCGTCCTTGCCGCTTCTTTGGTCCAAGCCCGCCTGGGTAGCAACGTCGGTACCAAAAAGGGAGCAGTGCCATCGTTCAATTCTTTGAGCAGTGACTACATCCGCGGCATTGACTTCCACCGTGACCCGCTGGTAAAGGAAGTTGTGCTTGTTGCGGAGCCCTTGCAGCGCCTGATGGTGAAGGTCCAGTCACTTTTGGCTCAGTGGCCTGATCATGCGATCCTGCAGCAGATTGTACTCATCGCTGACCGTATCCGCAACTTTGAAATCAGCTCTCCGCTGGTCCGCACGCTTACGGGTGTTGAACTGCTGCTGCGTAAGGCTCAGGAGTGGGAAATGTATGCGGCAAAGGCGTACTCAATTAGCGAGGAGCTTGGCGCTCTCTCGGCGTTGGTGACGCGTTGGCGAAAGCTTGAGCTATACTCTTGGCCTCACCTGCTCTACGTGAAGGAAAAGCAGCATCGTTTTGCGGCACAGAAGACGTGGATCAACATGTACTCGCTGCTGACGGCGCAGTTTGAATCAGACTCGGGCATGAGTGATGAAGGTGCTATGATCCCCGCGAACCCGCAGAACTTGCAGTGGCTCCACCTGAATCATCTGTCCAAGTGGCTTTTCACGCCGTTATGCGAGAACAGGGCCGACGCTCAAGCCCTCAGCGATGCGGCCAGAGAGACTGTCGAGAAGCAGCGTGAGTTTATGAGCAGGTTGTTCGAGACTCTGGACGCTTACATCCGTTCGTGCCCGATCGGCCAGTACGAGACTCGCTTGCTTGTGGTTTACTCGTTCTGTGCGCAGTTGTTCATGGAGCTTTGGAGCCCTTCAGAGCATCACGAATCATCGAACGGCTTTGCCTCGAAGTCTTCCAAGTATGCTCTGGCCAACATGCTGTACCACTTGTACCGGTACTATGGCCAACACCTGGGATATCTGGAGCGCCAGTGGAGCGGCATGAAGGCTCCAATCCAGCGCAAGCTTGTTGAATTCGTCAAGATTTGCCGCTGGGACGAACAAACGTACTATTCGCTCGCTGAGTCGGCAGAGAAATCGCACCGCAAGCTGATGAAGTTTGTCCGCGATTACGATGCAGTGCTGACAGTCTCGATGCAAACTGTGATCGACGCTTCGACTGATAGCGGAATTACCAAGGAAGGTGGATTTGTCGGAATTCAATCCACCAAGGCGGAACTGGCTGGTCTTGACGATGGTGTTGTCGTGCCAAAGGACGTTGAGCACAACGAAGATGAGGACGCGATCACCGCATCTGCCGAAGGAGAAGCCAGCGAAAAGGCCGACAAAAAGACGAAGCTGCTTAATGAGGAGGACTCGCAGGATGCTGGAAAACCGCCAGCGTTGCGCTTGAATCACACAAGCGCGCCATTGATCGAGTACGAAGATGATGCCACGCTTCAACTCTCATCGTATGCCGCGAAGCTTCCTACGCTCTCAAAGCGCATTGCGAAGTACACTCAAAAGCACATTTTGTCGCTTGAACAAATTGAGCGCCGCCAGCAAGTGCGTGACCTGTGTGAGGATCTTTGCGAGACAATCTTCTACCGGATGGCTAAGCTTCAGAAGGCCACGGGTCTACCGAAGGGTGCGAAGAAGAAGGCACTGATTGATCTGCTTAGCGAGCTGAAGACCCAGGGCATGGCGTACCACCGACTTCAACTGCCTGCTGAGCAACAACAAATTCAGCAACTGTTCGAGTTGGATGTGCCTGACGTGGAGAACTGCATTCATGTGGATGAACTGGAGGCAGCTGTTGATTCCGAGAGTTTGAGTGCTTCAACCAGTGCCAGAGGCCCGGAGGACAAGAAGAAGCGTGGAAAGAAGAAGGGCAAACAGCCCGGAGGTGCCCATCAGTCTAAGCCCGCTGAAGAGACCTTGGCGAAGAACACGCCGATGTGGCTGTGGCAGCGTGCGGACGGTTATTACTACCGATTCCTTGGCCAGTTGGGTTCATTGCGGTACAGTGCGGTGACGAGCTTCTCGCATGACCTGTCGTCGAGCGAAACCGAGCGTATGAGCGGTTATGCCGAAAACATGCTGTTCACAATGCTGCAGCAGCGACAGATTCTTCACGCCACGTCGCTGAGTCACGAAAAGCTTGTTGATGGACTAGCCACGCTTAAGTTGTTGAAGCAGTTCAAGACGAACTACCTTTCGTCTAACAGCGACGCCGAGGCTGCGATCGACCCCCGAGCGGCGAGTGAGTGGCAGGCATTCCAGCAAACATCCGTCGTTTCATTGCGACAGACCCTGCGTGAGCTTGAGATCTCAGTGGTGCAGATTTTGCAGCAATCGTCGGAGAATGTGTCGGTGGTTCTGGATGTTCGCCAGCTATTCCAGCGCATTTTCGAACTTTGTGATGCCATTCAAAACTCTTTCGCTGATTGTGCTGGGTTGACGAAGTCGCTTGGTGTGCCGGCGATTCCTCACCGTGCTGTGAACGCTAGCGAGGACGCGGGTGGCGACGCTGCTATTGTGGCGTTTGCGCGACCTTCCAAGCGTGTGTACGGTGTGTCTCCGGTTGTGGCGAAATCATCAGAAGCCCTTGAGACACAGAAGCTGCCTGTAGCAGTTGAAGTGCTCAAGTCGAACGCTGCTCGGTTCAGCGAGATCCAGACTCTTCTGTCGAATACTTCCGTAGCATTTGGTACAGTGACGTCCCCGAGTTGTTTCGAAGCCTTCCTTGTCGAGTATGCTGGCATTGTTCGTGATGACCGCAAGTTTGCTAAGACCTTGGCTAAGTCGAGCTCGCTCCAGTCGGTTGATGAAAAGACATTCGAGCCCGAGAGTGCGCAGGCGATGGCTACGTTTAGCGAGCACTATGACAAGTTGGTTGAGACTGTATTGGTGTCGATTCAGGATCTGACAAAAATCTCGAAGGATGCTCAGGAAGCAGCCAAGTCGAGTGAGGAGGATGAAGAGGAGCAGTCACTGCGTGATCAGCTTGCTACACTTTCCACTATGGTGAAGGACTCGCGTGTGAACCACATCGCTTCACAGTTGGCTAAGCTACTGGAAATGCTGCAGTATCAGTATGTCCAGCTTGCCGACACGCAGTCGACCGAGTGGCGAAGTGTTTTCTTGAAGTCTTTGTCACTGTTGGAATGCTTCGAGCCTAGTCTGGTTGATGTGCGCGGCATTAGCCGGCAGCTGCTTGTTGACTTCCTTGTGGCGCACAAGAGTGTCATGAAGCTGGACTTTGTGCTTGTGCGCATCTTCCGAAACCTGTTCCAGCACGGCTTCTGTCGCACCGATGAAGAGAAGAATGACGAAGAGGGCGATGGAGGCGCGGGCAAGATGCAGTTCCAGGACGACGTGGAGGGCACTGGTATGGGCGAAGGTGAAGGAAAGAAGGACGTGAGCGATGAGATTGAGGATGAGGAGCAACTTCTCGGTCTCCAAGGAGATCAGCAGGAAGAGCCCGAGCCACCAGCTGACCAGAAACCTGAAGACACGGGACTGGAAATGCAGAACGATTTCGAGGGAACCATGCAGGATGTGCCTGATGAGGAGAAGGATGAACAGGACGAGAATGAGGATGACGAGGAGGAGCTGGACCGCGAAATGGGCGAGTTCGACCAGGATGATGAAAACGTTGTGGACGAGAAGATGTGGGGCGAGGACTCTGACGACGACGAAGACAACATCGACAAGGAGAAGGAGAAGTTTGAGGAGGACTCCAAGGTCGAGGGCGAAGCGCTAGAGGATGAAGTGCGCGGCAAGGACGGTGATGAGGAAGAGAAAAACGACTCGAACAAGAAGGAGGACGACAAACAGAAGCCGCAGTTGGATCAGTCGGACGACAAGGGTGCCGATGATGAAGGGGGCGGCGAGGATGGTGAAGACGGTGAAGACGGAGACGATGATGAGAAGATGGAGGAGGTCAATGACGACTTCGAGGACAAGTACGAAGACCACCACGACGTCGACCCGACCGAACGAGAGGAGGGCCACGGAGAGGACGAGGCCGAGGAGGAGCACGGTGACGAACTCCCCGAAGATATGCAGCTTGACAACGACGGTGAAGATGGCGATGACGATGGCGACGCTGAAGTGGACAACCCGGATGATGAAAACATTGACAAGCTTGATGATGCCGACGACGAGACTGCTGAGGATGCCGAAGAAGAAGAAACTGCCGGCGCTGACGAGGACGAGGACGCTGAGGAGGAGAAGGAAGAGGAGCAGCTTGACAATGCTGTTCAGCTCGGCGGTGGCGGTCTTGAGGACGAGCCTGAGCAGGCCGAGGAGAAGGAAGAGGAAGATGCTGAGCAGCCCGAGGCTCCTGAAAACGCTGATGAAGAAGAACAGGCGGCGTCAACGGTGGCGGGCACTCAGTCGAAGGATGGCCAGGATGAGTTAGAGGCTGACGAGCAGGAAGATGAAGATCAGGAAATGGAGGACGCTGATGCTCAGGAGCAGCAGGAGCAGAGCAACGACGACAACAGTAACAGCCAAGCTCAAAAGCAGAGCAGCAGCAACGATCAAGATGCGAAGCAGGAGTGGAAGCCACAGTCGCAGGTTGAGAGCAACCCGGACCAGGAACAGCCACGCGAGAAACGTCGTGATCGTCGCGAGCCAAACCCGTACCGGAATGCGCAGGAGGCCAAAGAGCACTGGAAGAAGCGTGTGGAGATGGTGGATCGCACCGAGGAAGAGAAGGAGCAGGACAACAAGAACTCCGAGAAGCAGGAGAAGGCTGCGGAGATGACGACGGCGGAGTTTGTGGACGATGACGAGGAAATGGAAGATGCGGAGCATGCGCTGGCGGCTGCTGACGAGAACCAGGTCATGAATCAGCCTCGAACTGAGGAAGAAGAGGACAACGATGTTGAGAAGAAGGAAGAGGAAGACACGAACCCTGGAAACGGGGCTACTGCCATGGAAGTGGACGAGGAGGAGGAAGAGAAGAAAGAGAAATCCACGGAGGAGCGGGAGCAGAAGGATACGCCGAAGCCAGTGAAGCAAGAGCCTAAGCCTGAATCAGCTACGGATGATGACAGTACCAAGAAGGAAGAGCAAAAACTGGACGAGCTGGAGATGAAACCCGAGAACGCTACTGAAGGCGGCGAGCATGAGCTTTTGGACGAGGAGGCGGACCACGCGCTGCCGTCAAGGTTGCGCGACTTGGACCTGACCAACAGCATGCAAGACCAGGACGAAGGCGACGAAGCTGAGGCTCGAGCGGTCAAGCTCCTGACTCCCGACGAGGTTGCTGCCTTGCGTGACGAGCTAGACTCTTTCATTGCGAACTGGTCGTCTCAAGCGGAGCAGGAGCGCGGCGCTGACCTGTGGGCTAAGTACACTGCTCTCACTGCTGGCGCGTCTCAGCGACTGTGTGAGCAGCTCCGACTGGTGCTGGAGCCGATGCTGCGTGCCAAGCTCGAGGGTGACTTCCGTACGGGCAAGCGCATCAACATGCGCAAGGTGATCCCGTACATCGCCAGTCAGTTCCGCAAGGACAAGATCTGGCTGCGTCGTACGCGTCCGTCCAAGAGGCAGTACCAGGTGATGTTGGCGATTGACGATTCCGAGTCGATGGCCGACAATCACGCTGGTCGTTTGGCACTGGAAGCGCTGGCGACGTTGTGCAAGGGTATGACTCAACTCGAGGTCGGAGAGCTCTCTGTGGTCAAGTTCGGCCAGGAACTGGAGCTGCTTCACGCGTTCGACACGCCGTTCACGGACGACGCTGGCAGTCGCCTCATCGGCCGCTTCGGCTTCCAGCAGAAGAAGACCAACATGGTTCAGACGCTGGACACGATCTTGCAGTTGCTGGAGACAGCCAAGCAATCGTCTGCCGCTTCAAGCAGCACCGTCGAGTTCACGCAGATTGTGTTCCTGATCTCTGACGGCCGCTTCGACTCGGACGGCCGTGTGCGGATCCGCAAGCAGATCGAGACGGCGCTCGAGCGCCAGCAGCTCATCGTGCTGCTCATTGTGGATCAGGGCGCCGCTGAGACCGAGGGCAGCAGTAACCAGCAGCAGACGTCCATCCTGGACACGCAGAGCGTGACGTTCGAGAAGGGCAAGGTGCGCATGGTGCCGTATCTGGAGAACTACCCGTTCCCGTACTACGTGCTGCTCCCGACGTCGGCCATGCTGCCGGAGATCCTGTCGGACTCGCTCCGCCAGTGGTTCGAGATGCTGCAGGCCAAGAGCTGAGCTGTATGAAGCGATGGCTGTGTATATTTCCTTAATATTGCATGGATAGATAGATACATGACTGAATAGATTGCACATTTAAACTATACCTCTTGTGCTAGTTACCTCTTGCACAGTGAAGGTGTGCAACAACTCCAGTTTAGAGACTTCCGTGCACCACATGAAGTTGAAGTGGTGCGATCTTCCAGCGACGCTAACGGATGGGAAGCCTCGACGCCAACTACGCGCTGCTGAGCGATGTGAGCGCGCGCAACCGCGCACTGCAGGCGCGTCTGCGCGGCAGCCTGCCGCTGCTCTGGACGGACAACGCGCTGGTGATGACGAGCGCTGCCCCTCGCCGGCGGCGCGTTGGGCTGCAACCTGAACAGTCGGCGGCGGCGGGCGAAGCGGATCAAATGCTCTTGGCTCTGGAAGGGCAGGCGGGTCTGCAGGTCAGTCAGCGGTACAAGCGCCGCGTGGAGTGGGAGGTGGCGAGGCGCATCGCCCGAGTCGACCGAGAGCTGCAGCAGAATCCGCCGGCGCAGAGATTCTGGAACCAGAAGAGGAAAGAGGAGGCGACGTCTCGGCCTTCGCTGTATCGGCAGCGGGCTAAGGGCGCCCAGGGGGCTATTGGCCGACGAAGAGCTCGGGGAGAGGTAGAGGGAAGCCATGAGGATAAGGCTGGGGAGGGGAGAGCTGGCGTGAAGACGACGAGGGCACGGTTAAGAGTCTCGAGTGATAAGGCAGTGCAGAAGACGAGGGCGAAGCCGAGGGTTATAACATACGCTGGTGACAATGAGAAGAAATACGTGAAAAGCGTGGCGATTAGTCCACTTCCTCTCGGAAGGGGGAGTGTAGAGGATAAGGAGAACGTGGTGCCGAATGCAGAAATCACAACACAAGAACCGAGCGCTGTGATGGAGGAGCCGCTGTGGGATGATCCTGCCACAAAGGAACCGATGAATATGAGGCTGGTTGATGATTTGCATGCGGATGAAGTAAAGGAGGATAATGAAGCTGCGGAGCCGGTGGTTGACCGTGGCTCGAAGTCGAAAGCTGATGTAGTACCAAGCTCACCTGAGGAAGCTGTACATGACACTACCCCGCAAGCTCCTAGTTCCCCAGCGAAGGAGTTTGGGTTTAGTGCTCGAACAGACGCCCTTGGTAGAGTGGATCAAGCTAGTGATGCTGATGTGGCATCAGTAGTTGACGCTTCAAGTCCCCGAAGAAGGAAGCCACACCCAGAAGATCGCCCGTCGTCGTCAATAGGCAGGCAGGTATTATCCGATTTTCGCACGATGCCATCGGTGGCTTCATTTGGCGCGCGGCCAATACTCTCTGCCGATGGTCTTGGCACGATATCAAACACGCGTTTGAACGCGGACGTGCTTCGCCGGCTTTTTAGTGACTTGGACACGGACAAAGATGGCCACGTGAATCGCATCGAGACATGTATGGCACTGCACCGCTTGCAGATTACCGTTTCAACCGCGAAAATCATTTCGTTCTTTCGCCATATTCACTCTCCAGCTGAAGGACAAGCAGTGCGCAGTCGAAATACGCAGCACTTGCTGATGAAAGAAGTCATCAATTACAAAGAGTTCGTCGCTTTCGTTACCGCTGCGTACGACCAGCAGCAACAGAAAAAATCGTTACACCGCGGCTCACTAGTGCGGATATCAAGGAAAGAGGATCAGGACAGCGCTTTACCAATACCGGCTCCGTCGACGTCGATTCCAATATATTCGCGAAGAATGGATTCCCCGAGGACGAAAAATTCAACTCGTGCTCATACCCCCCTTGCGAGAGAGCAAGAGGTTCGAGTGTACGAAATGCCTGATGCTGACCATGAACCTGATGCACTCGAGGAACGAGTTATAAGAGAAATCCCGGACCTTTTGGTTAGCAGAATGCTATCGGAAACTACTAACGAGGCAGCCAATGAAGCTGCAGCTTCTGTAGTACGCAAGAGTTTGGAATCCCTTGTCGGGAAAGAATCAGTCGATGATCAAACTGTCAAGGAGATCACCCAAGAATTAATTCGGGAGCAACTGAGAAATATTGGGCAATTTAACCAGAATGATGAAGACGATGTCACCGGGTTGAGACGAGCTGCTGCGTACTACAATGAGCAAATGGCACAAGGTAACGTTGATTCCGACTCTGTTGCTGACAGCTCGAGCTCTGATAATTTGGAAAATTGGGTTGATGTCCTTACTGAAGAGCAAGTCAGTGGCTTAGTGCAGCGAATTTGGAAAGACAAACAAGCCAGCCTTCATCACGCGTCTGTCGGGGCTGTAGATGACTCGAATACTGAAGACCCTCCCACTGATTTCCCAGAAGATCAAACTGCGAGATGGATTGACGAAGCGACAGATACTAACGAGCTCGAGGTTTCCAAAGTCGCGATCCTCTCTGAAAAAGCTGTTCAAGCTTCCAGCGACGATTGTCAAGAAGAAACAACAGCAAGTCCTGAAGCTGCAAGTATCTGTGTCGCCGAGGAAAATCATGGAGAAGATGCCGTGAGCTCGGCCGAAACGATTTCTAGACCAATTCTCCCACAAACCCAATTCGCAAGAGCTATTCAAACTTCTCTCGACCCCAGTGGTTCTGGGCCGCACGAATTGTTTCGGCCTGTGACTTCCATCCAGATATTGCAGCAATTACGTCAGCAAAGGCGAACGTACCAAGCCACGCTAAACAGCCCCAATGATGATGAAGAAGTGACAATTTTTCAAGCGCCAAATGTGTCTAATCGAGGTGGCGACATAAGTGCTACACGCGTGAATCTCCAGATGAAGACACCTCTGTTGTCATCCGAAGTTGACCTTGAGAGTGCTGCCTCTCGAAGCGATATCACCGACCAAAGTCACCAGCACAGTCAAGAACACGACTTATTGCCTTTACCGACCACCGAGCCAGTGCTTCTCACGGAAAAATTCCTTAACGTTGGCGAATCTGTGAGCAATGCTAGCAGCCACGAATTCGTGGTCCGGGGAAGTATTTCGATGAGCAGCAGTGGACTCAGTTCGACCTCAGACAATCACCATCTACATGGTATGCACCAAGAAATTGACCACCTCCAACGCTACACAAGATCGGCCCCCAGACGTCATCGCCCTCGCTGGCGCCGAAGGGCCTTATCAACCTCTGGGAGTAGTGTTCCAGATTCCCTGTGTAGTGCTGAGTTGTCAGAGGGTGAGATTTCGCGAGATGAAGCACTGGAGCTCAGCGATGGGGAAATTTTCGGCGAAACCAAGAGGAACTACGTCAAACGGAAGAATGCAACTCGAGGTATAATGAAGAGCCTCGACGATGAAAACAATCTGCACAGCTCAGTCGAATCCGGAGAACTTCCGTCACTGGTACGTTTCATATGAGCTTTGCTCTTCGCTTACGCTATAGCAAAGAAAACGTACGCTAATGCATTGATCTGAAATCATATAGAGGGAAATCCACGCAGGTTTCCGCCGTCAACTTGTTGCTCAGTCAGTCACCTCGTCAGTTGAATCCGGCGAAATCGAAGACGGCTCTGTTCCCGGTTAGTGCCTCTGTTCAACCGTTCGTCCCAGCCGGAACAGCGCTTAAAGGTCGAACTCTCCGTCGCTGCTCGTGGCACTGCCACTGCCGCCATCAGGGTCCCCCAAGTCCTCCAGGTCCAGCATGTCAACAATCCCTTGATCAGGGCTTCCAGAGCTGTTGCCATCCCCGATGATAGTCCCCAGACCGGCTGCAGCCTTTTTCCCGCTCGCGGGTGGTTTCTCCTCCTTGTCGCTTGAACCTCCAGACACGATAAGTCCCCGCGCACTTTTCGCCTTCTTCGCGCTTTTCATCTCGCCATCACCCTCTTGGGCGGCATTCGGACGCTTGGACGGAGTCATCACGCCCATCCTGGCAGTGCTCGTCTTAGGAGGGACCTTAACATCCTGTTGGAGTTCTTCGTCGTCTCCTGGTGCCATCAGATCGTCCACTGATGGTGACTCCGCGACAGCCCCAAGGTTCTTTGAAAGTCTCGGGTCCTTTGCACGGGTAGGCGCTTTCTTCTTTTGGGACTGTCGGCGGCGCTGTCGCTTGGCTTCTTCATTCTCCATGTGCTGCTTCCACACGAGCTCCAGACCGTACTTCTGCTGCAATTCCTCCTGCGCGTCGCCCAAGTTCGCCTAAGACACACAACCGGAGATCGCGAGTAAGTGTTCAAGTGATTTACGGGGGGGGATTGGAGGACATCACTGTTAGTACCTTCCCGTCTTTCAATGAGTGGACGATCGCCTCCACGGCCTCGGCACGGGCCTTCAAGGGATCCTATGATATTGCACGAGCGAAAAGATGCATCAATGTTGGGAAGCGCATGGTTACAAGATATGAATCGAACCTCTGGGAGCTGGATGTGCGCGGCCTCGCACTTGGAGATCAGATCAGCCAGCGATCGCTGTGCTTGGCGGCGATTCATTTTCTTGGCCGAAGTCTTAGGCTCTGGCGCTGGGGTCTGCGGTTGTTATATTGTTCAGACAAGGAAACACTGGGACGGGGATTTATGTTTTTCTCTGGTTGAGAACTTCAACTGTTGACACAATGTCATTCTCTTTCATATTCATGCACATGCAATTCATTCGTCTGCAAAATGCATGGTCGTCTCAACTCAACTCAACTCACTTCGCCACTGGGAGGGCCTCTTCGTCACCCTCGTACTCGCTCAGAGCAGCAGCCAGCCCTTCGTTCAGTAGCTGGTCGACTTTCGTAGCCACCGCCGTGCCCACACGCTCGAGCTTCTTGGCTTGAGCTCCCGAAGTGATCACCATCTTGCTGTCGCGGATCTCCTTCGCCGCTCGGAAGCGCGAGAGTCCGCGCTGCGAGTGTCCGTGGTGCATTTCGTACTGGCCCAACTGCACCAGCTGGTCCACCAAAGGCTGGTTCTCGTCTCGCGAAGCCGGCAGCGCCTCCACTTGCTCTTGCAGGCGGCTCTTCTTCTGGTACTTGGTCTTCTTGCTGCTCGCCACGGGGCTCATAGCGGTGACCAGCCCCGACTGGTTGCCCGGGGCTTCGTCGCTGTCGCTGTCACTCTCTGGTATCAAGTTGCGCCGGGCGCGCTTGCTCGGCATGTCTTGCATGAGCGTCCGCTTCTGCCGACGCGTCAAGCGAGGCGAGGCAGCAGCAGCGGCTGGCTTGGCCTCTGCTGCGTTATCCTCTGCGTTGAACTTGGCTTTGAGCTGCTCGAAGGCTTTCGGGATCTGCAGATACCCCAGTCCTTGGTGCTTGGTGTTTCGCAGCGCAGCGATTGCCTCCCGAAGTGCCTGCCACGGGTTCTATTGATGCAGAGGCAGTAGAAGTTTGTTAGTAGTGATCTCTTGATGAGTGTAAGTTGAGAGCCTCCTTACGTCCGGCAGCTGCACTCCCTGCTCCTCGCACTTCATCAGCAGGTCCGAGATGGCCGATTCCGCCTTCATCTCCGTCAACGGTGTTCCCTATCAATACGTGGCACCAACTCTCGTTACCCTTAGTAGGAGAAAACTCCAACTGCAGGAGAAAACTCCAACTGCAGGAGAAGGAGGAGAAAAGTATTCTTCCGCCAGGTCTCAGCCTCACCCTTCCACTTCAACTTGCATTTATGTGCACCACCTCAAATCTATGTATTCAACACCATCTTTTCAAACGTTTGAATTCGAAAGAGAAGAGGCAGATTTCGCGGCGACCCTATAGCCCCATCATTTCTCCATCCTCCGCTCCTCCGCCACGTCAAATAGGGGATCGTCTCTCTCTATCTCTCGCACCTTATCACCCAGACAGCCCCAGCGAGTACAGTATGCAGGACGGAGGGCTCTTCATGATGTCCCCCATGACCGCCGCCGGCGAGGAGCGGCTGCGCCAGGCGCGCGCGTGCATCCGCAAGACGTTCGGACCAGGCGGCGCCGGTCGCCGCACCAAGCGCGCGCTGGAGATGCCCGCGGCCCCTCCCACGCCCGCCAAGACGCCGCGCACCAAGATGCGCCAGCGCATCGCGCAGGCCTCGCAGCTCAGCGCGGAGCAGCTCTTCTTCCAGGAGTTCGGCAGCTGCGACGAGCTCATCAACACGGAGTTCGACCTGGCTCGGCCGGTGGGCCACCCCGTGCCCAAGACCCGGCGCTTCGGCTCAAGCGACGCCGCTGCAGCTTCGACACTGCCAGCACAGCAGCAACACCAACACCAACAGCAGACGACAGGGGCCCCCACCAGCTACTTCAGCTTCAACGCGACCTCGACGTCCTTCACCAGCTCGCTGCCTGCACCTTCCACTGCTACGCTGAGTCAGCTGGCACGACCTTCGCGTATCCGCACGCCCCGCAAGGCGGCGATCAAGAGAGGACGTGCAGGAGAAAGCAGCGCTGAGAAGGAGCTTGTGCTGAGGAAGCCGAGACTCGGTGAGCCCGCGGCAGCGAGAGGCATCAACTACTCTAGCTCAGCAGCAGGCTCGACGTTCGGTGCTCAGGCCATCCCAGCGCGCAAGTCGCTGGCTTTTGTCACCACGCGAGCAGACCACGTGACGCAGCCCAGTGGACCCAACAGGTTCTACTCGAGGGCGTCACCGAGCAAGTTCCAGTTCTCGTCCAACGCGACGCGTCTGTTCTCACAGCGGCAGGCGCCGCTGCGGTAATTTATCCCATGTTTCGTACCTGCCGTGGGCAGGTCAAAGCGTCAAGACACAGCATGCAAGATTTCATTTGATCGTAGAAGTAGCGTGCAGATCAGCGAGATGAGAGAGACTGACAGTGTAGTTGTAGCCCCGAAGAAGAGTAATACTACGAGTACAATTTGCAATCGCGAGTGCGTTCATTGTTCCTGTACGTTGAAGTCCTTGTCGATCTACATCCGATCTTTTCCTCTGAGCGGCACTAACAACTGGCATTCTAATAGATCATGGCCTCCATGCGGTTCAGCCGCTCGTTGGTACCCGACGGTAGACGGAACTTGATCATGCCGGCAAATGTGACGAGGAGCTCGGCCTTTTCGCGCAGGGCAGCGACGCCAGCACGCCGCAATTCACCCGAAGCTTGCGTCTTCGGGCGGTCGGCATCGCGCACAAGGCACTCCATGTATCCGAGCAGCAGGATGTGGAAGTTCTGACGCACACTCTCGTCGAAGGCGAGGAAGCGGTCCACGCAGAGCGCCAGGTTGCTAGAGTTCTGCGTAGGCACAACCTCCAGCTCATCGACAAACGCGATGGCGTCCTCGTACTGCTGCTTCTCGTAGATCTCGAGGAAGATGCTGATGTTCAGCAGCGTCTGGAAGGCAATTGCAGCGGTGCGCGCATGCCGGTTCGCGATTGTCTGCACCCACGGGAATCGCATCCATTTCTCGGCGAACTCCTTGGCCTCACGGAACCACTCCTCGCGCTCTGGCCGAGTAGCGGACAGGGTCGAGCTGAGCTGCGAGTTGAGCAGCACAATAACACCCTCGATATCACCAGCGCTCTTCAGCAACGCAAACGCATCGTGCGGGCGACCACGAGCCTCGGCCTTGCGTGCAGCCGAGAGAATCAGCTCCTTGACCTCATCTTCAGGCTCGTCCTTCAGCAGGTGGTCGTACAGGCCGCGCGTACGCGAGCCGTCTGTGTTGTTTGTGAATCCAGCCAGCACGTCGAACTTGCGCGTGTCGAGCAGTAGCTCCGCAAGCAGCTCTTTCTTCGCTGCCAAGTCCGAGATGCAAGCCACGTAGTCGGCCGCCTCCGCGGCGTTGGCGCGCTGGAAGCCGTGGATGTACTGGCGAACAAGGCGCACCAGGTCGATCGTCGTCTCATCCTCCTCTCCCATCGAGAACGATGTGCATTCCAGAAGGCCGAAGTGGTTCAATGTGATCGCGAAGTGCACCGCCTCGAGCAGGAAACCCTTGGATGCCAGGTATTTAATCGCCTTCTCGAACTCCTGCGTGATCAGTAGAATTTCGAAGTACAAGAATGATGTGAAGTTGCCTCCACCCGGCTGGGCTCCGCCTTCGAAGTGCGCCGGTCCAAACCTCTGGATACTCTGGGAGAGCTTTGTAATTGTGTACGTGCTGTCCGGGCCCGAGCTTGTCGCGGCCACGCGCTGGATGAAGCAAAGGCGCTGCCACAGGTAGTCTTCCACAGTAGTCAGGACACGCGACTCGCTCGCATTCACATTGCCGAAGCACAGGAGGTTCACCACGCAGCGCTCGAACGGGTTCACGACAGGGACAGCGTCGATCGAGGAGCTGACCAAGCGGTGGTAACGGTCCACTAAACGGTCAAACTCAGCAGGGAACTGCTTCGAGAACGCGTTCAACGGGTTGGCATTGCGATCCGCGTAGAGGCTCTTCTGGTGCGCACGGTATCTTAGCGCACACACAACGTCAGCGTCAATGGGGGAGTCCGCGCCCGACAGGCTGGTGGCGAGGTTGACAGCTTCCTGGTCGCCACCGCAACGGAGGCAGTAGTAGATAATCGCCCAAATGTTGTCGACGTCCGTGCCGCTGCCACTGCCGTTAGCAGTGTAGCGCGAGCTGTGCAGGTGCTTCACGAACGCGCGAATCGTCGACACCAGGTCCGGAATGCCGCCAGTAGCGAGGTTGTTCTTCTGCACCGTTTCCTGCACAAAGGCCCGGAACTGGTTCTCGAGAAACACGCGCGCGCCGAAGGCGAAGCGGTGCTGGAGCAGCGTGCGCTGCGCCTCGTCGCTTCCCTCCCTCACGGCAGCGAACTCCCGCTCCGCCAGCTTGGAGGCGTTGGGATGGGTAGGGTCTCCACCGGCCAGCATGCCGTTCACCAGCTGCCAGCACTTGAGCACGGCCTCCCATTTGGATCCCGTGACCGAGACGGACACGTTCGAAGAGCACACGCGCTGGAAGTGGCGCGCGAGTTCGAACTGGCTGCGCGTGTTGGGCACCCTGCTGCTGTTGAGCTCCTTGATGGTCGAGTAGTACTGCTTCATCTCCTCCGTCATGGCGTTCTCCACGTGCAGCTGCGACATATGCAGGGACGGCGTCATGGAGCTGGTCGTGGACTGGAAGCGCGGCTGGCCCGCGAAGCCCGCGCCGCTGAGACCCAGACCCGACGCCGGCTCCAGCGCCTGGCGCTTCTCACGAGCTGCAGAGGCGAAGATGCTGCCCGCAGCCTCGTCCTGCTCCAGCACGCGCGGGTAGTTGCGGATGCCGAGCGTCTTGGCGCCGCCCAGGTCCTCCAGCAGCCGCTGCTTGGCGTCCTCGAAGTCGTCGATCATGGCGCGATTCATGCGGTCGTGGGTGGCCTCCACCGTGCGGCGGTTGACGTCCTCGATGGCCGTGAGCACGATCATCTCGTGGTGGTGGGCCAGATACCCTTCGAGGTCCGTCTCGCCCAGCGGCGTCTCGGGCTCGAACTCGGGCGCGATCTCGAACTGCTGCAGCTCCTTGCTGAGCTTCTCGGCGTCGATGCCCTTGGCTGCCAGCAGGAAGTTGGCCTTGTCGGCGCCCGCGGCGGCCGGGCGCTTGCGGCTGCCGGCCGGGGCCTGCGCGCGCGACGCGTCGTCCAGCTGCTCCAGGCGCTTCTCCAGCCGAGGGATGCCCAGCTCCCCGAGTGATGTCGTCAGCTTGAGCGAGCTCTGGTACAGCGCCCGGAAGTCCACGTCGTTGGAGGCCATGGCGAGCGGATCGAGAGGGGGCGGAGCCTACTTACTGCCTGGCTTCCCAAAAAGCAATGGAGGGCGCGGGATGCGGTTTGATGGGGCAGTTCACTATTTATGATGGGAAAAGGGTTAGTGATGTGGTGCACACAGGTTACGGACATGTTGAAGTGGCATTCTTGCAGGCAGCCAGCTAGTGTGCAGCTAGCTATCTTGGTCCATCGGGTCAATTGCAAGGAGAAAGCGATGACGAAGTGGCTGCTGCGCGCGTTTCAGCGACTGAAGGCGGCGTGGATGTCGCTGCAAGTCGAACTGCAAGGCAGCTACTCCGTCGAGCGTCTCCAGCAGCTACACAGCTACTCCAGCAAAACAAGCAGTCGGCGGTTGGTTGTCGTCTTACTGGTCGCGCCGTTGCCTTGTATCGTGTTGAGTTTGCTGAAAGACATGCCACCACTGGAACCGGTTGACGCCGGTGTGAAGGCGAACTGGGTGTTCTTCGTGCGCTCTTGGGTGGTAGCTGCGGTTATAGGGGGAAGCACACCCATGCTGATTAAACAAGGAGTGCCCCCCTCAAACTGTCAGTGTATCAGATTGTCTTCGTGGAAATGTTCGCAGCCGCTGTTGCGATTGCCATGATGGTATGGTTGTGTCATTTAGTCGCCTTCCCTTTTCCATTTGCAGTGCTCGTGGCCGCGCTGCCTCTGACTTGTGTGGAAGCGTTGTGTCTTCAAAGAATTTTGCGTCCTCAATGGCGAGCAGATCCGTCGTTGTGGGTTGATGCCAAGCAAGTGTTGGCAACACTTCACTGCCAAATGTCGCTGCCTATGGTCTACCCGCTGTATATCTATGGATTCGTGTCGCTCACGGGTACTGGCCAAGTGTTGTTCGTTGCTGTATTGCCAATGGTCAAGCTCATCACCAGAAACTGGATGAACAGAACACTACGTGGCCGTGATGACATTAAACCCGAAACGATCATCTTCACAATCGAGATTTTTAACGCGCTGTATATCTCAAGTGCTCTTCAAAGCAGCTCATCTTGGACATCGACCGTCACAGTCATGGCATTGGACGTCGTGAGTTTCTGGGCGTCGATGGTTGACATTGCAGAGGTTTTCGAGGGCATGAAAAAAATAATGGACAAAATCCCCCAAGACCACCCCCTCGCGCACGAAAACTTTATCGGGTGTCATTGCGAATCCTCGCAGCACATGAAACACGCAAATATGGATCAAACCTCAGAACACACCATGTAGTATTGGGGTTCTTACGGTTTCGACGAGCACTGTAACTCCATCGAAGATGGAAGTGGCCGCCCAAAAGAAATACCCGACGCGTATACCGGTCAAGGCAGGAAATTCGACGCATGCTTACACTGGAGCTATCCGAAGAGAGGGCTATTTCAAAGCACCCAAGTCAAGCCGATGAGTGCATTTCCGCAAATTGCTGCTCAGCCAAACTCATGTAACCCAACAAATCCAATCAATCTCGATGATATTTGCGATATTGAAAAGCTCTTTTCCCGTGCAGAGCGAGACTTTTTCATTCGCAAGGCCAGACACGTCCTATTCATCACGGAGTACGTCGTGCTGATGGAGTACGCCGAAGTCGTGGTGCCAATTCTCTATCGTACGAAGTATGGGTGTTTGGAGATCCCCTTCAGTAGTCTGGCTTATTAACCAGTATTTTGTGTGGTGCGATTTCAATAGGTTTGTACCGCGTGGTCCTCTTTCATTTACCCAACAGCGTTTACTACCCAACGTTGACAGAACTGTCGATTTCCGAGCTGTCGAGTTCCACGCTTACGGTGCTAGCCTATAGCTCGCTCGAATTCGTATCATTTGTGTTTTCGATCATTGTGATGAAGCGCGCGTTGGGTTTCAATCCCCTGGAGCAACTTGGGTTTGTGCTCGAAACACAAGCGAACAGCGTCCAGACGAAGCCCATCGGCATATTTATCTACGTGACGCAGATGCCGCTAGTGCACCTCGGTAAGTCAGTCCGTGTCGGCATCATGCTTGAAATCGTGTAGTGACGTGGGTTACCATATCTTTAGGTGCCGATTTCAGCTTCAAGTTTGTCTGGATGCAAGACAACTCGACACACTGAATGAGAATTGGAATCACGAAAGCAGGACCGAGCGTGGCACGAATTGAGGTGTCGACACGAACGATTGTGCAATGCATCCGAGATCGTTTCGCATTGTCGATTCAACGGACCACAACCAGAGCTGTCGGCAGCAGGCTTGCGTGCTTGAAGGCTATCTTTTTCTCACCGATTCACTGCAGACACATGCAATACAATAAAACCACTACACTTCTACAGTACATTAGTATCAAGGAGTGCCATTGAAAAACCCCTTGCACATGTACGTGGCCTGACGGACGCAAACGCCGACAAGCAATTGTCATTGCCCACGTAACACGATGTCGAGACGCTCGGAGCCCGAGGCACTTCAATCACGAGTCGTTGCATCATCGCGACACCGGTACACACTAGGGCCGGACCAAAAACGCGGCGTGGCGGGTACAGCACCACCCGATTCGACAGAGAGAGCGGAAGATGCCCGTTACCTACCGTGCATCGCCCCGCCTGCGGCTCGGCGAACTGCCTCCTTCCACGTATTTGTCGCGCTCCGGCGTCAATCCAGCATGGCAGCCAGCGCCCGCATCACCACTCCACTGGCACGCAGCACAAATACTCTAAGTGCATACACTTGTACCCTGGCACATATACTGCGGCGACCAACTCAAAGGCAAGCCAGAGCACAGGCTCACCTTTGGCTGGATCGTGTCAGGCTAGATCCACAAGTGTCTTCGTTTTACTATTGAAATCAGCCCTACCCCTCACATAGGTGATGGACCATCACTCCTTCGTTCACCCCCTCCTTTCCAAATCGTCGATCGCGACAAAGGGAAAACGCGGCGCGGCGGTCGGCGCCAGACCAGAGAAGCAGCTCGAGGACGCGCAGTCCTCGTGGAACGCGCGGCGACGAGCAGCAGGCGGCGCCAGTGCGCGAGTCTCCAGAGTCGACGCGGTCGCGATCCCCGGCGGACGGACGAGCGCCTCCGTAGGTTAGTGCGCGCCTTCCTTCTTTTCTCCTCCCCCAGTAGGCATATATAGATCTCTGTCTAGTGATATCGATCCCCTAGACTAGACAGCTGCCCCCACAAAAGTAGACAAACCCCTATGTAGGGTTGCGCGGCACTCGTGTATCTAACCAACGAACTCTGCGCCGTCCCATGCTGTAGCTAGGTAGCTACTTGGTAGGAAGGTTAACTCTTCTCCCAAGCTCCAACATCATGGCGTGGACGTGCACGGCCTGCGAGTTCACGGCCAACGAGGACGGCCAGGAGGCCTGCGTGGCCTGCGGCTCGGAGCGCCCCGAGGAGGAGGAGCAGCAGCAGCAGGCGGCGGCCGAGTCGGCCCCCGCTGAAGAGAATGGCGACGGAGGCGAGGATGACGGCGGCACCACCAGCGGCGGCGGCGAAGACGGCCCCGAGGTCGTGGTCATCGAACTGCCGGCCAAGGAGAAGCTCGGTGTGAAGCTCATGCCCCCCAAGGACGGCGTGATCGACCACGGCCTGGCCATCGACAACATCAACAACCCGCTGCTGGAGAACAAGGTGCAGGCGGGAGACCTCATCGTGGCCATCGGCGGGCAGAATGTGGACGGCATGGGTTTCTCCGACGCCATCGACCTCATCCGTAAGATGCCGAGGCCCCTCGCTATCTCGTTCGAGATCGACGAGGCCCGGCGCCAGGAAGTTGTGCGCGCCAAGTTCCAGCAGAACAAGGACAACGATCTGGACACGGAGCTTACGACGTACGCTGTGGTGTTCGACAATGGCCCCATGGGTTTGAACCTGGAGGAAGCAGTGCGCTACGGTATTGACGGCGCAGTTGTGCGTGCGCTGAAGGGTCAGGCCAAGACCAGCGGCATGATCTCGATCGGCGATATTGTGTATAAGGTGAACGAAACGGATGTGCTGTGTATGCCGTACCTGGAGGTCATGAACGTGCTTCGTAACGCGACGGCCCCCAAAACTTTGCAATTCGTGCCCAAGGACAAGCTCGCTGATGTGCAGCGTGTGAACTCTCGTCACTCGGAGTCATTCCGACTGCGCGAGTCCACCTCGCACGTCAAGCAAAAACTGATGAGTAACCCGCGCATCGTTAAGGATGATGGCAATGAGGCGGATGACAACCAGTCGATCGCACAACTGATTCTGGACAACCAAGCTGCTACCATCAAGAAGGGCCGCATGTACAAACAGGGACGTGTGATGCGCAACTGGAAGTCGCGATACTTCGTGCTTAGTGTGTCCAAGGTGGAGTACTTCAAGAGTCCGAGTTCTACGACGTCGCGGGGCGAAATGAGCTTTTTGAATCATCGATGCACGGTTCGCTCACTGCCTGCAACAGGCGATGTGGTCTGCAGGTCGCCAAACGTGACAGCAGAGTATGTCTTGGAGCTCCGTGTGGATGATCGACGTATGGTGATGGCCTGTACGTCTGAATCAGACAAGAAGGGCTGGATGGATGCAATTAAGCTGGCCATTGATGCCTCGAAGACCGTGAACCGTACACAGAACCTTGGCGAGTCATTGCGGGAGGCCAAGGCGCTGCGCACACAGCGTACCGAAAGTATTTCGATGGATGGAACATTCCTCGACCGCAACGCTGGTGGACGTCTTTCGCAGTTCAACTACGAAGCGTTCTCAACCCCTGTGGTGCACGTTGGCGTTCTGTCCGCAACGAACTTGACCAAGTCGGGCAGTTCGGTGAACGCACTTTGTGAAGTTACTGTTGGTGCAGAGACCTTCAAGACTTCGGTGGTGAAGAACCAGCGTTCGCCTGTGTGGAAGCAGGACAATTCGGCATCGTTCGAGGCCCCGAGTGATGACATGGTTGTGGAGATTCGTATCTTCGACGAGCACTTGTTCCGTGCTACAGAGCTTATCGCAACGCTTTCGATTCCTCTGAAGTCGCTGCCGAACATGCAAAAGACTACGAAGAAGTACCCTCTGGCACTTGGTAGCCGTTCGGCAGGAGCTGTGCTCACCTTGTCGCTCGAGTACGTGAACAAGCAGAAGGCCTTTGAGGAGGATCAGGAGCGTGGTCGTCTTGGCGATGATCTTAACAGCAATGGTATGATGAACGAGCGTGATGAGATGGTTAAGATCAAGGCTGAGGCTCAGATGGCAGCCGACGAAGCCACGCACCACGCTGCTCGCGCACAGGAAGAAGCACACATGCTGCTTGAGCAATCTCGCCAGAAGGCAGAAGCAGCTATGGCTGCAGCTCGTGAAGAGCAGCGGGAAGGTAAGGCAGCCGTGGAGAAGGCCATGGCAGAAGCTGCCCGAGCAAAGGAGGAAGCCGAAAAGCAGCTTGCGGAAGCCCGACGGGCCCAGGAAGAAGCTCAAAAGTTGATTGAAGCAAACCGGCGTATTCAGGAGTCCGATGTTCAGGGACCCTCAATTTACGCTGTGTACCGGCGCATGGTCCAGGATGGCCACTCCAACGATGAAGTCAAGAAGAAAATGCAGGAAGATGGCATCGACGAGAATGGCATTCAGGCGTTCTTCGATGGTATCAACTCGTACGACGAAAAGATCCGTGCGCTGCAGGCAGAAGTGGAGAAGCTGAAACGCAGCCGATCCAGTCGGCCAAAGGATGAGCCGAGAGCGGCTGACATGCTTGCTAACCTGGATATCTCTAGTGACCAAGTCAAGCTGCTTCGCCGTTTGCTCAAACTTGAGAAACAACTGCAGCAGGCTGGTATCGCTGTTGCGGCTGATATTCCGTACGAAGAAGCTATGGCTAAGGTACAGGAGATTTCCAAGCGTATGCAAGAAATCGGTTCTGCTGATGTCACGCACCCAGACCCAGCAATCCAGAAGCAGCTACGTGAAGAATACTACCGCCTGGAACAGGATATGGAGAAGTACAACACTGCTCTTATGCTGACTGATGAGTACGCTGCTGAAGAAGCGCGAAAGGAGCGCGAATGGGAAGACGAGAACTACGATGAAAACGTGAAGGCTCTTAAGGCGATTCGTCGGATGATGCCGGTTGACGTGAAGAAGATGTCGGAAGCCGACCTCCAGACTATGAAGTCACCAACGGGCAAGACTCTTCCGCGTGATGTTGCGCGTAAGTTCAAGCGAACGAACGTGCTGGAACTGATCCGTATGAATCCTGCTGATATTGCGAAGAATCACCCTTCGCTGCTGGAGAACCTCCGCGTTACTGGTCTCACGGTGACCGAGCGTCGTGCATTACACATGCATCTGCGCGAAATTGCGGAGACGTGGAAAACTCAACAAGGTGAAGAAATGACGAAGAAGAAGTACGAATGGTTTAAAACACTCAAGGAGACGTTCAAGACTGTTGTGAACTCATACAACAAGCACGTGAAGCAGTACGGACCGGAAGATAACCACCCGTACGCTACGCGCGACGACCCGGATATTGGTTGCCCGATGATCGGCAAGCAGTGTCCCATCAAAGCCAACAAGAATCCTGCATATGACCAGGATCTCGGATACCCCGATGGTGACGTGTACATGGAATCCACGGTGCAAAAGGGTAACCCCGACGATGCTGGTGCCCGGGCTTTGGCTGAAGCCCAGGAACTGGCCCGAGCGAAGCTCGCCAACTCTCGTGCAGACGCGTTGAAGAAGCACTACCGCAATGTGCGACTTGTTGCCGAAGCCAACGGTGCATGTGAACTGATTGACACGTCGTTGGACCAGATCGAAAACAGACAGCTACTGTGGTTCCAAGCCAGACTGAAGCGTCGGCTTGAGCGTACGGAGACTGCCGCGACAATTAAGGTGGAGTTGGCGGAGTTTGGCGAGTTGGTGAATGAAATCCGTTTAGCGAGCTTGAAGTTCGCGGAGCGGTCGGGTATGAACCTATCCGGTAAGCGAAACGCAGCGCTGGATGCGAAGGATACGCGTTCAACGATCGAGTGTAATCTAATCCTGCTCTACTGCGATGCGGTGGCGGACTGCTTCGATGGCATGGACGAGCGCATGGACGAGGTGAAGGCAAGTGACAAGCGTCTGCGCTCGGCTATCCCTGTTATTCGCGGCCTCTTGAAGGATCTGGGCGAAAAGAGTCGCACCACGCTGGCGTCGCTGGAGAAGTGTCCACCGGTGAACCGCCGGGTGAAGACTAGAACTGAAATCATGAAGGAGGCTAAGGAGAAGAACAGTGCTGCAGCTCCACCAGCAGAAAGTGAAGCCGCTGAGGAGGCTCCTGGCCCTGGCCGGGCGCCTCATCCGATGATGGCTGCCCGTGGTCGGGGGCGTGGTCGTGGAGGAGGTCGTGACGGTCTCTTTGCAGCGATCAAGGGACGTGGAGGCCGCGGTGGTGACGACGATGGCCCCCCTGGACCACCAACCGATTTCCTCGCGTCAATTCGCGGCCGTGGTCGTGGCAACCCAGGTGGCCCAGGTCGCGGTGATCTGTTTTCTGCGATCAAGGCTCGCGGCGGCGGCGGAGGAGGAGGCGGCGATGGTGGTGGTCGTGGCGGCGACTTGATGGCTGCTATTCAAGGCCGTGGTCGAGGCGGTGGAATGCCTGGGGGTGGACGCGGTGATTTCTTGGCTGCTATCGCTGCAAGGAAGAAGGACTAGAGCGCTATCGAGCCACTCGAGATAGAAAGTGGAGTAAAAGCAGACCGCTGGCAGTGTGGTTGAATTCAGCACCAAATTGCCTGTAGCTAGTGAGGAGTCAAGAAGAGGAAAACAACAGAAAATACAAAAAAGGGAAAGATCAGAGGCGCTCATGTGTTATCGTTGAGCGACAAGCTCACCTTCGACTAGTCATCACGGAACTTGGGCTCAGTCTTGCTCATAACTGCACCAACAGCCTGCACCAGGTCGTCACTGTACAGTACAGCAGCGTTGTGATAGCGAATTTGCTGCAGCGAGTCCGTCGTCGAGTGGTCTCGCTGGTAATGAATCGTTTGCTTGATTCCGCGAATGGTGAGGGGACTCTTCTTGGCAATAGTCTTAGCCACATCGCCCACGTGGGCCATCAGCGTCTCCTGATCAGGTAAAGCCTTCAACACAAGCCCCAGCTTCTCCGCTTCCAGTCCGCCGATGTTCCGTCCCGTGAAGGCGAGTTCCTTCGCTTGACGCTCCCCCACAAGCTTCGGCAGTCGTTGCAAGGTGCCCACATCAGCGATAATGGCCAGATCCACCTCTTTCACGGAAAACAGAGCGCTCACATCGGAGTAGCACAAGTCGCAGGCCGTGATGAAGTCCACGCCAGCTCCAATACAAGGACCATGCACCGCCGCGATGACCGGCACCCGACACTTCTCCGGAGCCGAAATGACTTGCTGGAACTTGTCGATAACGCGCATGAGACTCTCGCGCTTGCGCCCCTCGCAGGACTCGGCCATCGCCACCTTCTGCATCTGGGCGAAGACGTCCAGATCCATCCCACTCGTGAAGCCGCGGCCTTCTCCGGACACCACGACGGCCTTGACACTTGGATCCTTCTCCACCAGCTCGAAAACTTGGGCCAGCTCTACCCACATCTGCATGTTCATGGCGTTCACCACCTTCGGGCGATTGAGCTTCAAGTGCAGCACCCCCGAGGCTGCGTCATCGTCGGCGAAACCCAGCGACAGCGTGTCGAACTTGGTGGACGCCACGTCCAACGCCTGCGAAGGCCCCGCCATCCAGTCCACGATGTGCTCGCGGTTGCCCTTGGCCGCAAAGTGGCGACGCAGCACAGCAGCAGCAGGAAACGCTGAGCGAGGACGGAGGAGAGCGGAGCGGAGGGCGAGCATGGCGATGATACACAGAGGATCAGCTTATGAGTGGTTACTCTGCTTCAAAGTAGGATTCCGACGTGAAGTTGACGTGGACGTGTGGTGTGCACCACGTAGCCGACATGGGATTGGTTGCTGATGTTGAAGGCGTATCTATTGGCTATAGTACGTGGTTCTAGGGCTACTTTCGCACCGGCGTCGACACTCAGTCCTCCAGCATGTTCTTGAGCATCTCGGAGGACTTCTCGTAGCCGTAGAAGGTGACGGCATTGCAGGGGAACGCTCGCACACAAGCAGTGCCCAGGCCGCTGAAGAAGATTCGCCAGCCACCGAGCCGGTAGAGCTGCCGAGCCTGGTACGCGATCTTGTGCTCGCCCAATTTGTGGTTCACAGGGAGCGTCTGGATGGCAGACTTGATCACTGGTTCACGCAACGAGCAGCAGCACATCGTCAGTACACGCCGTACTATCCTTACCCGCGGAACAGCAGAGAAAACATATGAACGCACCGTCAAAAGGATAAGACACAACCCAGGAAGCAACACCTGCAACTCCGCCGGCAGTCAACATGGACGGAGTAGGCGAGATGCCGCCGTCGATCATCTTGCGCTTGGTGTATTCGTACAGCCAAAAGTAGACAGCGAAGGACGGCACCTCACGCCACAGCGTGCACGTGAATCCGAGGAAAAGCCCAGGCGTGCCTCTGACCTTGAAAATGTGCCGGATGCAGTCCATCGGTCCTCGGTATTGACTGCTCCTGCGTCCGTCCTGCACCTGAAGTCTGCACTTGATGAGCTCTGCAGGGGCCAGCGGAACCGTTTGCCAGAAGCCTCCGACTGCGCCGGCGTAGAAGACCGACTTGAGCGTCGGGTTCTGCGGGTTGTCGTCGATCATCTTGAGCGTGCGCTCGTACACTGCGAACATAACGGCGTTCGTTGCAGCGCTGCCGATCAACGGGGACGTCATGCCCCTGAAGAAACCCTGAAAGCCTTCATGCTTCCACTGCAGTCAATCCACAACATTCGTATCAGCGCCATTCACAATCTCTCTCTGCCCCAGCCTCCACCACATTTGCAACATTAACATCCACGCACAGTCTGACGGGTGCAGTCGAGAGCGCCATTGTAGTACTTGCTGTACGTCTGCAGCCGCACTTTGACCTGCAGGACGGATGCCACGCGACGTCAATCACCCAGCTCACTCCACAGTTTAAACCATCATAATATGACCACACCGTGTCAAAAGGCTGTCCCACAACGACGCCGGCAATGCCGCCGACCGTGCCGGCCGTTAAGTCAATGAGTACCGAGTACTTCTCCGCGTTCTCGGCCATCGGCACTCGGTGTGTGTGCGGCAAATCAACCGCTAATTGGTGTGTGACGTACCCCATGGCAGCCACATCGGCGATCGCCGGGCATTTTACACCGTGTTTTGCCCAACAAGGCCAAGGCGTAATTACGCTTTTCCGGCCTTTTTTACATTTTGCACACAATATTGTGTAACGTGGGGAGCGGCGCATTGGTTGGCTGGCTGGGGTGCCTTGCCTCCATGAGGGCCGAGTATTCTGGTTTTCCTGCAAACCTCGCCGCTTATTTCCCGTGAAGATCCGCACTCGCCGGCAAGCTTTCTAGACTCTGTCACCATGTTGGTCCCCAAGACGAACCGTATCGCTGTGTACTCGTACCTCTTCAAGGAGGGCGTGATGGTCGCCAAGAAGGACTTCTCGCTGCCCAAGCACGAGGCCGTCGAGGTGCCCAACCTCCAGGTCATCAAGCTCATGCAGTCGCTCAAGTCGCGCGGCTACGTCAAGGAGACCTTCAACTGGCAGTACTTCTACTGGTACCTCACGAACGAGGGCATCGAGTACCTGCGCTCGTACCTGCACCTGCCCGCTGAGATCGTGCCGGCCACGCTCAAGAAGCAGGCCGCCCGCCCCACGCGCCCGCAGGCCCCGTCCGCCGGTGGCTTCGGCCGTGGCCGCTTCGACAAGGAGAAGGGTGTCGGCCCGTCGGGCGACTTCAACCCGGAGTTCCGTCGCGGTGGCCAGGACGGCTACCGTCGCGAGGCTGCCAACTAAGCGGTTGCTAGCTAACTGCGAAGGAAAGCGAGACGGGAGTATTTAATTCAATAAATCTCCTCGACTGACTGTCGGCTTCACAAAGGCGAAACCCTCTCATGGCTTGTTTGATACTGCGTTGGAACTGTTTGTTGGGGAATTTTGTGCAGGTTACGGAAGATGGAGAAGATATTTGCTACTTGTTTGATACTACTTCAATGCTTGGAGTCGGTGGGTGTCGTGTGCTTTTTCAGCATCAGCTGCATGAGTTGAAGCTTTTCGGTGTCGGGCATTGCGCTCTTTACTCGGATCGCCATGATCACGCGTTTGCCAGCGTATCGAAGGTTCTTCTGCAGCGGAGCGTGCTCTTTCGTCGACATTGGAGGCGGCACGTACGGTGCTGCTGGCTTTGGCAATGCTGTCGTTGCCCACTGGCCGGATTCGTCAGTTGAACCTCTTCTCCCTGTTGAATAATCGGTGACGCTGCGGCGAGATCGAAAACTCCGGACGTCTGTGCGCTCAACAGGACAGCTTTCACGTCGTGACTGCAATGCGAGTCCGATGAAGTCGAGTTTCCTAGGCTCGGCGTATACGGGCTCCGTGTAAATTTCAGTGTGGGTTGACAGCCCTGCAGACGTCACACGATTCGATCCCGTGCTCGCGTTCTACGTTTGGGATAAGTCTGAATGAGTTTCACGGCGGCAGCCAAAGGCAATTTCCATGCTGACGTACCGAAGGCGTTGACATGGTCGCTTCAAGTTCCTCGAGAGGCGTCCTGTTCTGCTCGTTTCGGAGATTAGCATCAGCGCCAAGCTTCAGCAGCACCTCCAGAACTTTGATGCTCTTGCCTCGAACTGCAGCAGAAGTATATATGTTGGCAACAAGTGCGACCACATGAACAGTCAACAAAGCCTGAAAACCAAACCTGCTTTGTGCAGTGGCGTGTCCTGGTTCTCGCTTCGAGAGTTGATGTCCACCTTGGCCGTGGTTACCAAGTAGCGCACCACCTCGTCGTGATCCTTTCGGCAAGCGTGATGCAGCGCATTGCGCCCATTGGAGTCTGTCGCGCTTGCCAAACCTCCCGCCATGATGAGTTCTTGGATGCACTCGAGCTCTCCAACATAGGACGCTATTGACAGATCGAAGACTCAAGCTTTAGCCATCTCTCACCAAGAGGCTGAGGCTGAATGACAAAGGTTTGCGTACCCCAGTGCACTGCATTCATACCGAAGCGCTGCGTTGAGTAAGGAGGACACGACCTTAGCAAGGCCTCAATCGGACCTATTCTTTCCAATACAACGTACGTCTTTCGCGTTTGGATTCATTTTCTTTTTGACAATCATCTCTTGCAGCTTCACGAGATCGGAAGTGATGGCATACCGCACGAACTCAGCGACCTTCTCCTGCTCACGGTCCTCCGCGGTCATACCCCGTGCCGCACAGAGCCCCATGGCGTCGACGCAGAAGGTTCTTGTAAACAACAAATGCAGGCCTCCGGAAGAAACTTTAATGAACGACTTGCAATCGCAACGAAACTTTAGGAGCAAGAATTGAGGGTAAGCAGCGAGCACCTTAGTGATCTAACAATAAACCCCAGTAATCAAGTGGATTGCCAGGTGCTTCTCGTGGCAGCATCAACTTCATAATGCCATTTCTCCTATTCCTAGTACGATTGCTCTATTTAAGCTGACCATGTTGCCTACGGCTTTAATGTGCATGCATATGAATTGGTTTGACAAGGATGTCTGCTCCATGGTTGGTCTCCAGCATTATCGTCAAAGAGACTAGCATAAAAGATTGGGAATATGGAGCCATCGATCAGTTGGAGCAAGTTTTCCAGCGAGGTGACCGAGGTCACCAGGCGGTCCAGATGCTCAACAACCGAGACTTCGCTATTCAACTGTTTGCTTCGCTTGTCCCTCACAAAGGTGCCGAGCCTGCGCACGACCCCCGCCACCTTGCGGCAGCAGGAGACGCGCGCGCTCTGCATCGGGGCGAGTTGCTTGACCCTGGGATCTCCACTGTGAAAGAGAGATCTCGCCAGAAGTCCAGTTGGACTGGTAGGATACGATACACACAGACTGCTAAAAGGCGCTCTGCGCTTCGGATGCTTCTTGGGTATGCCCTGCTTCTGGGAAAAACTTGAACTGCTCTGGCCTGAGGATTGTAGAGCGCCACTTCGCCCAAAACCAATGGTTTCTGCGAGCCATTCATTGTCCTTCCAGCCTGATGTTGTGCAAAGGTCGTACGAAGGTTGCGCTTCTGGAATCGTACTTAGAGTAGGAAACAGCACTTTCTGGGACGGAGGTGGCAACAAGACCACACGAGCTTTTTGAAGAGAGCTTCGACAAGACTACATGAAGCTATTAGGGGGAGTCGAACCTTAAAAATGGCGACAAAAATATCATCAGAGACGGGGCCGAATAATCAGCAACGTTCTGCCCCAAAAATCAACAAATCAAAGTAGGGTACTCACTCTCAGTTTTCGCATGTAGTTGGTGAAAACAGCGAAGTATCACTTCCTTTTTCGCCAGCACGCGCAGGCTCTTGCTTAGTGCATATACATCTTGTTATATTCAGCTTTATACCTAGCAATGGCCGACTCCAACGAAACACTGTCCAGCAGCTCACAACGTCTCCATCATCGCGAGTTAACATCTAAAACTTGTTTATAGTGATAGTGAACATGTTTATTTGGAGAGGATTCGTGTGAAAACTTGCCTAAACACATACACAACAATTTCTAGTTGAGGAGGGACTTCAAAAACAGCTGAAATTGTATCAGAGGTCGAGGAGGGAACAGCAAGCGGTACCACTTGAAGTTCGAAATCATCATGATATCAACCACCTCCGGAGGTGGTTGATTTTGAAAATCAACAAGATTTCGCCGAAATAATCAACATCAAATCGCCCTAAAAATCAGCACGTTTTTTGCCAGGTTCGACCCCCCCTACATGTATTGATTTCCATTTTTGAGGCTCGTTAGTACTCAACTATGACTGCAGTTTCTTGTTTGCAGTTTGCTTGTGCTTGCTGACTTTTGCATGGCTAGAACCATTGTGGCTTGGTCCAAACTAGCGATAGTGTGCACCGATCCGATCCTTGCTCGCCCATCAGCCAAAACAACATGTTAATGCGGTAGCACCGTATACAGACGCGATAGATACATTGCTGCCGGAGACTCTTGCATCATGGTACTGTACTTAGTAATGAGCACCAATGTTGTCGGGAACAAAATATCCACGGAGAGCTAGCGGATTTTCCCTCTGGATAAAATACCTCCACTCGAATTAGACTGCAGCAGCAACGATAGGAATGGTAGCCATGAACTTACCTTCCCAAGCTCGGAGAACGCGAAGTACGCCACATATCTGACTGGGACGTCTGATCCCCGGTCAATATCGGCGCCGTTGCTGCCCAGTCGTCGTTGGCACCAAACTTCCCGGTTTGGTGCCGGAAATTATCCTGGCTCGTCAGTTCAAATCGTTGAGGAAGACATGAAATTTGCCGCGCTGAAACGAGATTCGGCGATTTGAGTTCATGGCATGAAACCAAGCGCGTATGTAACCAAGCGCCGCAAGCGATGAATGCAAGTCCACGCAGCATGGGATCATCACAGCCCAGCGCCAGCAGGTTGCGACCAGCTGCACCACTTCGCCATGCTGCGTGGACTTTGTGGCTCTTCCCGGCGTCATGCACCAGATTCATGCCCAGCCCGCGAAGTCAGGTGGTGGACGTTTTTCCAGACCGGTTGGTTGTGCGAAAATGCCAGCAGGCAATTGCACACACACTCGCATGTAAGTGGTGGATAACTGAGGTGGTGCCGCTGAGCATTTTCAGCGAAATTGAGAAGACTAGCCTGCTGGCTTCCGAGGGCGTTCGCCCCTTGCCCTGTCACAAACTTAGCGGTAATAATACCGCGGGTCCCGGGTGCTGCGGGGGCAACATGTGATGCAGGTGTGTCCACTCGCCGAGAGCACTCCACCGGAACGCAGTGAAAAGTTAGCTGTCCGGATACTTTTCTATTTTCCCGCAAATTCGCGGTTTCGCCCAGTTACGCCGAAATATCACCAGGCCCGGCCAGAAGCACGTTAATCTCACCAGCTGTATAGTCGTGCATAAAACGTTGCCGGGTATGGGTCGGTATTTTCGTCGTAAACCCGCGAGCTGTCATTGGCCGAAAATACGCGCTATCCAGGCCGTCTCCTCTCCCCGCGTTGTATGGGCCTGCAGGCTGGCTTAGTATTAGACAGGAGACCTTCGCGCCGAGGCGTAAGTAACGAGCTGCGGCGTGCGCCTCCTTTAGAGCCTTGTCTGGCCGCCGCGACCTAGGAAACATATACCGCCTCCGCCGCGCGCGCGACCCCGCCGACCGCGGCGCAGTTACTCTCCATGACGACCTCCAGCACCGTCTCGGCGGCCAGCTCACGCCAGGCGCCGTCCGAGCCGCTGCTGGTGCGCACCAACACGGAGCGCGACCTGCGCCTGGACGCGCAGCGCCGCCGCTCGGTGCCTAAGATCACGGGGCGCAAGCTCCGCACGCCGCGGAAGTTCGTGGTCACTGATGTGCCCGACGAGGAGCTGGACGTGCTGACGCCCAGCGGCGCCGTGTCCGACGCCTCCGAGCCGCAGCATCAGTCCAACAACAACGACAATAACAACAACAACAACAACAACAACAACGGCAGCAACAACGAAGACCTATCGTCCTCCAGCTCGTCCGTGCGCAAGGGCAAGACGCAGGTCAAAGGCCGCTTCACCATCACCGACCTGTCGCCGGAATCCCCCGAGGCGTCACCCGAGCGCGAAGACCTGTCGGTCTCCATGGGCCCCACGCCCTCGCGGGCTCTTGAGCCCCCGCGGCGCCAGCCCTCGAGGAGATTAGCCACGCGGAAGCCGTTCCAGTCGGCGGGCGACGTCCGCTCATCGGTCGGCCTTACGAAGAAGCGGCTTTCTCAGCAGCAACTGCAGCTCCAGCTGCAGCAGCAGGAAGCGCCCATGTTTGCGTCGTTCCAGCGCCCGGCGGTGTCTTCGCCGTCGTCGCGCTCTATGCGCGCGCCGTCGCCAGCTCGTTCTGTGAGCAACCAGACCAATCACAACAACAACAACCAAACCCAGACGGTGTTCGATCACCACCTGGAGTTCCTGGAGAAGGAAACCCATGAGATGAAGAATGTGCTGGAGAAGATGGTGGCGACAAATGCTCAGTGGATCGAGGCGCTGACGTCCGCCGGACTTGTGCACGCTAACAGCGCTCCTAGATTAGGCGAGGCGTCTCTTTCCGAACCGATGGTCCCTGTGGAGTCCCCTCTGGAGAAGAAGTACCGGGAGATTGAGCAGGCGTACACACAGTTGCAGACGAAGTACGAAGCTGTGTGCCAAAAGAGCGAGCGGATGGAGGTAAAGAATGCAATGCTGGAGATCCGCCTCCAGCAGCAGATCAACCGCTCGACGATGCTGCGATCGCAGCTTGACAAGCTCACGCAGTACACCGAGAATCTGATTGGCGAGTCATCGGAGCCCACTCTGCACGACTATAACTCCGACCTCAACTCTATCTTTGGTGAACAGTCTGAGGCGCACTCGCCAACTGCCGATGAAATGACGAGCGGTGGAGAGTATGGGTTCAGCTATGATGTGGGCAAGTCACGGCGGCAACGTTGGCGCGGCGTGGACGAGGAGTGCATGTCGGACACGAGCACTGAAGGAGAATCCATCCGGAAAACTTCGTCACCTCCGCCTTTCGAACAGGGCGACAACAACCGCTACTTTGGTGACGTTTTAACGACTGCGGATCTCGAATCTGGCAACGACCATGAGAACTCTTCTGCGCTGGACTCGCTGTTGGATGACCAAGTCAACCAACTGCAGCAGTCGTTGCGCTCGAAGAACAGGGCGGACGCCGACGATCGCGTATCCGTGATTGGCTCCATTGATTCTCTTGCTGTGTGCCCGTCGGTCACCAACTTCGGGTCTACTGGCGACGATGAGTATGACGGCAACAACCAGATTGGTCACTCGGGGCCGTTGTCCAAGGGGCTGAAGTCGGACTTGTTGAAGCACAGCAACTCGGTGACTTCACTCAACTACTCAACGGTGTCGTCTACGTCTTCGCTGGCTGGGTACGGACTCCACCTCGCGACGATGGCGCAGTCCAAGTCGGGTTACTTCGCCAGTGTTGCCGCGGCCAGCTTGTTTGGCCCGCACCCTGAGCCGTATCCGAACGCCTCGAACCAGCAGAACGCCGACAAGGACGATGACGACACGGTGTACAACGTGCTTAGCCCGGAGAACCTGCGTTTCCACGACTGCCAGTCTCTGCTTCAAGCGGCCGAGGAGCGCAGTGTGCAGAAGCCGAGACTGGGCTTCCCCTTCACGACCAAGTTGCAGAAGTCTTCTTCTTTGCCGGGGGCGAATGAAGTCCCCAAACGGACTCAATCGACTGGCAGCTTGTTCCAGCGGTTCGCAGTGCGGCGGCGATAACGCGTGATCCCCGTCCACCATTCCTAGCCTCCGCGTTCGATGCCAGACGCCGAGAGCTTGTCTGTTTTCATAGTCCCACAGTACCAGTAGTAAGGTTCGTCGCCAGCACCTCCCACCCAGCCATGACTCATCGGAAACCTCAGGAGCGAGCGACCTCGCTGGCGATATTATGAGGAGGAAGGAAGAAGAAGCGCCAGCTCCACTGCGAGCTCCTGCTCTTCACTTTTCTCCTTTTGTTTTTGTAGCAGTGGTGAAGCGATCGCAACGAAGTATCTAATAAATCCCAACTTCCACCACTTTACATTGTACACTTGCTCTTCAAGCTGAAACGCCTTCGATTAATCTGCCGATCTGTCCATCCTTGTCCATCTCCTGCCTGCAACGAAGGACGCGTCCGTCCATCGTCCTGCTCTTGTCAACTTTGGTCCTTTCATGTGATTGGCTGAAAAGGCACTTTCCTTTTTGAATTCAAATTTGAAATACGCAGCGGCGCCCATGGCGGCCTCGGGGCGATGGCAGCGCGAGTACGAGCGCGACTGGCGCGACTACACGCAGCGTGTGCTGGTCGACTGCTTCGGTAAGTTCGCGGTGCAGTGCGCGCCGTCCGTGACGCAGGAGGACGAGCGCCAGTTGCGCGCAGTGCTGGCGGCGGCGGGCATCAAGCACGTGCCTCCGAACCACAGTCGATGGCAGGCGCCTATTCCGGCGTCACAGCCCCTCTCGGAGCCCCAAGACTCGCTCATATCGAACGGATCCTATGTCTACAGCACCCCACCGCCGCCTGAGAGCCAGAGCATGTTCCCAGCCTTCAGCTCGCAGGATTTCGGGTCCCAGCCGACCTCCGAGCGCCGAGTGAGTGCCTCGCAACGCTTGCAAGCGCTGATGGCTGACGTGTCCCCCATTGCAGACAATAGACGCGCCTCCGTGGAGTGTGTAGGGACGATCTCGCCGCCGTCCGGGGCGGCCAAGTCGCCGTGGACGCCGGGTCAATGGTCTCCAAGACCGGGCGGAAAGAAGCGACGAACGCCGCGTCGGTCGCTGGAGCCGAGCTTTAGAGCTGAAGACCTGGATGTGTCGATGCAGTCGATACATCTGAGTGACGATGAGCGGGCGAGAATGGAGGAGGAGGAAGCGGAGGAGGAAGATACCCAAATGTTGGATGTGTCGGAGGTGCGCGAGGATGAAGAGAAGGCCGCAGCTCCGAAGGAAGGAGAGGTGATAATGGAGGAAGAGCCTGTGCAGAATGAGCCGTGCGGAGAGAAGGCTGCTGAAGAGCATAGGGTGGTTGTGGACCTGGTGGATTGCCACGATGATGCCGAGGATATGAATGTGTCCAAGGAACTGGTGTTCAGCAGTGACAGCGAGGATGAAAAAGACGACGGCAAGGAAGAAAAGAAGGAAGAAGCTGGCGTTGAGAATATGGTCGAAGAAGAAAGAGCGAGCGCTCCTGCTGATGTCGGCAGTGGAGATAAATCGGCTCATCAATCGCTTCCTCCCGAAGATGCAGCTGAGAGACAGCCTTGGTCCTCGGAGCCTGACTACGAGTTCGGCGATGGAAATGACTATCCAGCTTATAGCCAAGTTCACGAGCAGCAAGACGTGGAGATGGACGAGGTTGTACAGCCAACTGCCCCCGAATCCAGCCAAGCGGTCGGACAACCGACCCAAGAAGACGATCGTGATGTGGCACAGCAGCAAGAAGCCCCTGCAACTCCAACTAAAGTAACGACTCTGGCTTCAGCCAACAAGCAAAGCGCAAGAGTTCTGGAGCAGCCTCCGTCAGTAAGGCGATCGACGTTTGCATCCCCCACGGCTTCGTCGGTTAGCCGAACTTCATACGCCACACCTACCGCGTCGTCAGCAAGAAGAATGTCATATGCTACGCCCACAGCCTCCTCGGCAAGGAAACAAGCGCATACTTCTCCTGCGGCTTCTTCCATGAGACGAACAACTTTCGCTTCTCCGACAGCTTCTTCTGCAAGGAAAACATCGCGTACGCCCCCGGCGCCTTCATCGACCAGGCGGGCACCTCGAACTCCGCCAACAGCTTCCACAACATCAAGATCGGCGTTATCACGGAAGCGCGCAAACCGAGGTGCACTGTTGCATACGAAGCTGCCACTGGAGATGGAATACCGGTTTGCCAGCGACAGACGCCGACGTCACAGGCGACGAAAGTCCCTAGCAGCCAAACCGGGTGTATTCCCTTACGTTGTGCCGGAGTTGCTGGTAGAATTGCAGCCTTACCAGAAGGAGGCGCTCCAGTGGATGCTCGAACGAGAGCAGGACCCTGGCGACCCAGTCACTATTGATCAGCAACGTCGTGGTGAGGCTACAGCAGTCGACGCGCTGGTTGCAAAGGTGTGTGGTGGAGTTTTGGCGGATGAGATGGGGCTCGGTAAGACAGTATGCTGTCTTGCACTTATTTGCGAGTCTCTTCGTCAAGCCCGAGAAGCTGAAGCACAAGCAAGAAGTACGACGGGGAGCACGGTGCCGCGTCTTACGCCTCCAACTCTTATCGTGACGCCGCTCTCCATTTTATCGCAGTGGGAACAAGAGATCCGAGCTAAAACGAATCTGAGCGTGGTGACGTATCACGGTGCTACGCGGAAAAGCTTCCGCTCTGCTACTCAATTTATGGGAGCAGACATCGTGCTCTCGACATACGACACTCTTCGGCTTTTGGAGTGCAAGGTTCGAGACAAAGACAGCGACGATGGTGGTGCTGAGGGCGATGATGAGGGCACAAGTACAGCGGATGGGTGGCATCAAGCTCCGCGTTTGACTCCGAGTTCGAAGAAGTCCGTGGTGACGTCAAAGCTCCATCAGCTGCTGTGGTTCCGAGTCATTCTGGATGAAAGCCACCTCATTTCAAATGCTGGATGCGCACGAGCTCGGGCTGCTTTCACCCTTGGCAGCAAGCGTCGATGGTGTGTGACTGGCACTCCTATTCAGAACCGAACAGCTGACCTAGCGGCGTTGCTGCAGTTTGTTGGGCTTGGAAATCGTGCCCATGCGCTTTCTGAACGTGAACTTGGAGCTCTCGTACCTCGTGTTGTGATGCGTCGGCTCAAGTCTACGGTGGATGCAGTTTCTAACGCTCCTATCCTAGAGCTCCCTCCGAAGACAGAAGAGGTGGTCGAGCTGGACTTTGCTTCTGATGTGGAGCGAGCTTTATACATGCTGTTGCATCGTTCGACCAAGCGGCAAGTGCTTCGGTACTTGCAGTCCAAGGAGGCGCGACAGGGGGGTCGTCGAGTTCCTCTCACCACTCCAACCAAAGATGGCGGGGAGCGCCCACTGTTCATGCACGTGTTTGAACTCATCCTTCGACTTCGACAAGTGTGTGATGCCTGTACCCTTGTGACCGCAGACCCGTTGGCTGAAGTGCTGACGAGAGCAGCAAGTGCCGAAGCGCTGGTCGGGAACGCGAGAGACGGCATTTCTCCGTTTTCAGCTGGAGAATCCGAGCTCTTGAAGCGGCTACAGGAGCATCACGCTGATGGAAATACTGTGAGCGGGAGCGGTCCGTTGGAGTCGACGAAGCTGACAGCGCTGATGCACGAGTTGAAGAAGGTGCGTGCACGTCGTGAGCGAGTGCTGGTGATATCCCAGTGGACCAGCTTCCTGGATATGATTGCGGAGCGCCTAGAAGCTCACAATGCGCAGTGCGAGTCGGTATCGTCGTTGGAAGATGCTTCAGCTGTCGGCAACGAAGCTATCGCTTTCGCCAAGTTGGATGGACGATTGCCTGCCAAGGACCGAGAGCAGATCGTGCGGAATTTCCAGCAGCAGGAAGACAGCTACGACATGGGACCAGTGGTTGGTCCTCCGCTGGACGTGTTGCTGCTGTCATTGCGTACTGGTGGCCTCGGGTTGAACCTCACAGCAGCGGCGCACGTCTTCATCATGGAGCCTAGCTGGAATCCCAGCCTTGAGCGGCAGGCTGTGGATCGGGCCCACCGTTTCGGCCAGACGAGGGAGGTGCGCGTCGTTCGCTTCATCGTGAAAGGATCGATCGAGGAGCGAGTCGTGGCGTTGCAGAACAAGAAGTGCCAGCTCACGGCCGCCTTCCTGGGGGATGGAGATGTCCTTTCAACCGCCAAGAAGAGCAGACTACGCGAGACTCGCCTGTCGACGGGAGATCTCAGGAGACTCTTCTTCACGCAGCAGGAGCAAGAACAAGAAGGTATTCGGCAGCGAGATGAAGATGACGGAGATGACACTGCACAGCGCGATGTTCAGCGTGACGATGGTGCAGAGGACAGCGACGGTAGCGTGACATGCATAGAAATCAGTGACTAGGATAGATGGTAGGTGGAGAAGAATCGTCATGAAGGCGAGAAGAAGTATTTAGGAGCGGAAGCAAGAGAGTTTGGTGTTCAGAGTATAAATTAGTTTTTTTTGTTTGGCTTCCGTTAATGCCTTCCTATCTACATTGTGTGGGTGTGTTGATTCCTATTGTGGTTGTCTACATGGTCACCTTGCGGGGACGCTTGTTGGGGAACTCGGTATCGGTCTCGGAGCGCGCGGGTGAGGACGCGGAGCGAGTAACACCGATGGTTGATGAAGTCGAAGCAGTCGTTCGCACGGGGGCAGGGGACGCCTGGGATGGTGACGGAGACAGCGTCTCGGTGCAGATGAGGTATGAGTCGTCCGGGTTGTTGGAGGGGGGCGACGGGGCCTCGTCGTGGATGTCCGAGACTTGTTCGATGGCCGTGGGGCTCTGCGTGAGCGACTTGAGGGGCTCCATGTCAGGGGTGACAGTTGCTGTAGTCTGGGTCCGGGTGGAGACGCTTGGGGTGCCGAAGTACGCGCCACGCACAGTTTTGAAGGCTGCGCGGTAGGCGCGTTCCTCGATCTGGACGGTCTTGAGCGCCTTGAGCAGCTCGGGGACGGTGAGGTTGTACTCGGACTTGGCCACGAGTTGGACAGCGGCCTTGGCCAGACTGGACGCGGAGCACTCGAGCGACGAGATCTCCTCGACCACTCGCTCCAGGAGGTTGAACACGGAGGCGACGCAGTTGGCGCGAACGTCCTTGTCGTCGCCTGCGAAGGGGAGCTCGTTGACGAAGTCCCTCGCCATGGTGAAGACGTTCGGGGGGTTGAAGCGGAAGCATATGAGACGCACGAGCTGCGCCTCGGCGTCGACCATTTGCGAGCGCGAGAACTTGCGCTCGCACATGAGCGCCATCTCCTCGAGCAGGATGGGCTTACCCTCGTGCATCTTGCTGGCCGTCCACATGCAGATCATGCCCAGCAGCTGCAGCGTCACGCGGTCCACCGAGTGCACGCTCAGGTACTGGTCCAGGAAGTGCAGCGCGCCGAAGACCGTGTCCATCTGCAGCTCGAACTCCTTGGCGGTCTCGAACATCCATCGGCACACGCGCAGACGCCAGGTGGCCGTCATACCGTGGCGCTGCACCTCCGAGAGGTAGCGAGGGCTGCGCAGCGCCGGGTAGTGCTTCTCCTTGAGCAGCGCCCACTGGATGATCTCGTGCGCCTCGGTCGCGCACTCGACGGGCAGCTCGTACGGCATGGCGGACACGGACACGACGGCATTGACAGGCATGGTGGGGATGATACAGACAGAGAACACAGAGAGGAATACACACCGCGAGGCTTGTTCAGGCCACGGGAAGACCAGGAATGGCGCCAACGGGGAGGATGGCAAGGCAGCGAGGCCACTCCATCATGCTAAACCGGTATTGTGTCAATACGGGTCAGCCCGGGTGGGTAGGCTGCGTTTGGCGCGATTTTGCGCGAATCAGCGAGGGGGGAGGCGTCGCTTTTCGGCCAGTCGCCGGCGTTCATGCCACGGCCCGCCGCGGCTATGCGCGGGTGGGCCGATGAACCCATTTATAATAGCCCGGCGCAATGCTAATCATCCATCCGACAGGTGGCGCGAAGTGATGCCTTGCTGCGACTCCGCGGGAGGCCGGCAGAGTCTAATAATGCCTTGAGGACCTGCGGCATTTGGCGGGGGCGTCGGCACAGAGGCCGAGGCGCCTCTGATTTTGAGCGCGTCCGGCGGCATGGCGCGCGGCCAGCAGCGGGTTTGATGGCGCGAGACGATCGGCGAGGGCCGGGGGTTGTGGACCAGCCTCGGTGCCACTTTTGTTCCTCGCTGGCGAGCAGCAGCTGCAGTTGAGCTCCCCAACGGGCGCCGCCACGTAGTACAGTATTGGCGAGCGAGGGCTGAGGATCGCCGTTTAACAGGCTCGGTCACTACGCTGGCAATGCCTCCCCAAGCACGCCGCGAGGGCCTGCTTCCCCTGCATGAATAGCGGCGGGCGTCCTCAATGCGTTCGTTACCCCGGGCCGGGCGGGTGGGGTTCCCGTTACAATTTTCGACACCGATTTGCCTGCAGGTACGTCCGGATCGACAATGCATGTCCCCCAGCAAGCAAGATATCAGGGCCAAGCGTCCAGCGCGGGCTCGGCCTAGCCTGCTGCCCGGGCCTCGCTGCTGGCCCGCAGGTCGAGCATGCATCGACTCGATGCCATCGTGGACGCTCGCTGGGCCATCGAGCAGGCTGCTCGGCGCAGCAGCAGGCAGCAAAGCCTTGCCCCGCAAGAAAAAGCGCTGGTTGCATGACCGCTTGCTCGCCCACCCCTCCTTGCAGGGAAGTGACAGGCAGCGGCACCGGTAAACCGCCAGCTCGAGCGGTATCAGTGCGTTGCCACGTGCGAGGCTCTGCAGAGCCTGCTGTACTGTAGCCAGCGGCCAGGTCGTATGCAAGCCAGGCTGGTGCTTCGCTGTACTCACGAGGCCAGCGGATACCGATGCGCCGGATCCGCCGGCACGAAGGAGCTCCTCGATGATGCGATGCCGCTGGATATCCTAGCCAGGGCGTCGACCGGTTCGGCGACTCCTGCGACGCTCTCACTCGGCGTCTGCAGGACATGCTTGCAGCAACTCCCGCGCACTTGATCTTGTCGAGTCTCCGTTGCGGCGGTGGCGGCGCTGCGAGTGCAGTGGGGCCCGGTGCAGGAACGTTTCGCGGCGTGTCCCGGCGACCCGCGGGCGGAAGCGGTAGTGCTAGGGCCATAGTGGCAGGGCCATATCCAGCGGTGACGAAATTGATGCACTGCAGCGTGCCTCCGCAGCCGGAGCGCAGCTCAGTAGCGCCGTCCTTGGGGCGACGTCCTTGGGTCGAGCATGCAGCGCTGCTTGGAGGCACACCGAGTTGAAGCTGCAAAAACTTGGTGTGACACACACATTGAACTACAGACGTGCTTCTCGTTTGAGGCAGGGTGGACCATATCAAAAAGGGTCTTTTATCAATCGTCACGGGCCTCTTGTCAGCCAAAATCCCAAAGTATCCTATCGGATAGCCAAGGCAATTCGTTCATGCGAGTCTTGAAACGACTGTACATCCGTGTGGTGCGACAATTCAACGCTGCTCGCCTTGTTTATGACGCCGAGGTGCAACATTCATCAGACGATTGAGCAACGCAGCTCGACGCCGCGCGCTCGCTGGCAGCGAGTCGCTGCAAGAGGGAGCGCTGAGGCAGGGAAGGCCGCGCCACGCAGGCCAAGAGGGTCTGCTAGCAACGTCGAGACTCTGCGGCAAACGTTGGCGGTGATGTATCATCGTTAGCTGCTCCAGCAGCTTCATCGCTGGACACCATCCCAAGAGTCGTTCGGAGCCGAAACCGACTTCTTCTCGGCAGAAGGGGCAAGCTGCGTTTTGGTCTCATTTGCGTTGCAATTTACCCGGGAATGCCTTGAATCGGAGAGCTCAGCATTTGCCGGCACGACAGCTCTGGGCGCGGTATTATCGTTGAGGACTCCTCAGAGGCGCGCTCAGAACTGTGCCAGGCTCGCCGCCATCTGAGAGAACACGGGCGCTCTTTCTGCCATATTTGCCATGCGAACGGAGCGGCAGCTGGTCGTCACCGGAGCGGATTACCCGACGGCGTCGTGATAGCCCTCGCTCTTCTCGCTCATGCGCGGATTCCTCCCCCGTGCGAAAACGCCGCCAACTGCTTACAGTTAGCAACGCTCCGCTTGATCTGCGGCGAAGTGCAAGGAGCAAAGCCTGTCAAAACCTCCAGTAAATTCTGGTGAATGCAAGGCAGCCCACCTTCCTGTCCCTGATTAGGGGTGATGAACAGGCGGCGCCCTGATTTATAAACACAAATTTTGCAAAATCAACTAAACTCCCTTATTTATCCTTCCAAGCTTTAAATCCGAGTGGACAAAGCCGATCCTGCACCTGTCTAAACGGATCGAGCTGGCTATTTCCTGCGTCCGCCCCGCTTTTGTAGAGTTGCCATTCCGCAATTTGAACCGCAGCAGACAAGCAAGCACTGTTCCGCCCCCACCGCGCTTGAAGCTCCGCCTCCTTTGAGCCTTCCGCCCCAGACTCCGCGCCGCACAAGAGAGACCCCCAGCCTCTCTCTTTTGCCTCTCTCTGTCTTCCGTTTCTTCTTGGCCTTGCGCGCAGTGACCCCCACCGCGAGCAGCGCCTTCAGCCCCCTCCCGCGTCCCACAGCCGACCTTCATCGTCTCCAACGCAGCTAAGAAGAAACCCAAGCGCAGAGAGAAAGCATGGGCGCTGTTGAATGGTTTCGCGGGAGCTCGGACAGGGCGGACGACGCGCTGGCGCCTGAGCAAGATGGTCGCAAGAGGATCAAGAGCCGCTTCAGCCGCCTGCGGCTGCACGGCTCGGCCATGCTGAACGCCAAGGGCCTGCTGCAGCAGACGGTGGTGACCAAGCTCGTGCAGTTCCGCCTGGCGCCGCTGCGCTGCACCTCGCCCTTCAAGCGCGACAGCGAGTGCCCAATCATTCTGTTCGGAGAGAAGGGTGAATGTGCCGAGCCGGAGACCGAGCTGCCTGCTGGACTGGACGCCAAGTGGCTCACGACGGAGGCGGCCGAGCGCTTCGCCGAGCAGGTCAAGTGCATGGTCGCGGACACCGGCAGCTCGTTCCAGATGACGAGCGAGGGCTGCGGCGGTGCGTACTTTTTGTCGGTGGAATCGATGGACAATTCTTCTACCAAGAAGATGAACCCTCTGGGAATTTTCAAGCCACGCGACGAGGAGTACATGGCCCCGAAGAACCCGAGGGGGTACGTGAAGGAAAACGCGGTGGTGGGCGTGACGGAGCACCCGGTGAACAAGGGCTTCCGAGTCGGCAACGGAGCTCTCCGTGAACGCGCCGCCTATTTGCTGGACAACGCCTACGGCAGCTTTAGTGGTGTGCCTGTGACGAACTTGATGGTTTTGAGTGTGAATGGAGAGGAGAAGGAGGGCTCGATGCAGCGCTTCGTGGCCTCGCAGTGCTCGGCGGAGGACATGGGCACGCTGAAGTTCGCGATCCCCGAGGTGCACAAGATCGGCATCCTGGATGTGCGTCTATTTAACACGGACCGCCACGCCGGCAACATCTTGTTGAGTGCGCGGCCGAACGACCAGACCTTCGGCATGACGCCGATCGACCACGGCTTCTGCCTGCCGTCCTACAAGCAGCTCGACGGTGCGACGTTCGACTGGCTGCAGTGGCCCCAGGCTGAATTCCCGTTTACGTGTGCTGAGCTCGACCACATTGCGTCGCTGGACGAGGCGCGAGATGCGGCCGTGCTGCGTGCCGTTGGGATCGAGGAGGAGTGTGTGACGACGATGCGTGTGTGTACGGCGGTGCTCAAGCGTGGAGCGGAGGCCGGGTTCTCGCTGTTCGAGATCGGCAGTCTGCTACAGCGCGACGGTGACTTCACGTCGCCCTCGCAGCTGGAACTGGTTGTCGCCAAGGCGGCCAAGGTCGTGGAGGAGGACATGAACATGTCGGAGGAAAAGGACGGAGTGGCCTTCTTCGACGCCATCGTGGCCGAATCTGCTCGCCAGGCCGAGAGCATGTTCGAGGGCCAGACCAAGAAGAAGGTGCGAAGCATCAGCTGCTTCAGCTAAGCGGTGCGCCGCGGAGCTCAAGAGCTCGGGCGCGGTGAGTTGAGTGAGTGTTTTGATGGAAGAAACATGACAAGAAAACAATAAACAAGAGAGGAGAGAGGAAGGAAACCGCGAGCGCTGCAAGACAGCGCGTGAGACGCGAAGGCATGATGCACCAAGCTGTGGGCGTGGTGCCTTCCTGTGTGTGAACTAGTGTAAGAATTAAGAGATCGCCGCAAGGACACGAGCGAGTGTCCGTGGACAAAGCAGAAGAGGTAGAAGGACAACAAGTACGGGTGCCGCGCCTACGTAGGCGTGGCCATTGTAACCCCCCAAGAAAAAGTTATCGAGCGTCCTTGAACTTACTGCTTCAAAAGCACTTCAAGCGTAGATACAGTGGACTGACTCGATTCGCACCAAGCAGAACTTCTGCCAGAATAGCCAGAATAGCCGACACCGGGAAAATTTACAGTACAGTGTATGATAGTGATACATACATCACCGCCAACGTTTGCCGCAGAGTCTCGACGTTGCTAGCAGACCCTCTTGGCCTGCGTGGCGCGGCCTTCCCTGCCTCAGCGCTCCCTCTTGCAGCGACTCGCTGCCAGCGAGCGCGCGGCGTCGAGCTGCGTTGCTCAATCGTCTGATGAATGTTGCACCTCGGCGTCATAAACAAGGCGAGCAGCGTTGAATTGTCGCACCACACGGATGTACAGTCGTTTCAAGACTCGCATGAACGAATTGCCTTGGCTATCCGATAGGATACTTTGGGATTTTGGCTGACAAGAGGCCCGTGACGATTGATAAAAGACCCTTTTTGATATGGTCCACCCTGCCTCAAACGAGAAGCACGTCTGTAGTTCAATGTGTGTGTCACACCAAGTTTTTGCAGCTTCAACTCGGTGTGCCTCCAAGCATGCTCGACCCAAGGACGTCGCCCCAAGGACGGCGCTACTGAGCTGCGCTCGGCTGCGGAGGCACGCTGCAGTGCATCAATTTCGTCACCGCTGGATATGGCCCTGCCACTATGGCCCTAGCACTACCGCTTCCGCCCGCGGGTCGCCGGGACACGCCGCGAAACGTTCCTGCACCGGGCCCCACTGCACTCGCAGCGCCGCCACCGCCGCAACGGAGACTCGACAAGATCAAGTGCGCGGGAGTTGCTGCAAGCATGTCCTGCAGACGCCGAGTGAGAGCGTCGCAGGAGTCGCCGAACCGGTCGACGCCCTGGCTAGGATATCCAGCGGCATCGCATCATCGAGGAGCTCCTTCGTGCCGGCGGATCCGGCGCATCGGTATCCGCTGGCCTCGTGAGTACAGCGAAGCACCAGCCTGGCTTGCATACGACCTGGCCGCTGGCTACAGGACAGCAGGCTCTGCAGAGCCCTGCACGTGGCCCACACAGTGGCTCACCGTGAGCCCAAGTCACAACGTTGCGGTGGTGGTCACTCACTACCAGTGCAGGAATAGCGCGGAGTGGCGTGATGATGGCCACCGCTACGCTATTCTTGCTCGATGCACTTGCATCCCACAGCCAGCTTATGATAGCTCCACTCAGCATACACAGCGCCAGCAAAAATAGCGAGCGGCGTGCAGCGCCCAGGATAGCACTGGCGGAGTGTGCGGCATGCTCTGCGATGTTGGGAGGAGCTCGCATTGCCGAAACCAGCTAGCAGCGCTCAGGACTCAACTCCAGCGGCAACTGCGAGCCTTGAGGTCGCAATGGGCTCTTCGGACGACAGGGCTAGCATCATCAAGGGCGATGCACTCAAGGTGCTGCCCGACCTCGATCTCGACGAAGGCGACAGCAACGCCGACGAGTCCAAGGTGCCGCTAACCAGGGCCAATATCTACGCCGACAGCCCGCGCGAAGTCCAATTGAGCGATGGCATCAGCGAGCAGGAGATCCTGCTCCGTAAGCGCGTCGGAATCACCTTTGTGATGGGACTTATCCTCGCCAGCGCCATCTGCGTCATGCTCTTGGGCGTCCTAGGACACGAAGAGAACTACGGGTAAGTCCACGCGGCATGAACCGTTGCAAGCAAGATACTCACCGCTTCATCGTTTCATTCATTGTGCAGCTCAACGCCGGCTATCCAACATCACTTCATCGCTGCAACTTCAGCCGACGGATTCCTGAAGAACCTCGAGTTCTACACCGACGTACGTTCTCAATCGCCCGGGTTCGGTATGGTGTTCATTCATGATGACTAACTCCACATCTCCTCTCACACGGGCAGGTCACCCGACACACCGGTAGCAGCGGCGACTATGAGATGGCGCAGTTCATCCGCTCAAGTGCCATCGACTTCGGCTTTGAAGAGGATTCGGTCAAGCTTGACGAGTTTGAAATGTTCGTCAACGCGCCGGAGACGCTCACGGTCGAGATCCTCAAGAAGTCGAACAACAAGTCGCTGGCCTCGTACGACTTCATCGCCGAGCACGCTGCTCGTCAGGCCAAACGCCAGGCGAAGGGCAAGAACATCAACAAACCGCACGCGGCCTTCCACTTGTACTCCAAGAACGGCACCGCGACAGGAGGTGTCGTGTACGCGCACTTCGGCTCCTCCGAGGACTACCAAGCTCTGGCACAGAACAACGTTTCTGTGGCTGGCAAGATCGTGCTGGTTCGCATGGGCGGCGACGTCTCTCTTCCTGCCAAAGTCGTCTTGGCCTCCAAGTTCGGTGCAGTCGGCGTGCTCACTTACACGTACGTTACTTGACTTGGCCTTGGTCCTCTGCTGTCTCTGACATCGTGTTCTCTCTTGAACAGTGATCCTGCCGACGACGGCTCTGCTCGAGGCCCCATAGCGCCCGATGGTCCGTGGCGTCCAAGCACCACGACAACCTTCGGCAGCGTCTACATGGGGGACGGTGATCCGACCATGCCCGAAGGGTTCTCTGCTACTCGCCCCATGGGCACCAACGCCGACCGCATCTCGGTTGAGGACGTCTACTCCGTCAACAACACCTTCAACATTCTCCCGCCCATTGTCAGCATGCCGATCAGCGCCGCTGTAGCTCAAGACTTGCTCACCAAGATGGAAGCCGCTGCTAACAAGGTGTCAGGCATCAAGACTGTGAAAGCCGCGGACGTCTTCGGGTCGCGTTGGGAGGGTGGCGCTCTGGGCGTTCAGTACTCGCTTGTCGTGGAGAATGACAGCTCGTCCTCGGCAGCAATGGGGACCGTCATCAGAATGACCAACCGTAACGTGTACTCGCTCACCACGACGTGGAATGTCATGATCACGCTGCATGGATCTCGCGAACCGGATCGCCATGTGCTTGTTGGTGCCCCTCGTGACTCTCTCAACGCTGGTGCTGTCAGCCCAGGATCTGGCAACGCCGTCTTTCTGGAGGTCGTACGAGCGCTGGGAACACTACTGCAGAATGGATGGACGCCGCACCGCTCGCTGGTTCTCGCTTCGTTTGGCGGCGAACAATTCGGCTCGGTCGGTAGCTCGCACTGGATCGACCGATACCCTGGCTTCGGCAGTGGAAACGCTGGACGCGGTGTTGTGTATCTGCACTTGGACGATGTGGTGCGTGGTGCCGGTGCGCTTCGTTGCAAGGCGTCGGCTACGATCCGCAAGAACATCTACCTCATGACGGCTGCCGTCGCCCAGCCGAAGAAGCAAAACTTCCCTGACGTTGACAGCTTCTTCTTCACCAACGCATCGAGCACTAACGCTGTAGCCGCCGGAAGCTCCAGCAGAGATGAGGACGACCTCGACATGCTGCCGATCAACGCGACCTTCACAAATGACGAGCTCCCGGAGGGCAGCGGCAACTCCGTGTTCGCGTACTGGCTCGACGACGCCAACAAGAAGAACCCCGGCGGCGTCGAGTTGGAGCTCCCACCCATGGACCGCTATCTTGGCGGACGTATTCCACCATTCATGGGTCGACTGGGCATCCCGTCTCTTGAGCTTGGCTTTGACGGAGGATACTTCGGCGTAGGACAGACCAGTGCCGATATTCCCGCGTGGATCTCGCACTTTGCTGATCCTCAGTTCGCGTTCCACCGTGCCGCTGCAGAGCTGTACGGAAGTATCCTTCTGTCCTTCACCGACGCGCAGTTTCTGCAGTACGACTTCACCGAGCTGTCACGCGAACTTCGTCGTGGTGAAGCATTCCTGGAAGACGCTCTTGCTCGCGAGGGCCTGGCCGAGACGGTGTCACTTGCTCGCCTGCACAACGCCACCACCGCATTCGAAGCTGCTGCCATCAGCGTCAGCCACGAGATGAACGTCATCTCCAACGAAGAGCTCGACTTCAGCCGAGTCAGGGAAGTCAACAACCGCCTGCTTCGCGCTCAGCGTGCTTTCCTGCTGCCGTCGGGCCTCACGTACATCCCTTGGGTCAAGAACGTAAGTCTTTCATGCTTCTGGGCTCGAATACTCCACGATCTGTTTTCTAACTTACCGTGCTCTCGTCTTGCAGGTTCTGTACGGCATTTCCGAGTGGGATGACTACCGCGTGGGCCTGTTCCCGGGCGTCACCAACGAACTCAAGCGTGGCAACGCCATGACTGTGCGTCGGGAGCTTGTGAGACTCTGCCTCACGATTGAAGCTGCCACCGACATCCTCTTGGACGCTCCCGATGAGGAGTAACCACCTTGCATACTTGATCTAAACCCACACAAATGCATCCGTCATATTAGGATGGCACCACGACACGCAATGACTTACCTTGTACGGCACTTGTTGCTCACAAACCCTTGTGATCCTTCTGCCCCGATAAGCACACATGGATTGACCCCCGCCTCAACGGCTCGTTAAACTGCAGCGCGATCGGGTGAAATACCAACTTTTTATATTGTCTACATGGATCTCCATGCACCAAGCCGGCTGCGAGGCATGCACGAGTTCGAGCTACCTGCGCCAGCGTCGATATAGAACTCGAGTTGAGCTTAGTACTTGCTCGAGCGGTCGAGGATCGTGAACTTCATCGCGATCAGGGTCTTCAGCGTCTCTTTAGCGATATTGATGTCATACTCCTTCTCGTCGTCCGTGAGGAACACATAGGGCACAAGGCACGGGTGCTTCTTAGAGCTGTCATCACGCAGCGGTCCATAGGTCCAACCCTCGTCCATGCGTCCCTTTGCCCAGACTTCGTGGGCGTTTTCGGCCAGCAGATCCACAAGCCGCAGTAGTCTCGGAGGCAGCTCTACTGTCGTTGTGTCGATAGGCAGAGGCCGGTACACCTCGACGTTACCCTCGCCATACGTCGTGAAGTACGGGGAATCGCCCATGAGACTGTTGCGACGGAAGCTCATCGCTTCGCGCAGCAGCGATGGCACAGGCTTCGCGGGTGCTCCAGGGTGTGAGGCAGTACCCAACTCTTCGAAGACGGCGGCGTCGTTGGCGCGGGGGCTAGTGGACTCGGAGCTGCCACTGATGAGCGAACTGTTGCTTCCGCCAATGCCATCAGCGATGTCGGACATCATCGAGGCTGACCGCGAGACGGGATCATGGAACGAGCCGCTGTGTGAGCGCTGGTGGTTCGCACGCGTGATCGTATAGTTCATAAAGACGATCGTTTTGATGGTCTCAATAGACGAGCGGTAGTCGAAGGCCTGCTCTTCCACGGAGAGAAGCTTATAAGGCACCAGGTTCGGGTGCAGCTTCTTCTTGTCATCCCGCTCCTTGCCATACTGCCATCCTTGCTTGAGACGCTCGAGAGCCCACATGTCGTGACAGTTGCGCGCCAGCACATCACCAAGGTGTTCAAGATGACCCAGCTCCACCTTGGACGTGTCCACTGGCTTCGGACGGTAGTTGTGGCCCTCCTTCTCACGCGAAGGCATGTCAATCAGACACTTGCGGAAGCGGTACATCACTTGAAGAGCTTCACGACGCACTTCCGCTTGTGAGCACATTGCCTTCCGCTTGTCCTTGCGCAGGAAGAGGTCCAGCATACGCGAGATCTCGTCAAAGCGCAGGCTCGTGCGTCCATCCGCGCGAACGCTATCAAAGAGCAGGCCGAGGTGATAGTCATCCACCATGTGGTCCTTCGAGTAGTTCCACAGCTTCGTCGCACGCAGTAGGCCCATCTTGAGCTCCTGTAGCATGGTGCGGCACAAGTGTACCGCAAGTCGCCTTCTTGGGATCCGCAGCTTCTCACCGCCCATCAGCTCCAGCACGCGTTCTCGAGGTGTACCGTCATCCAGGTCCGAGTCTTCTCCGAACGAGCCCAACGATGAAATCGTGCGAGGTGGAGCAAAAGCGTTCGGCGACTTTCCGGGGGCATTTGCTCCAGCAGCAGCGCTCTCAGCTTCATTGGGGCCAAGAACAACACACTCCACTGACAACTTGCTGTGGTGAACAACCTTAAGCGCGAGACCGTCGCCAAGGATCGAGTCGCCCTGCAAGCGGATTGTGATACCGATGGGGATCATCTCCTTGATAGTCTTGTGGTCAAAGTTCTCAGACAACCGGATGTGTGACACCAGCTCCCGGCCTTCCTTGCCATTGTTGGAACCTCCACCATTACCGCTGTGCGCTGAACTGCCGTCGTGAGTCTTGCGGTCGCCAAAGTTGATACGCCGGTCAAACTTCATGCCAAATCGCAACAGGGCGACAACTCGCCACACAGCACCACGGAACAGCTTCCGTACACGCTGTCGAGTCTCCTCCTGGTCTACGAGGTTCGTAGAGATAAGCCGCACTTGCTGCCACGGAATGAGACGGATAACACCGTGGTCCTTGGGCACAACGACTGTCGGTGAACATGCGCTTACGAAACTGCGAATGCGCGCCAGGACATCGTACTCGACGTCATCACCGCTGGCTGTCTCGTCATTCTTCGCGACTTCGTAGTACTCGGACAAAATCGCAACGAACATATTGACCAGAATCTGGAAAACCAGCACCACAAACGTGCCGATAAACAGCGGAGCGACGCGCGGGTTTGCCTGCCGCAGACGCGCATAGTCCATCTCTCCGGCGAGCATCTGGAAGCACGTGCCGTACGACTTGCTAATGGTCGAGTACTCCTCAAGAGCGAACCCGAAGGCATAGCTGCCCATGGCCGAGTACCCCAGGAAAATAAGGTTGAAGATAACCAGGAAACCCATGAGATCGCTCATAGCCATACCCAGCACTCGCCACAGCAGGTTCAGGGTCGCGTTCATGCGCAAGAACTTGAACACCTTGAGCAAGCTGATAGCAGACGCGAGTGAGGCAAGGTCCGATAGCTGCTGGAAACCCGTCAGTAACTCCTGAGAGCTAGTGTGGCTGAGCTCCTCCACACCACGTCCCTCGCGCAACTCCGCCAAGTGCAGACCGAAGCTGCTGGACACCACGTAGAAGTGCACCATGTAGCTCAATATCGCCGCCAGTACAACCAAGTGGGTGAGCTCGAACAGGTTCCACATGTCCGATCCAAGGTACGTGGCCACGCCCATAGTACTCATCTCAGTCGCTTCACCGATGCAGTATGTGATGAAGAACAGGACCAGCGCAACCCACAGCAGTACACGCACATCAAAGGCCTCGCGCACCAACGACAACGAGTCCCCAACGGCACTAAAAACCCTGCTGTGCAGTCTGGGCTCCGGGGGAACTGCCTTGTTGTCGTCCTCTTCACCGATCGCAAACTGCTCAGGCTTCTCATGGCCGATCACACGGACGTGCGAACTGTGAGCGAAATGATCCAGATGGCCCGACGGATCCACTTTGAAGACGTGCATTCCAATGGTGAACACGCGGGTGATCGGGTTCAGCAGGATAAACTTGAAAGCCGCAGCACGAGTGTGCTCGGAGAGATAGTTGTCACGCTGGAGCTCGCTCACATCCTCCAAATCGCACAGATCCACGGCGTAGCCTCCTGAGCCGTAGGACTTGATGGGAGCGAAGAACAACCATTCCACCACGGATCGATAAATCTCTGGCGACAGCTCGCCCAGGCCATCCCTCCACTCGTACACGCGTCCAGTGTCGTTTTCACCAATCAAAGGGGTCTTCTGCTCGACCTCAGGGCTATAGTACGGGTAGCACGGCGCCTCCCATCCGTCATAAACCCGGCACCGCTGCTCCTTCACGCGCACTTGACGGAACCCCACTCCGCCCACGCGAACCCATTGGGCAGTAACGTCTTCTCGGTCGCACACCGTTTCTCGCAGCTTGCCAGCGAACTCGTAGATGTCTGCGAAGGTCTTGATCTCACACTTGCCCTCCTCCCGACAAGTGAGCGCTCCCACCACATCATTCTGATGGAAACTCTCCTCCACCGGCAGCCAGGACAGCAGCGAAAACAGCACCAAGAGGAACACAAAGTACACGACGAGTTCCTGGTAGAACTGCCGGCGCTTGATCTCCTTGTACTCGGACGCGACGCTCACCAGGTCCAGCTTCTTCTTCTCCATGTGGATACCGCGGTAGATGTACATGGTCTCGGTCGAGTCCTTCGTCCACATGGACAGGAATCCCCTGGCCGCGCGCCTCGACGTCACCACTTGCTGAGCGACGCCCGCGAACGACGAGTTGCTGCGATCCAGCGTCGGCCTCTTGTCTGCGTCGGCGTCAGCGTCTCCAGCACTGCCACCTGCTCCACTGCTGAGCGATGCCAGACTCCTGGAGCTGCGCAGATGCGAGCGCACGAGCGACGCCATGTTGCGCAGACTCGGCTGCTTCTTGGTGCGTCTCGGGGCCAGCCCCGCTGTACTGCGGGGCGGCGCAGTGACCACGTCATCAGCCTCTTCATCAGACAGCGAGCTGGTGCGCAGCGTCACCCTGTTCCTGCGTCTGAGGGTGCCCACGACGATGCCCATGTTGGCGCTGGCGGGGCGAGGGGCTCCAGACTCACGTCGGACGCCGCTGGAGCTCGTGTTGCTGCCGCTCCCGCTGCCACTGCGCAGTCTCCTGGGCGGAGCGCGGATCTTGGGCTTCGGCTTCGGCTTGAGCGGCGCTGGGGCCTTGTCCGCGTCCTCTACGGTTGCTGGAAGGGTGCCATTAGAGCTGGGGGCTCCATTGCTGAGCTTCTCGGCGCCTTCCTGGGCTGGGGGCGGCGCGGTTGGAGCTGCGGCTGCTTCGGAGGTGGCGGGAGGTGGAGAAGGGTCTGGAGACGCTGCAGAGGGCGCCGCATCTGCGGGCGGGGCCGCGCCGTCGACGTCCATTGAGAGCGTCTGGGGTCTCCCTGATCCGCGAGTGCGCAAGTGCGGATGAACAGCCATTTTTTTCAAGGGTGCAAGCTACAGAATGAACCTACATCATAATCCCATTGGTGGATGGAGTGTGCTAATCAGCAACATAATGTGAGGCTAAGTTGCGAATCGCAACATAACAATTCTGATCCCTGCACACGTCACAGATGCAGATAATTGCCCTTGCCCCCATGGAGGACGATTCCAGCTGGTGTTTGTTGCTGCGCTCATGAGAGGACGAAGATTCATGCCATTGGAGCGCAGTGAATCTGTCTTGAGGCTCATGCCCACACACGGTCTAGATCATTCAGCATTATTCCATCTCATTGACAAGCAACAAGCATGAAGCCACTTCAGTTGGTGGTGCCTGATCCGGTGTCGTTAGCCTCATACGGCTCGACGATTCGCCCGCGCGCGAACTCAGCCCACACACGCGCCACCGACACGAGCCGGAGAAGCTCCGACGCCCCACTCCTTGAAGCGAAGCCAGCGGCGACACCACCGGCACGCTCCGTGCGCAACAAGATGGCGATCGCAGGCGCGTCCGTGCTGCTGTTCGCCTCCGTCTTCGTGCTGGCCAACGTGGTCAACACGGCGCGCGTCCCTGTGTACGACGAGTCGATCACCAGCATGTCGGAGATGCTCGTGGCCCCCACCGCGGGGTCTGCGTCGCCGTCCCAGATCCACGTTGCGTTCGGCGGTGAAGTCGCAGTGAAGAGCTACTCGGCCATCCGGACGTCAACCACTACAGCGGCGGAGATCCGACTGGGCATGACCATCTCCTGGGCCACGGACGTGAAGACGGCGACGTCCTCGGTGCGCTACGGACTGTCCGAGGACAGCGTGTCGACTGTGCAGCAGGCCGAGGAGCCGTGCGAGCAGTACGACTTCTGCAAATACACGTCCCCGTGGCTCCACCACGTGACGATCCCTGGCGACAAGCTGACCCCAGACACGACGTATTACTGTGAGTAGTGTGATGTCGGGGAGTCTTGGGTTTTCAGATCAAGGATTGACGATTGCTTTTGTTCATATGCAGACCAATGCGGTGACGACGCGGGCGGCTGGAGTGCAGTGTACTCGTTCAAGACTGCCATTCCCGTCGGCAGTGAGGCACCGCAGACTTTTGGCGTCATTGGAGACCTCGGGTAGGCACCGCTGCAGTGACGGATTGTAGTCGAATGCTGTTCTTCTGACGTTTGTTTCCTCCTTTGCAGCCAAACAGAGTATTCAGAGCAGACTATCCGCCACCTCGATGCTGTCAAGTCCAAGATGAGTATGATCGTGTGCGCTGGAGATCTCTCGTACGCCGACAGCGAGCAGTACCGCTGGGATCGGTGGGGCAAGCTGGTTGAGCCGCTGATCGCCCGGATGCCGTGGATGATTTCGTCGGGCAACCATGAAGTGGAGCGCCCCTGCCAACCTGAAGTCAGCAAGTTCGTTGCGTACCAGACGCGCTTCCGCATGCCCTACGAGCGCGAGAACAAACTCCAGCGTCGCAACCTGTACTACGGCTTCCGCGTGGGCCTTGTGCACTTCATCATTCTGACCCCGTACGTCGAGTCGACGCCCGATTCACTGCAGTACGAGTGGCTGAAGCAAGAGTTCAAGCGCGTCGACCGCAGTGCCACCCCGTGGCTGGTTGTGATCATGCACGGGCCGTGGTACAACAGCAACACGGCGCACCAGGGCATGGAGCCGCACATGATCATGAAGAAGCACATGGAGGACATCCTCTACGAGAATAAGGTGGATGTCGTGGTTGCAGGCCACGTCCACGCCTACGAGCGCAGCCACCCAGTCTACAAGGAGAAGGTCGTGGAAGACGGCCCGGTGTACGTCGTGCTGGGCGACGCCGGCAACCGCGAAGGCCTGGCGCCGACCTACTTCGACCCGCAGCCGGAGTGGTCAGCGTTCCGCCAGGCTGACTACGGTTTCTCGCTGCTGAACGTGGCGAACCGCACGCACGCGAGCATGCAGTGGTTCGAGGATCGGCCGACAGGCGACGCCATCCTGCGCGACACGGTCACTCTGACCACGTCCAAGTTCCGGTCGTCGGGCTAAGCACGCACCCCGCCAAGTGGAAGAAGTGGAAGAAGAAAGTAAGTCAAAAGATTAAGTGTCCTCGCAGCCTCGTACTGCGAGAAGTTTTTAATAAATGGAGGCGCCGTCGTGCAAAATACATGAACCAAAGTTGCAGTGCACTTCAACGTGTAGCGCGATTACCTAATCATGATTTCATCCAATCGCGTGGCACCTGTCGAACTGCCTTCTCGAACCTGCGATCTCTCATGCCTTCAAGCCGCCGAAGACAAAGGCCCCCACTATCGATCGAGAGAGACCTCGACGCCGAGACTATAGGGAGTACCGTACCAAGCATGACGGCCAAGGTGAGCGTCAAGTGGGGCAAGCAGGTGTTCCCGGACGTGGCGGTGGACAAGGCGGCGCCCGTGGCCGTGTTCAAGGCGCAGCTCTACGCGCTCACGAACGTGCCCGTGGAGCGCCAGAAGCTCATGTCCAAGGCCTGGAAGGGCATGCTCAAGGACGACGTGGACCTCGCCACGCTCGACAAGCTCGTGGACGGCACGGGCGTCATGCTCATGGGCTCGGCCGAGGTCGTGCAGAAGCCCAAGGAGCCCATCGTCTTCATCGAGGACATGACCACCAAGGACATCGCCGCCACGGGCACAGTGTACCCCGCCGGCCTCGTGAACCTGGGCAACACGTGCTACATGAACGCCACGCTGCAGTGCCTGCGCCCCGTGAAGGAGCTGCGCGAGGCGCTGAAGGCGCAGGCGGGAGGCGTCTCGGCCGACCTGGCCAACAACTTCACCACGGCGCTCAAGGACATGTACGGCCAGCTGGACGGCAGCGTGGACAGCATCACCCCCGCCATGTTCGTGACCGTGCTGCGCCGCGCGTACCCGCAGTTCGCGCAGCAGTCGCCGCGCAGCGGCGGGTACATGCAGCAGGACAGTGAGGAGTTCCTCTCGACGCTCTTCTCGACGCTGCAGCAGACGCTGACGCAGCCCGCGGGCGGACTCAAGTCGCTCGGACCCACGTCCAACGTGGTGGACGCGCTGTTCGGACTCGAGATGGATGAGAAGCTCGAGTGCACGGAGAGCGACATGGAGCCCGTGATCGTCAAAAAGGAGAAGGCGCTCAAGCTCGTGTGCAACATCACCATTGACACCAACCACCTGTCCGAAGGCATCAAGATTGTAAGTGTATTAAGGTGGAGGGGATGAAGTGTTGGCTTAAGCTAATAACTGTTGTTGTTGTTGTTATTGAAGGGACTGGAGGGCACGATTGAGAAGCACTCGGAGGTGAAGGGAGCCAACGCCGTGTGGAAGAAGACGATGCGGATAAACCGCCTGCCCAAGTACCTGTGCGTGCAGTTCATGCGCTTCTACTGGAAGGCGACGCCCGAGAGCCGCGACCACACCGGCGTCAAGTGCAAGATGCTGCGGGTAAGCTGCAATACAATGGGTCTGTGCCACGATGTGAGCAATCGCTGATAGAAAATGCTGTGCTTGTTCAACTTTGCAGCCCATTAGCTTCCCCATGACCCTGGATGTGTACGACTTCTGCTCCGACGAGCTGAAGGCAACCATGAAGATCTCGCGTGACAGAAATGCTGAGAAGATTCTAAACGAGTTTAAGGACGTACGTGACGTTAGATTAATTGTCACTGCGTGAAATGCTCAAACGAGAACTCACGTGGCAATATTTGTTTCCGTGTAACAGAAGCCTGCTGGTGAGAAGAAGGAGGGCGATGCTGAGGAGAAGAAGGAAGCGGATGAGGATGACCCGATGGACGGCTTGTCCGAGGAAGAGAAGGCTGCCCTTGAGACTGCTCGCGCGCTCTCGCTGGGAGCGAAATCCCCCGGCATTGAGCTCCCCGTCGATTTCCAAGTACGTGTTGCGATCTTGTAGGTTTTGTTCAAGTGGTATTGTTGGGTTTGCTGACCATGGTGTGCCTGTTCTCAGGGAAACTACGAGCTGTACGCGATTTTGACGCACAAGGGTCGTTCTGCCGACTCTGGTCACTACATGGCTTGGGTGCGCCACGAAGGAGGTCGGCTGCTACAATTGCTGCTGATGGATATTCGCAGTGACTCAGCTAACGTGTTTGTGTGGGCGTGATGATCATAGACGACTGGTACTGCTACGACGACGACGATGTGTCGCCGTGCAAGACAGAGGACATCATGAAGCTCAAGGGCGGAGGTGACTGGCACATGGCGTACCTTGCTTTCTACCGTGCCAAGAACTAGGATGGTCACGATAGCACCGCGTGGGGTCAAACAGATACACCGCGCTAAAGGTTTTTAGTGCAGCGACGTGTAACAGCATTGAGATGGGAGACTTTTATTTTCACGAAGTGAACGAACGGATAATGGAGCCATCTTCGCCTTTGCTATCGGTAGAACGGAACAGTGCTTGCGGACAGATCTTTTATATAGGCAATGAGCAACCCTTTTTACATTCCGAGTGCAAAGCGAAAATGAAAATAACAAAATGAAGGAAGACCAAGAAGCCCGCGGACTGGACGCGCAGCACCTCTACGATCCGCTGCGATCACCAGCTCATTCACGGCTGCGTCGTGTGTCCGCCAGTCGGTCTCTCGGCCTTCCCCTCGTTCTTCTTACATCTGGATGCCTTCCGATCGCTGACCGGAGGAGGGCGACAAACTGGCAACTTTCCGGGGCTCGATATCGCTCTTGACCGAGTCCGACATGTACGCTTCGTCGTCGTCCTCGTACGAGTACTCGACGACCTTGTCGGCGAGCGTCAGCGCATCAAGACGCGGGGGAGAGAGCTGCGAAGAAGACTCGGAAGTCATTGACGTCGCTCCCGTGGATTTGCGGCGAATTCCAGAGGGAGACGGCGGGGGCGTCACACACGGCGACTCTGACACGGGGCTCGCCGGGCCAGGAGAGCCAATGACGTCTCCGTTGGCGCTCGTCGGGGACATGTCCGACTCGGTGTCCTCATCCTTGAGAGCCTCCTTCGTGGCGAAGGGCGACTTCTGGTCCTTGTCCGTGGCCACCCAAATGCGGATGGTCTCCATCCGACGCTGCACACCGGGCAGGTCCATGTTGTCTGCGTCCTGCTTAGATAATACACAGCACAATAAAAATCAGTCCTCCAATTCCGCGAACAGTTCAAGAATAATACAATAAGAAAACTCAGGACGTACCGGGCAGAACCACTCCATGCACACCTCGAGGTCCGTGCGGTCAGCCAGCACGGGGGTCAGCAGCTGCACGAGCGTGCCGCGCGTCTCGGCGTCGAGGTGCGGGATCTCGATGCCGCGCACCTCGAGCGTGTTGATGGGCTGGCCGAGCACGACGGCCGTGATCCACTTGGCCAGGAAGTTGAACTTGTCCACCTGGCCGCGGCACACCGTCTTGAGCAGCACCGTGAAGACCTCCTCGGGCACCTTGTTCTTGGACACGTCCATGACCTTGCGCAGCGCAAAGTCCTCGCGCACTTCGAGCAGCAGCTTGGAGTCCTCGAAGCCGTGGATGCCCAGCTGGTAGCAGCTCTCGCACAGGCTGTAGTTGACGCACTTGGAGCACGAGTACATGTTGCCCACGATGGGGTCCATGCCGCAGCCGTCGCAGAACGAGTCCTCGTTCACGTGCGAGGGCGGGAACTTCATCTGCGCCACCTTCTGCCCCAGGAAGCGCGTGGCGGCCGACACTTTGCTGCCCAAGCCGCCCGCGCGCGCCTGCGGCTCCGTGGGGAAGCCGATGAGCGACGTGGTGCTGTCGCGCTCCATGCTGAGCGGCTCCGACATGAGCCAGAAGCGCTTGCTGTTCTTCTGGATCTTGCGCTCGCCGTGGATCACGCGCTGGCGCTCGCCCTCGAACACGGTCTGCTGCGGCCCGAAGAACAGGTGCTGGTCCACGTGCTTGGCCTCCTCCACGAGCTGCGCGTTCAGGTGGTTGGTCGACACGACCGAGGGGCGCACCGCCGGCGCGTTGTCGCTGCCGTCGGACGGCACGCTGCGCCGTAGCACGTTCGGGAGCGAGAAGAGCGACATCGTGGAGCTGTTGCTACTGCTGCTGGACGGTCGAGAGAGCGGGTCGTCACGGCCGGTGGAGCGAAATGGCTAATACCATGGGGGAGGCAGAGCAGCGCTTCCTTCCTGCTGAGATTTGTACCACCAGGGGGGTACACTTTACTACCGCGAGCAGCGATACAGCTGCTGAGAGAGCCCGTTTGTAAGGATATCGCGTGGCGCTGTAACTTCAACGTGTGGAAGTGGTTTGATGCATTTTGTTTCCGTGAAAGCTGGTGGACCCCGGAAAGAGATCATTGAACCAGTATCGTCTAGGACAGGTATACATCCCGCGTTTTTCTTCCTGCCATCTGTGAATCAGTTTCAAAGCGTTGGCACGCGAATTGGGCGAGCAGAACCGCCTAATAACGGGCATAATGGAGAATACAAAAATACTGTATGCTATAGAGTCCATACCCAGCTGAAGCCAAAATATCCTGCACATCACTTCTTACCTAGGATGAGACTCCGTTTTACTGAGATGGGAGCATTTCGTCGATTTGTAACGAGACGGGACCCGCGACAAGTTCACTCGCAGCACTGCAACTTGACGAGCCCATGAGAAAACGCCCATGGCGTGATTCCAAGGCGCAAGGCAACTTCGCCTGCGAGATCAGCAGCATGGCATGGCATGGCATGGCATGGCGTGGCGCCAACTCCAGCTTCATACCTCCCCGAGAAGCTTGACCAGAATGCGCGCTGCCTGGTGGTTACCAGGAGCGTGAGTAACGGCCCGCGTGGCGCCTGTCGAGAATCTTGGAGAGGCGCGCGGTGCTGCTAAGTCGGTCGGTTGCACCAGTTGAACCAGCCCCGGTGCCGGTCGAAGTACATGTACCATGGATACATGTAGGGCGGTGTACATGTACTGCAGCTGTCGGACTGCCAAAATGCAAGAGTTACTGTGGCTGGTCAAGTCAAGGCCGACACCGCCAAAAGCCGACCAGAATCAGAAGCGAACCACGTCACGAACTTGCACATAGCCGATGGTCTGGAAGGCGCCGATGGCTGCGATCAGCGTCTGCAGTTGTTGCCTGCAGTAGCCCCACGAACGCCAATGCAGAAGGCGATGTCCAACAGCGCGGAAGAAGGCGTAGGCTACGAACCCGCCACGATTCAGCATGGCAATTAAAGCTCAGGCGTGGGCATGCATCCTTCTCCGAGCGACAGCAGCCCAAGCTCTTCACTCGGAACTGCTGTCATTGCAGCACTGAACGACAGGTATTGAGTCCGTCTCGAAGGTGATCAGGAAACTAAGCCGGTGGTCACTGAAATGAAGCAACCGACCAACGCCGTTGCCTCGACAAACAGGGTGCACCGTAGCAACAAGTCGTGCGTGGCCTTCAGCGATTTCTCTACAGAGCGTGCTACACCATCAGAGGAATATCAGCTTGAAACTTGCATTCGTGTCAGTGCTGGGCCCGGTTAATAGGACGCATCCCCTATGGGGTGTGTTGTCCATGGTAGTTAGCGCCAGCGCGGTCTATTGAGTGAAGTGCATGTAGCGCTGAGCAAGTTGATGCGAAATACAAGTTTATATTTATTGCCTGCGCTGTTTGACGACGTGCTATTACTTTTCCGTGAGCTGCCGGTACCCTTTCCACCACGTGGGCGCTGCGAACTCGCCCTCTTCTGTCCGTCCTTCCGTCTCCATGACCTTGAGCACAACCTTGGTGGGGCCGTCCTCCCAGATCTGGTTTGCTGCTGTAAGTTTGGCTCGTGCTACGTCCCACTTGCCGGCGAAGTAGGCGCCGATGCCCTCGTGGAAGTTGGAGAAGAAGGTCGAGGGAATGCCCTCCTGAAGCGCGGGGTAGATTGGGTCGAAGCCGAACTCGACAGGCTTTTGCCTCCCGTCGGCGCTGATTTCCGGTGGTACACCCTCCGTTGGGTATCGTCCGATGTCGAACGTCCACAAGTCCATGGGGATCTCGCTACCTTTGACAGCGACGCGGTCGATCTTGCGGCAGAATCGACGGGCTTCTGCTGATAACTCGTCGACGAACCACTCGGAGATCAACATGGGGACATCGAACTGCCCCGTGGCGGCTTCGAGTCGTGCAGCCATGTTGACGTTCGGGGACAAGTACGAGGCGTCGATCTTGAATCTCGAGCCGATGGCGCCTTCAATGGCCCAGCCGATATGTAATCCGAAGCCCATATGTACCTCGAAGTTGTCGAACGCAGCGATGAGCTTCGTGTTGTTGCAGTACTTGTGCAGCGTGCCGTGGTGGTTGGCGTTGTGAATGTCCACGCGCATCTTCAACACAGCAGTGAGCGCGCTGTCCACGAGCTCCGTGGGTCCGATGCGTCGAACTGCAGTACCCGATCCCGTGCTTTTGACGTAAATCCCTTCGCGCTTTCTCGCCTTCTCAGCGGGTAACATCCGAGGTTTGTCAGCAGGGTCACGAGGGTCGCGCATACCTGGCAGCGTTCCATCGCAAATCTTCCACGCGAGCAGGAACGCCGAGCCAATGTTTTTATTCGCCGCGCCGTGGAACACTTTGGCGTCGCCGTGCACAATTTCGGCGATCGTGTTGATGTACGTGATGACATCCTCCTCCAGAATGCTGCACGTCTCGGTGAAGTGCTCGATGATGCCGAACCCGAAGACGGACGTGATCTTCTTACCCGGAATCATCACGTCCAGGTCGCCAGCTCCTCCCATGTTTTTGGCGATAATCTCCGTACCAGCAGCACCGAAACCAACTTGCAGCAGGCGACCGATTTTGCTCAGCGTGTCCTCCAGCATCTTGGTCTCGTAATCCGTGCCGGTCGGCGCGTCTTCCTCGTACTCCTCGCGCTTGGCCTCGGTGGACCCGAGCGGGTTTTGAGCTAGCTGCGTAACCAGCCGCATCATGCGCTCGATAGGTCCGATAACCATCGACTCGGCGTCCTTGGTGAGCACGAAGATGGACACGGCAAAGCAAAACATGACGATGATCGTCTTGCCGATGTTCAAATTCGCCGTGTTCTTCGTGTAGGACGAAATGTCGTACGTCACGAACGAGTGGCAATCGCTCGTGCCGGTGGACGAGTCACAGTCGACGCACATGTCGTTGAGAAAGCACCCCAAGTTGTCCACAGTAGCGATCTCCGTCGTGCGGTACTTGGAGCTCGGGTCGTCCGTGAGATACGAGGCGGACCAGCCTGTTTTCGGGTTGGTTGTCAAGGTTTGGTTTGAGCCGAACTGCCAGTCGCTCTCGTCACTATTAAGCGACTGAAACTTGAGCTCCGTTAGCCACGACTTCAGCAGAGTATTATCCACGCCTGTGAGCTCCATCTGGACTAGCAACCCGTTCGAATCGCGCACATATTCGCTCACAAGACTCTGCATGTGCGCCATCGAGATCGTTCCAGACGTGTTGTAGTCCTGAGAGTAGCGATGCAGTCGCTCGAACTGCGAAGTCTGAAAATCATCCTGTGTCGGATCCACAGTGCCGTCGATAATTGGTGATACGATAATAATAAGAAGCACTAGTACGATCAGCCTCCGTGTGGTCTTCTCGGTCAACACCTTGCCGATCTTCGACGGCTCGGAGATCTGCACCTTCTTGGATTCTCCGTTCTTGTTCTTCTTGACCACGCGCAGGATGCGCAGCACTCGGAACAACCGCACGAGACGCACTATTCGACCAGCTTTGGTACCCGCACGCGATGCTCGACCAGCTTTCAGTGCAGCAGCCTGTGACGAGCTACTCGAGCTGGAGGAGCCCACGACTTGAACCCAGATCCAATCGACATCGGGGATCACCGAAAGCGTTGAGATCAAGTCCATGTAGAAGGAGAATCCCCGCCCGTGGTTGAAGTAGTTGGGTCGGCTGTACACGTTGAGCACGAGCTCAATGGTGAAGAAGATGAAGAGCGCGAACAGGAGGTTGTACACGTGCGTGTCGGCACTTTTCGGGAAGAAGCTCACGCGGAAGTCGTCTCCAAAGAGCGTGAAGATGGTACAGGCCGTCATGAAGGAGCTCACGTACTTGTTCTCGACAAACGCCAGCACCTTCTCCTTCCGTGTCAATGGCGGGGGTGGCACCACGTCTTCGGGGGCCACTTTGTTCAAGCTGCGGCTGGACGGGAAGTGCGATAATGTCATCGCGTGACGGAGCGCGCGTTTGGGTCCCGTAGCCCCTTCATTGCTGTCCGAGGCCCCGCCAGTGGACGAAGCGATCTGCTTGACGGGGATTCCGCGCTGGCTGCTCGCCGAAAGTGCCGGCATCTGCGGTCCCGCGCGCGTGCCCTGGCCCGCTATTTGCTCCTCTCTATCGGTCACTGCCACTACCGACGGCTCGTCCTCGTGCTTCTTTTTGCGATGTCGTAGCGCCACCTTTGCCGAGTACCCACCCGCCGCTCGCGTTGTGGTTGGTGTGCGTCCGTCCTAGGTAACCGGGCAATCCTGCTGGTTGCTTGGACTGGAAACACCTCGGGAGATGGCACGATTCCTGTACCGGTACCGCTCGCAGCAACTTGACCACACTGCGGTAAGGCAAAGCTCCTCGCTGTTCGGCAGTGCAGTGTCTTCCGTGATTGACCAAGACGAATTCTTCGGGGCGGCGGCAACTACAAACGCCAAAGTGCCGAAAACCTCGTCGCAACTTCATCTCGAATTAGAGCTCAGCCTTGCCAGCCTTCTCGTGCACACACGAAAACGACCGTCGGCGCAGCGCCATGAAACTGCTGACTATAAGCGGCAACATGCACGCCAAAAGCTCCACCGCCAAGACCGCGAAGTCCTGGTTCAACCACAGGCATGAGTAGTGAGACCGGAATTAGCATCACCCCCCCACCCACCCACCCACCCACCGCGTTAATCTCCACACGCGCGAATGTCGTTGGCTTGCGGCACCCGCACAAGTGTTTAAAATGCAAAATGCACACCACATTGAATCACAACTTCATGCTGCAGTAGCATATTTACCAAATACGCTTCATTGACGCAGCCGTTGATAATGACCTGGTCACACTCGCACTAGTAGTACCCGTCCCGTTGCCGCTCAAAGTAGGGTGCAACGAGCGTAAGCAGCAGCGAGCCGAACTGGAGAACAAAACAATACAAAGAGTTAGCAGGTCACCTCAAGTTCTACAACACCGAAAGAACGTCACGCACCTGCACATAGCCGATGGTCTGGAAGTCACCGATGGCTGCGATGGGTGTCTGCAGTAGCCCCACAACGCCGCCGATGCAGAAGGCGATGCCCGACAGCGCCCCGTAGTGCTGGAAGCCGAAGCGGTGCCCCAAATACGCGAACAGCAGCGGGAACATGATGGTGCGGAAGAACGCGTAGGTCACGAAACCCGCCACGATCCAGCCGGAAGACGAGTTGCTCAGCATGGCCGTGAAGCACAGTGCCACCACCGTGCACAGCAGCGACGAGTACGTGTAGCCGCACTTTTCGAGCAGGTACCCGACGAACGGGATGAAGACGACGCTACTCGGCAGCACGACCGCCAGCTTTCCAAGCAGACTCGCCACCTCACTCTCGGGTAGACCCTTCCAACGCAATAGCCCCGTGATGCTGCCCAGGAAGAAGTTGCACCACAGCGACAGGATCGAGAAGTAGAAGACGATCAACAGGAACGGCTTGGACAGCACCTGCGTCCGGAAGGAGCGGTTGTGGAGGTCTCCATCGAAGAACACCTCGTCCGTCGGCAAGCGATGCCGTCTGCGGTACTTCTCCAGCTCGGGCGTGGACATGAGCAGAGACGCCTCCTCCTCCTTGAACACGGAGGGCAGGCGCATCGGCGACAGCAGCTCGTGCTCTTCACTCGGAACAGCCTCGAACGGCGTGTCAGGCTCCGTCAAAACAGTGCCGATAAGCGACAGGAACAGCACAGCAGCGTAGATCTCGAAGATCGTCGCCATCGACATGCCCAGCTTCGTGTACGCGAGGTCGAACAGCGTGAAGATGAGGAAGCTCAGCTGGAGCCCGCCGACGATGAAGCAAGCAACCAACGCCGTCGCCTCGGGGAACAGGTTGGACATGTGGATGCCAGCTAGCTGGATGCCGGGACCGGAGAACCCAACGAAAACCATTCCGAAGAGCAGCAAGTCGTGTCCTTCAGCGTTTTCTCTACAGAGCGTACAACAACATCAAAGTATTAGCTTGACTGCCATTCGTATCTCGATTCATTCGTCGCAAACGACGCACCTATAATGTGCGTTGCCCATGAGTAACGCGCCAGTAATCAGCAGCACCAGCGACAGCGACTTTGTAATGCGGGGTCCAAATCTGCCATTGCACGGAGATCGCCACAGTGGAGCATGCACGATCAGCATCGCCTCTCAATTGTAAAACCTTTTGGCAGAGCGTACTTGTCGAAAACGAGGCCGAGCAGTAGATTGGACCACATGCTGCTGGAGACCGCCATCGTGAACGCATACTGGAGGCGGTCACTCTGCGCCGAGCAGACTAAGCCAAAACATCGCAGCTTAGTCAGATCTCCCTCTCTTATCACGCATAGAAGAAGAGACCACAGCGCGTACTCGTCTCTCCGGTCTTGCAGAGCTCGTTGTATATCCTCTCCTTCTCCAGCATCGGCACCAGCGACGTCCTAATCCATTACAATTGCACACGTCAGTCAGGAACGTGTCCGTCGTAACCAGATCTCGAGCAACGCAAGCGTCGCCTCTGCCTAATAACTACCGGTAGCTATCTTACCAGCCGAAGATGATCCCAGCGCCCAGGAAGCACTGGAAGATGGCGAACGCCACATACAGGTACCGGTGCGGGTAGCTGCCCGTGTCCATCCACGTCGTCTCGGCCGCCAGCATCACCGCTCTATCTATCAGTATCCGTCCGTTCAGACGTCGAATTGGAAGTGAGCAGCTCATTAGAGTGTGCCGTAGAGGTCTATCGTGCGTACGTCGCGAACTGATTTTCTGAAGTTTGCCACATCAACCAGCTGGTTGACGGCCCGCCAGGCGCATCAACCGGTACACCACCAAAAGAGACCGTCAATACTGTACACTACCTACAGTCGGCCATGGCGCTGTGCACCTCGGCCCGAGAGACTCGCGCTGCGACGCTCGTGGAGTGGCTGCGGCGGCTGCAACGTGACCACGAGTGCGACGTCACCTTCCGCTCCAAAGACTCGATCACGATCCACCTGCTGGGCGCCGACCACCGCGAGGGCAACACTGGACCGCAGACGTTCGAGGTCTTCCGGGGTTTCGCGCAGTTCGTGGCCTCGGAGACGCACCTGACGGCCGTCAAGCTGGTGCTGGTGGGGCCCAACTTGTCCCGTCGGATGCACCTCACCCAGTACTCGCAGACGTACAGCTCTAGCGATGAGGTGGACGCCAAGACGTGCCAGGTGGACATGAGCTACTTCGTCGGCGGCTTCGAGGCCTACTTCGAGGATAAGGCGCTGTACTGTGAGCCGGACCTCGTGGTGTGCTTCAACGCCGGGATCTGGGGCTACGACGAGTGGCTGCCGGCTATCCGCCTCGTGCTGCAAGAGGTGCGCGTGCCGCTGCTGGTCACGTCGTACAACGAGCACGAAGCTGGAGACGACGAGGACGTGCTGGACGAGCTGATGCCGTCCAAGTGGCTCTGGCGAGCGGAGAAGAACCCGCGAGGGGCGAATACACCGCGCGCCACCAACAACGAGGACGGGTCCATTCTCAAGGAGAACGACTACTGGATGTGTCTGAGCGGCAGGCCACAGTGAGTTCTGGGAATCGATAGATAGATTTATGCAGCAAAATCTCTAGCAACAAGCCAACACTACACGAGTCCTAACCTGCTCTCCTCTCTCTTTATCATTTAGTCGCATTGCCGGCTCTTGCAGCGGATTCACGATGTTGCTTAGCTTTCAAGCAGCAGTTCGATTGGGACTCCGCAAGGAGCGTTCCCCATCAAGCGACGCAGACGCAACTCGCCGTGTAGCTCGCTCACCTGCGGGAGGAACGCCTTGTGCTCGTCGACCACTTGCCCCCACGTCTTCGTCGGCAGAACCAGTGTGCAAAATGTGCCCGACGCGTGGCGCATGCGGATGTTCTTGATCATCTCGTCGCAGGTCTTGCCGCCGCCGTGCGCAGTAGCCTCGCGCTTGGCTCCAAACGTCAGCACTGTAGCATCCTGGAAGCTCTCCTGCACGCAGTCATCTCCTTGAGCTGCCGGCGCTGGCAGAGGCGGCGAGCGCGGCACGGGGATATGCAGGAACTGCTCGTTCTTCTTGCTGGTCGCCACTTCGGCGAACAAGACGCCGAAGTTGAGCGGCTCCGGTGGAGCTGCAGACGTTGAAAACGCGCGCGGCGCAGCTGCATGCGCCGAGTCCTCCGCACTGCCTAGCGGGGGGCAGTCCATACACAATAACTGGCAATTCTTAGGCAACGACGGATCGTTGCGCAGCGACACCAGCACATTCGTCGGATCTGCAATCTGGAAGGCACTAAAGAGCTCGTCCAGCGACGCGAGCACCTTGACCCTCGTTTGGTTCATGTACTCCACCGCCTCCGCCTGCAATTGCTTCTGTCTATTCGCTTCAGGGTCTTCAGCAGCCGAGTCTGATTCCTGCTCCATGTGAGCTTCCTCCTCTTCCTCCGAGTCGCTGTCGTCGTCGTCCATGGGCTCAGCCAAGGGGTTCTTGCGCACCAGCGAGGGGAAGCACGCCTTCACCCCTAGCAGCAAGTTGACAGCCACCTCGCCCACGTCAAGCACCTGCACGCTCGGAGTCTGGGCATCTTGAGCCTGGCCGATTAACGGGACAACCAGCAGCCGGCGCTTCCCGTCGCGCTTGACGCGTCCACCAAGACACGTGAGCTGGCGAGCACTCTGCACGCGTCCAGCCACCACCACGTACTCTTCAAACGGCAGTTGGGCCTTTGTGGCCACGTCCAGCAGCGCCAGAGCTCCCCCAGCGACGGACTCGAACACGAACATGCTTCACCGATTATGCCTAAAAACAAATACCACTAAAATGATCGTAATAAACCCCCACGAAAAACTCAAAACTCAAATATATTGCCACTCTATCGTAACTTACGCTGGTCGTTGTGTACTACCTCCTCGATACCCCCCTTGTCGACGCCGTCTGCTCTTAAATATGAATGTCAGCGGGCAGGACCGACGGCTTGAGGATCTCCTCCACCAAAAAGTCGAGCGGGAACTCCACCAGGTGGCCGCGGATCTCCGAGAGCTGGCCACGGGCTCGCGTCTCGTCCTCCTTGCGGACTGTGGCCGCGGTCTGCACGTGGCTGATCTGGCAGTCGGCGTCTTCAGCGTCCGAGCCTTCCGCGCCCTCCTCCATCAGCAGACCCTCGCGCGTAGCAGCGTGGTAGCTGCCCTGGCCTTCTTCGAGCAGCGGATCGTCGCCGTTCAGGTGGTCGTCGCCGTCGAAGTATTCAGCGTTGAACTTGGAGCGACGCCCGAAGTCCAGCACGTCCACCGCAGAGTACCAGCGCTTGAGAGACGCGCGAATGCCGTGGCCTCCACCGTAGTCGCTACCGGCGTCGCTCGAGTCATCGTCCGTATCGTTTCGGTTGCCACTAGTGACACTGAACATGCCGATGAAGCTCCCACGAGCGCTGCGAGTGTTGGCGCGGGTTCTGACGCCTCCACCAGTTCCCAAGAGGGATTGGGTACGACCACCGCGTACACTTCGCGGACCGCCTTGGAGTGCGTTCATCGACGGACTTTGAGGCGTCTGGAAGCTCGCAACGCTTGGCGAGTTCGGGTACGATGGGTTGTCCCCAAGCACGGCGGGGCGCGACGGAGTGGTGTTCGACATCATGATCGGACCATCCAGCGGCAACGACGAGGAGTTGTGGAGACGACGACCTTGATGCGTACCTCCGACGCTCACACTGTTGGCAATGCTGCCGCCGGTATCCAGATGACTGAAGTTCGTCGGGGTACTAACGGAGTTCGAACGGCTGAAGTCGCCCTGCTGAAGTCTCCGCCAGAGAGAGTAGAAGCGTCCGTGCTCTTCGTCATCACTTGCAATGCTGAAGGAGCTATCACGAGGATCAGGCCGGGGCGGTAGCAAGCCCTTCTTGACCCAGCGGCGACGTCGCACCTGGGCCATCAGACGATCAGCCACAAGATGCTGGAGCTTTTCGCGCTTCTTGTAGTCCGTCTTCATCGTGCGAACCTCTTGGAAGATCGAGAAGTTACGCGCGTAGCACCAGCCGTCGTGATCCATAGAGAACAACTTCTTCTTCCTGTCCCTGAAGTTGTCAACTTCGAAGTCTCTCAGATCCACGCGGTCGGCAGCAATGGGCACACCGTTAACGTCCGTCCACGGTGCGTAGTCGCCGTCCTTCAGGTTCTGGGCATCCCACACGTGAGCTCGGCCGGGTACCTTGAGCACATTCATACGCTGATTTTCGAAGATCTGCGTCACTTCAATACTCTGGAAGTTGACGAACGCACGCATGCGGTTTGAGGGCGCACAGTCGAACACCGTCTCGAAAATCTTCGTGTTGCTCGAAGCGGTCGCCTTGATGGCCTGCCACGTACGATCCGACGTCGCATCCACAATGGACAGGTCATCGTCCGTCAGGCCCAAGTGCTCGCGGAAAAGCTGCATGCGGAGCTTGCTTGCTGCAACACCCCGTCGGTACGGCTTCTCGTTCATGACACCGTCCTCGTACTGCATGTCCTCGATCACGAGCGCAATTTCAGAGTCGCGGTCGCCATTCATACTACGGTCGTTGATGTTTGCACTACCAATGATAGCGCACCGGTCATCAGCGATCATGAGCTTGCTGTGGATGTAGATTTGCTCGGTGGACACACACCCGTTAGGCATGATGCCATACTTGCGCAATCCGAAGAACGCAACGTACTGCTCCGGGTGGTTAGTTACACCCTTTAGCGCCTCAAACAGGCTGTACCGACCACGACAAATCGTCGCAAACTGCCAGTGCATCACTGCGTGAAGGTTCGTGAGCTCATGACTGCGGACGTTGCCTTCGAATGCCGGGAGCAGCGGCATCACCACATACACGCGGAACTTCTCATCACGCTGCACGGCGCGCTCAATACGATCCACCAACGCTTGCAGAATCCGGTTTCGCACGATGCCGTTGCCATCCATTCCGGAAATGAAGAACTGGTTCTCGATGTACAGGTAGTGCTTCGAGTTGGCAATCACGTCCATGTAGGCAGCCTGAATACTGGCCTCCGTTGGTACACCCGCCGACCACATCGACACTGAGCGACACACCTGAATGTTGCAGATGCTGGCACTCGGATGAAACACTTGGAGAATCGACTCACCGCGCTGGGCACGCAACACTTCACCATCGTCTAACTGGCCCGCGGTTCCCGAGGCACTCGTGATTGGTGGGCGGATGGGATTTAGAGGATTCAATGACGACGTTGGCGGCCACTGGGGGCCCGTAGCAGCGCACGGGTACATGGGGTTCAGCGACTGGACCACTTGGAACGGTTCGACCATACTCAACGAATCTTCACGAACAAGTGGAATGGTTGTCCGAGTCGATCCGTCCCGCTCCAGCATAGCTTCCGGGTCCGAAGACGGGTACTGCAGCGTCCATCCATTGAAGTCCATCGGCACGAGGCATTTCGGCAGGAACTTGAACCGCCGCGAGCGGAAGCAGATGCACCACCCTGTTCGAAGCTGGTAGTCGTTCTTGGAGCATACGAAATTCCAGCGCTGAATGAAGTGGTAAGCCACGTCCTGTACAGGCGGACCCGAAATGCTGCAGTGCACGTCATGCCAAGGCATACGCGGCTGCGAACCACGATCAATGAGGTCTTCGAACGGTTTGTTCACACGCACGAAGTCCTTGATGATCGGGTTCGAGTAATCCTTGCCACGCCAAACAGGATCATCGCTAGGATCACTGATAGGGTGCCCATGGTGATCATACCGACCGAAGCACAAGTCCAATCCTCCAACAAAGGCCAGCGACTGATCGATGCAGACGATTTTCTCGTGATGAGACCAGAAACCCAGACTTTGGATCTGGAAAATCGGGTCACGGAGAACCCGAATGTTCGGGTGCACCATCAGGCTGCGCTTAGTGTATGCGCTGTTCAGCGTAAGCGCCAGCTTTACCTCACGATAAATAAGCACGTAGATCTTGACACCAGCCTCCGCCTTCTTCATCAGCAACTGACGCAACATGGTTTTGTTCACTTGCTGTCCATTGGGATCTTCATCAGGTTCACGCGGTGGCAGCTTCCGGCCAGGACGAAGCAGGAATAAGTCCGGACACACCCACCAACCGGCAATCAAAATCTCGTACTTGGCGTTGGAGATGGCCTTGTACATGGCTTCGTAAGTGTCTTCTGCATCCACATGCCAGCTTACAGCACTAGGTGGTGGCGGCGGGGCTTCGAAAGACTCCTCAGACTGCGTACTGCTGTCCACCCGGGAAGCAGACGTCAGGTTTCCACTACCCAAACGAGCAACGGCTTCCGCCTCCAGCTTGACCACCGAGTCTACCACCTGGTTAATTGCACTGCCGCTGGTATTTCCCACTGCTACAGGCGGTAACCTTGCGGCCTTGGCTTTGGCTACAATCGCTGCGCTGTCATCATCAGCTAAAGTGCTGACGTGCTGCGGTGCAAACGAGTTGAATCGCGTAGACGTTTCGTGGCGCTTGAGCTTCTGCAACCGACGGACGCATCGGAACCAGTGGTCACGACGAACATGTGGGTGCCACACGCCCAGGTACGTAACGAAATAGTTGGCCAGGAAACCTACAACTGGTGCGATAATGCCTCCAGCAAACAGGAACATGATGTAGAAGATGTATGAGCGCCACGTGACTGGTGAGATCCGCACGGAAATCGCGCACAAACTGTCAACGTTGCTGTAGCTCTGCACATCGATGTCCGTATCAACACCCTCCAGCGTCAAGTTTCCAACGCTCGGCAACGAATAGTTCGTTCCCGACTCGAAAAAGCGGTCGTTTTTCGCATCAATTGGTTTAACCACGCTCATCATTGTGCCAGCCCCCACCGCATTCGTAATCACGTTCAAGCTGTTGCCCATGCTGTCACTTTGCCAAAAGTATCCGAGGTTTGCCGTCATCGAATTCGCCGACGGCATTTGCAGCTGCGACACCACGGCATTGTCTTCATCACTTTCAACGTAGACTGTGACTCCATGCGGCACAGTGAAGTAGTATCCACAGTACTCGATATCGTTGGTCTCCGTCCAATTCTCGTATCCGGACGCATTCGTAATCGGCACACCCAAGCTCTTGTCCAGACTTAGAGTTTCAAAGTCGTAAATGCTGTTCGATAGACGCATGATACCGTAACACACACCCATGAGAGCGATAAAGGCCGTCAGTCGAGTGTAGTAGTGTCCCGTGTCGATCTCGATGTCACCAGCTTTACTTCCGACAACCAGTCCACTCGGCATCCAACTGACACCTTGCCTGTAGCTTCCCTTCCGAGCCGTAAACGTCTTATCGAACAAGAACACCTCACTAGGCTCGCGGTCATTCCGATTCCGGTAGGCAGCGAAGCATGAGGGCTTCAGAACGACCCATCGTCGAATGACACCAAGGCGATGCTGGAAGAACTTGTACACGAATCCAGCGAAGAAGATGATACCTGCGAGAACAGCTAGACCCAAGAAGACTCCAGCCGTGTTCAGCTTCGTGGACACCTCCTTGGTACCTGAATCCGAGTTCACGAGCTCCTTCTGGGGCGAGAAGAAAGTCGGCAGACTCGTCACAATCACAAGACAGACCGGGAAGATAAAGCCCACGATAGCCGACACGAAGGCAATGCGCATCCACGCGCGGTACAGATGCCTGTACAGCGCCTCAATAGTGCGATTGAAGCACGTGTACAGCGGGAGCTGGAACGGGCCGTTGATGCGCATGTGCACATATCCCTCCTTCAGCGACGGTCCGAGGCGCAGCATGGCGCGTGACGGACTCACCTCCAGGAACGACAGCAGCGGCTCTGAGTTACGTAGGTCCCTGTCCTTGAGCAGCGTCCGGATGTAGTCCTGCACGACGTACACGTCCGCCACGCGCTTCTCCGCGCGCTTCTCGCGCCAGATCGTCCAGGGCAGGTGCACGCCCCGCATGAACTTGTGGCGGTGCAGCAGGCAGTACAGGTGCAGCTGGAAGTGCAGCCGCAGGATCTGCTTCTGCCCGAAGTAGATCTCCCAGTCCGTGGTGCCCCAACGGACGCGGGCCACGAACACGCAGCACGGGATGACGCCCGCCCGCGTGACCGTGGCTCTGTTGACCGAGAAGTCGATCGAGTGCTCCATGACCTCCTCCTCCTCCTCGCTCAGGTCGGCGTCGTCGTCGTTCATGATGGTCATCTCCCCGTCGTTCGGGGACTCGAGGATGTCGCTGTCGGCGCACTCTTCGTTGCAGTCGTCCACGTCCACCTCCTGGCCGTCTACGCTGCTGGATCTGTAGCTGTTCACGCTCGCGACACTGCCGAGTCCAGAGGTGGAGAAGCTGGGCGCCGCCTTGAGGCCGTAGCCGCTGCTGTTGGTCCTAACGGCTGCGGTCTGTTCTACTGCGTCGTCGTCGGGTCCAGGCATCCCATGTAGGCGCTGGAAGGACGCCACGGTGTCGCTCTGAGCCTCGGCAAGGTCCGAAGGCCTCCGGCGGACGGCTGGAGGCTCTGAGGCTGCGGGAAATTAGCGGTAAATACGGAAAATTAGCGTAAAAAGTGGCGGTAAGTCGGAGGTTCAGAGCGCGCGGCGCGTACCTCGCGTGCAGGACGTTCCCGCGGCGGGGGGGACGCGGAGGGGGCGGATGAAGGTCCTGGAGGTGGCGCCGACGGGGTGGCCGAGCCTCGGGAGCGGGAGGAGGCGCGAAGGCGGAGGAAACACGCGCGCGCTCGACGCCTTCCTCGCTGCTGCGGTGTTGTCTGTTAGACGTCTGGGGGCCGGGCTTGGCATAATGCGCGGAAAGGGCCTGCGAGAATGCATATTCTGGCGGCGGAAACCTGTGGGAATCTATATTCGAGTCGGTTTTGCCGGCTCTCTGTACCGACCAGGGCTGGCAGGTGGACCGAACTTCCCCGTCTGGCTCTGACTCCGACCGGCACCAGGTTGAAAGACTGCGGGCAGGGCACAGAGACTGCCTGTGTGTCAGTGTATCAGGACGCTGGTCGCGGACAACAGTGTTTGAGCTGCAGTGGAGGTAGTGGAGTGGGAAGTTGCCTTGAGTTTTGCCCTTGTTCAGCCGGAGCAAGACTTGCTCTGTCTGCGGCGACCTCTTCAGCAAGCAACGGATGGCAATGCGGCGACGTGTTTCCCGCCACCTGCGCGCGTTGGCACCGCAGCGACAACATGAACTCGACGTCCAGAGCCCGCGGCGTGTGACGACACCCAACGCACCATCAGCGTGACTACCGGACTCTCCATCAAACGTCCTTGCTGCTTTGGTCCGCGCTCGCGAAATCGATACAGTTCTTGTAGGGATGGCGCTGGTGACATTGCTCAGCAATGGTTGAGTGCTGCAGTGCTGCAATGCTGCAGGTTGGCGCCAGAAAGTACACACCGTACGAGAAGAGATGGTCGGAAGAGCGCGTGCGGATCTTATTAGGCCGAGAGCGCTATGCATGCTGTGTGTTTGGGGCTACACATCGCTCTATGGCTCGAGCCTTGTTCTCATCCAGCAGCCGCTTTGATCTCCTGCTGGGACCTGGCAGCAAATTGCTGGCAGCGGAACTGCGTTTCGGTACAGCATACAATACGAATCTTGCGTCGAGATAAACATCCATTGATGTTGAAGCTTGTCTCCAGCAAGACGGCACACAATACATTGCGTAGAATGGTGCGCTGCCAGCGCCGCTGGGCCCTGAGGAAAACTGCGCGGGGCGCAAGCGAGAATCTTTCGCTTGACAGACGCATCTTTCCGACGTCTAACAGCTCCACAAAATGATTGATAGCATCATCAATCATGCGCTAGCCAACTCCGTAGCGTACCCAATTTTAACCTTGACCCTGCAACCGAACACTTCCAAGAGAGCTCGTATAAACATAATAAAATAATTGTTTTTACTCACACGACTGTAAACACAAAACTTAGCATACTACTATATTCTACCGCGTATTTATAAAGAATTTACTTAGTCAGACATGAAGACTGTGAGTATTTATTGGTTCATCAATGCTCAAGTCAGAGCAGCCAATTTACCAGATCTCGCACGCACAGAACCTGATAGGCAACCCGTGCTCCGGGAGGGTACACAAGTCGACGAATAGTTTCATGGACGATGATAACGGTTATTATAATAATAATTGAATAAATACCAAAGTTGTTTTGATTTTTAATCCTTTAAAAAGGCACTACCAGCCCAACTCTTTAGTTGACTCTAACGTGGGCATCTACTGCGCCTGCTTCGCAGCCGCAGCATCTGGCCGAGAATGCGTAATTGAACAAATAGTTTCGCACATCGAAGTGTATCGATACGGAAATGATGTTTCAGCCAAACCTTTGTGAGGCTGGTAACCAGCAAAGCAAGCCCCGCTCTTCTTTATCGTGGTGGGTTCTCAGGAACCGAAAGTCACCAATTGAGGTTGCCTGGTCTGATGAGGCCATCGGTGACATAACACCCTGGTCAGCGTCCAATGGCTCCGTTGGCGCCAGCAACGAGAGAGCTATTTCATTCATTTTGCAGGTACGGTATACCGTGCTCATTTTTGTACTATGTTGTGTGCTAGCGATCAGACGAGAGAGCTACAGTAGCGGGACGAAGGAGAGACGCATGGTGCGCTGATCTTGACCTTTTAACTTGAGGATGTTAGCTACAGTAAGTGACAATAATGATCCTCAATTCAAAAACAAAACACGCTAATGGGCCAATTCCTTGGAAGTGGGTGCTTCAGCAGAGGGGAAAAAAGTCTTATTCAAACGAACGATGCTCGTGTCACTGTCGAGTTGAGCTGATTGGTTTGGCGACAGACACGAGGTTGGGCATCTTCGGCTAAGAGTGATTGAGTATTGAGCAAATTGACATGTAAAAAAAATAGCCTGCACCTAGACAAGTCATGCTGGTCATCTTCAGCTAAGCTTGGTCGATTATGGCTCCTCAAATTGATACGCCTTCAGCGAAGCCATGACGCTCTCATAGTGAGTGTACTGGAGCGTCCGTAAGTGTTTGAATGCAGGTTTTGGTAAATAATAAACGATTAGTATCAGCCTTTGGTAAGTAATGTACATAAATCTAAGCAGTTATCGACGGGTACCCGATTCCGGCAGATATTAGCCTAAATATTACAATTAAGAAAGAGAGACCCAGTTTGGTACCCGGTTTTGGAAAGTTACAATTTTTTTGCCGGGGCCAAGCACAGGTCTTCGACCTGTGAATATCTGGAAAACATAATAGATACCTGAGTGAACATGGCATCGAACTCATAGAATAGCCTTCTCTAACCGTTAGAGAAGCAGCATCTGCAATGATTTAGTCTTTGTTTCTCCTTAAAGCCACGATAAAATATAGGTATACTATAAAAAATATTTGAAAATACGTAAAAACATACAATTTCACAAAAATAATGATTTTCTTACTGGAAACGGATACTTTTGGATGTTCATAATTAGTCTGAATTCAAAATTAGTCTGTCACTGTTGGGGCCAGACTAATAGTAAGAAAAATCTGCTATTCAGATTTAGTCTGGGCCAGACTAATTACTGTAGGTACAGTACTGTAGTGTTTTAAATATTTGTGCGAACACTATTATAAACACTATTAATACCTGTACGTGCGATTACGACGGTCTGTAAGAGAACCCACAGCGCTCTTTGGCTCTGAAAATATTAAGTCTATCTATCCAAAGTATCTTGTGCCTAGAAGAATACTGTGCGAAGCCCCCCCCCCCTTGTACCAGTCAAAATAGCGTTGCTTTATTGATCCGTACACAGCCCCTCAAGTAGTACGCATCATGGCGGGTGAATGCACGTACTTCGAAGTAGTCGCAGAGGACCTGCGCCATCTGTGGTGATACCGTGCTAGTGACTATGAATGCACTCGAGAACTAGGCATCTTCACCAAAATAAGAACGGCCACACTAATTCTACCTCACTGAGGAAGAATTTGCATGGTAATGTGGCCGTTCTTATTTTGGTGAAGATGCCTAGTGCTGTTTGCCACTTTGTTCATACTGAGGAATCCTCAGTATGAACAAAGTGGCAAACAGCGTCAACGAAAACTACATCAAGATCAGAATGAATGCACCATACAACATCGACACCAGCCTAGTCGCGCAAACAGAGAGTGCAGTATTAAGTGCAGGTGTATCCAACAACCAAGCTCTCACGGGAACAAGCAGCACTCAGACACTCAAAAGCCTCGTACTCATTGGAAACGAAACCGCATCCGACAGCAAACTAATTCCAGCATGGCGACCCACAGCAGAAAACACACAGTGCCTCGAATGAAAATCCAAAACCCTTTTCGAGTATAAAACTATTTGAGTTATCTTCTTCTTCGCTGCTTCCTTCTTGCGTCGTTATTTCACCACAAATGCACTCATGGTGCGGACACCGAGCCCATGACCATCGAATTAGTGCCCCGCGTAACCGTCGCCACACTTCGACGCTATGCTAGCAATACGCCGCTCGATGCGCTCCCGCTGCGCTTGTCGTGCCAGGGCAATCGCATCCTTAATAAGAGTTGACGACTGTCGATGCGTACATGCGAGCTTCTCAGCGGAGCGAGGCGACACGGGAGGCGTGCCCTCAAGGAGATCGTAGTCTTCAATCTCCGGAGGGTGCATCACAGCGACAGCCACCTCCTTCGTCTCCTCAGCCTCGAAGCTTTCCTCACTACCTGTGCTGCCTGAACTCTGCTGATGGGTAAATGGACGCGCTTGATCCTCTTCCTCGTTCGTTTCTTCGTCCTGTACGTACGTCGAGGCAACTTGTTTCATCTGCGCCGCCTCCTCTTCCGACGACTCTACCCTGTCTTCTTCTTCTTCCTCGTACAGGAATTCGCCCTCATCAATCTTCTTCATCACCGAGTGATTCTCTGGCCCAGCTGCCAGAGCGTTATACTTGCGGTGCAGTCTCTGGAACAGTAGCTCCTCATTGAACTCGTACTTCTTGAGCAGCTCGTCCACCTCGCGCAGCTTGTCCGGGTTGTGCTTGGTGTAGAACGCCACCAGCCTCTTGCTGCACGCATAAACAACAACAGCTCCAAGTTATTAGCTCTCCTTTCAGCCTCTCAATCCTCCTAAAATCACGCACCGGAAACGCGCCTTGGCGTCGCCCTTTCCTCCGAACAGAATGACGCTGACGATGGCTGCGAAGCACAGCACAGCTCCCGCCAGGAACAGCTTCTTCTCGGCCTCCACGCTCATCCCCAGCAACGACTCCTCCGCCAGCTGCAGCACCCACAGCGCGAGCTGTAGCGTCGCCAAAGCTGCCAGCACCCAGAACCAGGACGGTCGGATGCTGGCCAGCGCGTAGCTCAGCAGCGTCAGCAGGCCGCGCAGCACGCGCAACGACGCGTCAGCGTCCGCGCCGTCCAGCTCCGAACCAATGAGAGGCTGCAACAGCAACTGCGGCCGCACGTAGCAGGCCACCGCCGCCGCCAAGACAGCTACCTTGAGTCCCGACCCGAGCATGATGCGCAATGGCTCGATGTCTGGGCGATTTCCTGCTATTTTTAGCTGTTTGCGGCGCGCGGATTGGCCGATATTCGCCACTGCAACTTTTGGCAAAGTGGACGAGCATGAGCCGGCTGCGGCAGCTGATGGTGTTGAGCCGCGACCTGGCGCGCTCCAAGCAGTTCTACCAGGAGGGGCTCGGGCTCAAGCTGCTGCGCTCGTCGGACACGTTCGCTGAGTTCGACACGCAGGCGGGCGTGCCGCTGTGTATCAAGCTGGCGCAGAGGTGCGAGGGCTGCTTCGATATTGGTGGGAACTAAGGCGCTAATTGCTGGTGGGTGCGTATGATGCACTGCAGTGAGGCCGCGTGCAGCAGCGGCTACTCGCCGTTCCTGAACTTCGACATTCTGGACCTAAGCGACGCCGTGCCGCGGCTGCTGATGCTGGGGGCGATCATGGACGGCCCCATCAAGTACCCGGCGCACGGGAAGGTGTGTGATACTCTCGAGCAGTTGTCGACTCTTCTGATTTTATCCATAGCTTGATAACATGCATCTGGCGTGGTGGGCGTTTGGTGCAGGTAGCGGCGCTGCGGTCCCCCGACGGGGTCATGATTGGGCTGTACGAGCCCAACTCGTGGGACAACGTCACTTCAGCCTGATGATGGTGCTATATGTTTTGGAGCCATTGCGAAGCCGCGACTTCCACTGCCATAAGCACTGATGCAAAGTGACAAGGTGGCAGCGCACCGTGAGCATTTTCGCCGGTGTATTCACAAGGTACCATGATATCAGTAGTATGATCAAGCTACAACATGTCTAACCATTAAAGGGCTTCATCATGAAAACTTATTGATGTATTCCAAACAATACCGAGATCGACCACCTTAAACACGGTAAAGGCGGTCACTTGCTGCCAACATACCGGGCAGAAGCTTCTGCGCGCAGTCCATGCAGACTGCGTTGTGGCCACATGGGACGCAAACCGCTTCCTGATGCCCATCAAAGCAAATCACGCACTCGTCATTGCTCTGAGCTCCAGCACCTTGCCCAGGAGTATTCTTCGCAGGAGAGCTCAAGGAAGGGGGTGGAGATGCTGTGCCATGAGCAGCCGTCGAGTCATCGTGACGAGTAAGCTGCACAATCTCCACTCCATCAGGCCCCACAACCGTTTCCGAGTAACCGAGGGTTTCCAGCATTGTGTCGGAAGGAGGTGGAGCAAACGGCGCCGAGTTTGTTCGGGGGTGACGCCGAGATTCCTCAAGAGAGAGTCGAAGAGCTCGCTCCTAATCGCGTTGCTCCTGAAGCAGCGCGGCCTGGGTAGGACTTGGGCTTGGAGCCGACATAGCAGTCGGCCGAGCAGGTTGTGGTGGAGGAATTCGCTGACGTCCGAAAGCGGTTGTGATCGGACTCACTGGGGCGTTGACCAACAAGCAACATCGCACGTTAGAACGTACCCACAACAACTCATAGGGAATATCAGCAGAAAACGTTACCCGCAGGCTGGTCAAGAACGTTTTCCATGCAACGAGTTCGCCTTGGTTTGTAGCAGCTAAGTCCGTCGACTGATCGGCCGACGCTCGACTTGTGTCTAGCTTCCGCGACACCTTCTAAGACATGCGAAATTATTTTCGGTTGAGCCAAGTGCCATCGTCACTGTTAAACTCCGTCGCTTGTTCGATACAGCAAATGTTTGTCTTGATCAGATTAAAGTTGAAAACACTACGGCAGCGTAGTAACGCGTACCGTGGGCGCCGATATCCAGGTCTCATCGGGAACAGATCGATCTTGACAGCATTTCGCGCTGCAGGCCAAAGTACCATCGCGTATCTGGGCCCAATAAACACATTAGCGACTAAAAGATCTTCTCAAGAACCGCTCCTTGAAATATACCTCTTCTTCCACGAGTGCAAGCTTGATATTCCCGACGCAATCGACAAAAACTTGTCCGATCTCTCATACAGCCACCCTGAGTAGATACAGAGTTTTTACAATGACCATTACCAAACCAAATCAGACCAAACCGTCAGTGAACAATGCCACCAACTACCCCAATCCAGCAACATCAAGTCTTGTACCTTTTCAATGTGCCCTACGCACTGAATGTACTTGTGTCCTCGTCCCTCCGATGTTCTATACGAGTGGCGTGCGATGTCCATCGCTGTTTGCGCCTTGGTGAATGTCTTGGCGAAACAGTCCACCGCCGGAGTCTCCCAGCAGCAGCCGCACCACTTCGCTCTTGCCACAGGCCGTGGCGATGTGCAGCGGTGTGTTGCGCTGCGAGTCGCGGGCGTTGCAGTCCACGCCGTATGCGAGCAGCGCCTGCACACAGAGCAGATGGCCCTGCGAGCACGCGTTGGCCAGAGGTGAGTAGCCGTACACGGGGTCCCTCCACCCGGCGTGGAAGCTCATCTCGGGCGTGAGGCGCGCCAGTCCTTGACGCAGCGTCGACAAGTGCTGCTGGTCTGCGATGACTGGCAATGCGAACACCTCGTCGTTGACCTCGCCCCTATTGAAGTCGTCGACCTCTAGCGATGTGCCTTGAAGCACGACGAACTGCAGATTCGGACAGTGCACGCTCGTGGTGTTCCGCCTCAGTTGGTCGCAGCCGCGGAGGTTCAGACGCCGCAGCGACGGCGAGCGGAAGTACAAGCGGGTGAGGCTCTTGAGGAACGACAAATCCAGGTCCACCACGCGCTCGAGGTCCAGTAACACGAACTGCAACTCGTCGTTGCGCGACAGATCGAGCGTCTCCAGCCGCTTGGAAGTCACGTGCACTCGAGTGAGTTTCGCACAGCTGCTCAGGTCGAGCTTCCGCAGAGCAGGAAGATCTCCTGGATCCACCAGCACCTAATCAAGCTGCGAGCACCGGGCAAGACTCAGGACTTCCAGCGCAGTGACCTCGTGAGCGTATTCTTGATCAGATGACGCGCCTGCAGCGCCGACAAGTTTCGCGACGACAGCGTCAGCTTCTTGAGCTGCGGCAGACTTGTGTCGGCGTTGAACTTGTTCATGGGGCAGTGTTCAATGACCAAAACCTCCAGGTTCGGCGCGACGATGACAGGCTCTTGCACCTGATAGCATTCGCGAGTGGTGACATTCTTAAGCTCCTCGGCCATGAGATGCACGTGACTCGGCTGAATACGAGCTCTCGCAGCTTCCAGCCCTTGTTCAACCACGGCACGATCGCCTGCATGGTCGGCACCTCGGATGCGCGTATCGCTCGGAGACCTTCAGAAGGCACTTGTGGGTGAAATTGGTAGGAGCGACGAGCTGGATGCAGTGGGGAACGCGCTCTACAACGGTTTCCTTCCAAGACGGAGAAGCCCCTCGGGAGCTGGATGGAGCACTTTACTCAGCGATTCAAGCAGTGGTATCACACGGCGATCCGCGAGTCATATGGCTCTCTGGCCTGGGCATACCTCACAGCGCTGGTGCAGGCAACATGTCGAGCAAAGAACTGGCTGCTGGACAAGTCGACGCTGTACACGCGCGTCACCAGCTACACGCAGGACTCGCAGCTTCCCGCTGCTGCCGACAGCGACACTGGCTGCTTGGGCTCTTCCTCGAAGGCGCGTCCTTGGCGGGTGCCTAGCGCCACAACGGCCCACGCAGCTCGTGGAAGAGCTGCCCATTCTCCAGGTCATCCCTATCGAGGACAGTCGACTCAAGCTGCAGAACACCTTCACGCCGGTGTATGTCACGCAGAGTCGTCGGAATGCTATGGGGGTTGGTCTTGTCGTCGAAGCGGACTTGTACACGCCTCGCACTGGGTGCTGCAGGGCGTGGCGCTGGCGCTCAACACGGACTATTAATTATTGTCGCTGATGTGCAGTAGATAGCTGTCTGAACCATTGTTTCTGCATTCGTTGGTTAATTCACAAATGCCACACATACGTACGTCTACCCACCCCCACCAGCTACGGCTCGAACACTACCTTTTCGTCCAGCAGACGTTCGATATCCTGCTTGGACCGACCGAGGACATCCGCCAGGACCTGGCGTGTGTCCTGTCCAAGCTTTCGTCCAGCGAACTGCGTTACGCCAGGTGTAGCCTTCAACTTTGGCAAGATCGCCGGCACCCTTAACTTCCTCGTGTTATCCCCATCTGGGATTTCCACCTCCTCAAACATCCCACGCTGCTGGTACTGCGGATCCTTGACCATGTCTTCCACAGAGTAGACAAGTCCCACAGGCACGGTGGCCTTCTCCATCACTTTAACCACCGTGTCTAGCTCCTGGGTAGCAGTCCAAGCCACCATCGCAGCGTCGATCTCTGCTTGGTGGACAACACGGTCAGCATTCGTCCGGTACTTGCTGTCCGTCGCCATATCCTCCCGCCCGATAGCGTTCATGAGCTTCACGAACAGAGAGTCGGTGTTGGCAGCAAGGACGACGTTCTTCTTGTCCTTGGTGACGTACGTGTTCGAAGGCACGATGCCCGTGATGGTCGACCCTGAGCATTCACGAATCGATCCAGAATAGTCGTATTCGGGAACGACAGCTTCCATCAAGTTGAACATGGACTCGTAGATAGCCACATCCACAACTTGTCCCTTGTTGCTCAGACCAGCAGCAGCGCCCCTCTCACGCCCAAGAAGCGCAATGACAATGCCGAGAGCTGCGTGGATGCCAGCTATAGTGTCGCCGATGCTGAGGTTCGGGCGAGCCGGGGGACGATCCGCAAACCCGTTCACATAGCGAAAGCCGCCCATAGCTTCACACACGGAAGCGAATCCCGGTCTCGACGAGTACGGACCGTCCTGACCAAAGCCCGACACTCGGGCGTACACCAGCTTGGGGTTAGACTTCTCGAAGTGATCCGGACCGAGCCCCCACTTCTCCATGCGACCAGGCCTGAAGTTCTCGATGAGCACATCGCTCTGCTCGATGAGCTCTTCGATCAGCTTGCGCCCCTCTTCCTTCTTCATGTCGATTGCCACCGAGCGCTTGTTGCGGCCGAGGGAGTACCACCACAGCGACGTCTTGGTCGAGTCCAGCTCACGGTAGTCGCGCACCTGGTCGCCCGTAGGGGGTTCTACCTTGATCACATCGGCACCGAAGTAGCTGAGAATGGTACCGGCGAAGGGGCCAGCAATGAGGTGGCCGCATTCCACCACTCGGATGCCCTCGAGCGGCAGGGGACGGTCTCTCTTGGTCTTGGAAGATGACGGACCCGTGGTGATCGTCGTCACGCAGCGCTGCGCTTGACACTGCAGGAGCTTCTGGCGTCCCGCAATCAGCACGGAGCTTCGAGGCAATGGAGACAGCATTGGTAGTGGTGAGGGGGACAATGTGCAGCAGGGTGAGAGCCGAACGGAGCCAAAGCTGAAGTGACGCACTTCTGATGCGCAAACCATTATCTTTCGAACTTCAACCACTAAGCATCAGAACGGACGTATGTCATTATAGTGAGGGAGTGATGGCCAAAACATTGCTCAGGGCAAGATGGCTGGCGCATGGAGCGAGTAGTAGCTGCACGGGGCGCAAGTAAGGAAAGCTAGTTAATGCCAACGCTGTCGTTATGGTGAGCACAAGCCAAAGTAGTTTATAGTAGGGCGGTACCTGATGTTGGCGGCGTCTGTGAGGCACAGGAACGTCTGCTTCGTTGCTGCTCCAGCTCCGGTAGGCTCATGGGCATCAGCGCATTCCTGAAGCTCTAGGAGCCTGTCCCCAGCACGATAGCATTTGTGCGTTAGTGTCACGTGCTAATTGCAGGGGGCGAGAGTGAGGTACAACGCACCGCTTAATGCTGAGTGTGGAGGGATCTTGGGAGTACGAGACGGCTGGAAGCACCAGGAAGCAGCTCCACGTTGGCTGCTCGTTGTCGTTGGCCGCCTTTCCATTCTTCCGCTTGCGCTTGCGGTCGATGCGTTCTTCTTGGAGACTTGCAGTCAATGCGTACCCGTAAATCACATCCACTTCTTCGTTGGAGTCGGAGGAAAGGCGGAGGCCGCGTACAACTTGCCACTCGATGAGGCCGCGCTCCGTCAGTAGATCGTTCAGCACCTGCAGAACATGAACATGACAACATTAAGAGTATGCAACAGCAGCCACTTTATACGAGCTGTGAAGAATTACACCTCTTGAGTTCCCGGGGAGAAGAGAGAAATGTCCATTTCGTGTTGTCTCCACTTCGACGCCAAATGCAAAATGAGCCCAAAAAATTCTGAATCTGCTGGCAAGCCAAGGCCCTACAGCTAGTCCCACGCTAGCAAGCACCAAGCCTCTCGCTAGAGGGCTTCAAATGATGCGCTTCTCGCTGAAAAGCTCGAACAGCGTCTTGTGCTGCATCTCACCGACGACGAACGACAGCGTGGCGTTCTTGTAGTGATCACTGTTCACCGACAGGTTATAGATCACGTCCTCCAGCAGCACAGCCTTGCCCGAAAATGTCCCTGTGTAGATTGAATCGTCAAGCATTAGATTTCATTCGAAGTCAATCGTTGCATTGATCGACGGAGACCTACCGAAAGTCATTTTGACATGCGAGAAGTGCACGTGGAGGTGGTAGTAAGTCGGCTGATAGTGGAAATACATGCGCACCGAGCTCGGCTCCACGCCAAATTTCGTCTTCAGCACTTCGAGGCTCGAATCTCTGTTTGAAATTGAGAATGTAAAGCTGGGCAAAGTGCACGGAGACCAAACAACACCAAAATGCACAATAACAAACCTGATATTCTGCAGCAGCTTCACGTGTGAGGCGGTGAGATCACGGATCGATCGAAGCGAGCGGTCGTGAACGATCGCAAGACAGTAGAGCGATTCCAACTGCCCGCATGTAACACGAAGTGTCAGACATGGAGAGGCTCCTGCAATATCCCAGCGTTGGGGCCGTACATTAGCAGGGTTCGACCACTTGAAGTCAGGCAGCAGAATAAATCCATCACGAGGGTTTGCATCCTCGTAAATGATCCGCTCGCTCTCGCTTTTGCTACAATATAGACAGCGAGTAAAGTAAGTGCATGATGGTACCCCAATCGATCCCGGTAAATAATGGCTTAAACGTACTGGTCCAGGATATTGTAAACCCACTCGATCTTCTCTGCAGGAATGCTGTCGATGAATGGCTTCGTGATCGCTTCGTAAACTTCCTTGGTCTCGACGACCATGTGAAAGTTCTGGTCCGTATGCTTCAGCACATGCGTCTCCGTCGCCGGGTAGATCAGGTTTACCTACGCCAGATCCAGCACAAAAGTACATCAAAATTATGTTTTAAGATGATGATCTCTCTGCTGCTCAGATTATTCCATGCCTTGTAGGGCTTGATATCTCGCGCCACGTCTCCCTGGAACGTGCTGTAAATGTCATTTTTAAGATCTCATGCAATGACATGCCCGCCAGCAGCCGGTCCAGAGTGCCTGAGTCCATGGCCGCCGTCTGGATCACGAGCACCGCCATCTTCTTTTCGTTGTCGCTCTTGAAATTGCCCAACAGCGCCAGCTCCGTATCCGTCCGCCTGAGCACCCGCACAAGGTTGAAATCCTTGAGCCGCTTAGATCCAGCGCCCACAGTCGACTGCCTCCACAGCCACAGTCCACTCAGCACCGCCACTATCAGCGCGGCACTGATCGCTGGGCAATCCACGTGCTGAAACATTGTTGATCGCTTATTGACCAAGCTGTCGGAATCGGAAATGTCCCTTCTACAACAAATAGTCTGCTGCGTCATTCACAATGCGAGCCACCTCATCGACATGGGCTTGAATGGTTTCGCTGTCATCGTAGAACGCAATGGCGTCCGAGATCCCCGGGAAGGCAGCTCCAGCGTACCCTTCGTAGAATCCGGGGCCGAAGATGACATGCTTGTACCAGGGGCGGTGCGGAAGCCCCTCCTTGGTGATCAAGTGACGCTCGAGCAGCACCAGTTTCTTGTTCCAAGCATGCAATGCGTCGGCGTCCGCACTGAGGGTCTCGTTCGACACGAATGCCGTGAGCTGCGCGTGGAAAGTGTTGGCACTTGCAGTGAAGCGAGCGATGGCGCTACGCAGCTCACTGAAGTTCACGTCGGGCCGAGGGAGCGCTGCAACCTGTTGCTCCAGACTGGCCAGATCCTCCACCATCACGAAGCCGTACGTCGTAAAGTCAAACGGCAGCACTCGGTTATCAGCAAGTCGCAGTCCAAGCAGCCCCCACCATTGCGCAGTAGCTACGTGGGTGGCGTAGTTTGGATCAGCATACAGCTCCGAGTACATGATGCTGTCCATTGAGCTGTGGTAAACGCCGTACGGAGCGCGAGCGAGCGAGAAGCCCAAGTTGGCCGAGATAATCCCGAGATGCTGGTAGAACGCCGTGTAATCTGACCCCGAGCCCATGAAGCTGATTAAGTGCTCGGGGCCAAGAGTTCCGTCACCATGAAGGAACTGACGACGGACAACAGCTTGGTTGGTCCATTGCTCGTACAGTGAGCTCTCGGTTTCGTTACCACGGAATTTGTTCGCCGGTACGTCCTTCGCCGTCTGGTAAAGAAACTCTGCGATGGCGGGGCTGGCACTGGCGCTGACCAACGGACCCATCATGGAGTCCACGTTGAGGTATGCCACAGCCTGCTTCTTGAAGAGTTCGGCGTTCTCCTCGGCGTATTCAGTGCTACCCAGCAGCCCGTACTCTTCTCCGTCCCAAGAGCCAAAAATCAACGTGCGTCGAGGCTTCCAGCCTCGCTTGAGCAGCTCGCCATACCCGCGCGCAATCTCGAGGAGTACCGACGATCCGCTGTTTGGATCAATGGCGCCACATACCCAGGCATCGCGGTGGTTGCCCAAAAGTACCAGCTCGTCGGGCTCCTCGGAGCCTTCGATTGTTCCGATGACGTCCCAGATAGGGCCCACTTTGTTGTCGATTTCGATGTCCAGATTCACCACAGTCGCTTCATCATCGCCAATACGGTAGCCGTTCGGCAGCGCCAAGCCTCCTTGCCACGACGCAGGTGCTTCCTTGCCGCCCAGAGATCGGAGAATATGCTGTGCCTGGCCGTACGATAGCGGTAGTGCAGGGATGTGGGGGATTGTCTCCACTTCTTCGTACGGAATATGGTAAGACCCCTCCACAGATGCCCAACCGGGCGTCGACGGGTCTCCGGCAGCAAGTGAAAGGTATGTCAATGATCCACGCTGGAAAGAGCCCTCGGGACGCCACGGACCTTCGGGATATACTGGACCCTGCACGAAGCCGTCTTCCTTGGGGTCCGAGTAAATCAGTACGCCCACCATACCGTGCTGCTCAGCGGCCATGGCCTTCAGTCCGCGGAAGTTGCCGCCGTACCGCACAAGCGCGATCTTGCCCTCAAGCGTGACATTGTTGGCAACGAGCCACTCGAAATCCGCCTGCTTGCCGAAGTTCACGAACACGATGGAAGAGGTGACGTTCCCAGTAGCGGCATACGCTACGAAAGGGGGCAGCGCACTGTCGTCAATTGTGCAAGTATCTCCAGGCACGGACGCTTCAGTCAGGTTCAGCTCGCGCGCAGCTCCCGCAGGCTCCACGATCGCAAGACGCCGATGGATTGGCGTCGAAAGCAGCGTGTAGTACTCTTTGATCTCGGCCTTGATCCCGAACGACTCGAGCTTCTCGGCCGTGTACAACGCTGTCTTGTAGTCCTGCTCCGTACCGCAACTGTGTGGGGCACTCGAATACTTGTGCAAGTACTCGCGCATGTTGCCGGCGTCGACGTTGGCAACGAATTGCTGGTGGAGATCGGCGACGGACAACTTTGACACAACTTCATCGTTTACCACAGTAGCTGCAGCTTGCACACGATTGTTTCCGTCGCCGGCGCTGATGGTTGGGCTGGATTTCGTCACGTACCCTGCTGCAAGCAGGACAAGTCCCGCGACCGCAGCAACGCGCAGCAGTCCACTGATTCTAGTGCTGGAGGGGCCATTAGCTGCTTCTGTGTTCGTGTCTTGAAGGCTAGGACGCCCGTCGAAGGTGCCGTAGATTTCGTCGTCGTTGACGAGCACGGGACCTCGAGGCTTGCTGGCAGGTGGGAAGGACGGCATGCTGGAGCTTGAGAGAGATGCCGCCGATTGCAGAGTGGAGCGGAGGAGAGGTCATGCCGGACGTGATGCTTTGTGAGACCGTGATGAGTGTATCGGGCCAAGGCTGAAGCGGTGCGGATCTGCTCCGTGATTGGCTCGATGGGCTTCAACGTGGTCAACAGCTTAGCCCTCGAGGAATCGTGTCCGCCCTGCATTTCCCCAGCTTATCCGGATACGCAGCAATTCTGCTGGAGCTGCACGTTGGCTTTTCCTGCCCAGCACGGGGTTTAGAGCACGGTTTTGTATAAAATTGGATCAACGATATGAGGTGAAGTAAGGTAGTTATGCTGAAGCAGACTGATTCATTTCGTTTGCTGCAGCCCGGTACTGTTGGACGGGACTTCGCTGTGCTGAATTTTATGAGCGACGACAAGAGGATGGCTTCGTCGATCGAGTAACATGGTTCAGAAAGTACCATAGAGAATGTGGTAATGATACGAATTAGAACGGTTAAGCAATATCTTGGGCTGCAGCCCTACTCCTTCGGCGCGAGAGTTCACGGAATCGTGGTCTCCGGCCCCGAAGACGACGAGAGCGACGGCGCCAGGTGCTCCCAGATCTTGCGCAGGTCCGTGTAGTTATTCTCGATGAAGCGGCGGCCCTCGCGCTCGACCACGTCGCCGTTGGCGTCCACAAAGATGAGCGTCGGGATCGTCTTGACGTCGTAGCGCTTCCACAGGTCCTGCACGACGTCGCGTCGGTGGAAGGGCACGGCGAGGAACGGCGTCTGCAGCAGCGCGTCGTGGAAGGCCACGGGGCTCCGGTCGTTGGACAGCAGCACCACGTCCAGCTGCTCCTTCATGGCCAGCGACTTGTACGCGTTGAGCGTCATGTTGCGGTACACAGTCGCCAGCACGGGCGTGAAGGCTCGGCACGGGTGGCAGGTACTGGCCGTGAAGTAGAGCCCCACCACCGACTTGTGCGCCAGCGCCTCGAGCGTGGACGTCTCGCCGCGCCGCGAGACCAGCGTGCTGCCCAAGAGCTTCTCCAGGAGCGTCATTTTCAGTGGCTGTACAGGAGCGAGAGAGAGATCGTCCGGCGGATTGTCTGTGGGGTTCAGAGCAAGTTCTGCAATGGCCGAGGCGAAGAGAATTTTTGTGGATGTGCCCACCGACCGTTATTTTCCGCCGGTGGAGGCGTTCCGCCGTTGGTGTTATACTTGGCAATTGTATGCTCGAGATGGGTGACCTGCAGACGAACGTTGCAGTTGGTATTTTACGCGAATGGGTACGGTATCTCTATTACACACCTCCAACAAGCACATGGTATTAGTCCTTCGTACTCTTGAAGGCGCCTGCTAGGCATGATCCCGTGCGGACGCCTTCAAGAGTGCATCTAACTGGAGCAATGCGATTGTCTAGCGTGCATTAAATGATGCGCTTCTCGCGGAAAAGCTCGAACAGTTGCTTGTGCTGCATCTCGCCGACCACGAACGACAGCGTCGCGTTCTTGTAGTGGTCGCTGTTGACAGAAAGATTGTAGATCACGTCCTCCAGCAGTACAGCCTTGCCCGAGAACGTTCCTACGCAGAGCGAAGCAACGACGAACGAAGTTAGTCATGGTCCACATTCTTCAAGCAACACTTCGAAACGCACCCTGGGTCATCTTCACGTGCGAGAAGTGCACATGCAGGTGGTAGTACGTCGGCTGGTAGTGCAAGTACATGCGGATCGAGCTCGGATTCACGCCAAACTTTTCGCTCAAGACTTCCAAGCTCGCATTGCTGTTCGCAGTTAAAGAGTCAACATCAGGATTCGCCAACTTCAATGTACACTATCGAAACAGAGGGAACCACGTACCGGATATTCCGCAGCAGCTTTAAGTGTGATCCCGTGAGATCACGAAGCGATCGAAGCGATCGATCGTGAACAATTGCCAGACAATAGAGCGACTCCAACTGGAAGATCAAACAGTAGAATCCGTAAGTGTATCATGACGCGAAACCCTTTAGCACCAACAGCGAAGGAAGCACCTTGGTGGGGTCCGACCACTTGAAGTCGGGAAGCAGAAGAAAACCATTGCGTGGGTGCGAGTCTTCGAAGATAATACGTTCCGACTCGCTCTTGCTGCAACAGTCAATGCATACACACACATAGCGGTCAGTGCACCACATCTCGCCACCTGCTAGCAAAAATCACCAGCCCTCACTTACTGCTCCAAGATATTGTAGACCCACTCGATGTTCTCCGGAGGGATACTGTCGATGTACGGCTTGGTGATCATCCTGTACGCCTCCTTGGTCTCCACCACTATGTGGAAGTTCTGGTCCGTGTGCTTGCGCACATGCCGCTCCGTCGCCGGGTAGATCAAGTTCACCTGCACAACATTCATTCACAGTCAGCACACATTGTATCCATCCCTCTCCTTCTCTTCCTACGCCTATTGCAACATTCCCGCACCTTGTACGGCTTGACATCTCGCGCCACGTCTCCCTGGAACGTGCTGTAGATATCGTTCACCAGGATCTCATGCAACGACATGCCCGCCAGCATTCGGTCCAGAGCGCCAGAGTCCATGGCCGCCGTCTGGATCACGAGCACCGCCGCCTTCTTGTGGTTGTCGCTCCTGAAGTTGCCCAGCAGCGCCAGCTCCGTGTCCGTCCGCTTGAGCACGCGCACGAGGTTGAAGTCGCGCAGCATCTTGGAGGAGCCTCCATCCTCCACCGTCTGCTGCCACGCGTACAGCGCGCCCAGCACGGCCGCCACCAGCGCCACGCCCACGCCCAGACGCTCCACCTGGGCCAGCAGATCCAGCAGCCCCATGCTCCTGATACACTTTTGATTGGGATGACGCCACCGAGCGCTGATTGGCCGTTACTCGATGTCTGAGGATTCTGAGTCCAGCCTCAAGAAGAAGACCCAACAGCAACAAAGAGACAAGCCGAGAGAAGAGTCGAGATGGAGACCTCTGGCGGCGATAAGCCCATGTACCCGCAGCTTCCTCGGGCTCGTGAGGTTTCGACAAGCATCCAGGTAGTTTGTGCTTCGCTGTATGGCCTGGTGTATGGCCTTGGTAGCTGACGTTGGGTGGGGTTCTTGCTAGCATGACACTTCGCGCGACGAGGAGATGGCGCGCCAGCTGCAGGCGCAGTACGACCAGGGCCAGATCATGGCGGTGGCGCAGCCTGTGCAGCAGTCCGAGCTGCCCTACAAGTGCGGCAACTGCGGCACAACGCACGTGGTGCGCAACGTGACGCACGGCTCCACGTTCCAGTGCACAGTGTGCGGCGCGCCCAACCAGATCCTGCTGCAGCGCCGCCCCGTAGTTGTTGTGTACGTCCTGCAGCGTAGTCTTTTGTGCTGTACTCTGGCTAGTGGACTTGAAAATGCTGACGTGGAATGCTGTTGTTGTGCCTTTCGGTGCATTGAGCAGCGACCACTCGTACGGCTTTGTGCCCATTCCTCTATTTTGCAGCATCATGTAGCGTGGCTGCATTGCGGTCTTGGCACAACCGGCAAAGCAGCTTGGCAGTGTCTGAGAGGTGTCCAAGCCGCTCTGGAAAGGCGAAAGCAGAGGTTCTACCGCAGAACTTCGGCACAAGTCGATCTACTTTTATTTACTGTGACAACAAGCTTACTTCTTATTGACTCATAGCCATTCTCAGTGTCTTGGACACTGCGTGCTCATTGCTTCAACGTCGGGCTAACGTAGATCGTAGCATTCACGGCAGCAACAACACAATCGCTGATAAACTTGATGGTCGAGTCAAGTTGAAGCGGAGCTCTACCCCTGTCAAAGACGGTATCCGATTAGGCAGTTGACAATCATACGCCCTCTTTTTGAGACACAATCAGAAAGAAGCTGAAGATGGCGGACGAGGCTCAGATGGCGGCGGGCGTGAAGGCCCGCGCGGCGCAGGTGCAGGGGCTGCTGGCCCAGCGCAAGAACGAGGAGGCGGTGCGCGCGGCGCTGGAGGACCCGCCGCTGCAGTCCAAGAACGACGCGTTGAGAACGGAGAACGCGCAGGTGGTGATGACGGCGCTGCTGGCCTGCAACAAGGGCGAGATGCAGCGCGCCATCGACTCGCTCAACAACGCGCTGGAGGACGCCCTCATGAAGTATATCATGCGCTTCTTGGGCATGGCGTCGCAGAGCGCGGCCATGCTGGAGTGGCACCAGAAGCTGGCGGCCAAGGCTGGATCCGGCTGCGTCATGCGCGCCTTCACGGAGCGGAAGCAGGTCTGAGCGAGCGACTGATACTGAGGACGGACGCATAAAGCAGTAACGTCAATGCCACGTACAGAAATTGCAAGTTGTCGTTGAAGGGGGAGGGAGTTGATTGTTGATTCTATCTTGAAAGTTGAAGAGTTGGGTTGTGGCTCTAGAGCACAGGGGCGACATCGTCGGGGTCGGCGACATCGGATACGAAATCCTTGATGAGCTGCATGGTCTGGTTGGTATCGGCATCTTCGTTGGCGAGATGGTGGACAATTGTGAAGTGGTTGCAGTTGGACACGACGTGCCGCTCGATAGACGTCTGTGGTAGCAGAATCGGTTAGTGAGGACCGAAGCAATACGTAGAGCAATTAGCTTGGTTCCTTACGTTTCCTGCTGCGGATAGCCATCGCTCCAGCTCCTGTGCGTCTTCTTGAAAGTGGAAATCTTCTTGAGCATTTACTAGGAGCAGTGGCATTTTGGCTAGTGGCGAGTTGGGTCCGACTCTGGTGACTGTCATGCCTATCGACGCCTCTCGCCATTGCTCAACCCTTTCGCCAAACGGCGGATTTGTGACCAGCGTCCCGTAAAACGACGTGTTGGCGAGTCGAACGATGTTGTAGACGCCGGAGATTCCCACAGCTCCTTTCACGAACGTGTCAACCGGCTGCTCCATCCCCGCTGCTTGTAAAAACTGTGGGTCAGCCAGGATATGCATGACCAAGTGCGCACCTGCACTGTGACCCACCAGCACCAACTTGTCCGGGTTACCGCCAAACTGCCATCGCCAAATTCCATCATCAGTAACTCCAATCTCCAATCTACCTCCAAGCCAGAAAGAACTCCATCACCTTTGCAATATTCCTGTGCAACCACGTCACCGCAGCTGCCACGTCCTTCACATGCTCCGGGTGCTGCGCTTCTGGCGACAACCGATAGTTAACCGAGACGCCAAGGTACCCAGCGCGCACGAACGCCTCGTCGATGTCCTGGTTGAGTCCGCCGCTCTTGTCCCCTCGCTGCCACGACCCGCCATGCACGAACACGCACGTAGGCAGCTTGGCGCGCGGAGGAATCCTGCGCGGAATGGCGATGTCCAGCGCCTGCAAGGCATGCGGCGACTGCGTCACGTACGGCACCTCCTTCCACGCATAAGCGCGCAGCAGCGGCAGCGTGCGGCGCAGCATCGTCAAAAATGTCAGCTGCCGATCGATCTGATACCCGGTCATCATCCGATCGATTACGGTACTACGTGTCTCACTTAAGTACGTTCTATTGCCTCTGAGCCATTTGCAACAACGCTGACAGGACCATGGCGGCGAGAGCGAACGTACGCGAGCGCTGTGGAGCTTGTTCCTGCCTCTACTAGCGGTCTGTAGCCCGTGGCTAACCCTCTAGTGCATTCTTCTACCGCTTGTGCGCAGTACCGGGCCTCCATCCAGTTCCCCAACGCGCACAGCGACGGCATCTGGAGCACGTTCTGGACGTCCAATGACAAGATTCTGACCGGATCCGTGGACGAGGTGGCCAAGTCCTGGTGCGTTGAAACGTAGCTGTGGAATATTACAACACAGAGGGGGAGGAGATTGGTGCACTGGGTTGACGGTGCTGTTGTTATTGCTGCTGCAGGGACGTGACGGAGGACGCCGTGTCCATCTCGCAGCAGTATCCGGGCCACGTGCTGGGCACGATCTCCATCGTGGGCAACAAAGCCGGCACGCACGCCGTCACCAGCTCGCTGGACTGCCAGCTGCGCGTGCTCAACCTCTCGACGGGCGCTGTAGAGAAGACCATCGACGCCGGCCCAGGTGAGCTTTGGCAGGTGGCCTATAGTCCCGACGAGACCAAGCTCGTGTCCGGCAGCCAGCAGGGGAAGATCAACTTCTTCGACATCGAGACGGAGAAAATCGCGCAGGAGATCTCTACGCAGGCCAAGTTCGTGCTGAGTGTGGCCTACGTACGTGTTATGAGGTTTTGGCGTTGTGTGAGGGCGTGAGCTGACATGATAGTGGTTGCTTTTGCAGTCCCCCGATGGAAAGCACGTTGCGTGCGGTGGATTCGATGGCTTTGTCGGCGTGTATGACGTCGAGACGGGATCGCTTGTCCACAAATACGAAGGTGTGCGGGAATGGTGGTTGTGTGTGTACATGGGATGGTCGAGCTCATGAGGTGTATTGTGATGGTGGATGTAGACCGCACCAAGCCTGTGCGTTCGGTTGCGTACTCGCCGGATGGAAAGCTATTTGCCGCTTCGGATGACATGCACGTCAATGTCTACGATGTGTAAGTGGGAGTATTCCCGGTCTGTTGATTTCCAAATAATGGTGTCTAAAGTTGCTAACTATTGCGTTTGATCTTCCCCGCGTGCAGTGCTCATGACAACGCTGTCGCCACTCTGTCTGGCCACGTCTCCTGGGTGCTGAGCGTCGCGTGCTCGCCCGATTGTACACAGTTTGCGACTGGGTACGCTGTTGGTATACCTGTTATGTAGCATATCGTGGTAACCTAACATTGTGTTTCTTTTGTTTGAACGCTGGTGATAGTGGTGCGGACCGGCGCGTGAAGATTTGGGACATCGGCACTCGACGCTGTTTGACCACGTTCGATACCCACACAGACCAGGTATGCACATGCTTGACCGATTCATGCATGTTTTCTTGAACACGTCAACTGACTGAGCTGTTTGGTAGGTCTGGAGCGTTGCGTACAACTCGTCAGGATCGCGACTAGTGTCGGGAGGTGATGATGCACTGCTGCAAGTGTACGAGACTGCCACGTCCGCTTAAGCGCGTTTTCGAGGGCTCACTGCGACGTTAGATAGTGCGAAAACGTGAGCATTTGACCCGGGTAAAATGAACTTTCATTTTGATGATACTAACATGATTTCGGGCATTGTGGCATCGATGGACTCGGGCTCTGAAGAAAGCCAAGGCAGATTGAGTATCTCCGTGAGCGCGATCCTTTTGGCAGGGTTCTTCTCTAGCATCCGAGCAGTAAGATCTTTCAGCTGAGGTGACACGAGCTCCCACTGCTTCTCCCCGTAGCTCACATCGCCCAACATATTGCGCGCCAGGAGCTGGTAAGTGTCTGCACCAGAAAACGGGATAACCCCTGCCAGCATGTGATACAGCATGATACCAGCGCCATAGACGTCTGCTTCAGGACCGCAACAGCCTCGAAAGCGTTCTGGAGCCATGCACCCGTAAGTACCTGCACTTGCCATTTTCTCTGAAAGCTCGGTCCTGCGACTGGAGTTGCTGTCCAAACATGCGCCACTGCCAAAATCCACAAGCTTCAAGTTGCTGAACTTGCCGCTCTGGTCGTCATCGAAGAGGATGTTGCTGGCTTTGACATCCAAGTGCAGCACGTGGTGTTCGTGCAGCAGGGACAGCGCTCGACACAGTGCAATCAGCACGTTGCACGCAAGTGCTTCAGGAAGCGGTCCGCGCTCTCGGACCCGATCAGCAAGCGAACCTCCAGGGTAATAGTCCATGACAATGGTCACACACTTGGCCTTGTTGTCTTCAAACAAGAAGGAGTACCGAGGAATGAACCGCCCCAGCTCCCGGTTCTCCCGACTCAACGTCATGAGCCGCGCAGTGAGGCTAAGTTCGTCGCGGCAGCGAAAGCGGTGCACCCTTTTGAGCACAAACTGCTTTGCCGGATCGTAGCAGTCGTGGCACAAGTAAACCGCCGAGTTGGGGCTCTTGGCGATGCTCTCGTGGGCCGACAGTCGCTGCAGCAGCACTGCGAGCGCGATCCAGCGGCTCAACGTGTCGAGCGCGAGTTGTCGCTGCTCGGCGGTCTCGAACTCCAGCGACAGCGTGTCGTCCTTGCGCACCCTCGAGCTCACGAGCACGAGACGCTTCTCTCCCACTACGCGCATCCGGGTATCCTCTCCAAGCAGCAACATCCGTAGCGGGGCGCCGGGCTCAAGGCGTCGAGGATCTTGGCGGTACACGCTCAGGATCGGCGACTTGGAGCCGCGCAGCACCACCCACCGGCGCTTGGTCACCCAGCGAGGGACGAACCGGGCGCATTTGACGCGCGCAGCCACGACGAACTCGCTCGGCAGCACTGTGTCAATGTCGTGGCCACTAGCGGAGACCTTGGCATCCAGCGTCGGCAGGTTGGCCATGATTGTTTCGCCCTGTTAAACGCCATTCGGGCACTGGATGGCGGCCGGCGGATTGCCCCACGCTCTTGGAGCCCGAGTCGGGATACGGAGTCGATCGACGAAACCCCATGGACCGTCACGTCAGACGACCCGGAGGCGCAACCCCCGGCTTCAACTTCTGAAGTGCGCCACATGAGGTCTTAGTCAAGGGGATAAAAAACATTCCTGACCAATCACCTGCCACGAAATGCAGCTATTTCTGAATCATAAAACCATCCCTGGCCAATCAGACGCACTTTCACAACGCGCGCTGACTATTATCTGACTCGCCGACCCAGCAGCTCATCTCGGTCTTCGTTGAAGTGAAGCGGCAGAGATCATATCTTCATTCCTGCCTTGGGCTCTCTCAGTCTCCATTATTCTACGAGGCGCGCAGCAGTTTCGGCGGCGATTGAAGCCGATCTTTTTCGAGCCGACCGACCGATGGCCATGGCGATGCGCGCGCCGGTGTCCATGACGCCGCCGCCCCGCCGCGCGTCGTGCGGCGGCCAGCAGACGGGGGAGGCCAAGACGCTCAGCGGCGGCGGCGGTGGCTGGTTCTACCACACGGTGTCGGCCGCCACGCCCACGGAGAAGCGCAAGGCCAAGCTGTTCCACCAGGAGGCGGGCGAGCGCGAGCCGCAGGCATGCGCAGACGACAGTAGCGACAGCAGCGACGACGACACGGCCTCGCAGCAGTACGTGTGGAGCGTGGGCTCCAGCCGCAGCCGCAGCGTGCGCCGCAGCAGCGTGGACAGCGCCGGCACCGTGCAGTTCGAGCGCACGCGGGAGATCGCCGGCAACCTGCAGGACAGCATCTTGGCGCGCATCTCGACGCTCCGAGCGCTGTGTGACGAGGGGTTCATCACCGAGGAGGAATACGAACGGTGTGTAGTGAGTGGTAGAGTTGAGCTGAGGGAGGGGAGGAAGGAAAGGAGGGATGGGCCTTGACACGGTTGTTGTTGCTGTGCAGACGCAAATGTGCCATCGTGGACGAACTCACGTTCTCGTCGCTGGCGCCGGCGTCGAGCACGCAGAACACGGTCACGCAGAGGAGACGCATGTCGTTCCGACGGACGGAAGGTGCGTGGATCTTATGGTTCATTAAGGCCACGAAGTCTAGAAACTGACACGTGAGTTGTTATTACCGTGACTGCAGGTTTGCCGCTGATCGTGCCGCACGCCCCGGACTTCCGTGAGATCAGTCCGGAGCTTGCTATCAAGCACGTGTTCAACTACGCTACGCGTCAGTGGAGCACTACCCAAGTGTGCATCAACTTGGACGAGACACCTTTTAGCAAGGGAAGTCTGCGGATTGTCTATCACCTGCAGGACCTCAGCATTGAGAGCTCCGCGAGCTTGTCCAATGGAGGCTGCTACACAGGCAGCTATGTGGCCAAGCTGGCCATCGACCCAGACGAAGATCCGCAGACGTATTTCAGGGACATCGAGCTGCAAGCTCACTGCGCGCACTACGCGCAAGTGTACAACTCGTACACGCCACCCAAGCGCGTCGAGTTCATCCCAGCTTGGGTGCTCGAGTTGCCCGAGCGGAATGGCGCACTCTGCGCAGTTGAAGCCTACATCCCTGGCGAGTACCGCAAGCACAATAACAACTTCGGGTCGGTGAGTGACGACGAGCGCAACACACCTCAAGCTTTCTCTCACTTCACGTATGAGGCCTCGAACCACGAGTTGCTGGCTGTCGACATCCAAGGAGTCGGCGACCTGTACACGGACCCGCAAATCCACACACTCAACGGCCACGACTTCGGCAAGGGCAATCTCGGCGTTCTGGGCTTCCAGAAGTTCCTCTCGTCGCATCGGTGCAACTCCATTTGCCGCTACCTGAAGCTACCAGCAGTGAACCCCAAGTCCCGACATGCCGACTCAGGCACTCTACCGGTGCAGGAGCTGATGAACCGAGATCGCGTACGACCAACGCATTTCGACTCGCGGCATTACTACGAGAACGCGCCCATGCTGCAGAAGTACGTGACGCAGTGCCGCGAGATGGACAGTCGGTTGTCCGCCTCATCCTCGAGTTGCTCCAAGCGATCTCGAAAGCGTCGCAGCCGTCAGCCGTCTGGTTTCGCGCACTTCTGCAAGGCGCTGTTCTGCGGGGGCTGCTAACCGCACACCTTCATGGCAAGGTATCTATCTACACTTACACGCTACATATCTGCACAGAATTTGATTCCAAGTTCCCGTCGGCTAAAGTATAAGGTGAATTCAAACTACACCTCACCTCTAGACACCACCAAATACCAATGCCTATGAGCTCCACTAACTACTCTACGCCGATTTCTCGCCGTACACGGCCTGGTTCACCAGATCGAGCAGGGTGTCGCCAAAGGTTTCCAGAGAGAACAGCTTCTGAGCCCGGAGTCTGCCGCACGCGCCCATCTCGACAACCCTGATGCTGTGCTTGGGTCCGCAGAGCTCTGCCATGACCTCAGCGAAAGCCTCAGGCTTCTGCTGGCATAGGAAGCCCGTCTCGCCATCGGCGATGGACTCCAGAGGACCGCCAGAGCTCACGGCCACAACGGGAGTACCACAAGCCATGGCCTCGACGGGGACGATGCCAAAGTGCTCACGGTTGGGTGTGTACAGAATGGCATGAGCCTTGCGCAGCAGCTCTAGCTTCATGGAGTTCGACACGGACGTACGGAACTCCACGTGCTCTCCAAGGCTGTGCTTGGCTACCACATCTTGAAGCTCAATCAGGTGTTCCTTGTTCTCAGCGTTGAGCGGGTCGTATCCTCCAGCGACAATGAGCTTAACACGCTGGAACTCGTCGCTTGGCAGTCGGTTGCGCAGCTCCACGAGCGCTTCGATGGCCAGAGCCACGTTCTTCTTACGCTCGAAGCGGTTCAGCGACACAAAGAGACCGGAGTCGCGCTCCACATCTGCCTCAGCAGTAGCTTTATACGCCTTGACATCAACAGGCGGGTACAGCACACCGAGCGTCTTGGACTGCAGACGCGGGAAAACCTCCTGGAAGACCCCGCGCGAGAACTTGCTGTTGGCCACAATGATATCGGACGCCGCCGTCGTGATCTCCTCCAAATAATCCAGCGGCACGCGGTACAGCCGCTTCCAGGGCGAGTCCGAGCGGATGCAGAGCAGCTTGTCCGGGAAGTGGCCGTAGAAGAGCACAGGCTTGCCCAGCGCGCGCAGGAACGGGATGGAGATGGACACTTGGTCCACCACGAACACGTCCAGGTCGTTGATGTAGTACACCGCCACGCACAGCGTCACGAGCAGCACGCGCACCACGGCGCAGAACGCGTAGAGCTTGCCCAGGATCGTGCGCGGCAGCCAGTCGCCGTGCACGCGCACATGCGCCGCCAGCGGCCCGTCGCCGCGCGTCTCTTCGAAGCAGTGGTTCACGTCGTGGTGGGCCGTGAACACGGTCACGTGAGCGCCGCGCTGCTGCAGCGCCACCGCCGCGTTGACCACGAGGTTCTCGGCGCCGCCGATGCCGAAGTCCGGGTGCAGGAACCCCACGCGAAGTCCCTTGGTCTCTCCACGCGCAGCACGAGGGACCGAGCAGCTCAAGCCGCGCACGAACGCCCAGACCACGAAGATGAACATGAGGACCCAGGGGGCCGCCACGGCGGCCAGCGCCGGCGGAGGAGGAAGCGCCATGGTGATCGTAGCTGCGGCTGACGCGTCCCGCAATGAATGCCAAGGCACTACTAACTGTCAAATGTTATACTACTACAGGGTATCAAGTTGTGCAAGAAATGTAGACGAATGATGCAGAACGACATGGCTACACATTGGATTTCGTGCAGGACGGAGGACGGGATCAGTAGCATTGGAACGCAGGGACGGGAGGGATGACGGTCGGGTCCCAGCGGCAGAAGTAGCCCTTCCATAGCCTGCAGCAGCACAGAGCAAAGGTGTTAGAGATGCACTGGTGTCGATGGAAGTGGCATAAGCGTTGGAACGCACTTGATGTTCTTGGAGAGCGTGCTGGGCGACAGCACCGTGGCCTGGTCGCTGGGCGCGTACATGTGGTTCGTGAAGCGCTCGCTCTGGCTGTTGATCTCGCTCCAGATCGAGAACACGCGGTGCTTGGCAAAGAAGTCCTTCCTGTTGCGGCATCGAGAGTGAGATACCCGTCTTCAGGCAGCTATAGCAGTCAGTGAAGGTAGGGACTTACCGTTGGCGCTCGCAGTCGAACATGAACGTCCCGAATTTGCACGAGTAGACGTGGTCAGCAAGCGTGAGCAGAAAGCTCTCGTTGAACTCGCATTCCGTAGGGTACTGGCGAATGTACTGCCAAACGCAGTCCAACCAGAGCAGGAACACAGGCGAGCGTTGCTCATTCGAGACGTCACTGCGAGCGTGGCCACTCCTCAAAGCGAACTGGTGGCCGAAGCTACACCACTCCTTCTCCACCAATACCTGTACATGATCAACGTCAGCATAATGAACTATGAATTGTGAACATTGCAGTAAGTACCGTACCTGGAATCCACGTAGTGTACGGTAGTACGGATCCAGCATGAGCTCGGCCAATGCTACCATTTGCGCCGTACGGTCCCAGCCATCGCTGCAGTGCGTCAACACCGACGTGCCACTGTTCACTGTGTGTGCCAGCTCCACCGACGCCTTAAGAAGCAGACGCACATGGCGTAGCCAACCAGAACTGTCGATTCGTCCGTAGAAGCTGCTGGACGTGTCCTCGCTCGCGCTCTTCTTGGGCTCGAAGATTGCTGCAAGTGCGAGTTGCGACTGCCGCACCGAGTGAATGTTCTCGACGTTCATGAACATGAGCTTAGCTCCGCGGTAGTTGCTCGAGATCTCCGTACCTTTTCCCATGGCCTTATTGCCCACGGCGGCAAGTTGACTGCGAGCATCCATGATCACGTAGCGTCCGAACGCTTTCTTGTTGCTAGAACAGCACAGCAGCTGAACGAGCAGTTCATCTTCTCCACTGCGTGCAGACTTCAAACCCACAAGCGGTTGGCTCGACCGAACGATTGTAGCTCCGTTGTCGCGGTGGATCCAGCTCACGACAGGTAGCCGTTGGTGCGACCGGAACGTAGCTGCTGCTTTCAGGCGAACGTCCGAGATGTCGGCAGGCACGATAAGATGCCGCGGATACGTATCACACAGCGTGTACTTGGGAGACTGGTCGATGCAGCGCAGGTGGTCGGGCATCGAAAGCAAACCGATGCGCCCGTACTCCTGACGAATATCAAACTGTACTTCTTCGGATGGCGCCACAGTTGGAGAATACGCGAAGCAAAATGCATCTAGCAGGCTTTTCGGGAACGCCAGGAAGCTCAAGCACTTCACAAGCTTGCTGTACTCGCCATGGTCCGAAATCGATAGTCGCGCCACTTGAGTATCTTTACAACGAATCACAACCTTGTACGAGTCATCTGGAACAAAACCCAGCGCGACTTGCACATTCTCCAGCGATAGACCAGTAGCACCCGTACCCAACGGAATCGCACGAGGGTCAACACGGTCAATTGAGGCTATCGAAAGGACCGGGATCTGCCAGTCAATTTCTCCGCGACCGAGCAGGCGCGTGAAAAAGCACCGGTAGTTTGTAATGAACAGCTTCCCGCTAATGTAGTGAGATAGGCACGATCCGTCGTGAGAGAGCACAAGTCGCTGCATGCTAGTCTCGACGTTAGCGTAGCAAAGCTCGCCGGGCAAAAACACTGGTTGCACTAGCTCGGACAGCGCCGTATCTGTGGCCAATGAAGAGCCTGTTGCATCCGAGGCGTCGACAGCTTCAGAGTCCTCGGAAGTAGTAACATCGGCGTCGCCATAAGCCTCACCACAATGGCAAAACCCCATGTAAATCGGACGGTCGATTAGCTGGAGTCGGCGCTTCACTTCTTCGGTAGTCACCCCCACGATAGGTACACCATTAATCGACTGCAGTAAATCGCCAAGGTGAACTTTGTCGCTAGCTTCTGCCTGGCCCACACCATCGCTCGAGGTTGGGTCTTTCGTGAAGGATTTCACCGCCAGTCGATCTTCAAAAGGAGCTCCAGCCGCCGTCAGAATTATACCAAGTGAGCCTTCTTGAAACTGAACAACTTCTATCTCCCCAAACGTATCCTTTTCTCCATTTTCCTCGTTCGAACCGACAGTATTCTTGTGCTGCGTTTCCTCCATCATTGGGTTTTGCAGGATCTTGGCAAACTTCGTCAGCTCCAGCGCCTGTGTTTTCCTCTCCAAACCAGAACCATTAGCCTCCTCCTCTTGGTACGCGCGCATGAGCAGGCGCAAGCAGCCAGTATTATCCGACTGGCGCAATAGCGACGACATCTGCAGCAACCTCGCAACACAGATGTAACGCAGCAATGGGAAGCCGATCCACGACGCGTCTTCATTCTTCGTGACCAGCTTGGGCAGCTGCAGCAAGTCGTTATCGGACTTGTCCGTCATGTTGATCTTCGGGAAGTCGATAGCCTCCCGACTCGCATCCAGAATCATCGCGTCCCAAATACACAGTAACTCTTTCAACGCGTACTCTCGAGCAAACAACAAGCGAATCCAGCGCAAACAGTACGTCTCCGGCACAATCTCCAGGTTCTGCAAATGGTAGTAAAGCTGCGGGTCCTTCTGCTGCAGCAGCTCGTACTGCACATGGTGGCACAGTCGATGCAGCGCTGGCTGCTTGCCTCCGTCCCTCGTCTGCAGTCCATAGGCGGCATTCCCAGCGTCGTTCTCCTTCAGGGTGAAGTTATCAAACAGTCTACTGCCATCCCGCGCCGCGGAACCCGTCGGCGCCTCGGGTCTCGTCTTGACAATTTCATAAAATGGCTTCAGGAACAGCATGACAGCCTCAAACACCAGGAAAGTGTCCGCCTCGGCATGTTGCCGGAGTTTCTTCTCCTCAATTACCTCCGTCTCCTGCTCCTCTTGATCCTGCAAGAAGGCGTAGAGCACCACAGCGACCACGTCGTGCATCCCTTGGCGGTAGGCCACGTCCGGGTGCAGCCTGCACCAGACGAACAGCACGTGGCGCAGCGTGCTGAGGTAGATCTCGTTCTGGAAGAAGCCCTCGTTGCCCGCCGGGAAGAGGCGGTCCAGGTCCGTGTTGATCTCCTCCAGCAGGCCCTCGTCCGTGAAGTACTGGCTCCAGCTGTGGTCGTGGCCATGGTCGTGGCTGCTTGAAGCTGCGTCGGTGGCGGCCGCGATCGCGCTCAGCGGGTCCGTGATGCCCGCCGCGTCGATCTGGAACACCAGGTGCTGCTTCAGCCGCTCGTAGCGCTCGCGCTGCGCCGCCAGAACGTCCCCGCGCAGCCCCAGCGCCGCCGCCCAGCGCGCGCCGCGACTAGTATCCATCGCACCTTCTTTTGATTGGGATCTTCGTACGGAAGTTGTTTGAGGGAAATGCCTCGTTTAGTATTAGATTTGAATTTTGTATGCTGGGGACTGGGCTAATCAGCGAGCGTATTGACATGACAGTGACTTCAACCTTTCAGTTTTCGTGTCGAAATGTATCATCAGCAGAATTGGATCTAAGACTTGGAGTGACTGAATCTGCGCATTGTAGAATCGGCGGCGTTGGTGATATGGTGAAGAGAACGTATTTCCAGTTGGTGGAAGGGGCGACTCGTCCCAACTCTCGGACTACTTGAAAGTTCCTGATGACGCGAAAGTCGACAATTTTTGCGAGATGGCACTCGAAAGGTACAGGGAATACAAGGGATCTCTTGGTGTCAGAGCACTGGAACCTGACGGGAGCGATGTTCTTTGTGAATACATGCGCTGTATGGATAGACATTATTGACATTATTTTCTGTGTCAAAACTGACCCGATGTCCGTCTGGCAGCGCGAAGTTGAAGTTGTCGGGGGCGTCTGCGGTTGGGGCGGGGTGCTGGTTGCTTACTTGGCGAACAAGAGGCTGGCGTTGGTTCCTCCGAAGCCGAACGAGTTTGACATGACAGCGTGGAGTTCCTTCTCTTGCGGCTGCTTCGGGACGTAGTTGAGCGTGAACTCCTCCGTCGTCTCGGTCAGGTTGAGTGTAGGCGGCATCACGTTCTGTTGGGACAGCGTTTTGGTGTTAGTATGGCAACAATGATGATAAGTAGTTATGGAAGCTGTAGACTCACGTGATGAAGCGCCTTGATCGCGAAAATTGCCTCCACAGCACCAGCCGATCCTTGCAAGTGGCCGATGGATCCCTGTTCAAGACGGATGGATGGAAGGTTAGATACTTTTCCATGCGCATCAAAGTCTAGCTCCATACCTTGGTGGAAGACACGCCGAGCTGGTTAGCATCATCTCCGAAGAGGGTTTTGATGGCCTTGTTTTCGGCGCGATCGCCCAGAGGAGTGCCCGCAGCATGAGCGTTGATGTATCCGATGTCAGACAGCGCAAGACCCGACTGTGCTAGAGCTGATCGCATGGCTCGTCGAGCACCGTCGCCGTCTTCTAGTGGAGCTGTGATGTGGCTGCCGTCGCCGCTGAGACCGTAGCCGCGCACCTCGGCGTAAATTCGAGCCCCACGCTTTTTTGCGTGCTCATATTCCTACGTAGCACTAATGTAAGTATTTTTATAGTGAATGCAGCAGCGGTAGAGTTCAGGGACGCACCTCGAGAACAACGACACCAGCGCCTTCACCCATGACAAATCCGTCGCGTTTCGAGTCAAATGGCCGCGAAGCTTCTTTCGGGCGGTCGTTGTACTGTTGAGGAGAAGAAATGATGCATTAGCTGTTGAATTGTATGAGGTAGAGCTCCGAAAGGCACAAACCTTCGTCGACAGAGCTCGTGGGCGATCAAATGCGCAAATAGCCATTTCGTTGATGCTCGGCTCCGTTCCCCCAGCGACCATCACGTCTGCATCTCCGTGCTGAATAAAGCGCGCGGCGTCTCCAATGCTGTGACTACCAGTAGCGCACGCAGTCACGCACGAATGGACTGGTCCCTACGTTGGTGGCGAGTTGGCAAGAACATCAGAAAGGGGTTAAGACGGCGCTTCATTCGAAGTAGCAGGAGGTAGTCATTACCCTTAGTCCGTGCTCAATGCTGACATGGCCGGCTGCAAGGTTGATCAGAATGCGCGGCACGAAAAACGGCGTGACACGGCGGAATTTCTGCAAGTAAGTGCACGGGTTAGTACATTTGGTGCCAGCAACCAGGACAAACACTGCAAGCATACCCTCTCCTTGATGAGCTGGCCGACGTCCATGACCTCTTGAATGTTGCCACAAGCAGCACCGATAGCCACTCCCTACCAGCAACCAAACCGTCAGCACCACCACCGTAGTATCTCCACACAGTTACCAGCGTCGTACCGCTCGTTCGCGCTCTTCATCAGACTCAGGAGCCCAGCCTGAGTCCTTGATCGCCTCGTCCGCTGCTCTCACCATTCAAACAGCACAACGAGTCAGCCTCAACTCAACTAGACTGTTAACATCACTTGGAGACGGACGCACCAGCAGCTAGCGCCATGGCGACGTGATCCACCTCCTGCGCCCGGAAGCTCTTCGGGTTCGTCCAGTCTGCAGTGTGGAACGCGCCCTCTTCATCACCCCTGGGCACTGTCGCCCCTACTGTGCAGTTGAGCCCCGAGTCCAGCAACATGTCCAGCGACTGGAACCCCACAACGATTTTGTCAATGCCAATGCAACCACGACAAAGATCCATCGCCATCGTACCTGAATGGCGCATTGCGAGCCCAAGACCTTCTTCCACGCGCGCTCAACGCCTACGCCGAACGGGGTCACAGCGCCCAGTCCGGTGACCACCACGCGACGAGGAGGCACCGGCGGCGGCGGCGCGAACGAGAGCGTCGAAAGGCTGCGGACCAATGCAGCTTCACGTCGCACAGCGAGCATCATGGTAAGGAAGCGATTGGAAAGCAATGTACGTGGAGGAATCCGTTGTGAGGGAGCCCGCCCCCACGGGACTCGCGGACCTCGTGGCGGTCAAGTGTTGAACGCAAATGATACGCATGGGGGGTACTGATCCTGAAGCACGATTACTGAGACTTGAAGCCATTGGTGATACTCTCGCTGATTGGTCCATCACCATCATACAAAGTTCTAGTAAATCACCACGTAAACGAGGAATTTAGTAAATTACCAAAAATCACCTCAAATAGCTTTCGTAAAATATCCTATGCCGTTGATTCTCCTTACGTCGCGAGGGACATTGCTACCCAAACCAACAATAAAAATGATATCACTAGAAGAATGAAGTGGTTGGGCACCATTTTCTTACGAATACGATCGAGAAGTATTACCCCACGAGCAAGAAATGGCACTTGCAAGGCTCACACAATCCACTGCAATTGACTAGGCAAAATGCGTCTCACTTCAATGACGAGCGCCGTCTGCATCGTTTGGCCAAGCGATCCAAGAACTGCATCCTCCTTCAGTCTCCGCTTCACACCGTCCGTGTTCGCGTACACGATGAGGCTGGGTGCAGCAACCCCGGCGAGAAGGGTGTCGCTATTTCTCTTTTTCACTGCATTCTTCAAATTCTGGACTGTGTTACTTTTAGCCAAGAGGGCCGAATCTGCACAAGTGCCCAAGAATGCCCTGCCAGTATCCGCATCTATCAGCTCGAACCAGATCTCCGGCACTTCCACGATAAGCGGGTCAGAGCTCTTCGCTCCATACCGATTCAAATGGTCCTCCACGCCCAAAGCGATTCTTGCATTTGCGTCTGCAAACACAAGGAGGTTGCACGCAGCAACTCCAGCGAGAAGGCTGCCGCTATACCTCTCCATCACAGCATCCAACAGATCCTGGACAGTTCCAACCAGTGCGGCGGAGTCTACTGCCGCGCACTTGAATGTGAATGGACTGCGAGAACCCGCATTCACTGATCGGAACCAGACATTGGGTACCTCCACGATGAGAGGGTCGCCACAATTTCTTTCGTAGTGATCCATCTTCTGGTCGAGTCGTAATGGCGTCTGTGCTTGGCTGTTCGCAAACACTTTGAGAAACCCAGAAGTCAGCTCTGGAGTCCCCCAAAGCTAAGCTTTGCGCCCTTCAACTTTATGTGCTCCACACAAGCGACTTATCGCCTCACAGTTGCACACCCAATCAAGATGCTGCGCCGAGCGGCGTCTTCCTCTGCAGCGCGAGGCTTGTCGACGCTCTCGTTCAGCGCGCCGCCGCCAACGCCCAACCGCCGCGTGGTAGTGACTGGCCTGGGCGCCGTCACGCCCTTCGGCGTGGGCGTCTCGCGCTCGTGGGACGCGCTGCTGGACTCGCAGTGCGCCATCCGCGTATGACACAGCGTCAGTTTTGGACTGTGTAGAGTTTAGAGGATTAACATTGATGAGTTTGGCGCTCTGCTTGCTGTGCATTGTAGACGGTGGACGCTCTGGCAGACACGGGACTGAACTGCACTATTGGAGCCACCGTGCCGCGAGGAGACGGCGAAGGGGCGTTCCGCACGAAAGACTGGGTCAATGTGAAGAACTTCCGCTCGCAGGAGCCAGACTTCATCGCCTACACGCTGGCGGCAGGTTAGAGCTACAATTTAGAGGCTTGGATGCTATTGGATTTAGAGCTTAAACTGTGGTGTTGGAACAGCTGGCGAAGCTATCAAGGATTCGGGCTGGAGTCCTGAATCGGACGAGGAGCGAGAACGAGCGGTGTGTTGATTGGGTGTTGTGGGGTAGGCTGGTAGTAGGGCAGTTCATGATTGAGTGACGCTTCGGTTGTGCTTTTGATCGATTGAGTAGGGCGTGGCTATTGGTTCTGGAATGGGAAATATCCAAGAAGTCATGGATGTGGGCCAGCTCATCAAGGATAAGGTACAGTCGTGGGTCGCTGTGTTCGGAATATATGTAGGCGTTAGCTAACATATTTATTGATGTGTTTATTGTCATAGAAATATCGTCGGGTGTCGCCATTTTTCGTGACGCGGATTCTTATCAACCTTGCAGCGGGCCACGTGAGCATTGAGCACGGTCTCAAGGTGCGATTCAAAGTTGTTTACTAAAGACGGAATTATTGCAGTTATCTCACGTGAGCGTGGTGTGTACTTGCTGCGTAGGGCCCGAACCATTCTTGCGTGACGGCGTGCGCCACAGGAAGTCACAGCATCGGAGACGCCGCGAATTTAATTCGCCACGGAAACGCCGATGTCATGGTCGCTGGTGGCACTGAAGCCTCTCTTAACGAGATTTCGGTCTGCGCCTTCTTGCGCGCACAGGCACTTTCCACGAAGGTAAAATGCCTTCGTAAAAGCTTTCTCCCAGCGTGATGAAAGCTAATGTTATATGTCATGTGTGGCGCCACAGTTTAATGATCGCCCGCAAGAGGCATCGCGACCATTTGACTCGCAGCGTGATGGATTCGTAATGGGCGAAGGTGCTGGTGTCGTTGTGCTGGAGGTGCGAAGATTGCACTTGTTTGATGACTGCTACATTTTTTTTCACTAAAAGTTGTGCTTGTCTGTGCAGGAGTACGAACATGCTAAGAAGCGCGGGGCTAGAATCTACGCGGAGGTGCGAGGCTATGGACTCAGCGGCGATAGCAACCACATTACCGCTCCTCTCGAAACTGGCGACGGTGCTCGACGTGCGATGGAGTCGGCTGTCGCACAGTCGGGCCTTGCGCTGTCGGAAATTGGATACATCAATGCTCATGCGACCTCAACCCCGCTGGGCGATCGCGCCGAGAACGCAGCGGTAAAAGAGCTTTTTGGCGAACATGCTACACAACTTGGAATGTCGTCGACGAAGGTACGTTGCCACTGATATGATTTGATGTTGGTTATCTTTTTGCTAACATTTCCACCGTTCTTGTCAGGGCGCTGTTGGCCACTTGCTTGGCGCTGCTGGAGCTGTGGAGGCTATCTTCTCGATTAAGGCTCTGCACCATGTACGTTTCCAGTGAAAGCTGTCGTGACCAAGTAACTAAAACTGACATTTATCCTTCGTATCGTGCTTTCTACTGTAGAACGTGATGCCTCCTACGCTCAACCTCAATGAGATGACAGAGGAGTTCACACTCAACTACGTGCCAAACCAACCGCAGGAGAAGGAGCTGCGCTCAGTACTTACGAACTCGTTCGGATTCGGAGGAACCAACGCAAGTCTCTTGTTTGCCAAGTAGGTGCTCGCACACCTCGAATCGGTCATGCTTCGATTGGAAAACAATGTTTCAAAAGTAGTGGCCTCAATCTGAGCTAGCTGGCATTTGGTATCGAACACTACTTTTCTCGGCTGGGTCAAACTTATCCTCCATAACTTCACGCGGGACACCACAGGAAGTATCCTTTAGGTCCGCGTGCATCCTCGAGCGGGAAGATGGGAGGTAAGCGTAGCTGCTGCTTCGGTACTCCTCAACCTTCTTGCGTGCCATCTGCTCAGCCAAAGACGATGTCAACGAGGTTTGCTATAATATCTATGCAGACTGCAAAATCTTCAACGTACCGTAGCCTCCCGCTCCATCCGCGATCGCTCGAGCGTCATCCTCTCTAGTGCGGTGCGTAGCTCGCGTTCTTGTCTATAGAACTGTTGCTGCTTCGACAGCGCTGCCGTGAGTTGTGCACTCAGCTCCGACACTTTTCGGTCGCTATCATCGCAGGCATGCTCCTGTTCGAGCAGCAGCTCCTTGGCATCGCTCAGGTCTCGGCTTAGTTGCTGAACTTGTAACAACAGCACCGAGCACCTCGCGTCTGTCTCCTGTCGGCTTTTATCAGCTCGTTTCCGCTCCTCCTTGAGCGATTGTATCCTTCCTTTCAGGCTCTCGACTTCCGCGATCAGACGGACTTCACTCCGTTCTCGCTCGTTACGCGAACTGTCCAAAGCCGAAGCTGCCTCCTTCTTTGCCTGGGACAGTTTGTATTCCAGCTCAGCAGCTTGGGCTTTCAAGTCGCGGTTTTGCTGGTGCAGCACCTCGAATTCGTTTGTGAAGCGATTCGCACAGTCCGCCTTGACCTTATTCAGTTGCTCATTCAGGAGTTGAACCTTGCGATGCTGCTCTTCACTCTCATCCTTTGCCTCACGGGCCTCTGTACGACGCATTTCTAATTCACGCTCTAGCGAACTTACTCGTTCCTGTGAGGAAGACCACATCAAACACGTTCAGTATCGCCAGATTCGAACCCAGAATATGGCAATGCACTCACGTTCAGTTCTTGCCCCCGATCTCGGAACTCCGCTCGTAATTTTATAAGCGCATCCTCCTTTGACCGAATCCTTTCGAGGTACTCAGCTTCTAAGTGGCTTGACTAGTGACAGCGCGCGTGGATCATTAATACACAACTCCATGGGCACACTATTGTTTTGGACACGGTATTTCTTACCATATCACGGGCCTCTTCTGCTGTCGTGGCTCGCTCAGTCAAATGCTGCAGTTTTTTCTAATGCAAGAACAACAGCCGTGATATGTTTAAAGAGCTTTGCGTGATATCATCTTTCATGCAGCGCACTTACCTCAAACGCAATGCTTGCGTCCTTAGACCGACGAATTGCATCCGCAAGCTTCTTGTCAGCCTCCTTCTGGTTTCTTGCTGTTGTCTCCATTTTGGACCGCAAATCCACGAGTTCACTATTCAACGACCTGATTTCCTGCTCCCGGTTGTTCATGTCAGCCTCGTGCTTACGCACTATGGTACCCATATTTTCTTCCTGAGCCTTGGCGTGCTCCGCTGCTTGCTGTCGAAGTCGCTCCAGCAACCGTGCAATCTCACGCCGGCTTTGGAGCTCACGAGCTGCGACCTACAAAGCCAAAAATACAAATTATCCGTTCAAGGTCAATCATTCGACCATTTCGAGAGCTGTCGGTGAGTCACGCTTCACAAACCTCTTCTTTCTCAAGGATCGCCTCTTCGACCTTCGCTTTGCACTCGGATTCCAACTAAAACAACATGAAAAGAACTGGGTGAGCGCCGTAAGACGAAGTCGGAATTATTTCATGCGCACCTCAGCGACTGCGTCCTCCCTCGCGCAATACTGCGTCAATTGCTTCTCCATGCTGTTAAGAACATTTAACATGCCTTCGCAATCTTGACGAACAGCCTCAAGTTCAGCTTGAAGTCCGCTATTGCGTTCCTGTAGCTCGTCCACCGCCTTGTCCTTCTTCTCCAGAGCATTCGTAAGCTCACGCAGACGCACACAGACGCTCTGATAACGTGCTGAAAAGGCCTCGTCCTTGCGCTCGGTGCTCCTCTTCATTTTCTCCAGCATCTCCTCGTACTCCCCGAGCTGGTTCTCCAGATCACCTCGTTCTTTTCGAACTGCATCCGTCTGCTCCACCAGAGACTCCTTGGCGCTCTCCAGCTGCGCCATTGACGCCGCATACCGCTGCAACTGCCGCTCACAGTGTGCCTTCTCCTCCCTCACTTGAGAGCAAGCGTCACGCAGCTCCTGCAGCGCAAGCGTTGCGTCGTTGAAGTTCTGCCCCATGACCTGCAGCTGCTGGTCTCTGTCCGTCAGCTCCTTCTTCATGGCGCCAATTTCATCATCCTGCAGCGAAACTTGCTCCATCAGCATATTATTCTCGGCCATCAGCACGTCGATCCGCTCGTTGATCTCCTGCAGGTACTCGCCGTTCTCCTGTATGCTCATCAAGTCGTCGGCCATAACGTGCATCTCCTTCGGCTCGTTCTGCATGCGCAGCACCAACTTCTCCCCCGCCACCTCCAGCTCTCTGCATCAATAACAATATCAAACCCCACTCAGCCACAATATTCCCACCATAAAAGTCTCCTCCACACAGCCTCTCACTGTCTCAACGTCGTGTTCTCCTTCGCCAGGCTCTCAGCCCGCGCCGCCACTCGATCGATCGCCTTCTTGTTATCCACCATCGCCGTCTCCTATCAGCAATTCACACACAATAACTATATCAGCCTCTTAACCGGTATAACACCCTATCTACTCTACACTATTGCAGGCCCCCACCAGCTCCTGGATCTTGAGGTCGTACGCCTGCAGCAGCGGGTTCGTGTACTCGGAGGCCGTGAGCCAGGGCGCCAGGCGCTCGTGCGGCTCCTCTTCACTCTGCGCCGCGTCCGCCAGCGTCTTGAGCCTCTCCAGCTCCCCATAGCGCTGCAATAAACCCCGCAACTGCACCAGCAGCCGCTCCGCGTAACCTCTGAGGAAGTCCCGCTCGTCCGCGAGTCGCGCGCTCTCCACGCAGCAGCCAGAGACGCACGCGGACGGCGCAGGCGCGGGCACGGGCACCACACTGGGAAGAGGCTTGGGCTTAGGCGCGGGTCGCGGTCTCCCCTGCGCCTCCAGGCGGCGCGAGCGCTCGGCCTGGGGCCCGCCGTCTAGCAGCTCCATGAGCTCGAATAGTTGAAGTTGAGGCCTTTGCGTCGCTTCAGCGGTTAAGTGGTCTTTCTTTCCGACTGATAAGTGAGCAGGATTGTTTCAGGCTGGTCATCATCTGAATTACAGCCTATCATATCGCCTGGAGTCGCTATTTTAGCCAATGACATCGGTTAGGGTTAGGTGAATGCATTCCGACACTTTCCGACAAATATTTGTCTGAAGGCTGGCCTAAATATGTATATGCCTATACAAAAGTCAAGTATAGAAAATATTTTGCAAATATTTTCGCCGTTCTGACAGCTAGGATGTGTCCTAGAATAGGACGGATTGGAGTTTTGATTGGTGTTCATTGCAAGAATCGCGACCATGTTCAAGAAAGGAGGCCCCCACACGCGACCCAGCGGCGGCCAGAGATCGTGACCACGACGGCGAGCGCGGAGCGCGGTTCCTGCACAGTGCCGCCACCTCCGCGCACGCATCCGACGGACCCGGGGCATGACGTCTCGCGCGGCGCACCGGTCGGGGCTGGATGGAGCACGTCGAGCGTGTGCTACTGCAGGGCGCTGCCCATCGACGCGAAGACGGTGTGCGTGCTCACGATGGGCAGCGATGAGGTGGTGGTGCGCGAGGGCAATTGCATCGGCGAGAGTGGTGTGTCGGGCGAGATGATCAAGAGCGAGCAGGAGCTGGAGAAGGCTGTCCGGTGAGGGAAGCGAGGATGAGCCGTGCACCAAGGGCAACAAGGTCAGCAGGTGAACGGCGCTGGTGGCGGTCTACGACGAGGTCGCCGGCCGGCGCACAACGTCCCGGGCTCCGTCTCCGTCGAGGGCTGCTACTTCCGAGACGTCGGCCAGCTCTACTGTTCGTGCGGCAGCACGTCGTGCACTATGCCCCCCAAGATCGTCAGCAAGATGACCCTCGTGACCGTGAATAAGGTCGGCGGCGAGCCGACCAAGCCCAAGGACAAGAAGGTGGACGGGTGCACGTGGTCGCAGGGCTCCACGTCGGCAAGCTCAAAAGCGGGGCGTCGGTCTGTCAGGCTCATCCAGCGAGAAGTCCACCAGCGCAGGTGAAATGGGCGGACCCCTGCTGGGTCCTCCATGCGCGTCGCTGCCCCGGACGAGATGGAGGCCAAGGCCACCGCGGTCGTGAACGTGCCCCGCGAAGGGCAACGGCCCGTCATGACCTCGCTGGTGGGCCCGTTCGAGGCTGGTGAAGTCGAATGAGACGAACAGGAGTAGCGTTAGACTACGCGTGCTGCAACAACCGGCAAGATTGCCGAGATAGCATCTTAGAAGGTGAACTGCAGTAATATATGTAGCTATCCTTGTACTCTTTGATATCTTCTACTACATGTGGTATTAGCCGCATGTGCTTCCATTCGACACCGTCACTTACTTTACCATCTTCACCGCAGTTGCATTTTGGAGAGAACCTAAATTTGGTCAATACTTTAAGTAAGAGTCCTATTTGTCGGAAAATGTAGGGATGTCGGAACCGTCGCGATGTGGTACAGTATGTTAAATGATGGCAATATGCATTGTTCTGACGGGATACGTTAATCACATTGTATGCGACATGTCGTCTGGTTTTCAGCGAATCAGCGCTCGGCGCTGCATTTCATCCACTGGTGACGCTCATTCGGGGAAGTCCCAGCAGCTAACACCAGGAGCCCACACAGAGGAGAGCCAAAGATGCCGACCGTGGGGGTCAAGCGCGACGAGCTGTTCGCGGCCATGGGCCAGACGTACACGGACGAGGAGTTCGACGTGCTGTGCTTCGAGTTCGGCATCGAGCTGGACGACATCACGAGCGAGAAGCAGCTCAAGCAGCGCGAGACGCAGGGCCAGGACAAGGACCACTCGGCCCACTCGGACGCCGTGCTCTACAAGATCGACGTGCCCGCCAACCGCTACGACCTGCTCTGCGTCGAGGGCATCGCGCGCGCGCTGCGCATCTTCCTGGAGAAGGAGCGCCCGCCCGTGTACACGCTCACGCCGCGCGCCGAGGGCCCGCACCACATCACGGTCAAGCCCAACACCAAGGTCCGTGCCAATGCAATTGAATTGCATTGCAATTGCAATAGATAGAGTCTGACAGGGTTATTACTTGTTGTTACTGTTGTAGTTGGTGCGCCCGTTCGTGGTGTCGGCCGTGCTGCGCGACGTGCAGTTCACGCAGGAGCGCTACGACAGCTTCATCGACCTGCAGGACAAGCTGCACCAGAACATCTGCCGTCGCCGCACGCTCGTGGCCATCGGCACGCACGACCTCGACACGATCCAGGGCCCCTTCACCTACAATGTACGCGGCGCGCTGCAATAGCTGGTGGGGGTTGAGGACACTAGGATACTTATTGGCTTTTTGGCTTGTTGGGATTTTTAGGCGCTGCCGCCGAATGAGATCAAGTTCAAGCCGCTGAGCCAGGACAAGGAGTTTGAGGCCAAGGAGCTGCTGGACTTCTACCGCACCAACCCGGACGTGAAGCACATCAAGCCGTACACGGACATCATCTACGACTCGCCCGTGTACCCCGTGATCACGGACAAGAACGGCGTGGTGCTGTCGCTGCCGCCCATCATCAACGGCGAGCACTCGAAGATCTCGCTGGACACGAAGAACGTCTTCATCGAGTGCACGGCCACGGACATCACCAAGGCCAAGGTCGTGCTGAACACCATGATCGCCATGTTCTCCGAGTACTGCGCCAAGCCCTTCACGGTCGAGCCTGTGCAGGTCATCTACGAGGACGAGACGGTGAACCAGAACGAGCTGACGCCCAACCTCAGCAAGCGCTCGGTGGAGGTGCAGATCAAGAACATCTACTCTATGCTGTTCGGCAAGGGCGAGCCCATTGACCTGGACGTCGACCGGATCTGCAAGCTCTGCAACAAGATGCAGCTGGACGCCAAGCCCTCGGGCAACGGAAAGACCATTATCGCGGAGGTGCCGATCACGCGCTCGGACATTCTGCACCCCGTGGACGTGATTGAGGACGTGGGTATCGCCTACGGCTTCAACAACATCCCGCTCACGATCCCGCACACGCAGACCATCGGTATGGCGCAGCCTCTGAACAAGCTGGGCGACCTTCTTCGCGATGAGATTAGCCGCGCTGGTTACATCGAGCTCCTCACCCACGGCCTGTGCTCGCACAAGGAGAACTTCGAGTACCTGAACCGCGAGGACGACGGCCACTCCGCTGTTGTGCTGGCCAACCCGGCTACTGTCGAGTTCGAGGTTGTGCGTACGTCGATGCTGCCTGGTGTGCTGAAGACCATCCAGAACAACAAGGCTATGTCGATCAAGGAGGGCCTGAAGCTGTTCGAAATCTCGGACGTCGTGGTGATCGACGACAACACGGACGTTGGCGCCAAGAACGTGCGTCGCATCTGTGCCGCCTACACCGGTCCCACCGATGGTTTCGAGGTTATCCACGGCCTCGTCGACCGCATCATGCAGCTGATGGGCATTCCGTCCGCGCTGGAGATGCCCGCCGGCACGAAGGAGTACTACACGATCACGCCCGCGGAGGAGCGTACATACTTCCCCGGCCGTTGCGCGTACCTGACGCTCCAGAAGGAGGACGCGGAGCCCCTGCGTCTCGGCACGTTCGGTGTGCTGCACCCGCAGGTGCTCAAGAACTTCGACCTGCTGAACCCCACGTCCGTTTTGGAGATGGACCTGGAGCCTCTGGTCTAAGCTCGAATGTATCAACCACTAGGAGGCAGGCAGGAACAATTGTGCGGTGCCAGAGGTGGAGCGACATCGCACGAGAAAAGTAGACGGCCAGTTGTTGGGCTCGTGGCGAGCTGGCGTGGCAGGTAATGCGCTATGATGCGAATCCACGTACGTGTGCATGTGCTTTGTGTGTGCACTTGGTCTCGTATTTGTCCGTAGTGCAGCTAGCAGGTTCAAACGCGGGTTGGTATCTGTTTCACGCGCGGGATTGAGCCCCTATATTTATGAACTAGGCGTTCATGTTGCAGGGCAGCCAAGCTTTCAAGTGCAGTGCAGTGCTCGGTTTGAAAATAGCCCAAAGAAGTCTCGGCATATTGAAGACAACGATCAGGTGCTTCTAGCGCAGGCACGAGTATTCCAGCGACATACGCATAGCTATGGATGGAGACGCACTGGATCGCGAGTTGGCATCGCTGGCCGACACCATCAACGTGAGCAACCCAATAACTTTCGGCCAGAAGCCCACATGGTACGCTTTCTTCGTCTTGATCGATGAAAAACACCATGGCAAACTATGATCTCTAAAGTGTATGAATGCAGGCGGACAACCCAGAAAGACACGGAGCTGGCAGCCAAGCGCGAGAGCGACTATGCGAAGACGCTGCCAAGGAAGTTTGTGCTGACGGAGCCCCAGCAAGCCAAAAAGGATTTTTCGATCGTTGCTGCCGCCGCCAGAAACCCGGTGCAACCTCTGCGTCCGAACTTGCTGTTGAACGAAGACGGCAGCAGAGGAAACAACAGTTCAAGTGCATCAGCTGAGCTTGTATCCAGGGCTGCAACAGCGACGCCACCATCTCGCGTGCCGATCGCTAAGCGCAGTCACATGGACGGAGTTTTGCGAGGTGTCCCCGGAGGATCCGACCCTCTCGCCACGACTCAGCAACGTGCGTTCGTGTACGACGGCGAAATGGATCACATGAACAGCAACAAAAACACAAGCTACCACCGGAAGCGCGATGCGTACTCGGAATACGTGGAAGCTCGTGCACGATTCAGCAAAATGCACAGCGTGAACTAGTCAAGACAAAAAGTAGGAATGGTGCAGACCCAAAGCAATGCATGCTTTATATTATCTTACACACGACTGTCATTCATCAGTTGCTGCTTCGATGCTGGATTCATCCGATGAAGGCAATGGAAGAGCAGCCGCGACGGCGGAGTCCGCTGCAATGACGGCGTCGTCGCTGGAATCTTCGTCGTGGGCTACGAAAGCAGGAGTCAACGGGGACAAGACAGAGGTGTGCTCGTTGTCATCGCTTGCGTCACTCGATCCGTCGTGCTCAAGCACCGCTCCGTGATCATCTTCAGCACTATCAGAAGTGTCAAGAAGCTCTCGAGCTTGCTCCAGTAGGTTTTGTGCCGGAGTTGTGATGCCATCGCCATACTCAACCTGGTCGACTGGTAGTTTTTCGTCCTGGTCTTCTTTATCCCGATGATCTTCCTCGTTCTCGACGTCTTGGTCTTCGTATTCATCTTCGTATTCGTCCTGGTCTTCGTCTTCTTGTACCTGAACCGGTTCTTGTTGTATCACTTGATCGTGGTGAATCTCCGAGTCCACTTCACCTGTTGGGTTCAGTATGGGTAGATTCTCCTGCTCCGATCCTTTATCTGACCTATGCTCAAGTTCTTGATGTCCTTCTTGCTCGAGTAAAGACTCTTGACTCTGACCTTGATTCTCGTCAACGAGCTGGTTAGCCGTGCCGTCGCTGTGCGCTTCGTACGGATCATGGCGCATGAGCTGTGAGCTATCCTGTGTTTCTTGCTCGTACTCCTCCAGTTCATGTTCTGCTTCCTGCGTCAAATCAGTGTCCGCTTGTAGGCTGCCTTGGTCCACATTTCCAAGCTTCTCCTGTTCGCCTTGCTCCTCTTCGTCTTCAAGCATATTCTGCTCTTGTGTCTGTGCTTCGCCCTCGTGAATGGACTCTGCTTCGACTTGGTGTTCCTTTACGTCAAGGTAAGATTCTGCACACTCCTGATCTTCAAGCCTGTCATTGTGCTCTTCTTGTTCCTGAGCATCAAGATGAACATCCGCATCTTCAAAACCGTCATTGTGCTGTTCTTGTTCCAGCTCCTTCCCTCGCTCCTGATACTCTTCTTGTCGCTCCACCTCATGCTGTTGAGGTTCTTCTTGCTGTTGTAAATTATCTTCTTGGTGCTCCTCTTCATACTCCAGTTCCTGTTCTTCAAGCTCGTCTTGTTCTTGAACATCCTCTTCATGGTACTCTTCTTCTTGCTCGAGCTGTTGCTCACTCTGCGCTTCACATTCCACATTGGCGACGTCTGTTTCAGACTCCTCTTCGGCCGATGCAGTTTCTTCCTCCTGGGGACTCGGAGGTCGCTTCTCCTTGCCACTTTTCTTCTTACCGGGTTGTTGCTCGTCTTGATCAGGCTTAATCTCTTCTGCTTCCATATCCGGTGCCGGAATGACCAACGACGCCAGCGACTCGATGTGCTCCAACTGAAATATTCACATGACAACCACATTAGTACCTGAACAAATTCAATTCCAGGCCACCCCAAGTTACTACTCACCTGTACTTGAGCGTCTGATAGTGCAGCAACCAAGTAGCCTCGATGAGCTGCAGCAGCTCTCTTCTCCCGTGAGCTGATAAACCGCGCTTTCTCTCCTCCAGTTTCATCTTGGCTACGCTTTTTCTTCGACGTCTTCTTCTTTTGTACTGGTTTCGAGTCGTGGGTGAGCGGAGATTTAGCTGGGGAGGAGATTCCAATTTTCTGGGTTTTAGGTAAACCATCGCCATCGCGTATTCGCTGAACCACACTGTAAGGACTCTTTCCAGGCTTCTTGCTGAGTTTGAGCTCTGAAATCGCGCCAGCCAGTGCTCCAGTTGATTGACTTTGTCCGATTTGGGTGCTGGTACCCAATGCAGCTAGACGATGCTGTGGTTTTGCCTTCGAGAGACGATCAGCAGCTTCTAGGATGTGGCGAAGTGCATGACCACCACGTTTGACGGTGTCTTTTTGTTGATAAAGTTCACGGAAAAATGCTTCCTCCCTTTGTTGCTGCTGCTGCTGAGGACTCCCATCGTCGTGAATGATGGCGTCTGGGATGCGGAGAGCGTCGTTGTCTCCAGGTTCAAATGTTTCAATTCGTGGTGGAAGTTTCGGCGCCATCGGTAGGGAATGCAGAGTGCTGCGAGGCCCGGTCTTATACTTCAGTGGTTGTTGCCCTCGCTCATCAGTTGGAACAGGTTTCCACGCGGAGGCTGGAGGCTTTGTTTTGCTTGTCACCGTGCGCACTCCTCGACCCAATGGGCTTCTTGAGTTTGCTGTGGTTAGCAAGAGTGAATCCGGTGCCTCATCGTCGAAAAACTCCGCGTGTTTGGGCTTCTCACGAACTGGACGCAAGAGTGCTGGAGCGCTAGCACTACTCCTTATCCCGAGTGCGTTGGCTTCAAGTGATGCGGTGGCATAGTCGGCGTATACAAGACAACACCGTTCGCAGACCCCCACGGTTTTGTGGAGAAATATCGGGTCTTGTCGGTGGCGAGCGAAATCCTCGGGGCGAAGCACGGGGTGTAAGTAGCGGATCACGGGAGGTATGAGCAGCTCTCGCCGTTGCCACGTCTTTAAACCCGAGCCAGCTTTCGGTGCACCGCTGTCGTCAACACTGGAACTTATTGACTTTAGGTGCCGCAGGATACCGAATCCTACACCTCCAGCTTGTTGCACAACTCGATCATCAGGTGGCCATTCTATTGCAACTTGGTTCTCTTCGTTCACCTTCTCCCGAAGAAACCTCAGCACGTGCTGGAAATGTGCTAGCACCGCTTTATAGGTCGTAGGCAGCAGAGCGCGTTTAGCTACCACCTGGGCGCAGCTAGCACAACGCGTTTGTCCTGGACGAGGCTCTTCGTCTACCTCGGGGCCACAAGTTGAGCTCAAGGAAACTGGTCCGCCCCCGGAGCCTTGCGCAAAGGCAAAGGTCGGGACTTTGGCATCGCTTACGATGTCCAGTGGTCGTATACTAGGCTCGCCAGTTGAGATTTCAGGTCCTACCGTAGTAGTCGGAGCTAGTGGCGGCTGTAAGCGCAGTGAAGAACTCCACAATAACCACAGTCGGTCGTCAGCATCTACTTGAAGACGTAGCACCATTCTAGCGATGCGGAACTTGTGATACGACACGCGCGTGACATGATCGACCACTCGTTCGCAGAGCTGCTGAACCATGCCAGGTAACATCGAGCCTCGCACTGGTTCCGGTCGAGTGAGCGCCTCGGCGCCACCGCCCTCTTCGAACGTGACGCCACGTTCATAAACACTGAAGCGAGCGTCGTGGACTGCATGAATATTCACGCGACGCTCCAGTAGACAGAGTTTGGGCGACCAAATCGCTCGCAAAGTCGAATTCCGAGACCGTTTTGGCAGAGCGAACTGTTGAAGGATTCCTCCCGATTGAAATGCTCCAGTGGACGAGTGAGGGATCTCGGGTCTTTTGAACAAAAACTCTCGAAGCGCTTCAGCGTCGTAGTATTCAATTGCAGGACTTGTGCTCTCTGCGCTCGGCAGGTAGAGGTAATACGCCACGATGTCCGTCGACGCCTTCCGCTTCGTAAAGGAGTGCTCGATGTGTGCAGCCGTGAGGTTCGCTCGGTGTTTGCGCTTGATACGACCGCTCTTGCGACTCGTGAAGTACCAAGCAACAGGCTGCGAGCCACGATAAATCACCGTAGGCGGCACGCTCACTCGTGGCCCACCCCCGAGATCGTCAGTCGTCCACAGGTAATGAAAAAGATTTTCTACCAAGCCATCGCCTTCCAGCGGTAATGGTGTTGCCATTGTCGGACAAATTGCTTGGTCTTCGAGCGCAGTCGTTCGTTCACTCAGTACATTTTGGTATCGTGTTGACCTATTTCCAGGCCCTCAGCTGGGGTTTCGTCTCCAAAGAAGTTGAAGACTTTTCACACTTCGCATCCACACACTTTCACGCCTGGAGAGTACCACAAAGTACTGATCGCACAGGAGATAGTAGGCAAAACATTACACGCGATGAGAAGCAATCAGCAGACGTCACCGACTAAATCTCACGTTATGGATCCAACTAGCGGTATCACGGGACCACAGGGGGTTGGTTCTGTTGAACCGGAAGCAAAAGGCCAGCAAGACCTGCAGCATGCTGTGGATCTGTACCAGAAAGGAATGGAAATTGCGCATGGAGCGACAACCTTTGAAGACCACTGCCGCGCTATCGAAAGCTTCACCCTGGCCATTGCCATCCGCCCAACACAGGCTCGTTTCTTCCTCGCTCGTGGCAATGCGTTTCGTGCCATCGGAGAACTGGAACGAGCCGCCAAAGATTACGGATCTGCTATCACGCTGGACGACCGCAGTGCACTCTACTTCGCCAACCGCGGAGCTTGCTATCGTAAGCTGAACCAGACTGCGAAAGCTCTGGAAGATCTCACCAACGCCATTGAGCTCGATGGACGCAAGGCACCCCATTACTTTAACCGCGCGCTTGTGTTGCATGACGCTGGTTTCTACCGTGAGGCCATTGTTGACTTCTCAAAGGCGCTTGAAGACGGATCCACGGCCTCTGCTGCAAATGCTGCAGCAAATAATGCAGGAGGATCAGGGGCAACTGCGACCCCACCCGCGAATGGCGGGGGGATTGGAATTCGAGTCGAGTACCGAGCGCTGCAAACTCGAGCGAACTGCTATCGGCGGCTCGGGCACTTGTCCAAGTGCATCGAGGACTTGCAAGCCGCGATTAAGCTGGACCCACGAAATGCTTCGGCGTTTAGCGCTCTTGCACTCGCTCACTTCGAGTGTGGCGACTTTGAAAGATCGGCGGACGGGTTCACACGGGCCATTGAGCTCAACTCGGGAAACGCCAGCTACTTCAGCTATCGAGGGCTGTGTTACTATCGTCAAGGCCAAGCCGCTGCAGCGAAGCAGCGCGAGCAGCAGAATGTAGCAGCTTCGATAACCAGTGGCATGGGCGCGTTCGCACGGCAGTGTCTTGCTGACTTCAACAAGTGCATCCAGCTCGACGGTCGAGACCCTCAAGCTTACTTCTTCCGTGGCTCTGTGAGACTCGCACTATCGTTGGATCTTGATCAAGCACCTTCAGCTCCAGCCACTAGCAACGCAAGCAACTCGAGCACTGATAGTAAGCCAATCAGTTCGCCAAGTGCAATTACCAGAGGTCTGAACGATGGCGAGGCTGTCGGCTCCGCAGTGGTTCCCGCAGCTTCGATTGTGAGCTACATGTCTGCGTCGGAGCAACTGGAGGCAGCATTTGCCGACATTGAAATGGCCTGCACGCTGCGTCCGAGCGGCACTCCTTATCAGATAGGAATGGCCATGATTACCCAGCTGAAACAACGACACTCCGAAGCTCGATCAATGTTCGAATCAATAGCAGCAAGTGCTCCTGAAAACCGCAAGAGCGTACTGGTTCAATTCCACACAGCGCTTTGCTGCCACGCTCTCGGAGATCATGAACGCGCCCTGGAACTACTCACGGCCGCGCTTGATGTTGTTCCAGACGAACCGATTTTCCTTGAAGCGCGGGGTCTAATACTCCAAGAAATGCGAGCGCATCCTTTAGCTCTGGCAGATTTCTCGTACGCACTGGAGCTACTCGAAGGGTTCGAAGAGAGCAACGCGAACACGAACCAGATTTTTGGCTTACGGTATCTGCGTGGGGAGAGCGCGCTGAGACTTGGTCGCTTCCAGGACGCCGTAGACGACTGTAGTGCTGCCATAGCGGGCGGCTACACTGCTGACATGGCAGCTCACAATGCTCGTGGTATGGCACTGCGCGGACTTGGGGATTATGACCGCGCTCTTCGTGATCTCAACGTACGTAGTCCTGCTGAGCCTTCACCAAGTTGTCTGCTGACACTGACCACTCTTGTATCCAGGTTTGCGTGGCTCAAGCGCCGTCAAACGACATTTTCCGATTCCATCGCGCGTTGTGTCTGATGGAGTGCGCGCGCTACTCCGAGGCCCTGCCAGATTTGCACGAGACTGCGACTCGCAATAGCACAGACACAAAGTGCGCTCTACTCTGCTGTCAACGGCTTGTTCTTGAACTCATTCCTCGTGTCTGCTGGTTGCAGGTTGCTGTACTACATCGGACTCTGCTACTACCACGAGCACCAGCCAAGTGAATGCGTCGCGTTCATGAAGCGCGCACTGCAGTGCACACCAAAGCAGGAGCTGCTTCCAGATCTGTACGTTTCTCTGACTTCCGGTAGAATCCTTTCACCATTTTTCAGCATCTCATTTTGCTTTGAACAGGTATTATCACATGGGGCTTTCGTATGCGCTCGAGGGTCAGAACATGGACGCTGTGGAGCAATTCACCAGTGCCTACGATCACTCACTGCTGGTTGCCAAGAGCATTGAGGCAGGAAACAATCAGGAAGATGAACTCCACGACGCAGGCGACAAGCAGAACCAGCTTCAACAGCTCCACGAGGCCCAGCTCCTGTACATCCACGAACGTGCCAAAGCCTTACAGCTGGAGCGATACCATGCCGAAGCCCTCGCAGACTTCTCGTTTGTCATCGCCCAGCAACCCACCAACGCGCACGCATACTTCCGTCGGGGCTTCGCTCACAAGGCCTTGGGTGACTTTAACGCCGCCGCTCACGACCTCCAAACTGCTCGCCTGCTTGATCCAAACAACCTCCAGCTTGTCGTCAACTACAAGGAGCTGCGCGACGTCGAGTGCATTGTGCTGTGCGCTCCAGGAGAAGAGAAGCGCTTCTAAATCAATCGTAACGTGGAACAGTCTTTTCATCCCGCCAAGCCTCGGCCCAAGCGCCGTAACCCGAATGGTCGCGTATCCGCCGGTTGAACACACCAGAGTCTACACAGTGAGCAACTGATCCAACGAGGGCGCGGGGCTTACTACAGCGATGGGCAATGTCTGCGCGTGCTGCAACTGGGGTCGTGGGGGCTCGGACTCCAAGGGCGCCAAAGCCAAGAAGGACGCGTGGTTCGAGCAGGATTCCGTGCCGCTCGTGTCCGCCAAGCACGGTCCTGACGATAACGACGAGGCTGATGGGAGTCTGAAGAGGACGGTGCTGATACGATCACCACGGACTACACGAGCATCGACCAGCGATATGGACGAACGCTCCAGTCGCCAACGAACACCTCGTTACATCCAGCAGGATGAGGAGGAGGAAGAGATACAGTACCACGTTCACAGGGTCAAGTCCGCATCGGTGGACTCGAGCAGATATAGTCGTCGTTCGAGGAGATCGGGGCATAAAGACGACGAAGAGCGTCCACGGAGTCGCAGCAGAGATCGCCATCGCCACTCGGACGACTTTGAAGACCGACCTCGCCACGAGCGAAGAACTGCCAGGTCGTCGTCCCTTGAGGTGCAAGATAGTACTCGAGAACTGCGTTCAGCGTCCTATGAGATGCAGGATAGTACTCGGGAACTGAGTTCAGCGTCTTCGGCATCCGCACGCTCACATCGAACCAGATCTCACTCACAGGATGCTGGTTCGTTCGCAGATGATGAGGTGGAAAGCATAGGCTCCTCGCATGGCTCGACCCGTTCGCACAGGTCGTCCTCTGCGTCATCGTCACCAAAAGCGTCATCGAGAGTTGATGCTTCAAAGAAGAAACCGCGCTACGGCCGAAAACACTATCGAGCGAACGTCAACCGTAAGTAGGAACCCCTTCCAGCAACGACGAATACATAGCAACATGATGCGCAGCATCCACACAAGTCGTTTTGCCCAATTGTCACTTGTTCTCGCTTTCATTCGGTTCTCTTCTCCCTCTGTATCCAAAAAGCACCGGCAACCCCACAACTACTTACATGCATGACATGGACTGACCAATGACTCACTCACTCTCTCGTAGGGGTGCTGCCTTCCTCGATTGCAGAGCATCTTCTGCTCTTCACTATTGGCATCAATGAAGGATGGTGCTGACCTGCATCGCTTTAATTCGCTCATTTCGGCATGGAGTTGACGTACTGGAGAAGCCGCCGCTCGGAAATGCTTCCATCCAGACCAGGGATGCCTCCGCCTTCGCTAGCAACGAACTTGAAAATGGGCTCTTCACTCTCGAAGCCGCCGAGATTGTACGGAGCCTCCGTTGGGGTGTAGATGACACCGTCCACCTCGTGCGTCACGCTCTTGGCGAACTTGGTCAACATGTACTCAGTCTTGGCCAGACGAAAGTGGTCTTTCATGCGTACGCGGAAAGGTTCCTTGTTGTAGTCGAACGACTTGTCCTGTTAACATAACGGAAAAAAGCCGTCAGCCATCCGCAAAACTCTGGGACACCCCGTTCGAAAGCGCACAAACACGTACATTCTTGCGTGGCACGATGATCTCGTTTTGCAAACATTGCAGTCGCTTTTCCAACTTCTTTTGCCAGATAGGCGTGCCCTCCAGGAAAAGGATGTCAAACGTCAGGTATCGTGCCACTTTCGTGTCGTGATCTTGGTCCTCCACAATAAGCCCATCGATCAGCGTGTTCGCCTGGAACTCGTTCTGTTGTAGCCACACACAGAGTTTAATCAGCTTCGTATTGCACGGTAGATGAGCGTGGGAATGCACGTACCGGTGCCCTTCGCCTCGGGAACTTCATGTCCACCTTCGTGAAGGTCATGTCCCGAGAGACGACGTACGTTCCGTCCGCAGTCACGTAAAGCAAGCAGCGACGACTACACGCGCAATCAAAAGAGTTAGTGGATCTATGAAAATCCAACAACAAAAGCTTGCGAACTCAAAATCGTACCCACGCGCCCTCCACGTCACAAGATACGCCTTGGTCAAGCAACCCTTGCGCTTGTATGCGCCTTCCGCAACGTGTGTCGCCGTGAATGGAATGGTCTAATTCAAACGAAGTATCACACAGGTGAGCGTACAAAACGTTGCAACTGAAAAGAAGAAGCAGGAGTACCTCGCAGCCTGGAAACCCTTCAATGCCAGTAAGCTTCTCCAATGACTTGGTCAGTTTCTGGTGCTCCTCGGACGAAGTTGCCAGCGTCTCTCCAAAAGCTAGAGGCTCCACTTCGTCCATCCACGACCGAATTTTACGACGCTTCGCCGGGCGCTGTTCCTGTCGATCCGGCGGAATGTACATTGGCGCTTTGTACACAGGCGGCGTGGGGAAACCACCCGGTGTAGAAGCCTTTCCATTGCTAACTGGTGACGGCTTAGAGGGCGCAGCGCCAGGCACTACGATCTTCTGCTTCCGCACGAATTTGTTCACTCTGTCCTGTTCGGTTACGACCTCGTAGCCAACAGACGACTCGCTCTTGCGCTTGCGTGTTTCGTCGTTTTCCCAGCGTGGAGGAGCCGGCACAGCCAGTTGTGCTGATTCCGACGGCAGCGTGCTGAAATACTTGCAGTACAATCGCTGCCACACCCAGAACCAGTTTACAGTTAAATCAGAACCCACTCGCTGTTGACTCCATCGCAATACAAACAACCACTCGTACCTCCAGGTAGTGTCGCGAGTAGATGCCGGGCTGTGTCGAGGCGGCAAACTCTTCCACCGCAGCGTCCAGGTTCAATCCGCAGTGCTCGACCAAGAAACTGCAATTCCATCCAGCATCATCAGTAAAGCATGCCTTGCGGCTGCCAATCATAATGATATGCAAACGCACCTCACAACGAGGAAGCCGACGAAGTTGTATCCGTCTGCGCCGTATACAGCGACGTCCATGTCCTTCCTCTCGCCCTGCAAGTGGCTCACTACCGCCTTGCAGAAGGCCTCCACCATCTTATCGTCGTGGGCATCGCGGTCCTTCTCCTCCGCATCTGCAACACGTCAAATAAACCGCCCTGTCAGCCACGTACTCCCCTCTACAGACACCAAAATACAGCTATCCCGCGGACCTTCAGGCGTGTCAACGCGCAGCTTGACATACTGCACGTCCCAGTCGTCCCACTCCCTAATGCCAAAAGCGACACACGTCATAGAGTCAGATACACGGCCTTAAAGCACAGCCGCAGCTAAACGCCACGTACTTGACGTCGTGGAGGAACGTGTCGCTGCCCGTCGCGTCGATCACGAGCCCCACGTTCACCACGGAGCCCGAGCGCGTGTCCGAGATGAGCTTCTCCATGAGCGCGGAGGGCGCGTAGTTCTTCCTGGCCGAGAAGTGGATCTCATAGCTGTCAGAGCCATAACAACAGGGCGTCAGTCGAGCTCTAGTGAGCTGCTGCGGCCGCCACAGCAGTGCAAGGCAGCTAGCTAGCTGGAGAGACATCGCCACGTACATGGAGGAGAGCGGCGCGCGGATGGGCAGAATGGGCGCGCTCTTGACGCGCGTCGTGTACTGCGGCGTGCGCTCGAACTGCTGCCAGCGCGCCGCGTCCCAGCGCAGCAGCTTGCGGCCGCCGCTCTTCTGCTGCTGCTGTTGCTGCTGCGCGGCGCGCAGCTTGGCCGCCACCTCGGCGCGCGTCGCGTCGTCGCTCATGGCTGCTTCAATCAAAGACGGAGTGATGGTCGGTTGCCTTTGTAAACGCGCTGATGGCGTGGTGCTCGCTTCTTCAGGTGTTGTCGCTCCGAATCCTTGCTTGTGTGTGGCACTTCCCGCGGTTTTACAGAAGTGAAAAACCTCGGGCACTTCAAACTGAATAAGTAAAACCTCGATCAGATGATAGAGGTATGTGTGACATTTGTTCCTTTAGGTCTTTCTATTATAGAAGGTACACTTACTATTACGGTAGCTACTATTGCGGGGTAAAACGATACACTCGAGAGAGTGACGGGGGAAAGTTGCGCTTCTAACCGCACAGGACTCACCTGCCGCTCGAGAGGCATGCAGCGGGTGCTCGGCGCGTGGCGCAAGTCGCGCGTAGCAAGCTCCAAGGAGGGCCATGAGGTGCGTCTTGTTCGCACGTATTTAATGTGGATTGCAGATTTATTGACGTGATGTATCTGCTGTCCCCCAGGAGCTGCAGGAAGTGCTGGGGCAGCTGCGCAAGCTCGGCCAACGCGCCACGCTGGAGCAGGTGCGTCAATGGGCCAGTGTCCTCAATGTGAGTATACACTACCAGTGCTGAAAAGTCTTTGCTGCGCAGTTCAAGGAGTCGCCGCTGGTGGGCAAGCTTAGCTCGCCCATACAGTTCCACGGGCTGGGAAACATGATCTACAACAACGCTGGCGACAACGGCGAGGAGGTGAAGAAGGCGCTGCACGTGTGGAAGATCGCAATGGAGAAGGTATGCAGCTGAGCAGCGGATCTTTTCAGTCGTGTAATGGGTTCTTATGCTTCGCTGTTATCCGTGTGCTGTAGGGAAGCGAGAAGGCCAAGTTCAGCTACGCCTTGTGCATGAAGAAGGGCATCGGTGCGTGCTGTGCGACGACGACGTCGAACTGAACTGCACTGTAACAGCTGACGCGATGCACGTATTGTGACTGCAGGCTTTCCCAAGAAGGATGCGGCTAGCGCTACCAAGTACTTCAAGGAGGTGGGCGAATGATAAACTCCTTTCAAGCGTGGATGTGGCGATGGGTGAGCTTAGTTGATGTTCATGTGCTTTTAGTTGGCTGCTGCTGGCCACGGATGGGGTGCGTTTGCGTATGCGGACGCCCTCAGCAACGGGGATGGCACGCGCAAGAACGAGAAGAAGGCGTTCGAGCTGTTTAAGAAGTGCGCGGAGAGTGGCATCCCTCCAGCATACATGAACGTCTCCAACATGTACATGTCTGGAACGGGGACAGACAAGGTAAGCTATATCAATTAGCCTGTGCAACACCGTCTGGAAGTCTCGTGACTCACATGCCCTGTGCAGAACGAGCTGGAGGCCTTGACGTGGCTGATTAAGGCAGCGGACGCAGGCGACCCGACTGCTAAATCTCGTTTGGGCGAGTACTACTCGCTTGGCAAGGGAGGCGTGCAGAAGAATCAGGCTCGCGCAGTCCAGTACTACAAGGATGCCGCCACCACAGGAATCGTCACTGCGCAGTTCAACCTGGGCTACCTCTTCCTCACCGGCGACGGCGTGCCGAAGGACCCACTGCAGGCCGAGGCTCTATTCCGCAAGGCTGCCGAGAAGGGTTTTGTGATGGCGATGGTGAACCTCGCGCAGATGTATCGTACAGGTTACGGCAAAGTGCCCAAGGACCTGGAGACGGCACGCAAGTGGCTAGAACTCGCAGCCCCGCACGACCCGAACGCCAAGGAGCTGCTGAAGGTCGTGACGGAGGATATCGCCGCTGCTGATAATTGATGCAGTTGTTTGAGTTTTATTGAGCATTCATTTCTATCTAATTGTATTACTTAGCCTATGGACTGAAGACGGACACAAACGCCTGGATCGTGCACACGGCGCACACGACGGAGCTGATCGCTAGGATGATCCAGGCAGTGAGCTTGCGACGGTCCGTGTTGGGCTTCTCGCGCCTAATGCACACGTAGGACACGCACGGCAGGACGTACGAGATCAGGAGGCCAACGGTGGAGCCCATGAGGTTCCACACAACAGCCACGCCGGGTGACAGCAGCGCGATCGTGATGACACTGGCCATGATGGCAACAGTGAGCAGCACGTGCACGACGGTCGACTTGAGTCTCCGTGGAGATGAGGACGCGGCATTGATGATGCTGGTTCCATTGGCGCTGGTAGGCAGCAGCGCAGTCCCCTCTCCTGCAGGAGCCTCTTCTTCGTTATCCGAGTCGGAAGAGTCCGGGGCATCGTAAACTTTGGCACGGCCGCGGATGAAGCTGCGGATGATTTTGGCCAGCCGGAGCAGGTTGGCGCGGCAAGGCTGGATGATCAGCGGCAAGCTCAGCTGAATGGTGACCAGCAGACCGAGGCGTCCGAGGTTCACCAGCGGGTCGTTGTCGCTGAAGTTGTTGAGAATGTCACCTTGGACGCCGCCCTGCTGCCGGAACGCAAAGAGGTAGCCCATGATTCCGACGAGGATGTAGAACAGCCACGTCGAGAACATCGTCGACGCCACGATCTTTTTGAGACGGTGGCGCGTGGGCTTGTGCAGCTCGCGATACACCGGCAGCACGTTGAAGTGGCAGAGGAACGACACGGAGATGATGGGGAAGGCGTAGGCGGCGTCTGCCCAGCTGTCGGGGACCATCTTGATGGGGATCTGCGGCTCTGCCTCGACTTCAATGGTTTCTTCACGCTTGAACGTCGTGCCCACGGCTCGGACCGTAATGGCGATGGCCAGCACCAACACCGACACGAGGCTGAAGATGGAGGTGAAGCGCAGCGCGTCCATAGAGCGCGCCAGCAGCGCCGGCGACACGAGCAGCACGCAGCAAATCGTCAGGACGTTCTGCTCCGCCTCGGTGACCGGCCGGTTGTAGAGGAAGCGCGCGCCCAGAGAGCCCACCAGGTCCTTGGTGAGGATGACGTACGCCACGAGCGTGAGGAACGTGAGCAGCACGAGCAGCACGACGGTGACGCGGCCGGCCCGAGCGCCGAGCGCCTTGCGCACGACTTCTTCGTAGGAGGCGGCGCGTCCGCGGCGGCTGCAGCTGACGATCACGTAGAGGCTGAAGGTGGAGGCGGAGGCGGCGATGACCATGAACACGAGCGCCACCACGATGCCGCACTTGTCGAAGGCGAAGGGCAGCGACAGGATGCCGCCGCCGATGATGGTGCTCACGAGGTTGAAGATGGCTGACGGCGCCGTGGCCGTGCGCGTGGTGGCGTGTGGCCCCGGCGAGAAGAACTCGTGGCTCGCGCGATTGCGCTCGTAGCGGTACACGCCCGTGTCGACCATGTTGCCCTGCGACGAGGACGGGGCGCTCTGCATCGTGGCGGTCGCGATGGATCGATCTGACGAGGAGGCGGCGGAAGTGGAAGTGAGCCGAGCCAAGACCAAACCAAACGTACTTTGGTGTTTGTCCAATCCTGTGCGTGGACGGGGATTTCAAGGTTGTCACTTGGTTTTTGTATGCTCCCTCTAGGACCCTCTATGATTTTTCCTGTGGCGTGGCACCTGCTTCAACTCCAGGCCTGCGGTTGACGGTCGTCTGCAGCTGGAACTGCTGCTTCGCGCGGCTCCCAGCCTGGGAGTCCCAGGGGCCCGTGGCGAACAACGTGAAGCCGTGCCCCGCCGCGATGGAGACGATGGGCCCCACGCCGTAGTTGCGGAAGCTGCCGCGGTCCACGACGCCCGGATCGGGCAGATCCGTCGCGCCGACCTCGGAGCCCTTCCGTCCCAGGCAGCCCGAGGCGGTCTGGCCCCACGTGTACAGGTTGCCGTCGACAGCCAAGGCGCAGCTGTGGTGGGAAGATGAGGCGATAGAGCGGCAGCGAACGTGGCGATGCCGCAGCGCTGGAATGCAGGCTGCAATTGAGAAAACGCTGGTGTCAGTGAGGTGAAGAGCTATGACGGAAGAGCGGTGAACGTACTTGGTAGAGCCGCGAGCTTCTGCTTTCCCAGGCCAAGCTACGCAGTACATCAACTCACTAGGCTGTCAGCAAGAGAGACACGGCTGTGAGACGCAACACTAGCTTTTCGAGACTGACCTGTCCTTGAAGACCGCTCCCGAAGCTGTACACGAAGCCGCCGGTGCTATCGCTGCTGGTTGAAGCGGGTGAGCCTAGGACCCTTCGAGGCGCTCGAACTGGAAATATTTCGTCTCGATCACGGGCGATACAGAGCGTATGCCAACTGCCGCAACACACATCCAGCACTACACACTTCTCCAGCGCGCTTACTAACTGCGGGTGGAACGAATCCTCGTTGCTACCGAGTCCCAATCGCCCTCCATCGCCACAACCGAAGGTGAAGAGCTGTCCGTCTGCGGACACCACAGCGGTATGCACAGCTCCGCAGGAGACTCGCGTGATCCGTTTGTGTTGAAGTGCTTCGACAATAGTAGGAATCGGAAAGCATAGCTGCAAACGTTTGTCTTTGACTCCCGCACGTTTTGCCTCTCCCAACCCGAGCTGACCGCTCCAGCAACTACCCCACGCGTATACCTTTCCTTTGTCCGTGATAGCTGCGGTGTGCGTGTTGCCCACGCTCACAGTAGCCACGTGAAACTTGCACAATGTTTCGACGCGTATCGGCTCTTCTGTGGTGGGCTTACTACCATACTCAGACGCTCCCAACTCGCCATACTCTCCTCTTCCCCATGTGAAGCATTCTCCTTTGTCGCTTGTCATCGCGATATGTCCATTTGTTCGACCGCAAGCAAGATGTACCACGCGTTTGTTGGTTATGCTCGAAATCAATCTAGGAAACAAGAAGCATGAACCACGACCTTCACCACAAGCTGAGTTCTCGGTCTCCGAGTTGCGCTTGTGTTGATCTTCTTGCTCTTGCTGCTGAGCTTTCGCTCTGTCAGGCTTCGTAGCGGCCTCGTCGAAAATGGCATGCCCAGCACCGCCCCATGCGAACACTTGGCCATCTTCGGTTCGGGCAAACGCGAAGTTGGCATCAAAGCCCTGTAGTGGCAATGATACCAAAGAGGTTACGCACAACGGCACCCAGTCACGAGTCCAGGGTACTTACTGTGTAAACGTGAGTGACGTGGCCACCTCGAAAGCTTTCGATTTCCGTTGGTATTTCGCAGGCACGGCGGTGGCCCAAACCTAACTCTCCGTTGGAATTGGCCCCGAACGCAAACACCCGCCCAGAAGCTTGAGAACATCAGACAACATCAAATGTTAGCAGATGTTGTTGCTGGCGAGTACACATCCACTGACCTAAAATCGCGTCTTGTTGCAGCTCAAGCAGCCGCTGCTCTTCCAGACGAGCGAGAATTTCAGGCTCATGGACCCAGTCCTGGATGCGAGCAACGAGTTCCAATTTCTTGCCGCTTACAGGGAGATCGAGCAATGTGCATGCAGCGTCCAACTCGGCCTTGCGCCATACAGACACGTCGACTTCACGCCAGAACTCGCGCTTCTTCGGAAGACTGCGAATTGCAACACCCTTTTCACAAACACAGAGAAACTGTGAGTTTACTCAGAAAACATATTCCACTCGTCGGTATACTCGTCGGTATTGCATGTTCCACCTCGTACGAAGGTAATTGTTCGCGACTCCAGATCCGCTCGCGCTCGTTTGGGTCCGAAAGTCGAGCGATCCTCGCCTTCCGTCGCACACTAGCTCTCTTGTTCTCGCCATTCCGACCCAACTCGTCCTTCTCAAGCCGCATTTGAGCTCGCAGGTCGTCTTGAAGCGCGTCCAGCAGCTTCATCGCGCGCTGCTCGCGCATCCGATCGAGCGCCATGGCGGAGAGATAATGTCATGCTATTGCTCGCGTCGTTTCGTGCACATGGCTACATTTAAGAGTGGTCGTTGTGTGGTGCACGCAAATAACAAACAACGATGAACTTGCTGGGACTCGAGTACGGCTCATCGTCGTCGGACGAGGAGGACGACCGTGCACGCACCGCCCCACCGGCCAAGGTTGAATCTTCAGTCGTTGCTGCTCCTGCTCCATCTACAGTCGAAGCCCCAGTAGCGCAAACCGCCGCTAAATCCGACGAATTACCAGCCAAGCCTGCCGAAAACACTGTCGATGCCAATGTATCAACTGCAGTGACCACTGGACCGGACGCGCCTATGGACGACGGAGACGACGAGGCAATGCTTTTGCGTGCTGGCATACCGCCGGCAGCCACGCCTCTAGCCGATGACGACGAGACGCAACAACGCATCGAGCGGTTCCTGCGCGTCCAGCGAGAACGCGGCCAGGACTTCCAGACGACGCTGCAGGACAAGAAGGAGGTGCGCAACCCGTACATCCTGGAAAAGGTGGTCGAGTATTTCGGCATCGACGAGCTGCAGTCCAATTTCCCCCCGGATGTATTTGATCCGCATGGTCTTCCGTTGCACGAATTCGCCGATGCATTGGCTCTCGAGCAGAAAAAGCGGGCGGATGCTCGAGCACAGCGCCAACTGCAGCAGCAACGGAATGGTGCGGACCCGCGCCAGCTGCAATTCGTATCAGGTAACCCATCGAGTAACGGAGGTTAAAGGGGTTAAATGTTGTAGTAAGAAAGTTACACAGCTACGACGACAGTCGACTTAGTTCGCTGTTTCTCCTCTGGTTTGCCTTCAATTCGACCGTGGCCCTTGCCAAGGCCTTTGCTGCGCCCATGGACGATCGCATCTTGCAACTTGTCCAGCGTTTCCTGGCGAGAGGACAAGTCTTGTTCTAGCCGATTGATATTGTCATGGGCGGAGTTCAATTTCGCGTCCATTCGCGCAAGCTGCTCGTCCGCCGCTTTCTTTGCGCCACCCCACTTGGCTGTTTTGCCTCGATCGCGAGCGAACAGGTACCGCTGAGTCTCCAGGTCCGCAAGTGCTTGACGACAGCGTAATAGTTCACGTTTCAGTTGCTCACAAGCTGCAAGTTCCTTTCGAGTATCCACCTTCTGTTGTTCGGCGTTACTGCAGTGCACACACGGTAATGGCAAGGTGTGAGAACGACATCGGGGAATCAGTGTGGTCGTATCAATCGTGTGAAGATCCAACGGATGTGCGTAGCGACACCGCCCTAATTTCTGGATATTTGTGCAAATCCCACGCCGGCCGAACGAAGGACAAATGACGCGCTCTGATGTAGCTGTGGCTGCAATATCCGAAGCTGCATTCCCAGACTCACCGATACTGCTTACACGTTTGTTTCCATTTTCTGGGTACGAAGCTCGTGCTTGGTCAATCTTGGCGTACAGCTTTTCCAGCGGCAAGTGCGAACATGGCGGTAGTAGTGTGCACTTGGGGCAGCGGCGAAGAGGCTCACTCATCCGCAGAATTGAAAGCGGGAAAGGTGACAGCCCCGGAGGACCAGCTGTGCTGGATGTCGGCTGACTCACTTTGACCACGTTCGCTTCACTTATAAGATATTGCTTGAGGAAGATTTCATGCATCTTCTCTAGGCATGGCATCAACTTGAAAGAGCAGAGCTTGGCAAGTTCTTCAAGCCCTTCTCGAGTATAACCAATCTAGAGAGGCAAATTTGAACACGCGAATGAGACATGGTTCAATCAACGCGGTAAACGCGCAATAAACACTTTCGCACCCGCTCTTGCTGGCAAATCAGCAACAACTTTGTTCTCACGAGGTTCGCAGACAGACTGTGGAGATGCACTTTCATTGCCTGGGCTTTGATCTGCTCCGCGAGCTTGTTTGCATCAGGACGCACGAGCAAAATCACAAAAACTCGCTTGGCGTTTGCGTCAGCGAGCAGCGGCACGAAGAAGTGCTGCTGTACGCTCGGGGTCACGCTGCAACCAAGAAATTGTTAGCTTTATCAAGCCAGATCATGAATAGATACTCACTAACAGTACCTTTCGAAGTGCTCGATTGTTAGGTATGACGGTGCACCGGTCTTTGAAGCGTCCAGCCTCTTCACAGCGTCTTCTAACTTGCTTAGTAGCGATTTTTCCCTAAAAGACCACGGCACGAGTTGTTAGCTCAGATGCTCACAGCGCACACAGCATGTTCGGGGAAAGAGCATTACGCTATTCCGCTAGCATTAAGAGTTGCAAACCGGCAAGGCACGTCAGTTGTCAAGGACAGCAGCGTCCTCCGGAGGATGCCCGCAAATGTGGACTTGCCCATGCTACTCCCGCCCTGGTCAGTGTCAATCGTCAATATGACAAGCAGTACACACTTTTCAGTCGCAAGACAACCTACGCTGATGATAAAGTTGGTGAACCCGTTAACAGCGTCAGCTTGGATGTTGCTAGTGACCGCACGAAGGCAAGCAGTTGCCGCGGGGTTGCCAAGAAATCGCTCAATGTCATCCGGAACGAGTCTCTTCTTCCTGCAGTGCAATTGCGACCGCTGTTACGTCATTGCGTCTACCAAGACCTCGTAGCTGTCGAATACCATTCTGGGGCTGAGTCATGCGGCAGTGCCGGGCAGCGAGGCTTCGGCGGCGGTGGGTACGCGTGATACAGCGCATCGAGCTCGATCCAGAACCCAAAGGAGATCCGCCAGTCCTGCTTTGGGGGCTGCGCTCGCTGGGTGGCCGGCCTGGAGCTGCTGCTGGCGGTGGGTGCCCGCCCCGACTTCATCTCTCTGTGTGTGGTCCTGCTGGAAGATCGCGAGCTCTGCAGCGTCACGTAGGCGCGTCGATGTTCTGAAGTTTCCTTTCGCCTTCCTTGAGGTTGAAGTCGCAACCACTCCGGTGCTTCAGAAACCCCTCTAACTTGCATTCATACAAACGTCTATATATAAATCGAAACGGTGCGAATTGAGGGGGAAACGTATCCTTATTTTTACCGCCCAGGATCAGATCGTGAAGGACTCCAGCCCCACGTCAAGAAGTCAGAAGCTCTGCTGTCTCCGCTCACACCTCCATTCACCTCGTGCCTGCTATCAACATGACCCTCATCCCCGCCTCCCGCCTGCTGACCAAGCGCGCCGGCGCCTTCGCGCTGTCCGCCTCGAGCCGCAGTGTGTACACCAAGGGGCTCGCGAAGGACATGATGGAGAAGTCGTGCTACAACGGCGTGAACTTCATCATCCCCGAGAAGGCCACCGTGTTCGAGGCGATCACGCGCATGGCCGGCATCAACCTGGGCTGCCTCGCCGTCAGCGGCGAGGGCGGCAAGTTCGTGGGCGTGGTCACGGAGCGCGACTACCTGAAGAAGGTGGAGCTCCAGGGGCTCACCGCGAAGAACACCCTCGTGGGCCAGATTATGACGCACCGAGCCCGGCTCATTGTCGCCGGGGAGAGCGAAACCCCGAACCAGCTCATGTCGAAGATGCTCTCGAGCGTACGTGCAACGAGAACCCACCGGGATGCCAGCAGTGTTCTTCTTCTAACGATGGATTTTCTGTTTGCTTGTGTGTGTGCAGGACGTCCGCCACCTGCCCGTCATTAACGGCGACGGCGACTTGACCGGCATGCTTTCTATCAAGGACCTCGTGCGCGAGATCAACCGCGAGCACGACGCCGACATGGACACGCTCAGCAACTTCGCACTGGGCCACGGTGGCCACTTTGTGCTGGACTAAGCCCGCTCCCAAATCCCGTCGATGTGTTCTTCTATCTACACGCAGCGACCTCAGAGCGCTCTGGACTCTGGTTGATTCGATCAGAGCAAGCTGGATGAAGCGTGAAGTCTGCTGCACGCAGTCGCACGGCTCGCACCGAACTGAAATTCGACCAGTGTGGCAGCGCTGCATGTCGTCTCGCGAGTAGACTCACTGCTACTAGTTCTTAGCCTTGTAAGTGAATCAAGCGCTGTTGACCAACGTGTTATCTGCTGCCATGTTGTGCACAATGCTGAGCAGGTACTATTATAGCTCCCCCATCGCAGCGCGCTGTTCGAGCCGACCACAGTACGACGACCGGGCTCTATGGCGTGAAAGGCTGTCACAGAGCCACCCGTTCGGCCGGCACGCGAGTTGCAGTCGCCGCACTGACTCAGCGTCCACACTGTCTGCACTGCACGTCACCCAGCAGCAACGTCGAAGCCGTACTCGATTTGCTCCGGACGTGAGGCGCGCTCTCGTCGCGCGCCGGGTCTCACGCCACCGCGACTACCAACTCGAGGCTATCCGCTGTCAGCAGCCGCCTCGATAACGAACACGGGCGTCGGTCGCGTCCGGCGAGAAAGGAAGCTCGGAGCGGCCCCTTGCGCCGGACGCCGTGGATGTATCCATCTCGGCTTGTTCCGACTCTCTTCAACGTCCTGGCCAATCAGCGCGCGCGACGCCGGTGCTCCCACTCTCCGTACCGATAGAGGGCTGTCCACGCCGGCGGGCCAGAATGGCACTCGGCCGGCAAGACCTCGACGCTCACCGTCATTACGCGCCACGGCCAGGCCCCGGAACCCCCGCGCCCCTCGCTGGCATGAGCGGCGCCACCCTCGACGCGGGCCTCGGCGCGGCGCTCTCGGATGCGGAGGAGGCGCGGCTGCAGCTGGCCGGCTACTTGTCCTGCGCGCTGTCGGTGGCCGGCACGCTGTACGTGCTCGCGCACTTCGGCTGCGGCAAGCCGCGGCGCCAGGACGCGGCCGCGCAGGCGCAGCTGCCGCAGCAGTACCGACGCCGCGGCCCGCGCGCGCGCATGGACTTCATGGACAAGCTCGTGCTCGTGCTGGCGCTCTTCGACCTGGTCACGGTGGCCGCGCGCGCGGTGGGGCGCAGCGTCATTCACGACCGCGCGCTGTGTCGAACCCAGGCCGCCGTGATCCAAGCTGCCAATCTGGCCAGCTGCAGCTGGATCTGCTGCATGGCCTACAACCTCTACCGGTGGATCGCCGGAGGCGAGTCGGACGCCACGCGACAAAGAAGATTTCCACTTTTCCTGGCCGTTGCAGTGGTGCCCGGCGCGGGTTTTGTTGTCTTCCACTTAATGAGTAGGGACACAGGGAGATTGTTATTTGTGGGGGTATAGTGGAAGGTGCTGACGTGAGGCGGTTGTGCGTGTTGTTTGTGCTGTTGGTTGCAGCGAACAAGTATGGCGACGCGACGTTCTACTGCTGGTTGGACGAGATCCGCTACATGTTCCTCAACTTCTACCTCTTCTATCTGCTCATGATCGTCTTCAACTTCGTCCTGCTGGCGCTCATCCACTTCAACATGAAGCAGCGCGTCGCTCGGTACGAATGCGATGGTCTTGAGTATCCAAGTATTGCTCTGACTTGTTGTGTGTGGACGGCGTGCCTGTTACTGTTATTTTCTATCGTTGCAGGCACGATACCGTGGAGGCAGACACCTCTTCCATGCTGATTCGGCGTAAACTCCTGCTCTACATTGTCGTGTTCATCGTCCACCGCACACCAATGATGATTTATCGCAGTAAGTCTGCAGCCTGCTATTGAAGGGCGTCGAAAGAAACGACGTTGACGTGGCGTTCTCTTTGTGGAAATTGTTTTGCAAAGTTTTCGAGGCTGGGGGCCTCGAGAGTGTGAACGTCGGTCTCGCTATGCAGGTGATACAAGACCTCAACGGATTCTCCAACTCGATCGTGTACGGTGGAATCTGCCGCAGAAGAACGAAAGACGCGCCGTTGCCCCGTGATTGCGAGGCCGAAAGCGTATCTTCGCCGACTGAGAGTATTCCAGGTGGATACGTTGTCAAGAAGCGAACTACAGGGACGAATGACGACAATGAGGCGGTGGTGTGCGCGTCTGCGAGGATCGGAACAGCATTGACCCCGTCGGGCCGCAAAGTATCCTACGAGTCGGACAGTGGGGACTCAAATCCCAGTAGGAACACCCATTCTCGCAAGGCTTTCGGGATCCACGATGAACACAGCTACACGTACCGGAGTTGGCAGCAGCGTTTACAGAAGCGGTTTACGTTGCATCATGCACCACCGCCACCGCCAGTGGAGCCAAAGAAGATTGCAATCTTCGCGTCCACCTTCAACATGGGCGAAAAGGACGTTCATGAACATGAGCTGGTAAATATGCTGAGGTTGAAGAGGTATTTTCGCAAGAACGCTGGCATCTAACGCTTTCGTATGTATGTCATAGCACGACTGGATTCCATTAGGACAGGATGTCTACGTTATTGGTGTGCAAGAGTGCATGGATCTCGCAGACTTACAGATCAAGATCTTGCGCCACCTCGTCTCGGGATCTACCAGCAAATACGTGCACTACTCCCGCGAAATTGGCAAACGAGCTACAGCGCTGGGCTATCACGGCTACATTGCACTCTGTATTTTTGTACGAGCCACCGCGGTAGCATCGGGTCGCTTTCGTATGCCGCACAGACAGAGCAGCAACAAAAATGCTCAGGAAGTCTTTCGTGGGAAGTCCCTGTTGCTTTTCGGCCGTGCGTCGAACAAAGGCGCAGTGGGCATGTCGTTCCGGTTCGATGATACGTCTTTCGCGTTCGTGACGTGTCATTTGGCGTCCGACTCGTCCAGCTTGAAGCGTGCCAAACGAAAGAAGAGTTCGAACTCCGTTTTAAAAGGCGGCAATGGCGATTCCTCCGGCGACCTCAGCTTACTTAATCACGGTGGAAGCGTTGCACGGAGCAGCGGTGGAGATAGTGGAGGTAACAAAGCCTCAGTGTCCGAAGAAGCGACGATGGAGGCGCATCAGCCTCCGTCCAAAGTACAGCGGCGCAACCAAGATGCTATGGAGATCCTTCAGCAATTGTACCTTGACGAAGAGGATTACGGATTCGGGTTCTCCCAGCTACACCACCACAGCTTTATCCTCGGCGACTTCAACTACCGAATGACACGCAAGGGTGCAACACCGATAGAGATGCTCGAGCTACTCGTGAATGCTGGAACAGAACAGCATCATACACCGGAGGACATTTACACAATGTGTCTATCATCGCCGTGCTCGCCAGCTATGCTTCAAACGTCGAGGAGCGAGCAATCTCCTCAAACGGGCGAGGGCGACTTTCGACAGTGCGTAACTCCCAAAGTGCAGAGCCCGACACCGATTGTGACAGCACGAAGGAGCCACCGGTACGTCAGAGCGCGCACTGGAACGGCAGCAAGCAACAGCGGCAGTAGTTCGGCGCCGTTCTTACTTCGGACACTGGTCGAGGAGCACGACGAGCTCTACCAGTTGTGTCGCTCGCAACAGATTTTCCACGGCTTCCAGGAGAACGAGATCAATTTCTTCCCGACATTTCGCCGTATCCGAGGGAAGGCACTGCGCGAACCACTCGATGCAGACACGTTTCAGCAGAATTATTCTCTCGTCGCAACCCACGGCGGCTATCGAGTACCGTCCTACACGGACCGCGTCTTCTACAGTTCGCTAGCTGGCATGCAGGATTCCCTCCGGTGCCTCTCGTATGATTCATGCGAGGCTGTAACCTCGTCGGACCACAAACCAGTGTCAGCGTGCTTCGAGGTGGCGCTACTCGCATCGCAGAAGACGTCCTCTGCGTCCCTCTTGGCGGAAGATGCCTTGTGGAACGCCAACTCGACAGACGCCAACCCCATGATCCTCCGCGCAGAGGGATCGTTTGCCGCTTCCAGAATGAAAGACGTTCCAGGCGCGTGCGAGCTCCGCCTTCGTATCGAGTTCCGCTCTATCCACTGGATCGACGCCGTGGACTCGGCGCTCTTTGATCGAGCTGAGCACGTGCAGTTCGGTTTCCTCTTCCCACTTCCCTGCGAAGATGTCTTCGCGCCACAGCGAAAGCTGCATGAGGTGGCGGAACACTTGACGTTTGGTGGAAGCGAGAGCACCAATACTGGCGGCATGGGCTTTGCATCCACCATCACCCCCACTTCCAACTTCCACACTTTGAAGTGGCATGAGTTCGTCAATGGTGGGCTACGGTACCATACGCTAGCGGGGGGCATGGGGCGCAAGCACGTGGCCGTAATGCTGCGCTCGCTGAGTCGGGGGCGTTCCATGTCCAAGACTTCTTCGGCGTCGCGGTTGCTTGGGGGTAGCTGCTCCCCTTCGCCACACACCAGCGTAACCTCCATCGCATCAACGTGCTCACCGACACCGCACGGCAGCTCTGTGGGCTCCTCCTCGTCATTCTCGTCGGAGATGCATTTCGGCCACGGTACGTTCTGCGCCGAGGGCATGGCCAAGAAGCGCGAAGTGTGCGTGCCATTGACCCTGGGCGGAAGACTGCTGGGCCGCCTCCAATTACGGGTGTCGCTGCAAATGCGCCAGAAGAAATGACACTGGTGTCCTCGGCTGGATATGAACAGCCGAAGCACCTTCACGTTGTGTGCCCCTGTACAAATAAGTTAGTAGAACTGAAGTATTACCGTGTTGTGAGAATGCGTAGTGATGTAGTAAGCCGCAAAACATACCCGTCATGTTTCGTTAAGTGGTCACCACTAAACAAAAGTGGACACCGATCTGCTGTATGAACGAACGATCATGTCGGCTGTGTAAAATGGTCCTTGTGGTGACGGTAGCATTAAACATTCCGAACCTCCATCAATCCGTATTGTTGACGCATCAAACGCTTGGGTAAACAAAACCGTCATGATCATTCTTCAGCCACGATACTTCGGCGCGCGGTGCACGCAGGTCTCTTAGCCAGAAATCGTTGAATACGTCCTGCAAGCGGTCCTAAATTTGCAGGACATTTTGTCTGGTGCAGGACCAATTTTCTGGCTGCATTCATTTCTCCCGATAGGCCGTTGGTGTAGTGTCATACCAGTTAGATGCTAATGAATAAGAAGATCTCTACATGTAGTTGTGAGTGGTTGTGACTATGAAGGAATCCTGGAAAGTCTCTGCGGAGCTTTCTGAGATTGGATTGCGGCCACCGTTGGTCCTCCTTCGCTTACAAGGTAAGCCGCAGTAGTCACTGAGTACCGAAAGGGGGTTTTCGCCTGCGGGCTTCCCCGATGCAACACAACTGGACTCGCTCACTTTTGGTTTTTCCAACTCAGTGACAAGTGGCCTTCCTACGTGCTTCGTCCAGACTACACAGCCCGACTCTGGTGCTGGTGAGAGGAGTGAGTCTCTCGTCGTTGTCCCCTCAGTAGATGCGCAGAACGGACAGCTCCTGCTCCGGCATGCCTGCGTGTTGCAACTGCAGTGAGCTGCCGTGCTCGTCGCTGCTCCGCGCGCAGGAAGAGATGAAAATGAATTCGGCTTGTGTCGATTAGCCATGGGTTAAATGAAAAGTTTCATTCTCCAGAAATTGTAGGACATGACACTCTGTATTCCTAGAAATGCAGGACTTCGTGTCCGGTATTTTGCAAAGACAAATAATCAACTCATAAACAGGGATTTAGTATAGAGTCAGTAAAAGTGCCAGTTGACATATTTCCTGCCCGCGTCAGTATTCAAAAATCCATATTACTCCCCCCTCAATCGATCGATTGGGACCAGCTAGCGAGAAAAGTTAGCGAGATCAAGAGCAATACCGGTCGCGAGCAGTGTACCAAAACTCCTACGGCGGCTTCATTGTCTGAGTCATCGCCAACAAGGCCCATCTCGGGGCCCCTGCGTTCGCAGCGAGGCTAGGGAGCGTTGGTGTATCAACACCTGTGGACCACCGCAAAGCACCCGGGATTTACGCCCCTATTTATTAACCTCAGTACAACAAGCAGCAGCTCGTTCTCGTCCTGCTACTCGCCCTCGCCGTTCTGCGGCTTGTTCTCGACCCCCAGCTCGTTCTCGTCCGAGCTGCTTGTTATCGCCCGACATCTCATCCTCGTCCGGCAGCTCGTTCTCGTCCGACAGCCTGGCATCGTCCGTCAGCACCTCATCATCCTGCTGCAGCTCGTCGTCGTCCTTCTGCAGCTCGTCATCGTCCGACATCTCGTCCTCATGCGTGAACTCGTTCTCGCCCGACAGCTCGTCCCCACCCGGCAGCTCGTTCGTCTAACAACTCGTCATCGACCAACAGCAACTCGTCGTCGTTCACCAGGGCGTCAACGTCCGTCAGTTCGTCTTCGCTGGACAGCACGTCGCGCGCTGCTGCAATGGCTGCTGGCGCCCCCACTTGCTCTCGTCTGGGTAAATATCCGCTAGACCTAGCCCGAAGATCCTTCGTGTGCGGTTGTCCGCATCGTTGCCACTTGGGGTTGTCGTTGCCGCTTGGGATCTATAACCACCGCCGCGTTCAGCACTCCAGCGTCCACATTGCTCACCGTCTGGCATGACCACACCGCTACCTGTTACAAAATTAATGATGTACGCTATCTGATGACCATAGTTGAGGACAGAGCAAAGCGTACCGGACTGTGGCGTGCCCGTCAAAGCGTTGAGGACGCTGTTAAAACGTTCATTGCATGCGCTGACAGCATCAACGTACCGCAACACATAGCGACATTGCGGGGTATGACAGCTAAGCTGGGCTGCTGCCATCGCAAACGGCGTAAGCAGAGCAGTTACTGATTGGCCGGTTTGTTCTTCCTTCTTCGCTCCCATTGGCAAATATCTACTCATTATCAAGTCCTGCCAATGTCCTGTAAAATCGGTCTAACAATCATTTATCCCAGGATATCCCAAGAAAAACACACCTAATAAATTACAGTTTAAATTACTTGAAATCGCAGGTTGCGCGAAGATGGACGCGTCGCCGACAGGGTCAACATTCACGTGGGCGATTCATAAAGACTAGAGGTATACGATCATCGCGATCATCGCGAAAGGGTTAAAGATTTTCCATTATGCATGGGCTCTAGGGTTCGTTACTTTGTAGACTTATATATAATATTTTCGGACAATCAGACCCTTTAAATTACGAAGGCTGTGTTTTTAACGCGACGGTGGTGCTTGGTTGCCGCACTTCGACCAACTCTACGATCTACTGCGCTTGGCCCCACGCCCCAGGTCTCCTCAACCTCCAGTGTCCCAGACCCCAGTACCGCCCTCCTCTGTCGTATACCGACAAGCGTACAAGACGCATTCTTGGCGCGGGATCTTCAAGAAAAGTCTAGGGGGTTGCTGTGGCCGTACTTGATCTCGACAGTGGCATAATTCCACGCATGGATGGTTATCGCACTAGGATGCAGCGACTGGATGATCGAGAGAGGAGAATGTCAAGAACAAGCTGAACTAGCTGCAGAGCGGACTCGGCTTCAACGTCAGAGCAACGAGTATGAGAGTCGACGTCGCGAACTGGACAGCCGCGAGGCAAACCTTGTCGCGTGGCAACGACGGCTTGCAGAACGAGAGGTATCTCTGAGATCGAGCAGAGGGATATCGTCTCAATCGGCCTCCACTCTGGAATAGTGCACACGGCAAAGATGCATGACCAGCTATTCGTGTGCTTGCATGTAGCAAGGCTGCACCGAGAACACGTACGTGAAGACTTCCATTGATCTTTGTACGGACAAGGGGGTATTTGCATGTGACGATTATCTAGATTTCAACTCAAATCACGATGACTTCGATTGCGCACCATAAGCTTATAAAGCGAAGCGCGCAGGTCCATTTTGCGATCTCGTGCGCTAAGCCATAGCCCAAGGGCGCTGCCCAAGCGTTGCAAATGATGACCAAGCTGCAGTACGTGTTTGTCGTCGTCACCAGCTTTGTATTAGACACCTTTTGCTCACGTATTTTACGGATTCTGATGCCTCCCTGAGTTTTGTAAATTGTAAAGTTGCCAACGACACTTTTTGCCCACATATATTCAATTAGGTACGAATATCAATCTTCGACAGGGAATCGAGGCCAGCAGCGTGGTTAAGTACCACGCGAGCTTTCCAGCTCTAGTTGATGGCCCCTGGCGCTAGAATCAAGCGTTTACACTGTAGCTGGAGTCGTCCGAGGTGGCGAGAGGAAGTCGGGTTGGTGCTGATCTCGTCCTGAGTATTCCGAGCGTTTTCCCGCAAAACCTCAACAACATAAAAGTAAAAACCTTCAGTATTGACACCGGGGAGCCTCGAACTACGTGTACATCGGACAGATGAAGAAACTCTCGTGGATGCTCCAGCGTTGACACTCGGTCCAGGACCAGCTCCATCTACCCGGAATGGGTCTTTCGTCACGCGTTCTAAGAAGGTGAGGGTCTTGAACCCCATCGTCTATGCACAAGCTCCGCCTTACAGCAAACACTAGCGTTTCCGCCTTGTTTGCGATTGATTTCAGCTAAGCTTAACGTGTTCGTAGAGTCAGACGATTTTCATCCGTTCATCATGCAGCCACTCGGAAATGTAAAAGCTGACTGGCACGAGGACCAAATCTGTTCTCCTTGAAAAATATTTTTTCTAGCTAATACGCCTTACGGCGTACTTGAAAGATCGATTTGACAACCGGTACCGCGTGCAGTTTCCTTGAAGGGCTTTTGGTGTGAACGTAGACTTATACTGGGATAGGAAGAAACGTTAGTGCTGCTATCGTGGTACAGGCAAGTCAAACGATGACCCCTCTTGACATCTAACTGGTATATTTTCTTGAAACCGGTATGGCCCCAGTGATGCGGTTTATATGCGTGGGCATGTCCAACCGGTGTGCAACCGACGACACTGGTATAATTCAGTACGTATATTCGAGCAGTGAACGAATTGAAGTAAAGAGAACGATTGAGGCGGACTGTAGTAGCACTAGAAATAAACATTAGCATTTTCAAGTATAAAACTTCTTATACCAAAATCCTCCTATAGTAGCCTTCGCGGAGCCCTAGTACTACTTAGAGCAGCAAACAACGGACGCGTTGGCAATATATACATATCGTTGGTGTATTGTCAAAACCTCGAACATATTTGCAGAGTACACTACTCTGCAGCATGTACGTCATGCGTGTGTACTACTCATGCAAGATTCACAAGCGGGTCAGCTTTATCGCGCTTGACGAACAGCTCATCCAGCACAAAATCACGTTCTGCACCAAGTGCGTTAAGGGATGCTATTAAATGGGATACCCAGAAGCCTGTTCAGAGCCAAGCTGTTGGTTATGAGGCCTACAACGAGTTTTTGATCGTCTTGCGGTCAGATATGGAACTATATAATAACTGTGTGGCAGTAGAAAAATATGTTTAGACCAACTGACCGGGAAGATCTTGCCTTTAACGACGGCTGCAACACGTCAAATTTCATCTTCTATGATCAAGGACAAGTGAGCATAATACTCCTCGTTCGGCTTCACCTCGATACAAGCACAGCGGCGCTGCCGAGGTCGTGCGGTTGATGCGCATGCCGTCTATTTGTACGACTCGTAAAATTACTATTGAAACTCGATAAATTAATTTGAGTACTGTTTCCATAAAAACATTATATGCCAAAGGTATATCATGATAAGCAGTATGTCGTTCTGCAATTTTACCGAATGACTTTCCCGTATTTTGTGCGGAAACGTGTGCTCGAAAAGGCGTAAATTACGTGGGCAAAAGGTGTCTACTGTGGAGGTCAAGCTTGAATACATTTTAGTACTGTAGTACTTTTATACCCTACTTGCATACCCGATAATATTGCTATACCCAATATGACCGTCGTCCACGGGTGCTATCGGGTGCGCCAGGTTTATCTGTACTCGCTAACGTTACATCTAAACAGGAGATGGCAGCACCATTATTCGCACGCGCTAGATGTAGCAGCTTGAAGCAGCTACGTGTCAGAGTAATGAAGTTTAAAAAGCTGTGAAGCAGCACCATAGCTTTACTAGCAGCTCAGTTGGTCTCGCTCATGGAGAATCGAGGGGTGGAAGCTCCTGACAAAAAATCGATGTGAACTGTTGCTGGTAGCTCATTTGGAAGCCAAACTTGATCTACATAGGACCCATACACCTGAGGTCTTCGAGCCCGACAATCAACACTTGAGAAAAACCGTAGTGTGACTCACACTGCGTGAGCTTTCACGTCGATTTGTTCTACACACCACAAAGTCGAACATGATCTCGCTGCGGTACAGTGTAGCGTACAACGTCCAATGGCCTCGGCTCTCCGACTGCTTGAAGCGATATTCGCTTGGTCCTGCAGGTGAGCCAAGTTTAAGATAGCTAACTCAGCCTGATCCAATTCCCAGCAAACGGTGGAAAAACATACTTGAAGAGATTAGACGTCCTCGACGTCCTCATAAGAGGGACGTTGAAGTCGAACTTCAACTAGATCCAAATCCAAGCAGCTTTGCGGCATGTCAAATCAACACTAAATGCACGTGTACAATGTACACTGCGGAGGCATAGAGTTCACATGAACCACCAATGGAGCTCTACCAAAACCCACACAATCTCGATATTTGCTACGGTCATAAACGTGGCGTATTTCTCGTAGCAAATCCGTCGTAATTTGTGGAGACGTCAAATTCGTCTCCACAAATTGCGTCGAGCGCAAATGAAACGTACCATTATTTTGGTACAATTCCCAATCACCACTCATGCTGCTCTCAAGCTCTGCGTCAGCGCGCCCAAGCCGTGGACAGCAGAGCAGCGGAAGAGGCTGAGTGTTTACTACCACCCAAGTTGATTGTACGTGCACCTTACGCATTGTTTGCTACTGCTGTCTAATGAGCTGACTGGCCGCACCGCGGCACGGTCACTAGCCAGCATGTACAAAAAGTGAGCGTAGCCATGTATTTAGCACTCAGATGTGATGATTTTGGTCGGTATCATCGATTGTAGCAAACACGACGCAAACGGGGACATATTTGGTGTTGCGAGGTTAACGGAGAGACTAGGAGGAGAGGAGTGTGGAGGAGTCGTCAAAAGACGAAGTGAGTTAGATTAGAGATGGTGCACTGCCAGCAGCAGAGTTTAGATGGTTGGTTCCAGCAAAACTACACTGCTACAGACTATACAGCATAGTTACTCCTTGACTAACAGCTTTGAAGGGACCTTTTGTATCAGATCATCCGCTTCCAGAGGTAGTTGGTACTATGTGCCACTATGTAAAGGGTGCAAACATTGACAGCCTCCCTGCATCTTTGCATATGATTGGCACATACCCGAAGGCATGTAATATTACAGGTCTCTGGAGAGTCTCGTTACAAACGCCTCAGTCTTCAAAGAGTCGTCTACCAAGGAAGCCCCTGAGCTAGCTGCTCCGACTTAACCCACTCAGCCCTACTGTGTTGGGAAGAAGGACTTCACGGGCAGGCCATGGCGACACTCTTGAAGACAGCGCAGTCAGCAGCACTGGTGCCGGGCACGCCGTCCTCAGCGCCGAAAGGCCTGGAGAAAAGGAAGCTCGGCACTGCAGCTAAGATTCGAGAGCGCAAGCGGAAGCGGGCAGCTGCTCGCAAGGAGAACCAAGGTGCTGGTGCCAAGTCCAGCGTGGAGGCAGCGACCACGGCGACCGGAGGGTGTGAGGCCGTGGGGGCCGGGGTGACGAAGGCCGCGGGGGCCAAGGAGAAGAAGCTGAAGAAAGCCGCTGGAGCCAAGGCGAGGAAGGCTGTTGGTGGGCCGCTCGCAGGGGCCCTCCAAGCAGCCATGGCCGAGGCTGCTGCAGAGTCTTTGGAGACAGCGCCCGCAGCAAGCAGTGTTGCGCCGTGCGGCTCGCGCAGTGGCGCTACGTCGAGGGAGCATGTAGCCGCTGCCACGGCACATTGTTCTCGTGGCATTATATACCGGGGGACCTTAGTGACATGGGTTCAACATCTCGCACCACCGACCAGGCTGCAGCTCAGATCTTAACGGAACTTGCAAGCCGTGCTGTCGATGGAGGCGTGCATCACCCGGTGGTCAAGAGGGCTGCTGGTAGGACTGGCAAGGCATCTCGTAGAGCCCAGACTGCTGCAACAGACCAGCGTGTAGCGGCACGTACGCATGTACCTCGTGCCACCGAACAGGATGCAGCCACCGAATGTGAAGATACAGTCATCGAACTGGGCACTTCTGACACTGATGAATCGTCAGATGGTGACGTGTATTACCCAATATACGGTACGTATTACAGCAGCAAGCAGGTGGCGGTAACAGCGGACTATGCAACTACGAAAACGACCTGGAGGGTGGCCCGTATCAACGACCACCGCAATTCTCCTCGTGGTCAAGAGTACTGTGTGCTTTAGCTCAGCCGTCTGCTCGTCAACCGACGCTACTTGGGAGCCTCTTCAGCAGCTTTTGGACTGTGGCTTCACCAACGAGGTGGACCTCGTGGATCGCTGGAAGGAGTCCGGCGAGGAGAAGTTCAAGGACTTCTGGCCCAACGACGAGTTCGGCAAGCGTGCAATTGGTGCTGACGCTCGTGGCCTGTGCATGTTCAATGCACTGAAGCGTGCGGTCGAGCTTGCCGGACGCCCGGACATCGTCACGCAAGATGATATCGACACGTTTGTGGCTGATGAACTCCGAGAGCATGGTGTGGACCTCACAGTGGGCACTTCGTGGAAGGTGGTGCTACGGTTCCTGCGCCGCCTCAGGGATGCTGGCCGGGATTTCATCTTCAAGGCCATCGACAAGGACAACTTCACTATTGCTGGACGGCGTGGAGCACGTGTGCTGGAGGAAGTGCCTCTCTACAACGGACTTTACTTCGTTGTTGCCTACCACCACAGTCTAGTGGGGCACGCGTTCGTGCTAAGCGTCCAAGGGAAGTGTCGGAGCGTGCTACGCTTTAAGCGAAGTGCGGCACAAGTATCAGCCGACAGTAGCACTGGACACCGCGTCATCATATCTAGGGCCATCTTCTCTACGTCAAGGAGGTCAGGCGTCTCAGAGATCAAGCTGCACGAAGGTAAGACACAGGACGAACTCCAGGGCTGCGCGCAGGTAGGCGGCTAGGCAGCTTTGCATAACTCTCAATTGAATTCACTTTTCCTTTCACCGTCTTCCGCTCAAGTGCCTCTCAAGCTTGCTAACCACTCGACAGGTTATGAGTTCCAATACCACGACTGCCTTCACGACCAAGCTTCGCAAGTTCGACGGCTCAGGCTATCGCGTCTGGGCGCGCCAACTCCAGCTGTATCTGGAAGTGAAGGACGTGTGGGGCGCTGTGCTGAAGCCTGCACCGACGTCGCTGCAACTGGCGAACGAAGAGCCCGGCCAAGCTGATCGTCCGTTACAGCAGAGAGAACGGCCGCTGCATCAACTGGAGCTTCAGCAGAAGCTCGCCATGACGATCATCCTGTCCGCGCTGACGGACGACCAAGCCGCGTTGGTCGCCGATCTCACGCACCCGCAGGAAATGCTGCAAGCGCTGCAGAGGACGCACCGTCATGTGTGTGATACGACCGTTGGAGCTCTCAAGCGACAGTACATGTCCTTGTACATCGACGCCGGCGGGGACATGCTGGAGCACATCCGGCAGACTCGCCTAATGCTGGCCGAGTTGGATTGCTACAAGGTGTCGCTGTCCGACGCAGAGAAGAAGAGCAACTTCTTGCAGAGTCTCGGCCCCGACTGGAACGGCTACATTGGTGCGTTGGAAGCGTGCGGCTCGATGGAGGAGCTTCTCATCAAGGCGGCTGCTGAGGCTAGACGCCGCTCAACGCAAAGTCAACGGAGCAAGCATGGGGGCAGCCAAGCTGTCAGCAGCGGAAATGCGTTCGCTGCGTTCGCTGCCTCATCGCACGGGAAACGAGGAGTAAAGAAGGGCAAGTGCTACAACTGTGGGAAGCGCGGCCACTTCGAGAATGAGTCCAAGTCGAAGAAGCAATTTGGAGGAGCCTTTGGCAATGCCGCTGCTCGCGAGGACAGCGACGACGAAGCCGAGGCGGGCTTTGTGTTCCAAGTGTCCACGCAAGCGGCCGAAGCTGACTGGATCATCGACTCTGGAGCATCGAGCCACATGACGGGCACCAGTGGTCTCCTTTTGAACCTGCACGAGATGACCAGTAGCGTCGTTGTTACGACCGCTAGCGGCACGACTCTGACCACAATTCACAGCGGAAAGGCTCACCTGCCGCTGATTACTGGAGGGTTCTGCACGTTGGATAGCGTGCTGTATGTACCTGGACTGCAGCGCAACCTCGTCAGCTTAAGCAAGGTTGGGGCGGCCGGGCTCACGGCCACGTTCGACCATGCGCTGTGTGTGATCTCCAGCGGCGGTGCAAAACTAGTTGCAACACGCCGTAGCAGTGGGCTGTATGTCGTATCGACGCCCAATGCGGGCAACTGTGCTGAAGCCGACTACGCGTCTGGTGGTGGATCGGACGATTTGGCAATCTGGCACGCCAGGCTCGGACACCTAAACGCGCGAGATCTCAAGACGCTGTTGAAGGCTGGCGGTATAGCCACGACCACCACGCAGCTGCGACCGTATGAAGGGTGTGCGGCTGGGAAGCTGGCCAGTCGTCCATTTCCAGCGAAGAAGCCACGCGACCTAAAACGTGGCCAAGTACTGATCTCGATTGACTATGTGGGGCCAATGGAGACAACGTCGCGAGACGGCTTCACGGGCATGGTGAGCATGATGATCGAGCCGTACCATCTGGCTGCAGTATTCCCTGTGAAAGACAAGAGCTCGGCCACTCAACTCCGCGCTCTACGAGAGCGCATCGCTAATCTCAAAGTGGCGGTGTAAGAGGCGCAATGCTGTACTGAAGAGTGACAACGCCGCGGAGTACATTGGCGGGGAGATTGCAGAATTCAGCAATGAGAACATGATCGCACAAGAGTTCAGCACGCCGTACAGCCCGCAGCAGAATGGCAAAGTTGAGCGCAGCAACCGAGTTGTCGTCGAGATGGCACGCTCCATGCTACAAGCAGCTGGTATGAGCAAGCGCTTCTGGAGCGACGCTGTCAAGACTGCAGCGTACATCCGAAACCGCTGCCCGTCCAGAGTGCTCGCGGGCAAAACGCCAATTGAGGTGCTGACGGGTCACGCCCCCGTATTGAGCAAGATGCGCGTGTTTGGCTGTGACGCTGAAGTGCTGTTGCCGAAATCGCAGCGACAGAAGCTGGACGCCAAGACTGCTAAAGGCGTCTTTATTGGGTACGAAAAGAGCGGAGGCTACCGTTTGGTGCCCAGTGGTCACGGAGGCAGTGGGAGTGTCGTTGCGTCTCTTACTGCGGCGTTCTTCGAGTCCAGTATTCCGAAGAGTAGACTATCACGCTGGACGGAGACCTGCCAGCGCCGACGCAACAGGAGGTGTCAAGCGATCAAGTGCCGACTGGTCTGGACGCCATCCAAGAAGACATCGCAATGGAAAGCGGTGGATCATCTACTAGCGAGCAGTCGCGGCAGTCCCTTGCTGATCCTCGGGTGGAGAAGCAGGTCGTGCGTCGCAGCACTCGCATTAAGAAGAAGAGCGTGCGAAGACTCGAGTTCGAGGAGTCGCACAACACGCAGGAGCTGGCTCTGGTAAGTGAGCTTCAGGACCCGCTGACACTGCAGGAAGCCATGTCCCGACCGGATGCCAAGCAGTGGAGGCAAGCCATCAACGAAGAGCTGGAGAGTCTGAGGCGGAACGGCACATACGAAGAAGTGTTTCGCCCAGGCAATGTGCGACCTGTGCAAACCAAATGGTTTTTTTGCCGCAAGACACTGGCAGATGGCTCATTGGACAAGTACAAGGCGAGACTAGTGGCGAAGGGTTTCACGCAGCAGTTTGGAGTGGACTACACGGAGACAATCAGCCCCGTCGTCCGTCACGACTCCATTCGAGCTATCCTTGCTCTTGCCGTGCAGCTGAATTGGGAGCACCTGCAGCTGGACGTGCAAACTGCGTTCCTGAACAGTGACCTCTCAGAAGCCATCTACGTCACGCCGCCTACCAATGAATCCGAGGACGAGGTATGGAGATTGCGTAAAGCCCTGTATGGATTGAAGCAGGCTTCACGCGCTTGGTATGAGACCGTGACCAAGTTCTTGTGCGACGCTGGCTTTGTGCAATGTCAGTCGGACACGTGCGTCTTAGTCAAGTGCACCACTGAAGGCATTGTGGTGGTTCTCCTGTATGTTGATTTTCAGCAACGCTGCGTCGGAACTGGCTTCGTTTCAAGCCAAGATCACCCGTCGATTTGCAATCAACTAGTGCACTGCTTCCAGCAGCTTCGTGGGAATGGAGCTGTCATGGAGTCGCATGGGGGATATGCTGACGATTTCACAGCAGAAGTTTACTACAGCAGTGGTGAAGCGCTTCATGGGCCGAGACGACAAGTCGCAGCCGCGCACCCCGATGGAGTGTAACTTCCACCGCCAAGTGATCGATGATTCCGAGTTGATCGACGAAACATTCCGCCCTGCCGTCGGATCACTACTCTACGCATCGACTGTGAGCCGCCCTGACCTGGCTACGGCGGTACGTCTCGTTGCTCAAGAGACCGAGCAGCCAACACGCACCGTGAAGGACGGGATTGGCCGTATAGTCGGCTACTGTCGACATGGGGCTCGTGTATCGACAGTCGAACAAGCGCGATCTGCAGCTCGAGGTGTATTGCGATGCTGCATTTGCCTGCGAAAAGGAGCGGAAGTCGTCAACGGGCTTCGTCGTGTTCCTCAACGGGTGCTGTATTGCTTGGGGATCCAAGAAACAGCCGATCGTCACGCTGTCGACTACCGAATCCGAGTACGTCGCTGTAGCTCACGGCATCAAGGAGTGTATTGGACTCAAGCAGCTGCTTTTCGAGCTGGGTTTTGACGTCGGCAAGATAATTGTCCACGAGGACAATCAAGCAGCTCAGCATGTGGCGGAAGGCAAAGGGGTCTCGCAGCGTTCGCGGAACATTGATCTACGGTACCACTGGGTTCGAGAGCAGGTGCAGAAAGACATTGTGCAGATCAGCTACTGCGCGACGGCGGTCATGGTTGCAGACTTGTTCACCAAGCCGCTGCCTCAAGACAAGTTCAACTTGTTCGTCACGAGGCTTGGTTTGTGCCGAGTGGGAGTGTCGGAGCGTGCTACGCTTTAAGCGAAGTGCGGCACAAGTATCAGCCGACAGTAGCACTGGACACCGCGTCATCATATCTAGGGCCATCTTCTCTACTTCAAGGAGGTCAGGCGTCTCAGAGATCAAGCTGCACGAAGGTAAGACACAGGACGAACTCCAGGGCTGCGCGCAGGTAGGCGGCTAGGCAGCTTTGCATAACTCTCAATTGAATTCACTTTTCCTTTCACCGTCTTCTGCTCAAGTGCCTCTCAAGCTTGCTAACCACTCGACAGGAAGAAGGGCAAGGTTCAGCGCATCTACGACTTGAAGGAGCCCAAGCCAGTGGCGTCGGCGATGGACTGGATTACCTTCGTGGCCTGTATTCGACCTTTCATTGTCTTTAAGGTAATTAGGAACCACGTTTGCCTTATCGAAAATACATTTCCCAGTAAAAAATTGTGTCTGCATGGATATGGGGAGTCATATGCCTAATATAATTCGGTACAAAACCAGGGAAACCTCAGTGAGGAGAAAACCTTTGAGCGAACAAAAGATAAAACCCAGTGGGAAAAAACTAAAGGAACGCAATTGAGTAGGCACGCTTCATGCATTAGTGTTATTCTCGTACACTATACGGAATGGCTAATTAAGCGTCAAGGGATTCCATCCTGAGCTTTGCCTTAGTTCTCTAAACTGATGCTTGTCTAAAGCTTTAGTAAATATATCAGCAACCATAGTTTTGGTATTGCAGTAGGCGACGGAGAACTCGTGTCGCTCGACTTTTTCCTGCACAAAACAGTATCGAACATGAATGTGCTTCGACCTCCCGTGTAGTTCTGGGTTATAGCAGATCTTAACCCTTTCGCGAGTGTCCTCAATAAAATATAGTATATAACTCATTGATATTTCCTTCTAAAAGGGCGCTCTTGGCGTCCTTTTACAAAGTTACGGAGCCTTTTCGGTGTGTCTCATGGAACATGCCACCTACGGTGATTTGCAGGATACATAGAATGTATGCGTATGACTTCGAATTTGTAAAGACAATGATTACATGATGATTACTATGCGTACCAAATATGATTTGTTTTAAAAGAAGGTTGATTACTAGCTTGAACTTGTGGAAAAGGGCACAGGGTGCGCCCTTTAAGAGGGGGTACACTCTACCGTGTTTTGGAAAATCATCTAAAGGGCGCTTTCTGTATCCTTTTACCGCGAAAGGGTTAATGCAGCTTTGGTTGTCCTCATGAATAACATTGGCTTGCGTTGTGCCAAAACCTAACTCTTTGAGGAGCAGTTTGAGGAAAATTATCTCATGCATGCAGTGACACAGAGCGATGTACTCTGCCTCTGTTGTAGAGAGATCCACCGTGTGGTGTTTGCGCGAAAGCCATGAGATAGAACTGTTCACAAGCATAGTCACATATCCACCGACAGACCGCCTCGTGTCGGGGCAGTTGACATAATCAGAGTCGCTGTAAGCTGTCAGCTTGTCGCCCAGGTTCTCGGGTGTGACATCGAGAGATCCACCAAGAAGAAGACCGTGGGCCTTAGTCCCTAATAGATATTTCAGACCTCTAACTACTGCTTTCCAGTGCTCCATTCCCGGATTAGCTAGGAATTGGCTGACCTCACGCATGTAGAATGCCAGGTCGGGTCTCGTGCCTACCATGAGATACATGATACTCCCCACGGCTTCGCAATACGGAATATCTTTCATCGCATCTTTCTCTGCCTCACTACTAGGCTGACTGCTTACGGAGAGTTTAACGTTCCGCTCTGCTGGGGTTGCTATAGGGTACGGAATGTAGTCGCTGAAGCGGTCAAGGACCTTCGTAGCGTATTTGTGTTGGTGGATAAAGCTCGTTCGGTTCTTACGGTCACGTTGAATAGACCAGCCGAGTAAGTACTTCACCTCCCCTAAATCTGTCATGGAGAACCGCTGTTTCAGGGCGGATTTCAACGCGTTTACGAGGGCTGGTATAGGCGCAATGATCAGGGGGTCGTCAACATACACAACAATGTAGCATGTAACACCATTAAATGTGCGTTTGAACTCACAGCTGTCCTTAATGAGTTTGTGGAACCCTAGGCTTTCAAGGAAGGCAGACAACGTTTTGTAAAATACACGGGGAGCTTGTTTCAATCCGTACAGGCCCTTTAGGAGTTTGCACACTAGGTGCTCCTTGCCGGGGACTTTAAAACCTTCCGGCTGAGCCATGTAGATGTCCTCCTCTAGCAAACCATTGAGAAATGCTGTCTTTACGTCCATTTGGTGGATTTCAAGATCAAGCAACGCTGCAATGGTAAGAAGGAGTCTGAGTACCTCCATCCTGATAACAGGTGAGAAAATCTCGTTGTAATCAATGGCATGTTCCTGAAGGAATCCTTTGATCACTAGACGCGCTTTGAAGCGGTCAATTTCGCCTGTGCCGGTATATTTCACTACAAAGACCCATCGGCAGGTTAAAATCTTCCTTCCTTTCGGAGGGGGTACCAGAACCCAAGTTTGGTTGTCCATGTGGGACTTGTATTCTGCTTTAGCTGCTTTACGCCACCGATTAGCGTGAGCCGATTTCATAGCCGCTCGATACGTGGTGGGCTCGGTTACATACCGAATAGCTAGCAGTGTATAGAGCAGTTTTCTACGTTGCTCTTGCTCCTGTAAATCTTCCTCAGAATTGAGGGTTACTTCCGTGTCATCGGTCATGACACGGGGACGCTTAGGAGTAGGAGGCGATGGCGTTTCAGAAGATGTCTCTGTTCGGAACGAGTAATGCATTTGTGTCCTGTCGAGCGCCTCCCTAAGGGGTGGTAGCTGACGCTTAGCTGCAGGTGATGTCGTTGCAGGTACAGGCAATCGATTCCGTGGGGACACGCCGATCCGACTCGATCGCAGGCAGCTCTGGTGTTTCCGTCAGGTTAGCCAGGGAAAAATACTCGTCTTCCTTAAATATGGCATCTCGGCTGTAGACAATGACATGGGAGTTGAGATCCATTAAGCGATAGCCCTTCTTGTGGTCGGGGACGCCTAGATACATGCACAGCCGTGCTCGAGCATCGAGCTTGTCGCGGTATTGCTCTGTAATATGAACGTACGCGCTACACCCAAACACCTTCATGTACTGCATGGATGGAATGCGGTTGTACCAGAGCTCATAGGGTGTACGGCCGCTAGTCTTTGAGATAGGGGTCATGTTGATCAAGGTCGAGAGACGCGCTCGTGGGTGTCTGCCCATGGTCTGACACTTCGATGGTGTTTTCCTCAGTGTCAGTCCGTAGCCAGAGGGGCGGTTGACACGGGGCGACTTGAAATTTTGGAGAGTGTCCGCGCAGCTGGCCCCGGCGCCGATCCAGGGAGAGCGACAGCGTGGGAAAGAAGGGTCGATTCAGGATGGTGTACCTGTGGAACGTCCGAGCATGATGGAGGAGATGTGGAGTATGGATACCTGGTCGCGTTTGACCTCAACTGGCCGGAGGTGCGCAGCACCCAGTCCGGCCCCGACCTAGTCTGACGAAGGGAGACCGTGAAGTGCCCCGGTGAACGTATCCCGGAGAGCTACCCTTCTTGGCAAGGCCAAGGCATCCCAAGGTACTTCGAATCCCCGGTAGCCCGAGTGTGAAGCTACTCAAGTGTACCAAGCCATCGACACCCTGAATTGTACCACCACCGTGTTGAAGACGAACATCCAGGATACTGCGACTACGAAGACCCCGAGTGTGACCCGACAACGAGTTGAGGACCTCAAACAGCGAGACCAAGTGGACACTGAAGCTCGTGGAGTCGACGGCAGCCTGGATGGACAACCGACAGCTCGAATGGAATGCAACTACCCCGAATGGCGGATGATCATCCTGAATGGATAACGCCCGGAGTGCCCAAGTGCCGACCATCCCGAATGGACCATGACGTCGATTCGCTCTTCGCTCCAGCCGCAGCTCGCGGCCCCGACGCCACCATGACGGCCCGAAAGCGAGCGCGGCCACAGGCGAATGGAGAAGCCCCAAGACATCGCAGATATCTGCCAATGGACCAACGCCCAGGAACGTGCCAAGTCAGCGAAGTCAGCAACCAAGGTGCCAGTTTCGAGCGTGACTTGGCTTCACTATGGAGAGTGAGCCAGTCTGAGTTCGATGTGTCAGCAGTGCAGCAGATCCCTAGGTCAGGCACACGAGTCCCTCCGACATCAAGTGATGAGTGTGCGCCGCGACGCGACGCCCGGGTATACTGAAGCCAAGAGAACTCGAACAAGTGTATGAAGATATGAGCAGAGGAGACCGCGTGAAGAATCCAGCGGCCCTAAAGGTAACAAGACCATACGAAGAAGAAGAGAAGTATACAACGAAGAAGAGAGAGATAGCCAAAGAGAGAGAGAGAGAGAGAGAGAGAGAGAGAGAAGAGGATAAAGATCAACAGAGTTTGTTTTGTGTTCAAGTGCACAAGTGCCTGGTTCGTGATTCGCCTAAGGACAGCCGCCGCCCACGGGAGAGTGTATCGCCTTGGAGCCCACGAGAGGGTGTACCATTCGGAGCCCCGCTGCGAGCTTTGAGTAACGCCTGGTCCAAGGCCCCCGAAAACTTCTCACTACATCATCAAGCCAAGTCAGGTACCCAAAAGTACTGCCCAATCGGGTTGGTACACCTGTTTCATTTCCCAGTTGTGGCGTACACTCTCAGTGTGCGCTTGCATTTCATATTCCCTGTGTTTTAGGAGGTTGTGGCAATCGCCCCCTAGGACCCGATTGTAGATTGCGTGTGGTAGGAAGGTACCTGTATTGTTCTCCTGGCATTCAGGAGTGGTGCGCGTGGGGCATCCCGAATTTACCTGTATTCGGGGTGCAACCTAAAATTGACAGGCTGCATATTGTGTGTACAGACTCTGTATTGATATTGGTTATTTTGGAGAAGGTCTTTGCTCGTGATCTCATTCCCATTCAGGACTCCCGGAACGAGTAGCGCCCGGAAGTTCTCTGCATTCCTGTATCTTTGGTCAATTGCGATTCGCAAGGTTGAAACTCGGTCCGCCGAAGATAAACGACACCTATAGGGATTGCACAAGATCACACGTCAACCGGAGCTTATATTCATTGTGAGTTTCGGGTTTCCGTAAGCTAAACCCTCCCTGGTCTAAGCCTACCGGACGTACGCTATACACCCTGGACGATAAAGGCGTTCACCCGCCTCGCCTCAGCTGGTGCGCGTGCCCGGATTTGGTTGCCTAGGGTTTTGATCGAGATTTGTATATTGATTGAGGATCTTTAAGGGGTGCTGAGGGCTACTAACCTACTAACTCTTGGGGTTATGGCTGGAAGTGAAAGCATACGCGAAAGGGGACGCGGCGGACGCCCGGATGGCGTGCGACGCTCGCGTCGGACTCAAGGGATGCCGCCGGAAGAGCAGCTCTCGCTCGAGGAAGTCGAGCGGAATGCTCGCCGGACAAACGCCGCGAGGCGCAAGGCTTCTCGCGAGGAGAAGGAGTCGACGGAGGCCCAACATCAGCCGGATTCGAGTCGGCTGCCCAGGATGCGCACCACGTGTCCCTGGATGCTGCCACCCCGGATGACGAAGAGAAGGGGCCCCCGAGTGGCTCGGAAGTGAACTCCACCCCGGACTCAGAGGTGGAGGTTGTGGGTGTGTCCATTCCGGATGTGCCCACCCAGGCGTCTGTGGGAGGCGCCGTCAAGGTTGAGTCGTCGGCTGTGGATGAACCATCGGGAACGTCCCGGCCGGCCCAAGATGTGATCGTGCTGGACGACAACTCGGATGAGTCCCCCTCGCAGGCGCGCACGATCAAGGGAGAAGGACCGTTACCAGCCGTCCAGGAAGAGCCGGCGTCAAGCCTGCCGAACGAGACTCCGTTACCAAGCTCACCCGTTCCGAACGCCGCTCCGGATGCGCCGCCCAGGGTGGCCACCTCGGAGGACCCCCAAATGGTCATCGACCTGATTGGTCCTGGCGAAGATTCCGGAGAGCAGGCGTCCGCCGCCCGGATGAAGGAGTTCGTGGCCGACCAGGTCCGCCGTTGGGAAAGGGTGACGCTCGAGTTCGTGATGTCCACGACTGTTGAGTACACATGGCCCAGCCCGACACCCGACTTTCAACAATGGCGACGTCCCGATACGTTGCGGCTCGTTTGACGATGATGCACCCGAGCGACAACTGGATTTCGGATTGGAGCTTGGTCCGACTGTCTCCGTGCACTGCCGCGGACGCCACTGCGGCCATGATCCCCATGACCACGCTGTCACTGCGCGAGTGCGCCGCCCTGCTGCAGACGCTATTCTTCGAGGCGGGATTCAGGTTTCGCAACCTGATTCCCCAGTGGTTTTAAGCACGGGCTTCCCGGGTGGAGCCGATCATGGTGCGGATGCTCATGTAGGAGCTCCAGCAACTACTCGCTGCCGAACTTTCGGAATGGCGAAGAGTCACTGCGGGCGTCCCAACTCGAGTCATGCCAGCGCTGAACGTTCATGCACTGGGGGATGCTGCCCTGGACGCGGTCAAGGAGGAACACCCGGACGACGACGTGCCAATGTCGACCCGGGAAATGGACGTGCTCGGTCGAGAATGTCTTTTCCGGATGAGGGTTGCTGAAGTCCGGCCGACCCGAAGTCCGGCGAGTTCAGCTGTGGGCCGCCCTGAATCCAAGCGTCCGCAATATGGCCCGCCACGTCCGTCGTCAATCCCGTCCATGAGCTCCCACTTGTCCTACCGGTCTTCCATCCCGGCGAGTCAAGATGCGGACGCTCTGAGCACGCGGATGTCTGTCTTCCAGAGTGCAGTTTCCCGACGAAGTTCAGGACGAGAGTCAAGTCTGTCTGGAACGACGGCCGCGGATTCGGAGGAGTCGAACCCCAACGCCACGTCCGGGTCGCGCTCGACGGAGCCATAATCGTCGTCGGGATCCTCGCTGTGGTAGCTTGGCGGAGCCACCGGCGCTCACATGCCGCATGCCGCTCCATCCGGAATGGTCATGACCGCCCGAAGTGGCTCAGCCCCCATTCAGGGAGGCTGGGGCGTGCAAGTCACGGAGACGGTGCTCCCTACACCACCAGTGCCGGTGAACCAGGACGATGTCGATATGTCGGAGTCGGGTCACACTAGCATTCGGAGTGGTCACAGGTCGAGGACGTACCGGAGGCACACGCGCTCCCGAAGGTCAAGCCCAAGCAGTTCTTCCAGCGAATCCAGCTCGGAGGATGAAAGGCGCCGTGGCCGCCGAGGATCCAAGCACCCTCGCTGTCCCAAGCGGTCGCCCAAGTCGAAGCGGTCGCCCAGTCGATCCGTGAAGTCCGGATGGTCAGTTCACTCCTCTGCGTCGAGAATCTCCGAGATAGCGCTGACCATGATGCGAGTCACGCAGGACGCCATGGCTCGGGTGGATGCGAGTGTTCAGGAGATGAAGCAACAGCTCCAGGATAAGGACAACGCCCCGGACCGGGAGCCCGAAGCCGCTGACGAGGGGAAGCGAATCTTCCAGACCTACCAGGCCACTCAGCTGCTGGTCGGCCGGGAGGATGCCCTGGAAAACCAATGTGCCCTCGACACACAGGCCCCAGTTCAGGTGATCATGAGTGAGGCGACGGCTGTGAAGGCCCGCGAAGTCGTGGGAGCTATCCAGGAAGATGCCTTGAAGCGTGCGCGAGAAACCGTGAAGGCGGAGCGCGCGCAGGAAGAGCACCTCCGGTCCGAAGCTGAAGCCGCGAAGCTGCAAGTTCAGGAGGCCAGGATGCAGAAGACCGTGGAAGAGCAGCGGAGATTACTGGAAGAACAGCAGAAGCTCTTTGACCGAAGGATCGCTTTGCTAGAAGCAGCCCAGTCGAGGGACAAGGCGGCCGGCCCTGACCAGGGGAATGTTCGGAGAACGCGTTCGCGCGACACTCGGACGACATCATCCCAGGTTCAAGGAGCTCAAGCGACACCCGCACCTGATCCGACTGTTCAGGTCAAGCAAGAGACGAGGCGCCTGACTATGTACCAATAATCCAGTGGCGTCATCACTGGACACGTAAGTGATAGACGGACCAAACCAGATGGCGACCTTCCAGCTGCCCAGCTTCAAGCAACGCTGGCGCCGATGACTGGTGTTAAGTATGAGAGGGAAGAGTCGACGCCCAGGGTTGTTCCATCGAAAGCAACCCAAGCGACGATCGAGAAGTCGGGACCCAAGCCGGCTGCCTCCTCTCGTTCGGAGACCAAGAAAACGGCTGCCCGGAAGGACTCACTCAAGAAGCGATCGAATAAACGTGGAGACCCCTCGGACGACAGCTCAAGCTCGGACTCGAGCGAGGAGGACTCAAGCGATGAAGACTCCGACAGCTCGTCCGGCGAGGTGCCCACCAACGTGGCGACGGCGACGACCCAAGGCGGGACGACGATGAATTGGAGAGGCCAGCTCTCTCGGCACGACCGCCAGGACTGGACCAGGTTGTCCAAGGCCTTCCGCCGCGAGTACTGCAAGTCCAAGGTGTCCGAAACCGAGCGCTACTACCCGATGACGCAGCGCAAGGGGTAGAAGGCACTGGCGTTCCTGTACCGCCTGAACATCGCGGCGGAGCACGCGAAGGTGGATTTCCGGAAGTCGAGCAAGCAGCGCGAGATGCATATCCGCCAGTTCATCCGGATCCTCCACGACGAGCCGACCAAGGCAGCTGTGGAAAGCCACCGGTTCAAGAAGGTGGCAGATCTGGAGTACATCCTGAAGTGTCGAGAGGAACTGCACCACGGCGATGACCCTCCCGCTCGAACGACGCAGGCTCGCGACTTCCGCGCGGACAACGTTCCCCGGGACCGTTTCCGGTCCAAGCACCGGGATCGAGCATTAGTGGTGACCGCAGAGTCTGACTCGGAGCCAGACAGCCCGGATGGGACAGAAGAAGCAGTGGAGCGCCGCGGTCCCGTGGCCGAAACTCCCGCCATCCAGGAAGTTCATGACGTGAGCGCCCCAAGTGCGAGCACCGGGTCCCTAGTGACTAAGGAAGACCTGGTCCACGAGGTGTATCGCGCGATCGATCGAGCAGGATGGTCTCCCAGAAGCCCAATGCAACGTTCCGGAGGACAAACCCGCAGTCGCCCAAGCCGCCGTTTTCTCGGGCGTATCCACCCCGGGCCAACCCGGATCGAGGAGAATTCTGTGAAGAATGTCGACGCTGGGGTCACCGTCCGGAGAACTGTTGGAGTACCAAGATTTGTGACCGCTGCAACCGCCGCGGACACATTGCTCGGATGTGTGAGACGAAGCCCTGCCCGAAATGTGATGAACTACACGAAGGACGATGCGAGGACTGGAGAGTGTTCCAAGAGGTCAAGAAGCTGGTGCGCGAGGAAGGCCTGACTGACCTGCCAAGCCATGTGCGGGAGGACATCCTGAATGGCGAGGCCAGTTCTGAGGGGAAGCAGTTAAACCACTAAGCCCGCCGAATGGGGATTCGGTACGCGCCGGGAATAGGAAACCCTCAGAATTGTGTGTCTTAGCTTACGTCGGCCCCGAATTGAGGACCAAGAACCGAGATAACCAACAATGCATGTCATGCCTGATTGAAGATGGAGTTGTGTCGTCCACGCAAGAACTTGCGGACCATTCGAGACCACCGCCACCCTTGGAACCTGAGGAGCCGGCCGAGTTCAAGCTGTGCCCGGGTGAGAGGTATGGTTGGTGGGCCGAACACGATTCCGACGATGAAGGGCGTAAAATAGCGTTGGTTCACGGCGCGGTGGAGAATTTCAGGACGCAGATACTGCTGGACACCGGAGCGTCAGTGAGCATGATATGTTTGAACCTTGCGCGTAGGCTCAAGCTCAAGTTGAGCTCACATCGGCAGATCAAGGTGTCCGTATTGTGTGGCGTCCCGACTTACATCTCCTCCAGCGCCCAGGTGAAGATCACTCTGGGACCTCGAATCGTGTACGTTGTGGATTTGTGGGTCACGAACATTGGAGAACACGTCCACGTCTTCTCCAATGTTCGTCAGGCTCAGCATCCGGGAAGGAGTCATTATGCTTCCTGATGAAGAGACGATTCTCATGTACGGTGACGCGATCCGGAAGGGTTACGGTATGGACATCCCGGTTGTCTCCCCTCACGACTTATACCTCCGGTCAGGGGGAAGCGCCACTGTGCGCGTTCATTATGGCAGGAGTAACCCGCAAAGAGAGGTGGTTTGGGTCGGGCGCGGAGACCGCTGGGTCACGGAGGCAATTTACGGAGCGAGATCCTGGGTTACGGCCTTCCGCGTGGTTAACATCTCGGACCGCGATCTGTCGATCGATACCCGTACGTCGGTCGCACGGGTTGTGGAGTACGGACACTTTCCGAGTAGGGGGCGTTTCGTGCGCCCTGGGGTGCGCAGGTATCGGGAATCGGAACGGTTGATCTATGAGAACACGGTCTCACGTCGGGCTCGAGATGAAGAGGAGCGCCGGGTGGAACGTCTTTGGGGTGCCCAGCCCCCCCCCCCCCCCCCGCCGTCCTGAAACGCGAATATCCGTGGCCAACGAAGTTGATGACCCGGTCCGACAAAGAGGACGGAATGGTTCGTATGGTGCAACTCTAGAAACACCCGAGTGGAGCGGAGAGTTTACCCTCAACCGGAATGAAGAAGGTTACGTTTCAGGAAGAAGCGGAGGAGATTCCCTGGGGCGAGGAGTCAGACGTGCCGGACGATCAAGCGTCGAATGAAGATCCTGATCTCGGACGCAACACCCTGGAGGGATACTCGGCGAGCAGCCCGGAATTAGCTCCGGACTCTGAACTCGAAGGTGAAGTCGAGGAAGAATGCGAGGTGGATTTGCCTACGTCCGCGATGGACAGCACCCCACTCAGGCAGCTAGAGATCGAATACGCTCGCTGCATGAGAGTGAGCGCTGAGGAGTTGGACCTGGAACCTGAATTGCCGGATCTCAGTCCGGAGTGCGACATTGACAAGGCCGACGTGGGCGAGCCCGGAGTGAGTACTCCTGCCCAGGAGAGTAAGCTGAAGGACATTCTGAAGTACCACAGGAAAATCTTCCTGGGTGACGGAAACGCCGCTCCAGCGTCTGCCCGAGGCGTGGTGTGCGACCTAGACGTCGGAGACGCGAAGCCGGTGGTCCAACGGCCCCGATCCGTGGCTCCACATCTTATGGGGAAGGTTTACGAACTCTTGAAGAAGCTTTTGGAGACGGGACTGATCAAACATTCTGAATCGCCATGGGCTTCCCCGATTGTGATCGTCCTGAAGAAGAACGGTGTCGACATTCGGATGTGCATCGACTATAGAGTCGTGAACGGTTTCATTCAGCTGTCCAGCTACCCGCTGCCTCTGATTGATGACTTGCTAATCGGTTTCGAGAAGGCGATGTGGTTCATGAGTCTGGACATGGCGAGTGGTTTTGGGGCGATTCGGATGACGGAAAGAGCCAAGCTCATCTCGGCATTTGTGTGCCCATTCGGGCATTTCCAGTGGGTACGGATGCCATTCGGGTTGAAAAACGCTCCGCTCGTCTACCAACATGTGATCAACACCTGTTTGTGGGGATTCGTTCGGTTGCCGCCCGAGGAGGAAGCTATGGTAGATCAAGATGTGTTGGATTACTTAAGATTGGATCCTTCGCAGCCAGAAGCTGGGTACGATGGTGACGCCGAAGCCGCCCCGGAAGACGGACGTCTGCCCGCCCTGACTGACCAGATGACGGTGTTCAAGCGCAACATACCTGTGCCACCCCAACTGGGCCCGGTCCTGGGGCGGAGCTCCTACATCGACGACATCGCACATGGAGCCGCCACATGGGACCAATTGTGTGGCGACCTGAACGCGCTGTTGTACCGACTGCGGTACTGGAACATCTCGATCAGTCTGCCCAAGAGTGAATTCGGGAAGTGGACCATTCCATACCTGTCTTATGAGATCGGAGCTGAAGGGATTCGAGCGACTCCGAAGATTGTGAAGGGTATCTAGGACTTGCCGTTCCCGAAGACCCTGAAAGGGTTCCAATCTTTTCTGGGAAGCCTGAACTATTACCACAAGTACATTGAAGACTTTCCCGTGGTCACTGCGGTGCTGTATGAGCTAACGGACGACTAAGTTCGGGCCGGTCGAGATCTGACTCGGGCGAAGGAAGCGTTTGACATCCTGAAAAAGAAGATTGTATCCACACCGATGCTCAGACATCCGGACTGGACTAAGCCTTTCGTGATCATCCCGCATGCGAATCAGTGGGCGGCATGTGCCGTCCTCGGACAGGAGTATGATGGCGTGATCCAACCTGTACGTTTCACGGGGCGTGTCCTGAATGATGCCGAACTCCGGTATCACATCGCCGAAAAGGAGGCGCTCGCGGTCATTCGGGTGCTCCAAGTGTTCAAGACCCTGGTCGAAGGATGCCCGCTGGTTGTGTATACCAGATACTCCGTCCTGAAGTGGGTAATCAAGTCGAAGACCGTGGATGGTCGCACGATGCCTTGGGGTGTAGCCCTATCACATTACGACCTGGACATCCGGAAGGTGCAAAGGGACGAGGACGGATTGGCCGCCATCCTGGGTGCGGGTATCACGCCCAGAGAGCATCTAGATGAGGTGGCCGAATCGTTAATCCCGGCCAAGGGGCGAGTGAAGGCGCCGCCTGTGGTGAGTGTGAAGATGTTGGTGAGGCGAGGCCGATGAAACCTTTATCGCCCAGGGGGGTTCGTATAGCGCAGCCCAAGACTGTTCCCCAAGGGTAGGCCCAGAGAATCGACTTGAGAGTCAACAGCAAGAAGATAGACCCAGAGATTCGCAGCCGCAAAGCTTTAAACCCTGAGAATCACACTCCTTGGTTGGCGTGGGTACCTTGTGTAATCCCTGTCGGCTCGTTTGTCTTCGACGGAACGGCACTCCACCGGTTGGAAATGTAGCCTCGAAGAAGTGCGGGAGCGCACGTCTACTTCAGAACGCACCTCCACACAAAAGGCAAACCCAGAGAATCAGATCCCCTGAAACCCAGAATATCACGAATTCAGGGTCAACTCTGGGACTTGGAACTCAGAAGACACCTTACCCAAACGCCCTCCTAGCTCGATAAAACCAACAAATACAGAGTATACAAACACTACAACTAGCCGTCACTTATTCTTTTGGACCCCTGGACGGTGGGTCACACACACACTAGGCTCACTCGAGTCTGCAATTCAGGGGCCTAGCTCCCCTGAGACTCACACAAATGCGCACCACCTCCAATTAAGGAGGAAAATACAATCACTATCAGTTACCTTCCCTTCACACAAGCAGTCAATACAAAATCCTGGAGGCGACTACCTAGCACCCCAGAATACCCTCTGGAGTAATATGAAATGGGCTACCACGAGCACAGCAAGTGACCCAACTAGGATATGGAATAGATGGATCACCCCAGGAAGCTCAAGGCCGTCGCTGGTCACCACCTTACTGGACTTGAGTTTGATGGAGCCCACACAAACGGCTGTCCTTCGCCGTTGATGTGCCCTTAGCGTCCCGCGGTCGTAGTCTCGGGTCCTCCGGATTTCCGTCGGCAGGCTTGGCCGAAGTCACTTGCGCAGTACAGGGTAAAAGGAACTCTGTTTGGTTTTTATCAGCTACTTCTCTCTCTCTCTCTCTTCTTCGGGCAAATATCTTCTGTTCACTATGTTTGGGGTCAAAATGTCTTGCCTTGAGTATACCTTGGGATCAGCGGTCCAAACTTGCGATCGGCTTGCGAATCCATTGTCGCACGGCGCCGAAAGTGCCAATAGTGGGTCCTTAGACTTGGTTTAGTATGGTGCAGGACTCCCTCTCGACTCCTCGAAAGTATCCAGTCTTTGCATCCACAACGGTTCTTCAAGGTCACGCATCACTTTGATTGCAGACTGACTGTGAACTGACTCGAATCCCTGAGAATCAGGTGACACTCAGGGTCATCTTCTGAAATCCTGGGAACTCTGAGGAATCTTGGGGAACTGTAGGGATTCTTGGGTGTTGGCTCGGGAAACACTTAAGTTCAGTATAGAGAGTCTGGATTTATGGTCCAAACCCAGAGAATCATCTTTGGAACTCTGGGTCACCTGTACTCAGGGAGGTGAACTCTGGGTCATCGTGCGGCACTCTGGGTTTCCGTGCAGCACTCTGGGTAACAAGTCTGCTACATTGCAGGCCTGCGTGCATCTCCACAAAGCCACACTTTTAGCGGGTTTAGCGGCCTCCTGCGCATGATCACGGTGGTAGTGGGTTGATTCTCAGGGTAATTTGATCCTCTGGGGCACTCTGAGCCACAGCAAGATGAGGTGTACTCTGGGATACATTCTCCAGAGACACTTTCCGCCACTCATCGTAAGGGAAAGTCCGCGGCTGGACTGAGTGTTCTCTGAAATTCTGGGCGTGCACTCCCAGGATTCACACTTCCAGCCAGTTGGGCCCATCTGCGGTCAGACGCTGGATTCATCC